CTGTTACAGATATACTTATTATTATTGTCTTTGGTTAGCGCTAAAGTGTTTTCAATACCGTCTTATTTAAGAAGCAGATCATTTCTTTCGTTAATTGATTGATTATTGCAAGGTCAATGAGTGTAAGTATATAATGCGCATATGATAATCCTTAGACATTGAATACTATTACAGATATGCTTATTATGGATATTTATAACCAAAGCTATAAAATAATTACAGATAATCTTAGACAATCTTAATCCAGAAGATTTACGATCAGATCCAAAGAAAAGAAAAGATCAATCCTAATAAGATCATTGTTAGAACTAGCAAGAAATTATAAAAATAGCAATTATTATAATAATTAAGCTAAGATTTTTTAAATCCTTGCCTTTTACTTGATTTAATATTCACTTTTAAGTAATATAAATACCAAGATAACAAATCAATCGTTTATTAATATATTCTACTTATAAACTCTAGCTTATGATCAATTTTTAGTACGACATAAAATCATGGTAGTAGGGCCAAGGCTTCTATATCCTTATCATTAACTCAAGCTATGATCGATATTTAATATGTTATAAAAACCGTAGTAATAAAGTTGGTCTAATATATTTTCACTTTTAAGGACTGATTTTCAATATATCATGAAAAGTCATAACTATATAGCTGGCTTTTCTTCATATATCCTTACCTTCAACTCCAATTAGTAACTATTATATCGTAAAAATTATTATAATGGAGATAAAACTCCTACATCATTGCCTTTTAAACTCTAGTTAATGATAAATCACAATACACTATGCCCCATATAGAAAATTTTACTATCGTTTAGTGAATTTCTGCTATGCACATTATTCAGTGTCGTAGTTAAATCATACGAATTAAATATAAATCGTAAAAATTTTTGTAAACATAATAATAAGAATCCTGTTTCTATTCTATTCATCTTAGATATGCAACTTTTGTTCTCAATACCATCTCCAAGGTACCAATGCCTATACAGAATATTAATATAATTTATTATTTTCTGGTAACTTATTTTATCTCGCTAATCCTGGATTGTCTAATAGTTATAATATATAGGTAGTCCAATATATCTTTCCATGTAGATATAGTCGTATTGTGCCTACTACATTGCTTTAACTAAATCGGTCATACTAATACTGATTATATTTATAAATTTTATGCTGTTCAGTCCCTTATAAGTAACCTACTTATCTTTCTATTCCTAGTAAGTAAACAGTTTATCTAGCAAATTTATTATGTGCATCCGCTTATACAATTTTTTTACATCTGTAATATCATCTAAGATGATTATACTGATACCAATTAGGTCATAAAACTTAAAAATCATTGTGGAAATTCATAGTCGTTCTATTTAATTGATCAATAAATTACTCCGCCTAATAAATCTCTTCATATACTTATATATAGCAAATATTCTAGATACATATGCCTTTATTTAAGATAGTCTGCTAATATCGCTAAGATTTCCCGTCTCACAAATTGTCAGCAGTAGCAGCTGATTGTATCATTCTATGTAGTAATAAAAGATATTTTTAACGCCTCTCGTATTCTTGCGCAAGGAGTTCCTTTGATCTACTGTTTTGCTCAAGTTCTGTAGCTATTTGTATTATCAAGATGATTTATAAAGAATCTTCTTACCGTAACTATTTCCGCCATTTGTAATTAGAGCGGCATTATTCATACCGTACTATGAATTAGTTCATGAAATCGATGATCCTACTCACTGTATTGATTGATTATACCGCTATTAATCCAATTAATTTTTAACTTATTCTGTCGTCATTACTAGGATATACAGTAGATACCGATTTTCATAGTTCATCAAATCAAATTGTACACAAGATATTATCCTGGCTATTATTATCACTACTTCGAATTAATTTAGTATCGTGCTTATCTATTTCGTCTATCATCAGTTTATTTATTCGACATCAGTGGCAGCTATATCCGTATAAATTATAATTTTCAATTAGATAAAACTGACTTCAATTGAGGTGCGATATGAAAAAAATAATGATGGTTGACTTTGGAAGGCTATGGATAGGCATAAATTAACAGCCTTGCGGTGAGTAATCACAAGGACATTTATCCTTTTCCTTCCTTCTAAACTGAGACATATGATGTTTATTATAATAATTTCAATAATATTGCTAGCTATTAGTGTTAATAGCAAATAACTATAAATACCGTCATAATTTATTAAGTGCATTTATAATTTGTTATTTTAAGAATATTAATACCAAATATGACTATAGCTAACTAGTATACAGTATAGCTACATTCAGAAAATGATTTTCAAGATCATATCGAATCCTACATGAATTCTAAAACTATAATATCTACATAACTAAATGGTAGTATGATGTTAAGGATTTACTGAAAGATCATAGGATAGAAACCAATACTGCTATTCTATCTTTGTAATCATGATAGTAAATATGGATTAATAGTAAATTAATCACTAACAATCTCTAATTATCTTGTTGACAAGTTCTAAATAATGGTAACAGATTGCAATTTCCAAGCAGATTTTCATCAAAATAATAGAATTGTTTATTGCTTGCTTCCTCTTTTTTCCTTAGTTCTCATATACACTGTTTAGCTCAACAAACTTAACATATTATTGGTCGTGCATGAACTGTAACTAGGATGTGTTCGCTGATTGCAGGAAAGCACCAATAGTCCTGATTGAAAAATGAAATATTCATAAGAAAAGGATGTTTCTAAATGTATTATAATGTAATCATCACAACACTCACACTAACAGTGCCGGTAGATTATTTTTTTAAAAATAAGCATGGTACCGGTGTGTTAACTATACTTTTCTAATAAAATTTCTTGGTGGCAATCAGTTGAAAGGGAAATTAGGATTAGTTATCTGATCATCAATACTATTGCTTGATGATATAATTTTACTTTATTTCTCTCATAGCAATTTATTTTTATAGATCTTAAAAATACGATTACTAATAACCATCCATCTATGGGTATCTCTGTAACAAGAACGATAAGATTCAATTGCGTGGCTTCCGATCTCCTTCCGTCTAATTATGCGAATGTTGTCAACATCATTATCAGAAATCGTCTAGAAGCCTACGTAAGACATGGACCTGCATGCTTCCTACTTCGAATACTGACTTGTATTGAGGAACAAAAGGTCAAGATAATATGATGACATATTATTACCATCTAAATAGGTAACTGACATCTCATTGCCAGATTATTGATACCTGTACCGAAAGATTGTGTACGATCGTATATATGTAATCTACGAGGTTTCCTATCTTTTACAGTACTTCTGAGGTTGGAATCCCATTGGCAGCATTCGCACCGTACTTCCAATTTAGATTCATCATAGTTAAAAATCCTTGTAACATGGATATTTAAATGAGTGCTACAGTAAGAGAAATAAAACTTAGCTTCGTATTATAGGTGTAATGAACTTCTCCGAAGGTTTCATATTAACCTCTGGTTACAAATTATGAGTTTAAGCAATATAACAGCAACATAACAATACACATACGAATATAATTATACTTAGTCCCTAAATTTATTATAGTGGTACACAAAACTATCTAGTTTTGAAAATAGGATTCACTAATGATGATTAAATTTAAATATTCTACGTATTTACTTAGGATGCTATAGTCTCTGACATATTGATACTGTATTAGCTTCAGGAAAAATCACATCCTACGGTAGTAGAAAGAGTAAAATTGACCGATATATCGCACGCAATCAGCGATACTCTTGTTCATATGCTCACTAATGCTGAATAATGGTATATGTGCAATCAATACATGTCCTGCAATGATAAGATAATTAAATTTAAATTGATTTCATGGCATGATATATGATATGATCAGGCTCTACAGGATTGGCACGAATACATTACAGAGTATCGTTCGATAGTAAAAAATTACGGTAATTTTAAACCCTGAATAGCACATAAATTGTCTTAAACTCTGCCTTTCATGAGGATACCTCACATTGAACTTGTTTCCTGATGCAGTGTGATGATTGGGGTGGTTTATAAAATGTTGTTACAAATATATATATGTTACGTATGTATATACATACTCTGGTATATATAATAAAAATTAAAATTATAGGAAATCATATGATGTCCTAAGCTAATTCTAAGATACGGTATGATTTCCTTCCATTTTATTCTTGGAATAAATACCTAGTACTAAGCTTATCTCTTATTCGGTAAATAACTCTACTGATTTATAGATTGGGCAAGTAATTATCGATAGTTAATTTGTTCGATATACGAGAACTTCTTTAATTGCTCACTGCTGCAAATGCTAATACATCCACGCAAGCATAAAGCCTGGCATAAGAACTTGAATTATATGATTTTCTGACATGATGCAATAAGATAAAGTTCTTCACTACCTCTTTTATGACATTTATCTCGCCTCAATAAGGTTATTAGCCTGATTTATGATGCGCTATTACAAATATTCTAGCTCCTGTCCACACTAATACCAATACGAATCCTTTCGCTATATACACACTCGTATGTCGTCAAATATATGCTGCGGTATTGTGAGATAGGTAAGCTGATTTTATCACTGATATTAGTACATATGCCTTGTTCATACATTATCATGGCCCAAGAGTAAAATTGGTAGTATACAGTATAGAAAAGGGGAAGTAAAAATGACAGTATAACCTTTTTCTAGGCGTATTTTCCCTCTGCAGTCCGTCTTTGGTCTTTCCTAGTTTGTAGCGCTAACCTAATTACGCAAGCAGTTGCTATGCAACAGCGTTGACGTCATATCCCTTCGGGGTAGAAATGTTTGCTTTGCCTTATCGAGCAGAAGTTGATGAAGAAATTATAAGTTCTCCTATTCGACGCTGTCATCAATAGTTTTTATAGGGCTATCGACTGTAGCGTGATAGAACAAAGATAAAATCGTATATTGAAGGAATAGAATTAAGAAAGGCATCAAGAATTAACAAATTACGGCACCAAAATGATGCTTTACGTGGAAAGTAAAGCTTTTCCTGTAAGTTTACAGCTGTTCATTAGATATATGGGACTTATAGAATAAAATTTATAAAAGTAAATTAGAGCCATTTTATCAGCTTCTGTTCAATCTGTTAACCTATCCATTAGTAGTAGTTGTTTTTGTTGAAGAAAAAACCTGAAAGGTGTTAAGGTAGTCGAATAGTGATAATAATTTGCGGTAAATAATCTAGATGCAGTAATCAAAGTAATCATAAGAATGATAGGGTGCTTACTTTATGAGAGATGGACATTTTAAATAAAATGAACTTCGATACATACTTTTTTTCATATCGTTTCACTCTTATTCATGGATTGTGCTGCCAATTGAGAGCTGTACAATCCAATTAAACATCCGCTCTTCAGTTAAATTGACGGATATTTACAGCCTGTTGCTTTTATTAAACATTGGAGTTTCAGTATAAAGGGCGATAGTGGTATCCTAAATACACGAAAGGTTTTAACTTTAATGTCTGTTTTTTTCCAAAATATTTTTACTCATTATTTAAAGGTAGTTTCAGTAATTCTTTTCTTCGTAAACATGATACACTATAGCTTAAAAGGTTAATATGAGAATATAACGCATTCATATATTGAATCTTTCGTTGAATATTAGAGAAAAACATTTATCATATTATGTAAGCTGACGGACACAATTGCTCGAGCTCGGTCTCAAATGCTGCATATTTTATGGGAACTTGGACGTGATGATCATCAATTTAGATTTCGCTATCGTGGCCAATATCTCCGCGATGCTTATACATTTGAGGTAATGGAATCGTAAAAATACCTTAAAAGATCCAGTGCACACAATATTTAGTATTACAAGTGAAAGTACGTCTTCTTGTTTTATATTTCGATCTTTAAATTGGATATCACGTTCTTTATTACCTAAGGATTATGAAATTCCTGAAAATGCAGTTGTCAAGATGGTTCCTATGGCTAAGCGTCAAGAGGTAACCTAGCTTAAATAGAAATGATTATCGATGCTAACATGATTGCTCACTACGACCGTAAACCAACACAGTTTGGATAACATCCAACTTGGATTTATTTCTCCTCCTTCCTCTCTACTTGTTGCTTAAAAAATTTGTTTTTTGTTGCAGTCATTTGTGGATCTGCGTAGAATGGATGGCCAGAGTGATTTAGGACAAGGGACATCGGATGAAGTTCTCAATGCTCTAAATCAAGAAATCCAAGTATTTGTTAGGAGAGAAAAGTTACTTGCAGCACTACAGGTATGATAAATAGTACCCTTGTTTATCAATAATTCTTACGAGCTAGTAAGATTTTGACAGCGAATCCGCAGTGTTAATGAACTTCAATAAATCTATTGGGTAGAAGTATTGAAGTTGCATTTTTCCTACATTTTTGTTGGTATGCAGGCATTTCTTTGGCTATGGGCATTAGCCACCATGTTATCTTTTATCACTAATTACTTTTACAGCGGATTCTGGAACGGTAAATGTACTAATTTAAAGAGTTTATGATAGCCATTTTACCTAATTTATGGAACTTATTTTCGTGACTAGTCTTAATATAATTGTGTTTATGTCTGTTATGATATCCTTTAGATAACTTTATGATTTAATTATTTCATTTTTAGTTATCATTGTCTATTTCCTATTTAAATACTGTCCAACGTTTACTCGTACGGGAGGATTTGTTGGTCGAGCATCTCAATAGTAAGCGTTCAGATAATACGAACTATGCACTTAAAAATATATCTACCAATCTTGTGGAATAGCTTGTATGATGATTAAATCTGTACTGGTTTAACTCGAAATCATTTTTCTCTCGCAGTCATGGAAGATATATGATTATCTATGCTATTGCCTCTATCTTATGCTTGGCACCAAATGTCGTGTTTTTATGCTTGTTGCTACCTCCTATGATTGTAAGCAGCGATTAAAATAAATTTAATTTAATATGTTGTGCCTCCAGAACTATAATATCGTTATTCTCTCGTTATGCTAGCAACATATATGATACGATATGCTTAGAAATAGATAAAACTGTTTAATGATGTATCTTATATTTATCTAGCAACAAGGTTGTGCCGGTTATGTTGGTTCCTGCACCCACTGGCTGCTTTGGTCAGGTAGGTCCAAATAAATTTAATTAATGCACTGGCTTCATCCTTTAAAGGGGGCAATTTGTAAATTGATAACTTTGCCATCTTTTTAGTCATCTTTTACGCGTGCTTTGCTCTTCTCTTATTCCTTCAAACCTGCCTCATTCCATTTATTATTTACAATTTCCGATTTAAGGTAGGCTATATAATTTACTCATCTATACGTGGATATAGTACCTATTTTAATTGCGGTATATATTTATATCTTAACTAGGCGGGGGATTTCGTAGAACAGCACTTGGTTAAGACTAGAGATGTTGAGAAAGTGTTATTTTCAGCTAGAAATGGAAAGTAAGGATCATGAGCTGATGTGGCTTACCCTGGCTATTGTTGATATTATTTTAATAATTAACTTCATGTATAGTTGTTAAAATTAATACGGTATGCTTTAGACTGATTTGATTTACCGTTCTACAGAATCAAAGAAAAGCGTAATGCAGCTTTTGAACTGGCTAGCTTTGCCGCTTGTAGCGATGATAACAAATATAAAATTGTCTCACAAGGCGGTATGGAAGTACTATCCAATCTGAGTTTATCGAGGGACGAGGTATTGTATAAAAAAATATTATTACACGTTACTGTAGAGAACAGATTTAGGATATGTATATTCCGAATAGTTTTGTATTTATTCTTAAAATTATTAGTTATAATATATGCTAGAACAATTATACCAATCGATTATTATAAACATATAAGCTAAAGATAATCACTTATGCTAACCTATCTCATGTGGTCTATGTCTTTTACGTCTTAGGCAACACAAGAATATGCTACTGAAGCTATTGCAGAGCTTTTAACCTTACCAGAGATACAAGTGAGTAATGAATACTCGAATTTTTGTAGTTATTAGATTAAATTAATGTACTAGCACTATCGCCACAATCATTTTAATATCTGGTAAGCCGTACTTTAAAAAAATGATGTACATCTATTTAAATTAGGATCAATTTGTCGCGATTGGTGGAGTACGAACATTATGTGCTCTTCTCCATGGACGCACGGATAAGATCATTTATGAGGCTGCTACTGCTTTATTCTACTTAATTTCCGATAATGATAATAACAAAATGGTTATTGTTGAAGATACAGGGTTAGTTCGCATTTTGATTAATCTGTTCATACTTCATAAATACACTAATTCACTTTATAATATTTTGCCTCTATTGATTTTAATTTTCGCTGATTTAAAATCTAACACGTCTTACAATTTATTTAGCTTGGATGACTTAGCCCATGCCTCTATGAAAGGTAATACATATTTAAGTATACATCTTTCTCGTAATAATGTACTAATTTACTGCGGAGTAATCACCGTTTACAATATATAAACTTATATTGTAATCGTTGATCTCTTTAGCATATTTTATGCCTAATACATCATATCAAAACCCACGTGATAATGCTATTACGCTATCTTATAAAGCTAATAACAACAGTTAACTTACATGTATTAGCTTAGTTTGGCTCACAAGTAAGATCATAGGTGATCGAATTCTTCTATTTTTATATGACTAGATAATATTAAGACTGCTAGAGTACTGGCTGGTGTTTTCCTAGAACTTCTATCCTATAATGCGGATTTACGAGAAATTATTGCTTCGCGAAATGTTGTGGCAGTTGCTTTGGTCCATTTGTGCCAATTAGCGGATTCAGAAACTCAACAATTATCGCTACAGGCATTAGAGTTAATCGCCATTGAATCTCCTGAAAGTGTCGTAACACAGGAAGACTTGCTACATCATCTAGTTGCGATGCCAAGACTAACGGAAGACGAGAGGTTACACTTATTATCTGGAAAAATTATGCTCTACTTCGCCGAAAATGAAGAGGTATTTTATTTCATTTGGTGTCTCCATATACTATTATAATACCTAGTGTAAATGAAAATGGTTATGATATCGAAGTCGGTTTATTTATGATAGTAATTTTCGTCCAAATTTTTACCATTTTATTCACTTCTTGATAGGCTTGTTCTGAATTGATCAATGTTGCAAATCTAACCGACACGCTGTTACAATTTGCACAAAGTAATGATTCCGTGTTACAAAACGTCGTTAGCAAAATTATTCTGGCTATACTGGAGAATCAAAGAATTACGTAAGTCAGCTGATTGAAACATTTAAGTGTAGAGGATTACCAATAAAAGATAATTGAGGAGTAAAAATCTCAGATATCCTGCGATAGATACACCGGAAATTAAGACATAATTTTAAAATATTTCCATATTATTTCTATTCAAATTTAGTCGTCGTATCCCGTACCTAGGGCTGGATAAAGTCGTCATGTACCTGCAAAGTAATAGCGTTGATCGACATATCTTTGACAATGCTGATGCTGCCTTAAATTTATTAACGATATATACATCAGAAGACAAAATGGGATCGAGTTTATCCTTAAAATCGGTCGGTAAACCGGGTCAAAGTGGCTACGGAGTTTAGATTGGCCGTTTTACGAATGCTTTTCCTACGCCATACTACCTGCATTTGCATTTCGACGTCAATTACAATTGTACATTGCAAGCTATGACATTTTAACGAAGAAAAAACTGTAAATGATGTAATTCTATAAGTAGTTAGATTCATTTAACTATTGGAGATTTTTGTTAGGAAATAACGTAGCCTTCCGTTTTTCGTGCCACCTTACTTTCCTCGAGAAATTACGATCATTGTCTTTTGTAAAGGACTTTTATAATGACAAAATTTTTAATTCACAAAACATTATACATTTGATAAGTCACTTAACTTTTATTTTATTTCTTATACCTACTACTTAGAAATGATAAATATCTAAATCAAGCCATTCGACTTAGGACTCTTAGTCCGGTCAAACTGTGTTCTTTTGGTAATAATGATTAATTACGACACAAAGTGATTTACTATCACAATTGTTAAAGATAATTCCTAACTTTCGAGACGAGTAACAATCCGAGACATCTATCAGCAGTGTTTCGTTTCTTAATATGACAATTTCTAGCAGTGATGAACTGCATTGATGCGAATAAAATATAATTTACATTAAATTTATCTACTATAAGGCTGATTACAAATAATAATAAATGGTTATAAAACTTGATATTTAGAAGATTGTACTATATATATAAATCTTGCAAGTGTATTTAGACACAGTATTCTTATTTGATATAAAATGACATAAAGCAAATATAATTGGTATACATTGCAAGCGATACATTTGTCTACAGGCCTGAAATACTGTAGCAACCGTTTCCGTTTTGAATGAGTTATAGTAGGAAGTGACTACCAATGCGTGTACTATAAAAATTCGTCATGTAAAGCAACATTACATTGTAAAACATTACTGATTGCATAGGTATTACTATAGTTTAGACTATTCGATAATATTATAAGCTGAGAGTACACTTAAGGAGGGAATATTTAATGAATGTATATTATAAAATTATTTCACGTATTATAATTTATCCTTTTCGTCACTTTGTTGGTCAAAGTAGCAAATACACATATTATCTTTACCAATGAGCGTAATACAACGTCCTTGAGGGTGCCATTCCAAAGACAGGACTTGAAAAGTAGCTATACAATAAATAATTTAGCTGTTTAGGTTGGTTGCTTAGTCTGCAATTGTTAAAAAGTTGTAAGAAATTATACATGATAAACTTCTGCTGATACCTTCACAAGGAATATCGACAGACATACATCCAGCTGGAGTCCATACATATATTTTATTATTGCCCGTACATAACGCTAATCTGGTTTCTATTGGGTCCCACGCAATCGCTGCAATTGTGCGACAGGGCCCGGTAAGAAATTATTTAATTTTGATATAGCACTTTCAATAAAGCATTTGAAGGAATAATAGTCTTTGAACTACCTTTCACAGCCGCAGCTTGTATTAGAACCACAGATAACGTAAGTTTCGCTACGCTGTAAAGCCAAACCACCTTGGGCATATTATCTTAAAGATGTTAATCACATAAGTATTCCCGTACGAAATATAACATTGTCTAATTTACATAAGTAAATTTATGACTCATTTATTATTACTACTAACCATTAATGGTCGCTAAGTATCTACTATCGGCACTGAAAACCATTACACCAACTCCTAGTTTAGGATCCGGTTTTTCAGGGTCTGGTATTACATTCGGAATATTGATTTTCTGGCTTTTATAAATTTCATCTACAAGAAAATTTTATTTTCCGCTTAATATTAGCTAGGGTTGAGTTACAGTACTTTTAAGCTTTAAATAATTCTCGGTTACGAAAATTTAAAATAATTTACATTTGCTTGGGATAGCAAACTTATTCGATACTGCTGGAGCAGATTGTAAGGGTTGGGATGCAAATGGTCGCTTTTCGGTTTCTTTATAAACTACCTAAATTACACAGTAAAAAATATCTACCTCAGATAATTTTATGGTCGGCGATACATATGCTGATAAAATAATAAAAGTAATTCTAAAGTTTTAAATAATTTTCCGTTAGTACCAAATATTTATAACTAACCACTTTCTCGGAATCAACCGATGTAGAATGTAAAAATCGAGCAACAGGTTTCCATGTTATATTGTTCAATAATCGAACCTATAGTACATGAACATCATAAGCTTTATTTCTATTTATACGTTGATGTTTGGGCTAATATTTATAACATCTTTTAGTCTGATTGAAGATTTCCATTGACGCTTGACATAAATTTACCATTTGATCATAACTACCAATAGAAAGGAATTGACCCGACGGCGACCAAGCTACTGATTTGATTCCTAAAGCGTTATCATAAGCTGAGTACGACATCAGTGGCCTTCCATCCAAAGAATAGAGGAGTACTTTGTACTATCACACCGAATGTTTCTTGGTTAGGTAAAATAGATTGTCGAACTGTGGTAATTGTTTATCTTACATCTAACACGGAATCCCAAACGCATAGAATATGCCCATTCGAGGACCAAGCCAGTCCAGCCATATCGTTGGTATCAATTTGAAAGTTCTAAAGACGTAATATTATGGATAAATTACGACAAAAGCTGCTAGTTACTACTGGTTATAAATTTATAACAATAAAGAGATATTTCGCATAGCAAAATTGAGATAAATTTGTGGAATGTCATCGATTTACTTTCAAAAGGTTCCAAGACTTGCAAGCTAATATGCTGATATGATCTTTACAATCACGGCGTTCAGCTAAAGCCATGTAGCAACCGTCCGAGGTAAAATTAATAGCTAGAATAATAATATACGTATAGTTAAAATAGTTATTCGCTTAACGCCAAAAAGCAATCACGTTTATAAATACATAACTGCCACATTTTTAGAGTGGCAAATGAGCGCAAATAGCTGTTTTCAATTCATTGAAAGTACGTTTCAAGAATTAAGATTAAATTTTTCTGTTTCCATTATAGAATGGATTAATAAACAACCTAAGGCATCTTACGGTAAATTGGTGTAATAATGTAACCAAAGCATGAATTACGATATAAGTCGCGAAACCATCACAGTATATTCATCAACATCAATACGAAATTTTAATGTAATATACTACTTCTAGAAGGTTATGATATAGAGAACTTAAACACGGGTGATGCTGTAGTTAAACCTTATATTCTTGTTATTTTAAAAAAAATACTTCAAAAAATTTTAAGATACAGCTTATGAATAGCAATGACATCGTTAAAAGAGATTACTTAATAGTAGCAACTATATCCTACAACCTTTCGGTATACTTTTTGGAAATTTCAGGTACGACACTGACTTATTGACTAATGACCAAACCGTTATACGAAGCTATGAAAAGAAAAAATTACTTCATCAGCAATATCTAACGTTGTAAACTGTAAATTTTGATCACAGGTAGTGACATTAATATATAGCCAATGGAGTATCGCTTTACATGTCAATAAGAGCATCCTTCAATTATCTAACCCTAAACCTACAGAGAATTCAGCAGTTGACAAGATGTGGCGAGAATCGGGACTAAATACAGCTGATTGCAAGCCAGCAGCACCTTCATCAATCTTGCAGGTCCATTCTGGTTGATTCAATGACCAGACCTTACATAGACAATCATTATGGCAAATAAGATTAATCCCACAATGAAATACAATTATTAATTGATACCTTCGCCGATACGCTCTACCACATACGTATTTCAATCGCTATTAAGAAATGTATAATATTATCTACACTTAATTATTAGGTATAGTACTGTACATATTGCATCCAAGCAATAGTTTGATAGTAAACATTATTCCACAGTTGATATTGCAAAATCAGAAGGCACTAGAAGGTAATTAATGTTACAGATATAGACTGAAGATCCACACGCGTTTTTATCTTAGTGATTGAGTAACTGTCTGGCGCAAATTACAGTACCTGTATAAGGGAACGCTTATACATTCCACATAATATCAGTTGAGAGTCAGGCGACCACTAAAATAAGTTGATATAAATTAGATTAATCAGCTGCTTATTAATTGTCCATGGAAATTGATTTATAATGAATTATAACAAGATCTTCACTGGATATTTTGTCCAATAATCACTTTATAGTGATAGCTATCTAAAAAATAGTTTCTTTTAATGTCTACGTAACTGCGCAAAGTTCCCGATTATAACATATTCGAAATCTTGGCAATAATAGAACATAACAATATAAAATTTGATAATAGCAATTACCTGTATATGTTCAATAACATCTAAGCAGGCAAATAAGTTACTAATCTGCAACTGTTGGCAGTCGCGGATTACTAATTTGTACTGCACACCATTAGCCTACAATTAGATGAATAAATGAGAATCGACATTAAGGGTTAGATCGGCTCTCGTAATACTTTTAAAATAAAGTAATATGGTACGTTACAGTTACTATCCTGGATTATTGTGCGTTGCTACAGTATTTGCAATAAAAGTCGTAATACTATATTTAAATATGTACCTATTTCATAACAGTACGTATATGGTAGGCTGATTGAATTATTTCAGGCATAATTTTAAGTAATGAGATCTTAATTAAATAAAGAGTCTAATTGAATATAGTAATATGCCCGTAATGCAGTATTACGAAGGTTTTGCAATATTTAATGAATACTGTATGTACATTGATGCAAAACTGATCAAACTGTTTACGTTCATAGGGGACTATCCTTTTCGGTAGATACATCGTTTCGTGTCACTACAACTACAGAAGCTATCCACAATTGCTAAGTCCTAAATTATAGTATCATTCTACCATTACACAATATATTGTGCGGTATACTATAGTATAACTGTTACGATGACTTCTGACTAAAAGAAGATCTTGCCCATTCCATTCGAATATCTACCCTCGTGATGCACTACTGCTCGTCTCTAAATCAATTACATACACGTATTATTATTGATTCAACCACTGAAAGAGGAACATTAAGCTATCAAGCATAAAAGTGTATATCATTAACAAGTGTAAGTCCGACTGGGCTTATTCTGTCTAAACACTACACGGATAACGAGGTAAGCCTTTAAAATACGTGAAACACGCACGTATTAAGAATGTACTACTTAAACTTAGCGAAAGCAACATCAATTAATCAATCCTTAATGATGCAGTTGAAGTAGCCTATTCGCGATCAAATCTGTTTTAATGAGTAAATTGATAGTGATATGTAATATAGAAGCAGCATGCATTCAGGATGAGGAATTTACCATTCGACAACAGGATCTGTAAGTACAGTGCAGTAAACAACAAATTACATTGGGCATTGTTGATGTTTTCCGCTCTATTTCTTCTTCAATTTTGGACCTCAATTCTGTTCGATATATCATCGAAACAAGTTTAAAATCAATTTCTATTCGGTATTTAAGGTATAGCAACTTACCACAAATTGTCCATTGGGAGAAAATTTGCAGAGTCCTCTATTCTGTTTAAATAATTCGGAGAAATTCATGCCGACTAATACTGTCTGCTTGGATTTTTCACCTCCTGCAGCCTATCAATTCAAGGTGGCGGTGACTGAGATCAATATTTCAATATACACTGGTACAGTAGATAGTCCAGTATTATACACTACCCTCGCTTATTGTACCAGGCTTGGCAGAGCTTATACATTGCAATATGGCGGCAATTTTAATTTTAAATTCCGCTATTACAGTGTACAGTACATAGTATTGTAATCCATGTACTGTACTGTATTGTACTGTATACAGTACGGTACACTGTAGAGGTAAGAAGGCTACTGTACTGTACTATATTAAGTCCGTCCTTTCCAGGCTTCCGGGCATAATTATTTATTATATTTATTTATTATTTAAATGACATAACTCTGTTTGAGATATCGACGTAAGACGCAAATGGTCAAGATTGTGTAATTTGAACATATAGCTTATCACTACTGCTAAGATGAAATTAAATTAATAATATTATAGACCACTAAAACCATAACCAATATTATACGCGTAAAAATAAATAAAGATTCTGATGGTCTACCATATACTGTACAGTACAGTGTAATTAATATATTAACAAGACGATTATTATTATTTATAGAATATAATACTGTGGTCTATGTTCATATATATATATATATATATTGATATTTGTAGAAAGTACGTATTACATTATAATATCTGATAGAATAATGTACGACGCATAAATATATATATAATATAGTGGGCGATGAAAGCCATACTGAATCAATGATAGTTCTATTAGTAAGAGTGCACAGTACCGTTATCGTTATTTATATATTTATTTTGGAGATAAATTATCGCAAGATCTCTGGTACTGGCCACTAGTAGCGTGCACATACATTTAGATGTGATAATACGTTCACGTACTATCAATTCATGACACTCAACTTTCCGAAATTGTTTAAAACGCTGTTGTGCAATGATGAATATACTGCTACAGTAGTACTTATCGTGGGTATACTGGCCCGTTACACAACACTAGAATACTATAAGCGTATAATAGATTTAATCTAAGAAATATTAAATTTGCAATTAAGTTGTACAGTATAACTACTGTCACGGAAAACCACAAAATGATTCGTACAGATAAAAAATTTTATTCTAGTATCATGCCAATATCAATTCGATAGTTAATAATAAGTTCTACACGTTAGATGCCATGAATTGCTATGACGGTATTGATCATGATCTTACTTACAAATGCCCTACGTATTCTGACGCTAGCAATTAATTATTTATAATACAGCATATCAACGTCGCGTATAAAGTATTACGGGTTTACAGTAAGTTAAGTTTGACTTGTCAACAAATACCAGAGTATATAAAAATAAGATGCCACTATCGACTAAGCACTTTAGACAGTAAATTTTCAAAATCATCAACTTGACCTTCAATTAATTACAATCTGGGATTCAAGATTTTTTAGAATGCATATGCTAAGATAACGATAGCTCAACGTATTTACATCACTGATACACAAGCTACAAATCAATTTTGTAAGGCATTTTAAAAACGGTCTTCAAATACGTATAAAAAATTATTCTTACACAATATGGAACAAAGTATCACCTTACATTAATTTCATTCTTATATGTCACCACCACTATTCAATATATTTGCAAAATCCTCATTTATCAATCAGTACTATAAATTTGGCCGTGAATTTCTAGCCGCACTAAGTATCTGCAGCATCATTTTTCGTATGAAATATTATCATTCGTGCTTCGTTTGATGGTCTCGATTTCTATTGTGTTTGTTTGCCATGGATCGAGTATTCTTCATAACCTATAATAACACGTAGGTAACAAAAAATATTGATAAAAATCATTAGAAATAATATATGTAAACATTTCATAAAAAGATAATATACATCTTAACGTTTTACACGTTCTTACTTGCAGCGGAACAAACGACTGATGTGGTCTGGGATTATTCTGTGGAACGGTTTCGACAGGCATTCTGAGGTGATGATAATAACTGGGATCAACTCTAGGGAAACCATATCCATACATTGGATACATAGGTATGTTAACGTTTGGCGGCATAGGCATATAATGCATAGGCGGACGAAAAATATTGTTTATCGGTGTTCTAGGATGGGGTTGTCTGACCGTGGGAGGTGCCGTTGTCATTTGGGGTACTGGGAAGTTAGCCCTGTTACTAGCCTGAGAAACTTTTACTGAAGAAATATTGCGCACTCCGATTGACTTCAATTGCTCCGTTAAAGTAGAAACAGCACTAGGCTGCACCAGGTTAGGCTTATTAGGTTCATCAGTTGCATTATCAGATGATTCAGAAGGCTTAAAGGCACCAGTTTCATTGATTTCAGCATCAATTTCAGTCGTTAATTTCGTGTCAGATTGTTCGTGCTGTCTGCGCAATCGCAATTGATTTTCCTAAAATAGGTGCATAAAAAACAAGTTTATAAAAAGAGGACGCCATGTTTAGTTTGATTTATTATAACTGTCGTCGTATTACTAAATATTGTAGAGCTTGAAGCGAAGCGGTGCTATAAGCTTCTTTTAATTCAAGGCTAGGAGATGGGCTGCTAAATTGGATTCCGTCGTCCAGCTCTATAACTCCAATCATACCCTAAGGAAAACAATTTTGTTTAATTTTTTTAATATATAATATAGTATATCGTTAAATCAACAATATTTTCAGATGATAGACCACACATACATCCTTCGTTTTGTAGCACCTAAATATAGGAGGGGAACGACCATTTTGTAGGCAGAAATTTCGAACTGCGTCGATCGGATTTCCATGTTGCCTTAGGTAGAAAAAAATTTATATTTTCGTGTAATAAATGCAGACTTTAATGGGTACTTAGCTATTACAATATAAGATGAGTTTCGCACTTACAGTGATTTCACAATTTCTGAAATTTTTTTCGTATTAGTATTGCCTGAGTTGAAGCGCAAGCGCAAAAACGTTATCTATAATGTTATTTTGGTTAAGAAAAAAGGTTAAATACTATGATTAAGACCTTTTTCCTGATGTTTGGTTGCCCGTTTTAAAGGCAAGGGCTGCTCCTTGGTAACTGTAGCCGGAGTATCATTATGATCATCTGTCCCAATTTTTAGTAAACCTTTTATCAGCTGGGTACCACGTGCCTATAAATGTTATGTAATTTTCAGTGTTTGATAATGGCAATCAGTAATCAAATCTGTACTTACAGTTGTGTTTGCTTTATCTTTGTTTTGCATTGATTTTGCATTCATATGAGAATGTTTGCTATCTTTCATTTCGCCGATAGTTTCTGACCGTGATGCAGTCGTGCTGGGCATAGATAATTCACTGTTGGATAATTTTTCTGCATTGGAACCTTTCAACAAACATATTAGAAGCATTATGATACTACTTATACTACCATTTAATCGTAAGCTGAACTCCAGTAAATCTGCCTAAAGGTTATGACGACGCAAATTTTAGAAACTGTTAGTAATGTTCCTGCTGTTTCTACCTTTGCTTCGATGATTTTCTGCCTTCATGTTTTGCCACGCCTGACGTCGCGATTGTACGCCATCACCTAATCAAAGTAATCGCGTATCTATAGTTGTGCTACTCATCTACGGCCAATAAATTTTCGAGTAAACTGTGACTTACTGTAGATAAATTAAGAGAAATTATAACTACCTATATCTTTACTTTCATCCGGCTTCTTAGCGGCATTCATAGATTTGTTTTCGACAGGATCATTGCGTCCGACACGTTTCGTAGTTGTTTTATGAGACGTTCGGTTTTCTTTCAAATTTGGTGACTTTTTAAATTGAGAATTAGGTCCATTGTACTTTCCCTTGCGCATACCGTATGTTAAATTTAGTAAATTGTATGTGGCCATTCTGTACCCCCTTCTATCCGAACATCTAAATCAATGGATTTCATGAGTTAATTGCTGCGTGCCAAAGCGATTTTAAAATTTATTATACTAATACGGCAACGACATTCTCCAAATTATGTAGATCAAGATGAATAATGTAAATAGACAAAATACCTTAACGACATCCCGCCAGGAAATGATATGTCAAATAAAACATCACATACAATTGAGCTACTCTCTATATTTTCCTCGTTATAAACTCCTATCACTGTGCCTTTGCATCCACAAGGAACGGCAATTCCTTGCTTAATATTAACAACTCGATCGTACAGTTGAAAGTCGGCATCAGAATTTGGGGAAACTTTTCCTATTCCAGCGTATGGCTATTGAAAACAATTTACAACAGTGTATTAGATTTAATATCAATCATAATAGTGTAAGAAAGACTAAAAATACCTTAAAGATTATATTTGGTTTCACATAAACTTGTATAATTTGTGCTTTATGGTTCTCTTGCTATTTAAAAGGTTATAAATTCTATATTAATGTTTAGTTGAAAAATCATCCCTTTGCATGTTATAGCATATACGATAGTAATTGCGATAACAGGATAGACGCCACTCTTACCGTAAATTTTTCTACACAATTTTCTATTTCTGTCACCACTTCTGCTTCTAAAACATAACTTCCACAGTTTACCTGTCTACTTAACAGATTTGGTAATGATTGTAACCATTGTCGTAATTCTTCCAACATTTCTTGACTGAAAAAAAAATGAACAAATTACGTTACATTACTGAGATATAGACTAATTTACCGCCTAGAAATCACTTACCTAATATTATTCCGCTTAAGATGTTCCTGATATAACTTCTTATTGGGTTCATGATGAGCTATAACGGAAACTATCTTTGGGAATCTGTGAAGCATGACAGAACCGAATTAAATTACAGTTCAATACACAGTACACTCGTCTGAGGTAATTACATACAGAGAGAAAACTAATAACCTATTTATATAAGTACGAAGCAGATCTATTGCTTTATCTGAATACACCCAAAATTGATTGTTCACTTTGTGAGTATAGCCAACGACCTAATTGGCATCAAGGAAATACATGATCAATTCGAGTCGTTATTACATTATAATCAATATAAGTAAGCTTTAAAGAACAAACCTCCTTATTTTTTTTCGATTGCTTTAAATTTAAGCCAATATTCATCTTTGTTTCGCTATCGTAAAACACGATATTAGCAGTAATTAAAATGCACATATAATATAATATAATAAAACTGGCTTATCTAAAGCCTTACAATGAATTAGAAGATTTTCCCCTCGAGAATATAAGATAGGTTCCCGTTAAAAAAGCTATTACAACCGGAGGTACATTTAGCGTATATGCAGCATCGTGAGATGTCCAATACGGCGGTGATAAATCCTAAATTTAATGCCAATAAATACGATCAGTACAAATCATTGTGACATGTTGATTAAGAAGATAAGATTACATCTTGGCGAGCTCGAATTGACGAAAAATCTGGCTCTTTCACGACCATAACGCGTAATCTTATGCGATTTGTCACTTCATCTACGTAAATAACCTGATCAAATTTAAATAATTAATATATATTACATTCTTTAATAGGCAACCCAACATATAAAGATACCTACCTTTCCAGAAGCACCATAATTAATTCTAAAGTTAGGTTTTTGTTCGACAGATTTTAATAGAAAGCATGTACAGTTGATAGAAAAGAATTCCGATAAAGTTCGTGCTTTATTAGAGTATTCCTGATCGTACACATGAATATCCTAAAATTTACAAAGATTAGCATGATCAATTTGTAGTTGCAACTATTATATCATTTAAATTTCGTTACGTGCCTTAACAATTATCTGATAAGCAAAAAGTTGCGGCTTATCCGACCACTGATTCTCTAGAGAAATATTTTTACCTCCATTTATCAGAGTACAGCTATAACATATGGAAAAATAATCAGAACGGTAGTTCGATATATTCGAAAATTTTGGAACTTTTGAGATGGTATTAAATAAAACGTTTTAATCTGACTCACGTTTGGCCAACCAGTAACAAAGCTTTAACCAGAATTTCAGTTGTTCCAATGTCGATACCCTGTCTTTCCATATAACTAAAGAGAGTAAGCAGAAAATGTTTACGATGATATAAAGTTTAAAATTAGATAAAATTGATAACAAAGATCGTACGAAGATTTAATGTTATCAATGTCTCTATTGCGTTGTTCTCTTTCCGATGTCTTCAACGGTGAAATGTCGAGATTATTGTTATATTTAGTCCAATCTTTTCCTCTAGAGTACCTGCAGTAGTAATTTCAACAATAGTCAAGCTATCAGTAAATCAGTTGTATACAGTATGCTTAAGTAAGCGCATATACTTAGTATCTTCGCCAATGACTTCGGTGACAAAAGCTTGGACCAGATGTGGCCATCCTACGAAACATATCTTACCAATAAGATCCTTAGCGATATTATTCACATCCATCTACAATATGGACATTAGTAGTTTAAACTTTAAAAAATACGGAAAGCCTATCGTATTACTGATCAAGGGTCAAAAATATACCTTACGTACTTTATTACATTTGTTCTGAACTTTCAAAATTAAATTCTCATTTTTGCTCGGCCCTTGAAATACTTTAACATTTGCTTTTACCAATTCAGTTGTAAAATCTAAATGTTGTAAAGTTGGAAATCCTGGATAGTAAACGCCAAGCTTAACCTTTGGATGTAATCCATGCATGATGGCTTCTGGTTTCAATCGAAATTTTATTTCATCAATTTCTTCCAAGCTTAAAAATTTCAACAGAACACTATTATCGTCATGCCTTTCCAAAATAATACTAATAACGTCAAAATTGACATGCAATCCCAGTAGTACCTCGAACGACAATGAAAAATATCAGGAAACGCAGGATGAGGTGATTTGTATCCGTAATCAAGGCCATATTTATAACGAAAAAGAAGATGAGGACCATGCTTATTACGCTTCCGCTCTTTATCAGTTAGATGATGTTCAACCGTTTTCATGGCTTGTAATAGAAGCGACTTATCGATAAGATGAAAAGAATATTAGATATTTACCCACAAATATAATAGATTACTTTCCGATACTATAAATCAGTAAAGATTACTTCATCAATAAACGGAATTTTAACCACTGCTTCCCAGGAGTTTTGTTTTTCGTTGAGATCGGTATTAAAATTTACCGGATAAAAGTTTATTATAGGAGAATTCGGACTTGTCATCAATGACTGGTAATGAAGTTTACGTAAAAATAACTTCAATACAATTGTAATAACCTTGAATTGATTAATGGGATCAGAATGCATAAAAATACCTGATATGGTATGGGTAATAATTTTTTACTAGCTTCAGGCAATACTGCCATCAGCTGCTGAAATGGTAGGAAGGGTTCCGACATTTCCAATTCTATGTCCATACTCTTGAAGTTAGTGATATCAGAGATGTATGGAGCGTAATGATGAGGATAAAACCTACATTATTAGGGGTAAATTAAACGAATAAATATAAAATACAACTTGTGGACTAGTTTAAATTCCATTCGAATTACCAGCTCCATGACTGGACACCGCAGTAGTAGTATTGCAAAATCCAGTGAATAGTTTTAATGTAATCATTTGCAATTCTTTGAATCTTTTCCTCCGTTACAGGATTCATTTCTAGTTTCTCTTCATAATAATTATTTCGGAAAATTTTAAATTCCTCCTCTAAAGTATCAGTGTCAACGTCATCTGCTGTAATCATTTCACTTTCTTGTATTAATTCTTTTAGGTCATTTTCTATTTCTACTTCCTTGTCTAAATTCTCTGGAGCTTTATCAGATATATTGCCAGTCTCTTCCGAATCAGAAAATGGCTGGATACCACCACCTCGCTTAGATAGCATATAAAAAGAATTTATTCAAAAAGTTACTGTGAAATATCTTTACTAATTAAAGAAAAAGTAAAATATATACCTTCATTTCAAGCCATTTTATATTGTCGTACGTTTCTTGGAATTGTTCAAGATCAAACTGCAATAACGGAAATATTTTAAGCGTAATCGGCTAAATGACACAATACGGATAAAATCAGTTGATATGAATAGTAACCTCTGACAGTTTCTTTAAGAGCTTTTCAAATCTAGTGATGTTTAATTTTCCATGCTCATGCAAATAGCCTAACATAGTGTTAAAAATAACATAAGTTAGAATTTGTGAGTTGTGTATATTTGTAAGATGACAGCGATAAAAACTAGGTCTACATGGTAATAAATCAATATAACCATTCATTGAGCATCTGAAACAAATTAACTAACCTTCAAATGTTGGCAATAATTCCTTATATACCAGTTCAAGCTTTACTAAGGCATTCTAAGTATTCATTAGTTTACGAAATTATTATGAAATAGTAATATAGCAGGTTATTGACACAATAAAGCCAAAACAGTAATTATAATCATTTAAATTATTAAACGATACCAATATGTAGATGTAACATAGACTAACCTGATGTATATGTAGATGAGGAAGATGAGGAATAAAATCATTTCCAACAAGATAACCTAATAAGATCCAGTCATCGATAATTCTTTCCAAATCGTAAGGAAATTTAATTTTATTCTTAAATTATATCAATAAAAGGTTTGTATTGCCTGATTAGTACCAGATTAAAGAAAGTATATTTATTGTTTTAGTGACAGAACAAATGCATTTTTAAAATTAAGGTCGATGGTGATAAGGAATACTAATAAAAATAAATTTTGTTACCTGTACATCGCAAAATTCACAATCTAAGTAATCTCTTAGTAAGGACAAATGGAGTAAGTAAAACTGAATATCTTCTGCGTTGGATGATTTTTTGTTTTTATTCCTTTTACCGAATATTACCTCTTCTCTTAAGAGAGAGAAATGCGGTTCATGAGAAGCTAGACCTAAAATAATCTGCAAAATGATGTAAATTTTTTCTTAAAATCTAAGCAAAACAGGACACGGTGTAAAGACAACATGAAATGGAATGCATGCAATGATGATAGAGATTATTTCTTTATCTTACTAGATCAGCATCCAAGCCATATAGGCAATGTCTAGTATTATGATCATAATCAGGCGTAGATCTAAGATGGCGTATAAATTCCATAATTTTATGTTCTCCTTCACCTGGGGTCTGTAAATTTAAAAAACGATTAAAGGATTGTTTAACTATTTGTATCGAATTCTGTGGTGATATTCACTCTAATCTAAAAGATTACTAAAAATTGCAAATTCTACGTAATGCTAAATGATTTTAACCAAATATCACCGTATAACTAACGTATTAATGTTGCAAACACATCAAGAGTACGAACGGAGTGTCCTCTTAACTTACTTCATGGCCCGATAAATAAATATCTACATTTTGCCAAGCCTCATCTGTAGATATTTTTCTACTGATGAAGTATTTTAACTGTCGGTGTAGCTTATCCATAAACTCAGTGCCTGTTAGCATATTTTAGCAGATTGATAACTTTGGTGAATAATCAATTTTTTTGAGTATAAAATAAGCAATTAAAATTTTCGCAATACAAGATTTTTAACTAAGATACAGTTTAATCTTTAGTTTATACACAAGAAATTGATAATTACCAGGCGTGATACAGTTGGAATCAAAAGCTTCTTCAGTAGGTAATTCTTCACCTTTACTCTTAGCTTTTTCTATAACTTGCTTGGCTTCCATAGCTGATCTATAAATGACATGCAAAAGGGAATGAGACTAGTCCATGCAAGCTTAATATACAACGGATATTCGAATACTAATTGATCTTAAAGAAATATACTTCAATCATAGTCAATGATTTACTTTTGGTAGTATTACAAGATTGGGCGAATCAAGTAAAGAATACTGTGTACCCAGATTGCAGTAGTAGCATCTAGATATACCCAGTTATGCACTTTATATTTGTAAATAGTATCATTGCAAAGAATTATTAACCTGAATCTTCGACTACGTTGCTGATTCATCTTAGCTCTAGGAGCAATCCCATCAATAGCCATAAATAGTACTTTTCGAGGTTTAATAATTCTGAATAGTACCTGCACAAAAGGTAAATTTATTTACATTGCTCACATGTATGGCATCATGTACAGTATTAAGTGATGTTCTGTATCAGCATCATATTTAAGTTTCTTTTCAATGATATAAATATCATTAGTTAATTTCGCATGCTGTAAACTATTTCCAAGGGTATACGTTACTACATAGATCAAATGGAAAGATTTGGATGTATTCCTTTACCTCAATATAGCTAAATATATCCAGAAAAATTTTCTCTTCGGATATACGAAAGTGTGCATTAGCATCGTCAGGATGAGAGCAGTTATGGATAATCCCATTCATGTCCAGATAGAGGTTATCAAATTCTGGGATCTAGTCAAAGTTTAGAATAGAAGCAAGGTGTCAATAAGTTTTTTCTAAATTCTTAAAATGTATATTTTTATAGCGGTTGATCGATATATGGCATAATAATAATTGCTGTAAAAACATAGCTTGTAAATTATTCCACTTAATTGGTAACACTAAATAATTTAGCATTAGCTTTTTTTCCTGTACGAGTTGTAGTTGTGTTCGCAATGATAACAGCAAGGAAGAGCGTTGTCTGTATTAATAATTTCTTATTATACTGTACTGTACTAAAAATAATTTCATGCCTTGACTATCTGCTAAGTTATTATAATTATTATGGCATCGTTCTCGATAGTAATCTAACGCAATACGATAGTATTGTAGAATCAATGTGTAGCCTGTAATCAGTGTTATTGCATTTAACTGGCAATAGACTAGCTTTAATTAACAGATATCAAGTCATAATTTATTATAGCGCTATTTTACAGTTTATTTGCGAACAGAGTTGGTAAAATAGAATGTATTCAAGTTACGCAAACTCAGTAATATCATTATGGTAGCCAGTGATGACATTAGTATTTTGTAGAGTGTAATCTCACAGAATTTTATCGAAGGAAATAGAGTATACGAATATTATCGTAAGCTGGATGATCGTACAAGTTATCCGTTATTTATTTATTTATATTGCTGTTCTAATTTTTAAACAGCATGAATTCTATCGATATAGCTTAGAATCAAAGTATTGATTGATAACTTTAAAATTATTAAAATGGATTGTAATTTAGGCGTATTATAAATGTTTTAATTAGCAACATCAAGTTGTCATCCATTTGGAATAGTGCAACCCTAAAATGATTACAAGTAATACTGTACTGTACACCAGTGTATTACACTATACGATGTACTGTATTCAGATACATGCATATTCATCCTGGTCCATTAGCAATTTTAATCTGTCATATTATCATTTCTCATGGATGAGGTGCTTACAGATACTAGATTCTAATACTGCTATGCTAGTGCAATCAAATCAGGCGGGTAGCAAGTAATTTATTATGTATTTATTTACTGTATTTATGGGCAATTTAGCAAGTGGAGTAATACTTTTCAGGCACGATGCATTGCATGGTATGCTACAATGTCGATATTGGCTATGGTTGGGATAAATCGACAAGCTAGTGAAATGATATCCTACATAGATCAAGATATAGCGTCAGTGCTAATGATATAACTTAATTAAATGAAGTAATCGTGAGGTTCGATATTTATTTCAGATAGTTAGACTACAGTGGATAAATTACTCTCATCAGTAATGTCGAAACTAGTAAGGGTAGGACTTAAGAATAGTGTGAATCCATTCCTGATGCAATAATGCCCTACTAGAGGAGAGTTTAGTATGAACTCCTACGTGCAACGAGATTCAACCACCAGGTTCCAGTTGTTGTGTAGTACAGTAAGTTATACTCATGTACCATTCAAAAAGTATTGTTTATCGTCAAATTATCTTTCATGGCGAAATGATTCAATTATAAACTAAAGTATGGATAATTGTATTGTTCATTAATCGATCAAGTTGATATACACGTCTATACTGTAGGTTAATCCATCATTTTTTATCCAGTTGGAACTTGCAGTGTTGCAAGCTCTTGCCTTCAATGTGGTGTAATATATGAGTGCAAAGTTTTCAAATGCTATCGTTACTTACTTGGTGTTCTTTGATAATCTGACTGAGACATGGGTACCGTTCGCTGATCCAACGAAAAAATTTAGGAACTCCCATGTTGTAACTTTCAAGTGAGTTTCTATTAGACTATTGAAATAAATAAGAAAAGGTCATGAACAACATAAGCTAACTTTGCAAAAAGATTTTGCCCATAAAAATTCCATCTGTCTTTTAGATAAAGTACAGTACAGTATTGAGCATTGCATTACCAACGCAGTCGAGTTGATTTTTTGATAGAAAATACTATAGAGATGACAGATGAACTGGCAACTGAAGTTCCCCAAGCCAATCTTGGATACGTACTCTGCGCGCTGTACAACAGCATGTACAGTGTACAGTACGTACGATTACAGTCAAGAATTTCAGTACTGCATTGTGTTGTACAGTATAGTACTGTTGTGTAATACTGTACTGAACAGTGTACAGTATAATTTCGAAAGTACAGTACAGTACTGTACTGTACTGCAGAGATTTTGATTCTTGTGTAATACTGTACTGAACACTGTTGTGTAATACTGTACTGAACAGTGTACAGTATAATTTCGAAAGTACAGTACAGTACTGTACTGTACTGCAGAGATTTTGATTCTTTCCAGACCCCGTAATGGCTGCACTCGATTTAAACGTTATCCAAGTTTTATAATTTTAGCTTTGAAGCGATTATGTACAATTTTATTTCAATGACTATAAGCACGTTAAAAGGTAGTAAAATAATTGGAAAAGGTTGAAAAAGGTCTTTTAAAGACAAGGCTCATGATACTGTACTGTATTACGAGAGGACCCGTGAATGAAGGATTGACTGACTCAGTGTGGAACATTGGGTCAGTTTCATATAATTTTTTTTGTCAACACACATAGCCACAGACGTGCAAAATTGCGACAGTCCAATTTGAATATACAGTATAGTATAGATACGCGTTTCATCATGACTGGAGTACACTGTAGGTTATGCAATGAACATGAGTGGTGTTCAGAGTAACTAACCATCAGTTACCATCACTGCCAACGATTCATTAATTTACAATCGCAATAATACGATCAAAAAATTGAGACGATACCCACTGGACTTTATTATTACAGAGCAGAATCTGTACTGTGCTGCATTCTACTGTACAGCACTGTGTAGAATTTGCACGCTACAAGTGTGAACCAGTTTGAATTGTGTGAAATTCTTTTCCACAACGGTCCAGCAGTACACATTTGTTGACAATAATCACAAGATGAAATTAATATCACTGTATGTCTGTATTACTACACGATCTGCGAATGAATGATTGATTCACTGACTCAGTGCGCAACATTCGTCAGTTTCCTGCCATTTCTTTTTGCCAACACACATACCCACCGACGAGACGAGATTGGGACAATTGAATTTGAATGTACAGTACTATAGAAAGGAGTATCGACATGACTGGACAGTATGCAATACGCATGTGTGATGTTGAAATACTCTGTCCCTTTTGGCCCACCGTAGTATAATACTGTACTGTACACAGTAGTGACTTACTTCCGCATAAGACACTGATTGCGTCACAATACAATACAGTACAATACAATACAGTACAATACAGTACTGTACAGTACTGTACTGTACAGTACTGTACTGTACAGTATAGCATGCGCTCATCACTGAGAAGCTTACCGTAGGGTACAGTGTATTTCATTGACAGTACAGTACAGTACTGTACTGTACACTGTACGCCAGTGGATGGTCACATTTTGACGGCACAGTCCGTCCTATAAAACTTGTGTCTGTCCGCGGGACGCAAGCATATCGTCATGACTGGACAGTATGTAATACGCATGTGTGATGTTGAAATACTCTGTCCCTTTTGGCCCACCGTAGCACAGTACAGTACTGTACAGTGTACAGTACTGTACTGTACATAGTAGTGACTTACCGTACTGTACTTCAGCATAAGACACTGATTGCGTCACAATACAGTACAGTACAGTACAGTACAGTACAGTACAGTACAGTACTGTACAGTACAGTACATCATCGTACTGTACTGTACTGTACTGTACAGTATAGCATGCGCTCATCACTGAGAAGCTTACCGTAGAGTACAGTGTATTTCATTGACAGTACTGTACTGTACACTGTACGCCAGTGGATGGTCACATTTGGACGGCACTATCCGTCCTATAAAACTCGTGTCTGTCCGTGGGGCACAAGCATACTTGACGGAAGATCAGACATCATGGCTGACTACGAATCTATCTTAGCTGTCAAGCCGGAGGTATTTGTTTTCCAGCTTCCCCCTAGACAATCCAATAGGGGATACAGGTAAATCTGATTCTGACTACTACTATAGAAAACTCATCTCTTTCTCCAAGAATCACTGGATAGAACGATATGCAATGTCACATTGTTATTGGCCAATAACTTTCTGCTAGTACCTTGTTGACAAATGGAGACAACGCAGCAATAACATGAATAGACTGATTATTGCATGCACCAGCAGTCCATGGCTATTTGGACAAATCGGCTGCCAAGTTCAGTTTTATCCACTTATAAGTCTAGTACTCTATAGTGCTGAAAGAAGAGAAATCGATTGAACTTTTTCAGTGTATACTTGCTTCTTTTCGATCATTGCAATGTATGATGTTCATGCTATAGACAGTACAGTCAAGACTTGATGTCGACAGCATAGACAGCACTTGCTTCTTTTTGATCTATTAGTCATGGGTATCATGTTTAGGCTATATACAGTCAAAGATGTTATATCTATAGTATTAACCCTTTCAATGTACAGTTACTTCTTGCTAGAGATTGATCATTTATTAGCACAAAGTTGAAGCTCCAGTGCTTCGATTACAGTCGAGGACAGCCTTTCCTACATATTCAATTTGTATCGTTATTAGACTAGCAATGGCGCATAATACAATCAATCGTCTGAATTCTGAATGATTTTATTTACCAGTCAAATAATCCAAAACCGTATAAAATCGCATTATGTAGCTGTATCGTATGAGAGTTCAATGAATCCATTATTTGCAAAGTGCAGCTATTGCTAAAGAGCCTGAGATTACTGCCATATTTATTATGTCGTTCTACGCTCAAAGTTAGGTAGCCTCATACCGTAGTGTACAGTACAAAACACAATGAATTTTTGCCTCCAAAGATCCGCAATCAATTCTTGATTTGAATTGAAAGCTTTCAGTTAAATTACTCACTCTTATGTTAAGCTGTATTCATGTAGCTAACAAAATCTGCTGTGTAAAAGATTTTTTGCAGCTTAAGCTTTACCGGTATATTCTCTTAATGTATAGGATATCATCATTCATTTGTATAGTCATCGATAAAACTGGTATCTTTCGATATTACTTGTAAAGCAATATGATTGCTACATTTTCGAAAGACAATATAGCAAGTATGGCCTTCTACTCCAGCGCTTTATAATTAATCGGTATATATAAAGAAGTGAAATGAAGTAAAGATTTCAAATCGAAATTAGGATCCGGGAAAGCTAATATTACAGTATTCGTAATTGAAGTAAATTGAAAAGGAATTTATTTCGGCTACGCCTAGATATCATGCTATTGCTAATGCCATGCAACTCATTCTTATCGAACATAGAGCAAAACTAGATTTAACCAGATTTTACGTTCCTATTGAAATTTGAGCAAGTGTGTGATATATAGATAAAATTTGGATAAATCAGCAGAACACTTCTTCACTGTGAGAACAAGTTAAATATATATTAATATACGTATAATTATAAGTATCAATACGATACTATGGTAAAATAAATATTTTAACAGCACAGTACAGTAGTGTCCACTTATCGTCTAGCGCAAACGTGAACTTCTGCAATACTTTGATCTTCTTACAAGAGTCCCTTTTGCTACTACTGTACTATACTCGTATATCTCAAAAATTTCCCTTACTGTGGTTCTATAATCTGACAAGTTATAATCTTTTAATCATGCAAAATCTCGATGAAGTTGAAGAGGGGTTTCATTTCACATGCTTATCGTATAAATAAACGCTACAACAGTTATCACTTAACGCATCGGATAAAGTGATAATTATTAATACAAGTTTATCGACGCTTTCTTTAAAACGTACTTTATTGTGGAATAATTAGCTAATCAACAGAAACTGTGTTTTCATAAGTATAATCCGTACAAGGACTTAAATTAGACCCATTTTCTTCTACAAAATAGTAGTGCTTTAAAATTTACTGCATTCCATATGATGTGTTCAAGTTAGACTAACAGTTACGGAACTAATTCTATCATTAATACGTAGAGCCATAAAATTTAACCAATCGTAATCTCGCTGCGTTTAGTTTATGCTTTTTACAAATAAAAAGTTGAAAACTGTATTATCATAATTGTAACTATAATCCATTATTTGCTATACAGAGAAACTTTAAAAACCAATTATTTTAGATCTAATCGCCTTATATATATTTATTATCATAAACGTAATTAGAGCCGCAGACTGGAGCTTGACAAAGCCTGATTGGACTGGAAGAATGAGAATTATAGCGAAAGGGAAACAGTGTATCGTAAAGTTGGAAGATAAGTCAGGTGTGTTGATATATAAATTAGATACATTGCCCGCAACATATGCAAATTTTCCTAGATTTCTGATATGAAAAGGCATGTATTGTGAACCTCTGAATCTAGCACTAACTGACTAGTCGTTCGGCAGTATTCTATTGTCCTCGACCTATAATTTATAAATCATATAGCGCCTGACATAGAAGTGATCATAGTATGATTGTTAATCACAATGTACTATACAACAAAATATTCAATTTTTATAATCTAAGGCTTTATTACAATCAATTTATGGAGCTGCACGATCATAATTCTTCTTTATTTGAAGGACGTTACGTAGTCTAAAAAGTGTCTTGCAAGATTGTGATGAGCGATAGAAAGTTCTGCATCAATTTTACTACTCTCTGATTAATAAGCAGTGTGTCACCTTCAGCGAAATTTAAGTAATTGTCTGGCTTATTCATATATTTTCTGTTTTAAAGGAGAACTTTTTGCTGCGTGTCCAATAGACAAGTATCCTGGAGGATTATCAGTAGAATCAGTAACTGATAGTAGTCGATACTTTGTACTGAAAATAGTAAATGAAAATGGTGAGAATAAATAAGAACATATGCTTAATATTTACGTACTTAGTAGCTATTGATATGTTAATTATTTCAAAATCGGCTATTAGAATATAATGTCATGGACGCAACCGCATTGTACGACATCGTTTGATATCATGTTTCAGTCTGTAACCTTATATTATATTATACAATGCTGTATACTGTACATGATAGAAAAAATTTTCTGTACAGCTTTTTAATTAAAGGACGTATCGAAAGTGAACGCAAATAATTGTTCAATTTTCATTTCTACAATGAGTACGTACGGTGCAACTATAAAAGTAGTTATTACTTTGACTTTATTAATTAAAATCTGATTATATAATGCAACAGAAGAATTTACAATAATTTTTTAATTCGTACGACTCATTAAGCACTTAGCCCACTCGTATTTACTGTATAAATAGAATTACTCTTTACTATGGATGAAAGCAATTGATAGATACATCTATATTCATATATAAGTATTCAATTTGAATCCGTATAGGCCAACATGCGTTTATTGGTATCGGCTTTGCGGATCGCAGCGATTCTTTCGATTTTAATGTGACATTACAGGAGCATTTTAGGTAAGCAGAATTTTTTATATTCCTCCTAGCTTAACTAACTTCATGTAAATTAATCTTAGCGCGAATGATGATAGTTTTGTCTATGAATAAATCATAGTGTGAAGATAATTCTGTTACCATCATATATTTTCTTCCATTCAATAAATGCTACCAAACTTTTATTTTTAGATGGCTTAAAACTAGCGAAAGCATTGCTCAACAAAGTAATGAACCTGAGAAGCCAAAGTTGGATTTAAGCTTAAAGGAAGGGCAGACAATCCATATAAACCTGAAAGTAATACAGATAATTTAATGTATTGTGATGATGTATATTACATGAATTAACTTCTAGTAATTTAATAACTGGAAATGTACCGAAAAATTGATTAATTGGAGACTAATTTATAATAACATCATAGTCAAAAAAAGATGGAGAATCTTCTAATGCTCGTAAACCTGCAGCAGGTAAAAAACTTGATTCTTTCTCATATTATATATGATATAATAGCATTGCATTTAAACAACTTTTTATAACGAAGGTGCTGGAATGGGATTCCTTCCTCCTCCTCCAACTTCCAAGAACCAAAACCCCCAACCGGTTTCAGCCCCTGCTGCCGACTTTCAACCTGCGTCACAGCAAAGTAATCAAGGTTTAACAGATTTTAATGTTTTTTCTAATCCCTCAGGTTCAACGGGATGGAATTCTTTTCAATCGGCTGGGTAATTTTATTTCCACCTTAAATTCTATTCTCTTTAAATAAATCAGATAGTCTTATCTGTTGCAGTGATTTGAAGATCAAATAACATTGTTAAAATATTTTATTTTTGTATTTAACTCACCTGCTAGACAACAGACATCTGATCCTTCTGCAGCGAGACAGAATTGGGAAACATTCTAGAAGTAAAACACATTTGGACATTGTTGGCGTTTTGTTCCCGACATTTTTGACTGACCTTTTATGGCTATCGTATAGAGATAAACTTTAGGTTACCAGTTTCATTGCAATAGCCCATAGAACGCATTATGTATGTTTATATTGTAGTGACATATTGCAATTGTCATTCCATTTCTTGCTGATTTTAATTGTTATATATCTACTTGTATATGTTACTAGGAAATGAAAATAAATTGTCGTGTTTGATATATATTACAAGTACCTTTGAGATACTAGCGATATATTGTATGGCTCATCTGACAAGACTTTGATATTCGTGTTTAATATAATCTATCTGATGAGTTTTGTAAAATCTAATAAAGATGTAATCCATGTAAACTTATGGTGACAAATCCTATCTTTCTCGAAAATTTGTTATCGGATGATTTATTCCATCAAGATTCAAAATAGATCGCGGTGATGTTGCAAAAGACAGATCAGGTACATTAACGTTTCAGGCTAAATCGATCTTTGACTTTCTGATATTGAGCAGTAACATTAAGTTCGAGTGCGAGTACTGAGTACACTATATAGCCCAGGCTATGTACTCGTATTTCCCGTGACCGTCTTAACGTAATTATAATTATTGATAATGTTGGTATACAGTATATTGCAAGCGTATGCAGTTGTTTTGGAAGGCAGTGCGTTTCGCGAAATGCTGCTTTCTACCACCGCGTCTTCGCTAAGCGTAAATTAAAAGGAACATAATAATTTAAGGACTATCATCGATGGTCCTATCATGTCATACTTTGATTTAATTTAATTCCATTGTCTATATACTAATTCTATATTGTTTATTCTAATTCGACCTTTATTGATTTAAAAAGATTTGATTCGGACATGAAATAGAACGATTTACATGTCAGTGTTGACAGCCCAGCCCGATAGCATACATTTTGTCTTCACTTACATTTGCAAAATACGACGGATTTTACAAATGGGAATTTCCATTTACTGTACAATACTGTTAGTACGCAAACCCAATCACAGCAGCTCACAGTTAAAGTAAAGTAAGCTGAACATAGTTCTAGCCCTAATCATTTTGCATCGAAATCGAGTTGGATACAAAATGATTGGGGCGATTCAAGGACGACTAGGTCTTCTTGTAGTACTGTTACTGTAATCCATTAGTGCATGACCTTAGTCAATCGCATAGAACTGACTCAGCGGCGGCGATCATAAAGGAAGCTTACCAGAATCGGTAGCCAGAATGAGACGCATGATAGTAAAGCATATTTTATTGGACGTTTAGAGTCTAGTGACTCTAGTTTCGTCCGATCGTCCAGGCGTCCAAAGTAATATTGAATTAATTAATTATTTACTCACTGGCATACAGTACTCTACAAAAAGCTGTACCGTACTAGTCTGTACGGTAAGTGATATAGTGTACTGTATGACGGGACATGCCTATACGATCTTAAACATTTTGCTGTATTCATATGCGGTAGTTTCCATTTTTTGGCGGGAATTTTACCAGCAACATGGAAGGAAATAAAGAAAATACTTCTACGCTCTCGGTTAAATATGATCTGACGGACTTGCCGCAGCTTATGGCTGTATATTATAAACGATTATTCCCATATCAATTGTATTATAAATGGCTAAGCTACGGAAATGGTTTGTATCGCTCTCTAGCTTTTTGGATTGCTTCTAGTAGTATGTTTACTGTACTGTAGCCTCGCTATACCTGTAAGGTTTGAATGAAAGATAGAATTAAAAAAAGGAAGAATTGTTAAAACACTTTCTATCAAAATAGGCCAACCTACAGTACAATATTTAGTCGGGAACATGAACAGTTCTACTATAATATATTATTATTGCTTAGATTGGTTAAAATGACAAATACACGTATTTGCATTCAATTGATTGAAATAGAATCTATCACGATAATCTCCAATCTGTATAAAAAGATTGATTGCCATAGGTTTAGATAAATACTTAGTGGTTTTACACGCGTTGTCGTTAGTTTATAATTTAGTAAAATGTTGATCAAGTCTCCTTAAGGTAAAGATACAGGGATAAAATTGTAAGAAAAAAGTACGAGTATATACAAGAATTAAAAGAATCCCTTTTATGGATATAGATTCCTTTGATGTTAAGCCTTTTGCAAAACTGATGATGTTCAATGTTAAATCTAGTACCAGTAATGATGTACTGAAATTGTGGCTAGAATTAATAGCTAAATGTAATCATAACATTTTCTTTTATCTATACAGTTTCAAAGAACTATTTTGCAAATCGAGAATTTTCCTTTACTCTAAAGGATGATATATATGTTCGTTACTTATCATTTTCCGATAAGAACGAAATGCAAAAGGAAATTCAGAAGCGTTCGCCTTATAAAATCGACTTGGGAGCTGTTTACTCTTTTAGGGTATACTTTTAGTGATAGATTGTACATAGTTATTGCTATTAACATGACAGATATTCAGTAAAAACGTTATTTTCTGCTGCATACGCTTAACTATATCACCTGCTATTTGACATATCTACGTAGATTTAATAAATATAAGATACATAATTTGCCTAACAAACTGCTAAGTGTTCCTTCATTTAGTTTCAGTACTGTAGTTATTGTAATCCATTGTTTTAGTTAGATATCAAATTATGTTAGCAATGGTAAACATTATCCTTAGATATTCACATGGTTACTAATGAGCGATACATTTTTATAGCCTAAAGATCGAAATATGATTAAAAATAGTAGTTTTCAACCGGAAGAGAAAGAGTTAGTATTCGATATCGATATGACAGACTACGATGAAATAAGATCTTGTTGCAGGTATGTGCCTTCTGATACATAAATTCAATATATGATGCTCTGGGCGATTTTATCGTTAGTGTAGTACTGGCTAAATACAGTACATTGAATCGCTATAAATTATTTTGATTTTGACACTGAATGTAGCACTATATGTAATATTAAATGAATCCCTTTCTCTGTGCCCCTTAGTGGTGCCGAAATTTGCTCGAAGTGTTGGCCATTTATGACAGTGGCTATGAAGATCCTTGATGCTGCGCTTAGAGGTTGTATTATTGTATTCCATAACCACTTCCTTATACTATACTACCTTGTTATCTTTATTCTCCATTTTATAACTATATTGAAGTTTAATATACAGTACATATGTAGCTACGTTCATAGTAAGCGTAAGTTACAAAGCTAAATCACTTTTCGTTGTAAAATTATGTATATTACGAGATACGAATTCAGTTTATGATGACTTAGCTAATTCCTAGATATGATTTCATAGTTAATTGAACTTTCAGATCTGTAATGCTAAATTTCCGATATCGTATAGCTGACGTAGTTTAACATGACATTAAGAATCACCTATGTTAGTTGATTCTGTGGAGTCTTGATACAATTTCGAAATTTATGATGTTCTTACGTATTAGGTATACTGCGATAACATAGCATAAATCAACCGTTGGAATAAATTCTGAATTATAATGTAATAATATAAGTCTATAGGAAGTATATTTATTAATTACTACGAGAAGGGAATAATGCCTTGTTGCCCATTCCGTGGGTGTAGTAACTAAATTAAATTTTATTGCATCTAACAAAGCAAATTAGAATTCTAGATGTATTCATTACGTTATTTTTTTAGGCTATACTGCTAATTGATGTATCTAGCATTATCTAGATTTAAAACTATGATATTATTTACAGAGGATTTTGGCTTTCACCATCTTTTATGGGTATACAGTGGGAGAAGAGGAATTCATTGTTGGGTTTGCGATGCTGCAGCTAGAAAACTATCGCAGAGTGCGCGATCTGCTATTGCAGAGTACTTGACGATAATAAAGGTAGTCGACATTAGCTATTAGGATTTTATGTTGTAGTTTCTCCTTTAAGATTTTAATAGGTAAATACGCGTATTCTACTTTAACTGTCCATTATTTGTCAAAGGGTGGTGAAGGCCATGTCAAGAGAGTTCATTTCAAAAATCAGGCTTATCTGCATCCCTCTATACAGTTAGCTATGTTTTACATTCTGGGCTAGGCATCATAACTATAGTATATCTTGTGCTAACTAATGTTTGATATAGATTAATTTTTAAATTGAAATCTGCTTATCAAATTTAGGCGTGCATTGAAAACAATAGAGAGCTATTTTGAAGATTTGCTCCTTAAGAAACAAAATATCTTAGAGTCAGAAGAGAGCTCGAACAAAGTGCTTGCTTTAATTCCAGATAAAAATATCTTAAAAGATCAAATTCGATTTTACTTTTTTTGTTATTCCGCTTGTCTCGAATTATATCTGCCAAAATCCCTTAACTTCAATACATATTAGATCAGCATTAAGTGAGGAATGGAATAACTCGGGACTATCATCATTGCAAAAGTGGAGCTTATTAAAACAAAAAATTGAAAAAGATATTGTTAGTACGAAGGTAACTGAAAACCAGCACATTGTATGCCGACGTCTTTGCTTACTACTGATTAACATTCTCTCGTTAATCATATAGAATTCAGTATTAACACACTGCGTCGCAGAAATTCAATTGCAATATACTTACCCGAGGCTTGATATAAATGTCAGTAAAGGAATTAATCACTTGCTAAAGAGTCCATTTTGTATCCATCCGAAAACTGGTTAGATTTTATTATTAGCATCATTATTGTAACAATGCTGACTATGTCTTGAAAGTAATACGATTACTGTATTTGTGAATATATTTAGGTCGAGTATGTGTCCCTATTCCTGCTACCGATATTGATAACTTTGATCCTTTTTCTGTCCCTAACATTTGGTAAGCATATTTTTTATTTTCCGACTTTTAAAAAATTTTTCTAAGAATGTTTCATTTATGCTATGATGTAGCCACTTATGTAGCGAACTTGACGACAGCGATAGTAACATTGAGAAAAATAGCGAAGAAGGTGATACTAATTCTGCTAGCTGTTGAATGCGTATCGGCTCTAATACAATATTGACTGTATTAGAATTGCAATAGTGCCACTTTCCATAAATTTATAATCAAGTGCTTTTTAGAAAGTCGTAGAATTTTATGTATTTATTAATATGGAGAGCGATTAATCAGTAATTTCAATGATTCATCTAGGTTACATGCGAACCTCACTTTACAGATGTATCAAAGTGTTTAAAACTTTTGTTGAGCAAATGCAAAGCGAAAACATGAACATTAAAAATTCTCAGAAAATGCAATCAACCGGTATTTCTATCCCATATATATATGCTTTAAACTGTTATCGTTGCTGCTAAACTTGTAGCGATATTGCGATAGATTTTGAATGCAATGTGCACGCAATTGTAACCTCGTTCAATTATTACTACTTCCTACAATATCGTTATATCGCAGCTTATTTATGGGACAGCCTTATTTGAACTGTATTAATGATTAGGATCCTGATTTATGTATTTTATATTTCTAGATTGGTAAAATTCGGATCACTTCCGTACTCGTTCATGGATTTCTTTCTTGTCCTTTCCGATTTTCATATTTTATGTGGCAGGCCTAAAATATTCTTTTAAATTATGCTACTTAGTGAGATGAAACTAAAATGAAGCATATGTATTTGGGACATTCTATCATATTCCGTAAGGACATTGAAGTCTTGGTATTAGTATGACATGGCTGCTATCATCCTGTACACAATTGTTTGCGAATATTAATTGGCAGGACAAACGCTGATAAAAAATAGGGCTTAAATCGCCTTGTTACTTATTTTGGAAAATTTAATAGTACATGTTTATATACACATTCCTATAATGCCTAGACCTGTTCCTAACTTAATAAATTTTTAATTAATTCTGTCTGTAAGATATGGTTATAATTTCTAATGTTACAAATGTATAAAGTTGTTACATTATAAAAGTAAAAGTTAAATGTGCTGCATTTTTGAATTTATGTTTGTGCACCTGAAACATCAGTTTATAGGTATTCATTTGTAGACAAGATCGTACAGTGTTAACATTATAGAAATAAAATTGCAAATATCGCATAACGTCTGAGGATATACCTATTGAAGAGACGATACACATTTTCGTGAAAATCGTTAACCTTTTTTTAAACGTTTAGATGAAAGTGATTGAAAAGTCTGAAATGTCAGGAGTAAGGCGTTGACATATTAAGTTGATACTGAAGACGATATCGAAGGCATTAGTATCTATCTTTTGTTTATTTATTTTAAATACCGTCGTGCCTTATTAGACCAGTTGTAGGTTAATTGATATCTCTTGAAGCCTACAGTCTGACAAGTATCGTATTTACGTAAACCTGGCTAGCGTCTTCAGTATTATATAATATAAACGCGGTATCTACTGAAGCAATTCAAGCGCAGGAAGGAAGTACAGTATTTCATATTTATATTTAGTAAATACGCATATCATTTCGAATTAATTCATTCCAGATATTGTAGTGATAAGTTCGATAAATGTAAAGTAAAAGTGCGAATATCTACAGACTGTATAGTGTATACAGTACGCTAAGTGTTACGAGCGTGGGTTCTACTAGTGATCTAATAGTTCCTCCTATCTCGTCCATCTACTGTACAAGTGTACATATGCTATGCATACCTTAAATAGACAGCATCACTCTGTGCAGTACAGTAGTACTGTACTGTACTGCATATTGTGCTAAAAGGTGACTAATCTACAGTACATACTGTACAGTGCCATCTAAACAAATATTATTATTATTATTTTTATTTACGCTGGTACAGTACTGTATATCCGCTTTAAGTTCATGAAGACCATGACGCGATGATTAACTATTCGCTGAACAGCTTTACAACCTAATTTTTACTACAGTCCGCTTGCGAGATTTTGTGCGGTATCTATTTTTAGTCTTAATTAATTACAATATGGTGGCATTGACTTTATGGGGTATATTGCAGGAATGTAACCCTATATGCTGTACTCCTGTTTACATTTGCATAGAGTAGCTTAGCTTACTACTAGAAAGAGTTTCTTACAAGAGTCTCTACGTCCAATTAATTAGCACAAGTATACAGTACAGTACAGTAAAGCACAATTTTCATCAGGAACTGCCCCAATTTTAATGTTTTATGGTTCCTTGTGTTACGATTTTATCATATTATCATTACAATAAGATATACTATTACAATGATAGTTTTAATTTTGGGCAGCATCCTTTTTGTATCCTACACTATATTGAACAAGTATGCAAATGTCCTCGACCGTTCTTTTGTTTGTTATTTTGTTTACAGTTGACCTTCAGCATACCGAAAACAAAAATACGGTGAACAAGAGCCGTACGGTACAAGTCTTTTATAGCGAATAAAGTATGTGTAGCCATGTGGCACTGGATAGAATACCATGTATAGTAGCGTACAAATAACTTCCATGAACATAATAAGGCTAGTAGAGGAAAGACTTGACAGTAAAGACGTTGATCCGAATTTTCAAATAGACAAATAAGGGTCATTAGACAATGCGGAATAGCGAGAATGGAACATTGTACAATAAATGCCATAGAAATTGGTTTACCTATTTTTTATTACACGCCGCACTACTGTAGTCTACATTACTGACTTCAATAGGGCAATCAGTCAGTCATCGTTTCCCAAAAAAAGTTCTGTGCTACACTGTACGCTGCCCCCCACTTGCCCCGCTGTGTGTATTGTACTGTACAGTATTATACACAGTAAATTCATTGTGTCTTTAAAAAGCCTGTAATCCACGCCAGTTGTACATAACAATTTGCGGCATGTCAATTTTCCCTCCATTCGTGTTTGTTTTATTTTCGCGAGAAATCACTGAAATCGTTTCACTGCGGTACTGAGTTGCCTCTTTCCTCACATCAGCAATTATCCTTGTTGATTTTTACACACATCAATACCCATTTTATGGTCGTTTGGAATTAAATACTAAAGAACTATTCCTTTTTCAACAGTTTCCAACCGGTAAGAATTGAAACTTATACTCAGCCCCGTCATTTTGTCAAACTGTACGCATACAGTACACTAATACCGATTACTGAGAAGCATAAATACAAATACTACTGTACTAGAGAAAACTTGTTTACGATTTTCCAAGTTAAAATAATAGTCCTTTAATTAATTGCACCGAAATAGAATTGCGACTTAGCATCTTACTCCTATATTGTTTATTTCAGAAAGCATAAGGCGATCTGCCAATATCTCGTCACGAAAATTGAAAATTAGTCTTCGTTTCGATACGAAACACAGCAAGAGCAAGAACAAGAGCGTGACAAATGTAAGATACACGATACTGTTTTCGTAATTAAGATGTAAATAGATATACGTACAGTAGATTATGTGGCATAGACTTAGTTACTATGATGGGTATCGTTATGTAGGTAATATTTTCGTATGTAGCAGATCGATGTACAAAATGATGGATTAAGTTTAATTTAAAGTGGAGCACTTTCCTTTTGATATCTGCATAGTTAATAGAGTATTTAGTATAGTAGTTTAGTAGTGAATAGAAAAATCTGGGTTGCGTGCCATCATAGTAATGTCAACTACTATACACGATTGCACTGTACCGTAGGCAGTTGTACAGTGTTGTACTGTACTTCACTTTACTACAGCACTTGCACATCTACCTGCACAGTACAGTCGACTAATTTACTAGAAGTAAAAAACACCGAATGGAACCAAATATTGAACCTTAGGTACTACTCTACCGACAATATAGTTTGAACTCGTAGGGAAATTTGTTATTGTTGTTGCTGTACACTACCATGCCCGGCGACGCCAAGTGTTTATATGCAGTGGCTAGTACTATACGTAGTATTGTTTTGTAATCGTCTAGTATTTTACTACATAACAAATTTCTATTTGCACAGTGTGTTGCATTGAAAGCATAATTACAAAAGAATTAATTATAATTTACGGTAATTTTAAATTGAACAAATAGCCTGGGTTGTCTATACGAAGTAGAGTCCAGTATTAACTGACCTTTCCCAAACATTGTATTTCGCCATAATTATATCCAATCTGATCTAGTGTGTGTATTTGTACGATTATTCCTATGCTTTGAACTGTGAGTTTACAGTAAAATGTGGGCTTGGCTGGGCGTGAGATTTGCAAAAGTACATTAATTAAAGCGGTTAGGTTACGATTTGCAAATGGACCATTTTGATAAAGTATTTTACCCGTATTTACAGATCGAGCAGAGGTAGCGGTTGATTATTTCTACGCGATATCTGAATCTAAATTATTTCCTATTAAGGAAGAAGGTCTAAATTGACATACGCGTACTTGTTTTAAATGCATCAACGAGGTTAATAATAAAGAAAGTTTTACGATACTGATTATTAATTGAATGAGTACACACAACGGCGCATTCCAGGAAATGTGTACTCTATGACTTCAGTTTTCCAGTTTATGCATACAGTACACAGTGCCGGTGTCATGATAGTATGTACTGTATTGTATCGGCTGTGAACTTGCTTTGTCATTGAGGTCATACTGTACAGTACAGTAGAATCGTATAGGACAGTACTGTAGTTCCGTACTGTACTGTACTGTGTATTTGGACAAAGCACAGTAATTTATGCACAATGTACAGTACAGTACAGTGTACAGTACAAACTGTAGTACCGTACTGGATCTGTAACTAGAACACTACAGTTCTACGGTTATGATAAGCACCTTGGTAACCGCCATGGACTTTGATCCCTCTGATGGATGATGACTGGCTGTAAATCAACTTTGATCTCATATTGATTAACCTCTAATTGGCAGGAAGTTGACCTGTATTCTATTCGTATATCTTACATAGCATGTAGTAGGATAGTAACAACTGTAGATTAGACGATTGAACTATATAGGAATACTAGGCATACAGTACATTCGACATTAATTTGCATTGCAGGCTCTTTAATTCTATCAACAATAAGCAGTAATATAATAGTAATAGTTGAAACGAAATTCTGTAATTAATTAATGTAAAGATGGCTGAAATGAAAAGTTGAGAGTACATGCAGTGATTATGCAGTACTTTTGCCATGGACTAAAGACGATTACATTTAATTGTCTGCAGTACTATAGTGATATGACTGTAAGATTTCAAAGTTGTCGGCTGTTACAACTCTACACAGTACCGTAGTAAATGGCATATGAAATCAACGGTTACCTATGAACTATGGAATGAGGGCCATGAACTATGAACTGCAAAAACATATAAAAATGCAAAAGTACCAAAGGCATTTGGTTGTCTCTTAAGGCATTTTTGACTATCGTCAATGTACGCTTATTAGTAGCCCATCCAGTACATATGAAAAGGAGCTGAAACTACTTATTTCTGCACGCATTTATGCCTATCATCAATGTATGCTAATTAGTTACTCATCTAATTTATGTGAAAAGGAGCTGAAACTACTTACTGTATTTCTGTGGTTTAGAGGCTAGCAGTTATGTACGTGGTCAGTGTTATAGTAAGGTCACGTAAACTCTGTTTTTTTGTCTTCGGCTTTTCTACTATTTCGTCTCATGTACAGTACATACAATAGGCTTTACAAGGCACAATATTGTGATGGCTACCCATTGATGAATATACTATTTCCGCTAGGCACCCGCTAGTTTTCTTCCCTTATAGACACTTTGGACCCGTAAATCAAAGATTTGTTCCATATAGTTCTATGGTATAGTTTATGACGGACTTATAGCGAGACTGACACCGTCAATCTAACAGTTCTAACTGGTGTTGTAACTAACTAGAAAGACGTGAAGGCGTGATTCTTAAAATGGGGGGTGCGGCGTGAAATACATTATAAATTTAAGAATTTTCTACAGTAGTTATTTTGAAAGAAATATTGATAATATCAACCCGATTATGGTACGGCGCTGTGCAGTTACATCATACTAATTCCTTTACGACACTTACAATTGTGCAGGAAGGAAGAATGGACGAGTAAATAGATTTTTTCGAGACAACGCTCGAGTCTAGATTAGTGAACTCGTACAGTATATGTACATTGGTGCGTTATGACTGTCACGTTACTACACAATTCTCAGATATTATGCCGTAGGTCACAACAATGCAGGCATTTTTGTAGTGTATGGTTGAACTTAGTGTTTATTTATATTTTCGATCTCTGGTATGCGATGTTTAATTCTTCAATTCCGCTATTATTTACTTTAAGATACACTCCTCCGTTCATAGTTTACAGGAAATGTCATCCAAACCCACAAAACCCATATTCACAATAGTTAACGCTGTATAGTATTACAATACAGAATATATTGTCAACATTACCATAGGTTGTACTAGGTGAGACCATACAGGTAGAGGTAAGGTTCTTACCTGTATGCGTACAGTATGGTACTAGAGGTAGTGAGGTAACCATGATTGCTACTTTGAACCATTACCGCTCCAAGCTTTTACACGATAATATTTGTAAAATGATTGCGCAATATTTTTCCCCTCCCACAATGTTGCAACTCTAGTGATGAAATAGTATGTAATGCTATATAGTACTGTAATGGCATAGAAGATGCTTTTTAAGAATTGTAAACATTATGCGTTAATACAATACCGTTTGTATGTTTAACCCACGGTTTTACCCCAGCATTGGGGTATTTATGCATTGGTGCTTGCCAATTAGCTCATTTTCAAACCAAATTCAGAACCGTGTGGCCAATGCTGTCGTGCGATCTGTTACAACGTATATTTTTGTCGAAGCCCTAACAAGTGTCTAAATTTCACAATAGACTTCCCCGGTATGAACTAGAGAATGATACAGTATTTAATTAAATATACGTGGTATACTACTGTAGACTCTTATTGTAAAGCGCTGGATAAGATGTGCTAGTTTCGAGATTATCCTCAAAATTGTCGGTCTTGAGTATTAGCGATAATGTGTGATAAAACTATATTCGTATTGCGCTTACTACGATATAATTAGTGTCTACTTGATATAACACGTGTAATGATGTGCACTGCTCTCTTGATTGTAGAACTATACTTTTCTTATGCTTTTTTAAATCTGTCTCGCAAGCTGTGTTAATAATTTTATGAATTATTATCTTTGTAGAAATGACCGTCATGAATGGTTTAGATCATAATAAATCTGAAACCAGAATGGTGAATACTGATATTAGAGACGATTACATTCTTGGTGATATAATTGGTCATGGTGGATTCTCGAAAGTATATGAAGCATATAAAATGCCACGTAATGAGCGATTCGCTATTAAATGCTATGCTAAAGCTATACTTAAAGATAAAAGGCACATTGTAGAAGAGGAAATTAACATTATGAAAAAATTACAACATCCTAACATTGTGCAGTACTTTGATTATTACGAGAGTCAAAGGCATTATTACTTAGTACTGGAATATATTGATGGCGGAGAACTATTTGACCGAATCCTTTATAATGGACACTACTCGGAGAAAGATTCCAATCGTTTAACCTTACAAATTTTGAGTGCTATCGATTATTTACATTCATTGAATATTGTTCATCGTGACTTGAAACCGGAGAATTTGCTTTGCTACGGGACTGAAGATGATTCAAAAATTATGATAAGCGATTTTGGTTTGGCGGCAATTGATAGTGACTCAAATTTAACTGGCTTTTATGGATCTCCTAACTACTTGGCTCCAGAGATAGTAAAAAATGAGAAATATGGTAGGGCAGTGGACTTATGGTCTTTGGGAGTTATCGTGTTTACCCTCTTTAGTGGTGTCCTACCATTTGATGCTTCCAACAAAGATGACTTGTACAATAAGATCAAAAGAGGAGATTTCGATTTTAATTCTCCACGATGGAATACGACATCGAAAGATGCTAAAGACTTTATCCGACAGCTATTACAGGTCGACCCAAAACAAAGGATATCATGTAAGCAGGCCCTTGTACATCGATGGCATTATAAAGCTGAATCAGTAGATATTCTACCGAACCAAGAATCGATTAAAAACTCAAAATGGAAATCGGCTGTTATCGCTACTACTGCTATTTATCGAATGAGAACCTGGGGTCTTGGCAAAAAACAAACGCCTGATACTGATAAGGTGTACAACGATAGCACAAATGATGATTCTGATAGTGAGATACTTAGTCATAGTCCTTTTTCAGCTGAAACTAGCGAAGGCATTCGGAAAGTATTAAATAGGATATCAAGGCGTGATAATGACAATGGTAACAATTGCAATTCGTCAGATAAATCAAGTACCATTGATCCGGATTCACTTTCAGATTGTACTCTCAGTGATACAGAGCTGTCTACACCCGAATCAAGTGTTAGTGATGAAGAAGACGTCGATATTGCCGATGATGTCGATTTAATACGAAATCCTACTAATCTAGAAGGGGTTTACGGGCCGAGGTTACTTGCTGTCTAATTTCCTAATTTGTTAAATTTACGTTACTACGGCCTATGTATAGATGCTTACCTTGACTGATTTCGTTTTCGCGATCACTTTAGCAAATTTTATTACCAAAGAGGATTTTATAAGTTTGATTTAAGTGTTGATATACAGTACGTATGAACTCTTGACGCTACAATATGTAGAAGTAATGAAATTTATTACGCAATGACAGCAATAGCAATACCTTTATAATTTGCTATCGATACTTTGTTTATCTATTGACGATGTATATTACAAATTACTTTGCTTTCAATTGAATGTGATCTCTTTACGATTCATATTAGTAGAGATTGCTATTATCGATTTTTTAATTATTAAGTTATAATTTGCTTATAATCACTAACAATATAATTTTCGAATTAACTTATCAAATACGATTCTAAATCAATTTTATCAAGCATCTTGATTTTATACTATGATCTGTTGGGCCAATAGTCAGATAGTAACTTTGCTGGCTTCACGATTTTACTTAAGCTAGAGAATTGAATAGCGTCTCTTTAATTCTACAAGATGAGTATGTACGAATAATATCTTGATCATCCGAAGTTACGGATACGTATAGAAGAATTTGCATACTACATGACCTGTTGATACAAATGAGCAATTTTAATTTGTTTGAAATTTAATCAAACTTTTTTATCCTCCATATTAAGATATGGCAATACTTAAAGGATAACAATAAGCGATTGAGATGCATCAATTTTAAACTATTTACATCTATTTGATTCTGTATTGATATAATATTGCAATAATGCCTGATACCTTCTATGCTACAATATAATTGTATAATAATAATACTATACCGTACTTACTATACATAGACATATATACTTCATGTATCATATATATATATATGTAAAATATACGTATACATATTTTCCAAATACCTACTCTATGTAAGATTTACTACTGAAAATGATATGAAAGCTATGGGCATAATGCATATATATTTAATGATACAGCTATGATTTTGATGTTTAAAAATATGTAATATACGAGAGTTGCTAAGTACTCTTTTCTTTAAGTATACATAGTTAAGCTTAAAGTTGATTGCTAATTCTGTACCATACGTACTGTACATGATGTATGATAAATCTCAAGTTAACATAATAAAAGAAAATGCAATACACATCTAACTTTTGGTTGTATTGACTTTAGCTTACGGTTAGTAACTGGCTAGTAACATCTGCACGATAATTTCTATAATTATAATTTAAGAATATATAAGCGTAGTGAGACGCTACTGAATGAAATTTCGTTTACATGTTGGCCGAGCCTCAGACTTAATGTTGAGTAAGAAAGTATTTATTTTTTTTGTCTGTCGTTAGAAACAATGTTTTGAGGATGCAATATATACCCGGTCTAGAAGAGAATGAAGGGAAAACAAACTTGTTTATCACAACTAATAGAATATGATGGTCCAACAACTACAGTAAAAGTGGATTTCAGCTAATAATAATAATAATATTATAACAATAACAATAACATGTTATGAATCTGGTTATCGAAAATAATTCTATAACAGGCAATCTATACCAGTACAGTTTAGTATATAATAGTACTAGTACTATACTGTAAAAATGTGCGAGCATCGTTTACTTGATTACTGTACTTTCTTACTTACTTACTGTCACACACCACTAGTGACAAAGTAGTCTACACACGCCAATCCTTGCGGAGAACGCCACTTACTAACTTAAAGAGGCTAGATTAGTTATATCACCAAATAATTCAGTTCCAACGACTGAATACTATGGTATAATTATAGCGTCACAGATGATGTAGACGAGATAGTCAGAGATTTACTATCATTTATTACTGAAGGAATCTTGGCACCCAAGATTATAGTCTTTACAATTAAATATCAATTGATAAACTAGTTGACTATCCAACCGACTAACTAACTAAAAAGGAATCTTCACAGTACACTTCATCAGAGACAACAAAAAGCAAAGAAATTTAACCCACAACACCGGCATCATGGTGTGTACAGTACTGTGTACAGTACAGTACTGTACTGTATACAGTACACGTAATGCTCTCAGCGGCTCAGTCCGAAAATATCGGATCGGATTTTTACGTATTATTTCGGATATCGGATATTTTCGCAGAACCCTGCTGACTGTGAGTACTCGTACTACAAAAAGACCTGGACCGATCACACCTTGGACGGACAGACATTTTTGACCTCAACTGGTCAAAATATTGTGCCAAACACCTCGTTATGACAGTACTTTCGTATGGAGACAATCGATTTTAAATCGACTTATTTTTTCTAAACTAAGTAATATTACATTGAATCTTATTATCTGTTACTAAGTTCTTCTTGGAAACAGTGCTATAAGATCGTCGATGTTATTTAAATCAGTACCAATGATTTAGAAAACAGACACGGAAGATCCATACTAAGTAAACCATTTTTCGATATTTTGAAGGCTTCATTGAGTAACAAACGTCCGTCTGTCTGAGAGAGAGTGATCAGTCCAGGTCTGCTTGTAGGTCCATGGTTTTACGGTACAGTACAGACCATAAAGACCTCGACTGGGTTACACTACTGTACTACTAGGTACGCGTGTATGTGGTAGTGTACACTACTGTACATGTTGTTTAAGCAGAGCTTGGAAAACTAACTTCTGTCTTGTACTAGAGATACTGGAGAAACGATCAAGGGAAGCCATATTTTAATCAACAGCTAGACATTGCCAGAAGAGAATGAAGTGATGCTGGATAAATTATTAAATAAGTTATTACAAGTTCATCTCTCAGATGGACGCGTTGTTGTCGGTAATTTCATGTGTACCGATCGTGAACTGAACATTATCTTAGGACAATGCCAAGAATATTCTTCCGCACCAGGTATTGCTTGACGGTAGGATGTTGAGGTTGTCTTGATTTATTATTACTATATTACTGGACTCATTGCCAGTCAGAAGTTGCTACAGTAGTTATTCTTATTTTGAGGGTACAGTCATGGCGCTGTAAATTGCTATTAGGATGACCATGAGATAATGACCTATGAACTATATTACCCATAGCTTACGGCATATCAGAGTAAAAAATAGAATCTGATAGTCTTTATAAAATCACCTATAGTAAATGTAATACGCAATAGAGCATAACGCAAAGGACTTTTCGATAAAAAATGATTCCTCCAAAAATGGAAGAAAGAGAGAGATAGAAAATGGGCTTACAGTACAAACAATGATAGTGCATAGTACCGTATAGCATATGAAGATAATTGTTATCAATATTATTCTGTAGAATTAATATTGCATTGCCGTAATGAGTTGATGATTCTCTTTTCTTGATCATTGCCTGATGGCCGATAGATCCGGAATCAACGGAGCAACCACGAACGCTTGGGCTAGCTATGATCCCGGGAAAGCACGTTATCAAAATTCAAGTTGGTATCGATGTTGACTGAATGGAGATCGACTGTGTAAATTTGGCATTATTTCTGGCAGGATTTGATTGAGATTGAAAGGATCATGCGCGTATATGTATATTAATCATGTCCTGATTTTACAAGTGCAATATAAAGATAAGGATTGAAAATTTGCAGTGTAGAGATTATAAATTAATGATGGTAGTTGTTGTTATTCCTAAAATTTTCATTAAGAACGTTATGTCCCAGTGACTTTAAGGAAAACTTAAACGACCACTGAATTGATAATAATCATGCACTAGATTATACGCTTTTGTGGCCTTTTTATATATGTATATTCGACTGTAAAATCAGAAGCGACTGTGTACTGGTTATTATTGGAGAATCCTGCTTTTTATGCTGAAGTACTAATGAATTTTACAAATATACTGTAAATACGGATATGCTTCTACTATTGGATATCATTTTCAACAGTTAATCAATCAAAAATTATATTCAATTTGTGAATTATATATTTACAACTAATAAATGACCATTGCAATTCTTCTTATATTCATCATTCGATGAGAAGCAATTAGACCAGTTTTGTAGTAATATTTACAGTGATTATATATTATTGTAAACCTTCTTGCTAACTAGATTTAAGTGACTCAAGCGTAGTGTAAAATTAATTAGCTACTAAGATCGTCATCAATAATTTATCATAGTGCATAGCGTAGTTCAGCATGCACACCCTAAATTGTACGACAGCATAATAATGTATGCGTATATGGTATAAATGTGTGAAGCCAAGTCTACCAAGATACGATAATAGTCATAGTAGTCGGAAATTGTTGCAAACTGATTTACATTGGGTTATCGAAAAATGTTAATACTCCCCTTGTGAACCAGTCCTACAGCTTACTATCCTTTTAGCCATAAATTCGCCTGATCATATAGACATTTGTTATTGACTCGTATAGGGCACTAATTTATGGTTTCAATGGCAATCACCTTGAGATCGGGTTGTATTTATTTGATAGTTAGCACTTAAAGTGTGAACTTTACAGTTTTTATATAAATTGGCTCTAGTTGATTACCAGTTTTTGACTCAAAGTTTAACTAATCACTTAAGTATAGTACTACATTAATTTCCATATCTTTCGCTTTATATCTTTTATGCTTTCATGGAAACATTTATTTTTAATTTAATTCATAGCTATATTGATCATGAATACACTACAACTAACGTTCGATATCAATCATATACATTTTTCTTTAAACATTGTAATATATAGTAAAAAATTTACCTCCTTTGAATTTAATTCATGACTAAAATAGTACAAAAACTACCCTACCAACTGTAAATAGCGGTCTTTGTTATCGGTATTACAAGCTAAGTTGATCATTTTTCTCGTTCAAGTAATAACCATCCGTTGGCATAAACTTTAGATAAGTTGTAGATATACTAGTACATAGCAAATTTGAGTAGCACTAGCACTACCTTACTAGCGCAATCTACCTTCCCTTTTATGGAGATTAGCCTTGGATGAATAGGCTGTAATTATGGTATACACATAATCATTAATCGCATATTATATAGGTTTATTGGGACAAAGAAATTGTCACAGAATCGTATTACAGCTTATACATTGTAACAAACTTAGTGAAGACAGCGACCAATATCACAACTTCGCCTACTTTATAATACATAAATTACAGTATAAGGTTGTAAAAGGCTATTAACAATCGAAAATGTTGCCATTCTATCCTTAATTTTAAATATGTAGTCCAAGTACAAATAAGACAATTTGTTTTAAACTAACAATAAAGCATAATAAATGTGAAATTATGGCCACACATCTCTGTACACCAACAGTGCGGTTTGATGATTTTCCAAAATTTATAGACCTTTCAGATTTTTAACACTGTTATGAACGTTTAAATCATGATACATTACATTAGCTACAAGAGAGCAACACAATTGCTACCTTCTTGGATGTCCTCTACCTCGGTACGGACGATGCCTGAAATGAGGCCTTGGACCCATTCCACCTCTCATATTATCCATTTCGTCAAACCATTCTTCTTCAGGAGGTACCGGTGGTCTTTGCCAATGAGGAGGGTCATTAGGCATTTCGTTGCGACCTCCTCCTCTTCGTCTGCCCCTACCTCGACGGCGGGGTTCGTGTTCATTCCAGTTCCCGTGCTCGTTTCGAGGGTTATGCATTTTATTTGGTGCTCCTCTAAAACGACCATGTTGCCGTCGGTTTGGTATATCCTGGCGAATACTGTCCTCGTCAGGATTCATAGCACCGAATTCGTTACTATCCATAGTTTCCATATCTTGATTTTGATCTCTATTTTCACCACCATAGTTATGTAGGTCTCTCGACTCTTTAATCTCGTTCCTGAGGCGTGGATCCCTAATTTCCTGCATCGATCCTCTCAGATCTCCTCGATTCTTTCTTGAATCTCTCCTCCTGGGGGCTCGAGGTTCTGGAAAGCCTCTAGGCTCCTGGCCTTCTTCAAAACCATGCTCTCGGTCAACATCAAAAGGCATTCGTTCGCGATCTTCCTCAAATCCTGGATAGTTTGCTACATCTGGCCGCATTCTGAAATCTCTAGCTTCTTCGTGCCTTCCTTGAGCTATCATCGTTGGATCAACTTGATCATCAAACATTCTTTGATCCATCATTGCTGGTGGCATACCATATTCGCCGGGCTCGCCGTACATTTCAGGTGGCATTCTATGTTCGAAAGGCATCCTAAACATTTCATGACTTCTTGGATCTCCGGGCATCGGCTCGCCAGGCATCAGTTCGCCAGGTATTGGTTCACCAAACATCATTGGGCGGTCAATTGGAGGACCAAAAGGAAATCTTTCCTCATATGGTTCAAAATTACCAGCGATTCGCGGATCAAAGTGCATCTCGGGATCCATATCTACCATCCTGGGGTGATGAGGTTCAAAAAATTGACGATCATCTCGATATTTTTGTGGATCAGGACGAAATCTTGAATCCATTGCATTATCAAACTGATTTCCGTGATCTTCATGTTTCATCAATTGGCTATCCGGGGGTTCTTCATCGTCACCGTATTTTGAAATAGCAACACGGGGTCGATCTTTTTCTCTACGATTTCCATTCTCAGCATTTCCAAATCCGGATGGCCCGTCCGGAGCACTACCGCGCTTCCGGAATCTACTTTCACCTCTGGTGTTATGATCACGATTTCTATTTTCGTTTCTACCATCCACATCTTCAAAATTTGCTAATCTACCTCTTCCATTGTCATGGTGATCTTTTTCATCGTCAAATCTTGAAGAAGGGTTGTAATCACTAGATTTGCTAGATTTCTTGTTAGTAGATTTCTTATCATTATTTAGATCATCTCCGGCTTTATCCGTTTTCCAATCGTGCTTGGCATAATTTCGCATGAATTCTTCAGCTGCTGCCGAGTTTGATCTTAAAGTTCCGTTTTCTGTCTTCTATTGGGTTTATTGCCATTAGTAACGCGTACAGACTTAAAGACATAGTAGTATATCTACTTACAATTGATTGGCTATCGTTTTGTATGCTTGGGAATAACGGTCCATCATTGTAGTCTTTAGGAATAAATTTGTCACTGTTAATATTTTCATCTAAACCAGGTATATCTATATCTTCAGTAGTATTTGAGAGCCCGATCAGCGACTTTGATGAAAATTCATTGCCAAGATAATCCGTATCTCCTGTCAGGCAATTACGTTAATTTTTATTCTCAAGCTTTGCTTTATGTTAAATGAGTATTATCAACAAGGACATAACAGCTTACCAGCTTGATCGTTTTCATCTAAAATGTTACTACTACCTAGTGCACCCATGTTGTATTTATCTCTCATTTTATCCCCAGGTCTATTTCTAGTCCAGAATTTACTACAAGCAGGGACATATTTAAATTAGTAATATTAACTTAGATCAAAACTTAAACCAATCATTTCTTTGGTTCAACCTGGAATGATCGTTAGAACCAGAACAAAGAATATGACCCAAAGGATGCCAAGCGAGACTCCAAATCATGCCTTCATGCGCTTGTTCAATTCCACCAACTTCTTTATCGCAACTATATTGATTAGTAATTGTTACTTGTTGTAAAGTATCGCTTTAATTAAATACAACTAATTTTGTTCTATAAAAATAACGCGAATTTACCCAGCTATCCAAAAATACATAGCACCATCTGAACCACCGCTTGCAAATAGTCCTTCATGAACAGGATGCCATGCAACGGCTGTGGCTTCTTTTTTATGACCTCTAAAAGTTTGCAACTCTTTCATTGCTCTAATATCAAATATTTTTAGCAAATGATCTCTTGAAGCAGTTAACAACCAGTTTCCGTTTTTATTCCATTTGACTTCCATGACCGTGCTTTTATGTAGATGTCTATAGTTAAATATTCAGTATCAAAATTGACCCGCGTTAACTACAAGCATTAGAAAACAACTGTTGCTACTACTCTAGCAACAGCTAGAGATGAGAAAAAGTTCAACGTACAACGTCGAGATACTACTTCCAATTCTAGGATCCCATAGTTTGATAGGTTGCTGGCTATCTTTACTACCGGAAGCAATCATAGCCTTTTGTGGATGCCAGTCAACACATTTGACATCGGCTCCGTGCCCTATAAATAATTAATCGGTCAAGTTCGATTAATTGTAGAGCATAGTTTATGTATCATGATTATCTATATATTGCACCTTTTTAAGTGACGTAAATTTTTGATTGTTAACTTACCTCGAAGAGTAACTTCCTCTTCACATCGAAGAAAATCCCAAATTTTGACAGTACCGTCATCTGAACACGTGGTAAACTTAATATCGGTTGGACAAAACCTTTATTTATAAAGGAATAGTCAGTTAGAAGATAATTATCTGATGATGTCAAGCAATAATAGATAATTTGCACTTACGAAGCCTCTCTAATTGCTTCCTTATGACCTTCAAACATTTGTACATTATTCATATTAGATTGCCAATACTTTATGTAGCCTCCGGTATCAGTTGTTAACAACCAAGTGTCATTATGACTCCAGATCATAGAGCGAACAGATGTATCGTGTGCCTATATGCGATGAAGATAGATCAGGTATAATAGTGTTGATCGGTCAAGAGTAATACATGAGTACAGTTATGGTGAAACTACGAGGGTGAAAGGGGAGCCGGTTCATTCTGATATCGCTATTGCAGAGAAATACCAATTTGGATTATAATGGAAACATATGAAAATAAGATTACGCTTACTTGTAGAATAGTCTCGAAATTGAATGTTAGTCCATTCCATAATGTGAATTCGCCACTGGATGCGCCAGTTATTAATCGTCGTCCTTCCGGCGTCCACTACGTTTAATAATAGATCAATATATTTGTTCCATAAATAAAGATGTACAACACTATCATGTTTAAGGAATAATGATAATCAGATATTTTAGAAATAAAATAGGCTTTACCACTACACAAAAGATGGGGCATCTTTGCTTATTTGTCGAGGTTCTAACAAATTTTGTAGTTACAGCGTTCATAGGATTCTGCTTCATACTAGACGGTGGCAAAAGCTACAGTCGAATATCAATAGATAACAATATCAGAAGTTGTTGCATATATTTTTATGAAAACGTCAACAAACACTTATTAACGTCGAGAATCTGCACAGATACAGTCTTTAGGCCCTTATTATACTGTACTGTCTTTCTTAATATTTGATCATCAATTACTTTACTACAAGCTGCATCTTCAAAGTATTTTACTCTCATCATTACGGTATAAAAAGTTCTATAGTATTATTACAAGTTTTATTTGAAATTGATGTGAATCCTATATTGAGCTGCATAGGATTGGTATCCAGAATCGCTACGCATTATCTATAAAAAAGGTACTATCTTGAGGGTGTATATTTCATCGATCGCCTTCATATAATCGAAATGAGTGAAGACTTTGATCATCAATATCGAAGTTATAATATGCTGTTATAAAAGTATTATCATTAGTGAATCGCAGCAGAATGTTTGTAAAATGGATTTTATTCGTATAGAGCCATATCACGAATAAAAAGTTATCTCATCTAAAATTGATGTATAAAAGATACATAAATTACTAACACTATTAAAATATAAAGGATCCGGCTGTATAACAGGCTGATCACGGTAATCACTTTGCCATACGCGACTCTGCAAGGAAAGGATAAAAGAATAGATTAATGAATTTCTTGGCTAAAAGCAGTTTTTTTATTTAATATTACATCCAATAACAATGTCTAAATGTGAGCAACCCATTCTTTCTACTTCATCGATTTAAGCTACTACAGTGTATGATGACGTATTTTTATCCATTTTAGGAGGAAATCTGCCTAACTTATGATCTGGTCGGTATTGTGCACCTGATTGAATGTTTGCATAACTTTTCTGTATCCTATTTTGTGTTAATACTCGTCTTGATACTAACGATCGGTGTACCCGTTCTACGAACAATTTCAACTAGGTATTATTTGTAACACAGCCGTTAGGACTGTATACGAAAGGATGAACGCCATTGGTAGTGTAGTATTGCTTAGTACCATTTTACTTCTACTTATTCATACGGTGTAGTTATCATAAAGTTTGTGTAGCTATCTAGACTATCGATGATCGTCAGTATAGTTATTGCAGTATGGTCATGGATTTTATTCCATTTATGTTACAAGTCATCCATGAACAGTAATAGTGAACTTGAGGAAATGCTAGTAAAAGATACAATTTAAAAAGATCAACCTCTAATTGTCGAATAACTGATGCATTGTAATCAATGGTTCTTCTTTGGACGGCTTTTCGCATTCTTTTACCATCAAAGACCAAAGCACTTTGAGCCATTGGCCTGGTATAAAAACGTTGTCGATATAATGTTGGTTGTTGAGCATTTTGACCTTGTACTGGGCCTTGGTTGCTATTGGCCATGCTGTTCCCCAACTACGATTTCCCTAATCAATTCTCAAGTGATGTCCTGTAGACTGATAGCTGCGTCTACCAACAACAGCACTGCTACAATAGATAGTAGATTGCTTGACTTGAAAGCAATACCAATTAGTGATAAGAATCCCTTTAACAGCTGTAATTATAAATCAAAATCAATGGAGAAATTGCAGTCAACGCTGGACGATTTATTAGTCTTGATGAGCTCCAAACGAACGCCACCATTGCACTGTCCGCTTGCAGTCTGCGTGGTCACTGCAATCCACTCCAGTCTAGTTCAGTAGGCTGCAGTACCGTGCTGAACTGATAGGATACAGTATGTGCAGTACTACATACCGCATACACTACCCCAACTCCTCTACACTCGTCTACAGTCCAGTAGTAGAGTGTACAGTCTACAGACTACAGTACAGACGTCTCTTCTGCCCACTTTATACTGTACTATACGACAGCAAACTGGTTGAGAATGTACAAAGGGATTGAAAAGTTGATCCTCAACAATTCCAAATCATGCCAATGGACGCCGTGGAAAGCTCGACTTTTTTGCAACCTTGTGCATGCTAAATTAGCCTAGTGTACACTGTAGTGGCTCTATAGAGGTTTCTTCTTCCCTCTATGAGTGGCTCAAACAAAACGGTACTTTAACTACTACAGTAAAAGTCATCGATCGCTAGACAAGTCATGAGATTACAGTCGAGGATCCACGGGAAATACCACCTCATCCAAGTGGGATCCAAACCCAAAAAATAAGAATTCTATTGCTTTTCACGTGAGAACTCCAGCAAGAAGGCATGTAGAAAGCCAACTGGAATAGTAGTAGTGGTAGTAGTAGTCAATCAAGGCGCTACTATAGTGTCGTGATATACTGTAGATAGTAATATTCACAGTATGCTGTTTCACAACTTGAAATATACTTGAAACTACTCCAACGATGTTGTAAATGAACGCGCATAGGGTTGCTAACCATCATGAATGAATCCATTAATTCATTCTTAATCAACGTATCATGCATGAATCATGATAGACTGTAGCATTCGAACAAATACCGGTACAGGTGCTACCGGCGACTACTTAACCCTATTTACAATGCTAATTATACTGGCAATTTGTCCACTACAAGTTGTCTCCAGCATGGACTACTCGAATCCTAGTAATTCATGCAGAAATCACTACAGTAATTCTCATTCCTTTGCAACGCTGATCTACTGTCTCGTGCAGTGTAGAATATATTGAAATTACTCTGTATGCAACACAGTATAGTATGTTGTGGACTTTTTGAAATTCATACAGTACCGTGTTGGCCATTTCTACGACTACTATACCACGCAAACTACTAATCAAACCTAATACTGCACTATATATCTGCATTCCACGCCATTTTCGATCATCGTGTCGAGATTGAGGATTGAACTTTTACTGATTGTAGGCTATATAATCATCGCGCTTAAGTAGTACTTTAAAAGGAAAATCCATTTCAATTTGGTTGCAATCCTTTCCAATTTGGTTGCAATCCCTTCCAATTTGGCTGCAATCCCTTCCAATTTGGCTGCAATCCCTTCCAATTTGGTTGTAATCCTTTCCAATTTGGTTGCAATCTTTTCCAATTTGGCTGCAATCCCTTCCAATTTGGTTGCAATCCCCTCCAATTTGGTTGCTATCCCTTCTAATTAGGTTACAATCCCTTCCAATTTGGCTGCCATCCTTTTCGATTTGGTTGTAAACTATTTTAACAATCGTATTAACGATTTGAAATGGGTAAAAAGAATAGAAACAACTTGGGTAGGAGCATACAAAAGGATCGATTCGCCAAGAAGAACCAAATGATCGGTCCAGGAGACGAATGGGTGGGTAATAATCATTTTGGATGATGTTATTAATTGCACTGGATGTATCGTTACGGTAACCAGCATTCCGAGATTTTGATCATCAGGCTAATGCTACCTATCCCCAATGGACATTAAATTAGCAGTATGTAGATGTGACCCTGCTTGCATGCAGTTGTGAATTAGAGAATTAAATAGATGTAACATGAATCGATGATACAGCAGTCCTAAAATGATAAACTTAGTTAGATAGGCAGATACTGTCATTACCAATACGTACAGTATATGTTCATATACGCGTATATTCAGTACGTATATTTAATTCAATATGCTCAAGATTGCAATATCTACCCTTGATCCTGTCTTGAAAATGATGTAGATATAATAATATTCGTATACAGAAGGTCAATAGCTGAATATTTTTAGGCAGAGACTGTAATTAAGAATACGTATATATTAATAATTGAATATACGCGTATATACAGTACGTATATTTAATCCAATATGCTCAAGATTGCAATATTTACTCTTGATCTTGTCTTAAAAATGATTTAGATACAATAATATTCGTGTACAGTAGGTCAATAGCTAAATATTTTCCATCATATCATGCTTTTTTAGCTGCATTCTAGTCAAATCGACGATGATTCTGATTGGGCAAGGCTAAATTTACATTCCGTAACGGAGCAAAGCTCTTTAGATGATTTCTTAGCCACGGCACAATTAGCCGGTACAGAATTTGCTGCAGGTAAGCTACCATGCAACACCGATAGCCTACAAGCTAGTAACTTCCATACGCGTACCAGTAAATTTAAATTTGCTTCAACCGTTCATTAATCATTGTCTATAGTATTACCAATATAACATCTAATAATTCAATTTTTGAAATAATCTATAACGCCGGTCATTGATTCTACCCTTGATATCTGAAATGTCTATCTCAGGAGTGTAATACTAATCTAGTTTGGGTTATTTAATTGTGTAGAAAAATTAAATATTAAGGTCATAGACTCAGAATATGGCGAGACAACAGCTGGAGAAGATGAAAATCAAGCTAGAATTGCTGCCGAGGAAGAAAATAAAAAATTTCTGAGAATTCCTAGGAGGTCAAAACAAAATTCTTCATTACATTGAATTGATAGTACTGCGTCTGTATTGCAGACGATATATTGCCTACGAGTATACGATATACATATAGCAAGCGTGAGATTACGAAATAGTGAATGAAAATTATTTGCAATACAGTCTTGAATTGCCTTCTTGACATACGTAGGCCCGCTTGGACCACTGATATGTCCGCGGACGAGTTACAATCAAAAGAACGAGATTACTTTTTAACGTGGCGGAAACAATTATCTGAGTAAGTGAATATACAAAATCAACATGTAGCTATAGTATTGATTAATTGATATATTACACTACATTTACTTTTGCAGAGTGCAAGAAAATAATCAACTAATCATGACGCCATTTGAGAAAAATCTAGAATTGTGGAGACAACTATGGCGTGTCATCGAAAGAAGCCATATTATCGTACAAATTGTTGACGCAAGAAATCCTTTATTATTCCGTTGTGAAGATTTGGTATGTACGAGCGTATTACTACAATGTAGCATGCAGCATATACTGCAAATATATAATGTAAATGCAATAAGATGATACCGCTGTAATATATCATCAAGCAACTTGTATCTAACTATATTGTAACACTCATTAATCTATTACAGGAAGCATATGTTAAGGAAGTTGATAATAGAAAAATTAATCTACTATTATTAAGCAAAGCTGATTTATTAACATCTGCACAACGGTAATTGACCTACTTGCTAGACGCCTAGGACTACCATGCACAATTTCCATTTCTATTACTTAATTGTTGCCCTTATGCTTCATTATGACAACTGTAAATGATTCTTGATGTATAGATTATCTTGGGCAAAATATCTAAAAAGTATTCAGGTCAACTTCGCTTTTTGGTCTGCTAACATGGAGCTAGAAGCCGATATCAAGGTTTACTACCTAGAATAGCGTATAGCGTGTATTCTTTTATTAATCTATAGCGTTGCCAAATAAATACTATTTTAATTTTAATATCCTGTATAGAATGATGCCGATAGTACCAGTGATGATAATGAAGATGAAATTAATTCACGGGAAGAGGATAACTCTTCTTCGGCGAGTGATGAAGAAGCCGCAAATGAATCACGAAATCAAAATATTGCTTTAGAAAACGATATAAAGAATGAATCATGGATCCCTTCAGAAGACGGTGAACCTAGTCAACATCAGGAATCTGAAGACATCAAAATACTAAATGGAGAAGAAATAATAACACTTTTTAAAACACTGCATGGCACTATAAATAACACAGAAGATGAAGATACTGAAGCTAAAGCAGTTACTATTGGATTAGTATGTTGAGTGTATTTCATTTATCGTCATAATACATCACCTGTTGATAAATCAAAAAAATTTGTTGACCTTGTTACGATAACACTATTAGGTTGGCTATCCTAATGTCGGTAAAAGCTCAACTATTAATGCATTATTTCACAGCAAGAAAGTATCTGTATCTGCTACACCTGGTAAAACGAAACATTTTCAGGTACTTATTTGTTACCAATCATTTGTTATAGAGGAATACTAATCGTATTTTGTAAAAATTCGTGTAAGCTTTTATCAAGTAGTTAAAAAAGTTGTTATATACTCTTTTAAAAATATTAGACGCTACATCTTGATAAGGATCTATGCTTATGTGACTGTCCTGGGCTAGTTTTCCCATCCTTTGTCTCAACGAAGGCTGAAATGATAACTTGCGGTATACTTCCCATAGATCAAATGAGAGACTGGCTATCACCTGTTGCATTAATATCCTTTTAATTCATCTTGCTAATAAACTGTGGCTTTATAAATCTAAGTAAGACATTTCAATCAGTACCATCTACAGTATTTATTTTATCATAGTCTACCTTGACAACTGATTGTACGTATGCGAAAGGATACCGCGTATGATATTGGAATCGGTGTACGGAATCAGCTTACCAGCACCAGGTGAAGGAGAAAATGCGATGCGGCCTCCTACACCCCACGAGTTATTAACTGCTTATGGATGTATGATATCAAAAATGTCTTTATAATTAATTTTACGCTCTCATTATTGATAATTTTTTGTAATATTATTTTCATGTTGATCAAAAGTTATTAGAGGTTTTATGACAGTTCACGGTGAAGCTGATGTAGCCAGATCTTCTCGCTATATTCTAAAAGATTTCGTTAACGTAAGTAGATACTATTTTGTTGTCGCTCCATAGCTAAATTCAGGGTCTATTAAAACAACTTTATTAGCCCTGGCTGAATCTATTTCCCAATTGTATGAGAGCTAAATTCTACAATTATTTGGCCAACTTTTACACCCATCACATCGTAAAGGCGTTATCTGAGCTCATGTAACTACTGTATTATCACCTTAGGGTAAATTGCGATATTGTTGTCCTCCCCCCGAAGTTAATCCGGTACTATTTCAAGATCAGTTCAACGAGTACAAAATTAGAAAAATAAAATTTGAACAAAAATTAATGGAAAAAATGCACGGTAAAAAGGTTTGTATATTACTGCTTTATATCAACATTATCATGTTGCAAATAAGGGTATGCGTACCTTTTCACGTGCAATTTAAGAATAGTTAACAATAGCAGCCTCTTGACTTCTTTCTTATAGGATAATATCGATGAAGACTTTTTTGCTGAGGTATTGAATAAAATAAGATTCAAAATATGAAATTCATACCCTACGAACGATACGATTTTATATTTAATATGGCATATTCATGTATATAGCTTAAAACAACTTTTTTATCCATTAATTGGGCTTCTTTTCGGCGAATTATAGAAATTAAGTAAAGTTCACCTGAAAGGAAGAGTAGTTCCAGCCTCCGGTATGAAATTATCAAATATTGCTGATAGTGAAATTGAAGGTCAGATGAATAAAACTAGCAAGAAGCCTTGGAAACGCCATTTTAATAAACACAAGAAAGAGAAACTGCGACGTATTTACGATAAATAAGTAAATTTTCTGATTGAACTGTAAATTCTCAGATTAAAATGTAAAATGTCTTTCTATCACGAATAATAAATGTTATCATAAGTTTCACATACGTGAAGTACGCAGTCCAATTTATGTCTAAACATTACCATAAGTCAGGTAAGATCCAAATGGTATCAACTATTATAGCCCAAATTAACTGAAGTAATAAACCTCTTAAAATATGTGCATAACGCTATTCTGATCATATGCTTAATTTATATTACTATATCAATCTCAACAACTTGTACGCATCAATACATGCAATCTTCCGCCATGATTTCCATCAATTAGCTGATGATTGCGCCATAACGGCGAAAAGTCAAAGAATAAAATCTTAGATTGATAAAAAATCCTCCATTAAATGCAAGTAGGAGTATTTGCAGATTGTATCCATATACGAGTATACGTATTGCTGTACTATGTACTGTACAGTAGTACATACATTTTAGTTTAGGTTTTTATTCCATTTTCTTAAATTCAAAAATGTATACTCAGATTACTTTATTAAAAAGATCAAAATTTTTGAAGGCTTAATTGTTAGGAAGCAATGTTAACATGATCAATGCAAAAGACACCTTATCAAAATTTCGTATTAATATCAATCGCAGTGCTAACAAACAGTGTGCAAATAATTCGAAACTGACTAATACCTATACCGTCGCATTTCTTGGAAATGATACTCAAAAAGTTTTGTAAATAAAAATTAGGTTGCATTATATAATAATTTGACTAAATATGAAAAAGTTATGCAATACAGTATCACTAGATTAATTTAATACTTGATATTTCATACGACAATATTATGATATGTATAAGGACCGTTACTATAGATTAATTGTATGTTAACGAATATTTCATCGCAACTTGGGTCTAGTCATTCAATTCTATAAAAAGATATGATGAAAATATGACCAATTCTATAAACAAGAGCTTAAAGCGCGAAAGAAAGAACGTAATTTTGCATATTTTCACCTTAGTGAATATTGCCATGTATACATACATTTTCAAGCATATGCGTGTATGTATTTTATATATATTCTAAATTCACTTCAGCTTTTACATTAAAATAGTTTCATCATTCTCGAATCGAGTGTCGTACCAAGGTTAGATTTACAATGAGTTATTACAGCACATTTTGCATATCAAAATGATTGCCAAAACAAACTTTTATCATACAAGTAACATCTTCAACGATAATCGGATCTCTGAAAGAAGGCTATGTTTGTCTAAAGCGTTTGCTATGAATATACTTTTGAATGCGTTGCTTCAATTCTGGAACTAAGAAATGATCGAAAAGTTAAAAATAGGATACAAATAATAGCTATATTACAGTTAAACCGTACCAGGCTTTAACATTTCTACAGTCAGTGACTGTCGATTAAATGGATCCGTTGACGAGTTCAGTAAATGTCTATAAATTATGGAGCGGTCCATAATAACCCCACTAGGAAGTTCAACAGGTTCGGTCATTATGGTATCCATTAATGGATCTAATAACAGAAAACTAGCTTTATAGGGTGATAACGAGTCTGCACAACACAAGCTATGACTTACTATAACTTATCGTGAAGACAAACATCAAAAGCTTCAACATTACGAATATTACCTTTAAATTCATCGGGAGCATCATCTAAATCAAGTTCCATGACGGCATAGCTAGCATGCTCTTCTGCAACCCTCTCCGCAAAGCATTCAAACAATTCTATCGAGGTCTGTTAATGTTATGCGTATAATAAGCAATCAATCTTACGCAGAGTAGACTGTTTAGCTTTCCTAAAAATTTTTACTCACAGGAGGTTTTATGTTATTTTTTCTTAAGCAGCGACTGACGTCGTTAAATAATTCCCTACTATAGGATCTCTGGAAACATAAATGATAATAATTATTGTTTACATAACGACAGTTTATAATACGTCGCCTTTAGTAAATGAGAAAACCTTAGATTTTACCTGATCTGAAGCAACTGATTTTATAAAGATATCGTCATCCAAATGCAAATAGATATCAGTCAACTGATCTAGCAGGGCTTTCGGCTGAAAGTTATACTTTTCAGGACTACGCACCTGCATTAAAAAAAATAACTCTAACTATCTATATTCAACATCGAACTAAGCTGTAATCATTCCATCCATGATTAAAAATCCAATAATTCAAGTTATTAGCAACAGAACTAAAATACAGTAACTATACCTTCAAGTGACGACACTTAGGTCCACAAAGTTGCCGTAAATTAAAATTTAACATAACGGCTAGTCTGTCACGAATTTCCTAAAAAGTTAATTATAAGTTAGCATAACATACTAGCATTAATAATTTTAAACTTTTAACTAGCTATTTATGTCATAAAATTTACCTCTCGTATGAAAACTGCTTTGACTTGACCTGTTAGGTAATGAAATAACGATACTGTTTCGTTAGCAAGCATTAGATATGAGCGGCATTGACGCTCATTCATCGCTAAATTTTGCTGTCGCTGTTGCTGACTCTCCTACATAGAAAAAATAGTTCTATCTAACGTTGTTTCTTATATTACAGAATGTAACAATGCTAATATGCCTACTGTACCGATGATAGCTTTCCCCACGCAACTGTATCTTCCATTTGTTCTTGTGCATTGTGTATACTTTTCAACGTGTCCAAGGATTCATCAAGTAGAAAGGTAGTATCATTAATTAGCATATTAATAAATTGGATAAAATAGCCCTGAGATCTGTAATAGTAAAATACAATGCAACCAATATTTAAGATTATGTATATTCGCGATAAAGTAACATTCAATAATATATAACACCGATAAACATACATCCTATCTGAAAAAGAAGATTCTTGGTGTTTTATGTCCGACCACAGACATTTCAGAATTACAGAAATATGATATCTAATACTAAATTTATCATAGAATTCATTGGAACCACCGGTAGATTCCACATCTATATAAGTAAAATAAATCGGATTCATCAGGAATCAGATTATTTGCATAAGAATAGTAAAAGAAATACCACTTAATATCTTACCTATATAAAATTTCATTAAAGCCGAAGGTAAATAGGTAGAAAAAGGATTACTCCTGATCTCATCAAATATTCTGCGGGTAGAACCCTGAACAGCTGGACTAGCAGCAAATATCACCTAACAATCAGAGCTATAATTAGTTAAAACTATCACTAAATTCTACAAAGAAATGCTCATTTAATATTTTTAATCGAAGCGAACGCAATACCTCTACAAGCTTTGCGACCAAATAAGGATTAATAATATAATGAGAAGTACAAATAAAAACCACTAGTAATTCAGCAATATCCGGAAGGCTAGGATCGGACGAAATCCCACATGGGCAGTGTCTAAGTAAAAGAAATAAATTAGAGACGCGAACGTTATTTGATTTTGTAACTTATCAAAAATAATGAAATGGTACAGAAAGATGACATAAAGTAGAATACATACTGCAAATAGAACAATAGAAAATCAACAGTATCTTCAATAAAATATTCAGGTAATGCTCCAAAAACAATCGGGCAATTATTCGGTAAAGGAAGAATCACCCTATAGTAAAACAATAAATTTCGGTAAGCTAGATAGAATCGTTTTAAAAGGCTGCGTTAAAAATTACATACCCCTTTGTTTTATCAACTGCTACTAAGGACGTAAGCCATCGCGCAACCATACCACACAGCTGCATACTCTTGCTTAACACGCTGTCATCATTCAAGGCTATAGTGCTACAAACCTTCATTTGCTTCAAGTGCTATTATACATTACAATGCTTCCGTTATTAAAATAAAATCAAAGCATGACAGTAATTATTATGGTAAATGTAGCATTAGTTATCTTTCAACCTTGATTTGATCCTTCCATTTTTTTATAGCCGCTTTATTCCTCGCGGCTATAGGTAAATTCTTCCATGTACTTTCTTGTGTCTGTAATTCATCAAGCATACGGCTCATATCACGAAGAATTCTCCCTCTGCGCAGGCACTTTCTACAGCATGGTAGCAATGAAATATGAAAAGCATGTATCGCCATGAAGAAACATTCTGTATTAAAGTTAGGTTCCCTCCTTAATGATTCTTCAGCTGTAACAAGAACGTAAATAAAAACGAAAATTATATTTTTTACAAATAGCTTTAACACAGGGTGGTAATCTTGAATTGTCAAGATATAATCATGTAGCTTACGTATAACGAGATGTTCTAACTGTTCTTTAGAACAGTTTAATCTAGTTGTTTCTGTAATATCGATACGACACCGTGAAGAATGTAGATAGTAAGGGTCCACCTGTTAAATTTGTTGTAAAAAGTTAATATAGCTACCCAAATAAATAACAATTAAGCATTCAAATGTAGCATTTGAATTTACAAACCTTTTCTAGCTTAATTTTTGCACACAAAGTTTGCAAAACACTTAAAAAATTTAACATAAATCCATCACTTGAAACAAGGCTATCCTCTACCTATAAAATGAACTAGCATCAGCATCTGCTAATATAGGTAGAAAGAGTAATTTAAATGCTTACTTGCATCTGCGCACGTTTCTTATTTCTGGTTAGTACAGTCGCAATATAGCTAAGGATAAATTCTTTGCAGTCATTTGTTATCAACATTGAGTGTACAACATTGAACATACTCGTCTACGCACCAAATACAAACAAAAAAATATACGGTGGACCAATAAATATTTCTATAAATAATCTAACCATATGAAACTCTGTATTGATCATACCCTAACAAACTGAATTGCGCGTTGCAAATTTTTCTTAATCATTTTCAAATCGTACTGATTAGGAGTTTCCGCAAAGTACTTCTCGGCTAGTCTCGGCTAGAAAGAAATTATAAGTTTTTTCAATTGCGTCCTCCATTTTAGATAAAGAAAGTCAGTACTTACGCAATCATCAGCAAACAGCGACATGCCGAAAAACGGGCCTAAAACAGACAATCTCTCTAATTCACGCGCAGAACATTTAGTGATAGCAGCAGGCAGCCAAGTTGGAAGCGTTGTCAGTAAGCGACAAATAGGTCTTCGGTTCTCGAACTTTATATCACAAAGTTCAGTCATTACTTTGTATACAGCTTGATATTCGTTGTAATCAGCTAGAGTAATACTTTTGACAGCCTGCATCAAACCCATTACAACCGGTACAAATATCTGTGGTATAATCATATATTACGTTAACGTTATTATCACTGATGTAATGAATCTTCGGTTAATTACCGGGAAATTGAACATACACCGTATTACCTACACACATACTGATAAGCTACTATAATTGATATTACCTTCGATAAAGATTTCTCATCTTTGCTGGCTGCATATACCAAGTCGCATAAAAATCCATGGGGTAACTTACAATTAGGTATTAAAAATTTAAGTAGTGTCGACGACTCGACTATCGTTCTATAATGAAAAAATTCGTATATATGGTTGTTAGCAAAGTTTAATGTTGCTAAAGCTACTTACTACCGCCACATATCGCAAATATACAATTCGTGCTAATACAGCAAAGTAAAAGAGTAAATTACCTTGGTCTTGTGAATACACCTTCTAAAACAAGTCCAGCAAACGATGCGCATTGTTGACAGCTAGATAATAGTAGGTCTAACCAAATTTGAGGCGCGGGATACTAAATTAAGTAGCGATATTACAAAATGAGCAATTTCTCCTATAAAAAATATTTCAAGAGATATCTTTGCAATGATAAGTAATTACAGAAATGCGACAAACCTTTATATCACTGCGCTCCAACGACAGCCGTTCGTAACAAGAACACAAATACGACATCATTTCGTATTCTACAGTATCAATGTCTTCAAGGTCTGGCTTATTACTATATAACAAATGTCGGTAACTTTATTATTTCATATGCACATTGATACATAGTTTTTAACTACTGTATACAATAATTTCATGACGAAATACCTAGCGCCTGCAGCGCACCCAGCATTACGTTCTAGTGATGACAATCTTTCCACCAGAATTCGACCAACAAGTTCACAGTAATCTTTTAAAACAGTGATACATAACGTATTATTTATTTACAAATAGAGTATCAGATAGATTACATATAATATAGTAATACTGTAAATCAATATTGCAACTAACCGAAGTTATTTTCAGCCTGACTATCAATGGATGGCATGTAGTAGTAATCTCCTTCCATGGCATCCTTTTAACAGTCAAAGATTTAGATAAACAAAACTAAAATCAGAAAATAGTCACAAAATATATGGGTAGTAAAATTCTTCCAAAGTACCTGATTTGCTGTAACCCGAAATATTCTACATAATGCCGTCTTTATGTCAGCCTCACCAGCTGGCCGAAAATCGAACTATGTTAAATTTAATAACAGTGTGAAGATTAGAGGATAGGTACTTTGGTGTTTTAAAAGTATGTCACAAAATAATTATCTGCGAATTTGGGTGACGTTGCGTGTAGCTCTTATACAATGTTAAAATAAAGTCTTGAATACTACAATCCAAGGAAAAGTCTCACTGTATAGATGCTATCAGTATTATTGAAAGTATGATTACTTTTGAGTTGGTTTGGCTAGGCTTGGCTGGACATGCTTGATTTTGTTCTAAGCATTTACTTTTTTTTCCCGTAAATATTTCGACTGAAGGAGATTGACTAAGACATGGCGATGCTCTTTTACTACAGCAGGGTACCTGTTTGTCATCTCTATTAAACAAATTACAGAATTTATGAAATAATAATTAATAATTGCAATCAACAACACTAATACTCTTTGTAAAATCTATGTCATAGCATATTATAACAATGGTATTATGGGAAAAGTGAACACTCAATTTATGATCTTACGAATTCTAACATGATAAAAGAAATTCTGCGCACGACTTACTCAAAAGAAGAGTTAAGCGATATCTTTGGAGAAGTATTATCAGAACGATGTTGCCTGATGGCGTCTGTAGCTTTAACACCGGGGCATTCGTCAATTTCCATATTCTCCACAGTATCTTGGCTAGAGCAGATTTCCATTGGCTGATCTTGCTGAGATCTTAAAAATGTTACGTTAATATCTGCATTTAGTATTTTTAGGGTAAAACAACGCATTAAAGCACGATGATCATGCAAACATAGCTTACAGACAGTAATCACTATTGTAAACAAAAAAATTTTGATGGAGATCTGCAAGTACAGTATCTTCTGTACGCACGCTATCTACATACGCGTATAACGTCATGCACGACAATCAATGAAGACAAAATTAAAACGTACGTATATTTGAATTTATGTACGCAGTATCAGTAATAAAAGATCATGAACGGTTATCTGATATATACGTACACAACAGATGAGTTCGTAATCACTATGTCAAATCTAGTGTGAAGAATAGAATAATACCTGGTTTTGTTATCATCTAAGCCATTGATATCCATGGGTGAAGGGCTATTAGCTGATTTATTAGAACTATTGTCAACGACAGATCCGCCAGATAGTCGTGCTAATCTTCGCCGACGTATCTATAAAACAACTCTAGTTAAAATCTCTTTAAAAACGGAAAAGTACTTTATAATTAATAAGCGCATCTGTAAATGAAATTATTTTACCCTATGCAATCAAAGTCGGTGTACTAGATTACTATACTAATCTGTTAAAATAATTACCTACTACAGGAGATTATCTCTCTGTTACATCTATTCAGTAATATAACAATATTTTAAGATTTATGTAGTCAGCTTACTTGAAGTTAATTATATATAATTTATTATTAATAATATGCAGCATTATGAATAGCTCCGAGCAACTTTCGAGAAGCAACCTGTAACAGACTCGCGTCCTGATACTGAACTGGGTTCGACACTCAAATTCGAGAGACTACACCCACTAAAAATGGTACGTACTGTACCGATTCCCAGGTACCGTACCGTATTGTACTGTACAGTATATTCATTGAGCGTACGGACCGGATCCTCGGGCTAGCTTCAAGTGTCAAAAGTCGATGCTGCTTTTCCAGTGATTCAGCACTATTTACAAGCTGGCGATGATCAGCAGCCGACATGAATATAATCGACATTAACGTCGATCTGTAGATGGCATACTCTACCCTAGCGTCAAAGTAGTTCAAGAATACGAGAATCTAGCCTGCTAGCTTAATAAAACTTAAATTAAAAAGACTGAATCATTAGATGAAGCGTGTTGAATAAGCAATATAATCGTTGGCAACATCTAGTAAAGAGAGTAAAAGTCAAGTTCAATGGCGATTCTTCTATAAACTATCCAATTTTGAAAAGATTCAATACGACAAATCGTCCTGCGTTTAAGATCAGCTCAGTCATTAAAATTACTTTACAATCACCATTTCAATATATTTGAAATGAAGGCGATGCTTCAATTAAATCATTCATTGATTAACTAATGTAGCGTATATTTGGTTACGAGTTAACCAAAATAAAAGTGCGAAGATGGATGGTAATGACATCAAAGTGTTTGAAACCTCGATGTTTAATTATACTGTACAGTATGTATAGAATGACAGTACAATGACGACGAGGGTGTACAGACAGTAGAGTACGGACGGGAAACCGCTACTGGTTTACATGATTCACAGCGTCGCATACGCGCATTGCAGTAGTGGAGTTGTCCACGGTACAGTAGAGTATGTATAGTAACCAATAGCGTACAGTCCAGTACAAGTGTACAGTATATACTGAATAGTATAATAGAGCAGAGACTTTACTGTCAATGAAAAATTTTTTTCAATCTAGTCAGTGATAAGTAAGCAATGAAAATATTCCTCAAGTACTTCGCTGTTGCTGCTCAACTACACTGTACATCCATATTAGTGGGGTAAAAAAAGTTGTAGATCATTAAGCAATGCATAAAATAGATTGCGCACTACAAGCACTAAAAATGATACAGCATTTTAATCAAGACATCGTTGTCTTTCTGCCCAATCTTAACAGTCATACTGTTGCTTGTACTGGACTGTAGAATAGCGAAGATTCAACACAGGCACTCACTCGAGCGATTTTATCCGTGAAATAAAGGTTTTATAAATTAAAGTATACGCCAATCATGGTCAAAGATAACTAATGAGTTACTGTAAGCTTATACAACCAAGAATGATCAATGAATAACAGAAGAGGAAGAATCATTGCCGAAATCCGATATTATAACGCAGAGTCATCATCGACAATCACAATCGAAGCAGACTATTCAAAGTATCATCATTGGCATACTGTACAGTTTACCGCTGATAGGAGTCAATTTTACCTCTTCCGCTGTTAGTTGTTCACTCATCCTTGCAGAATTCTGTTAGTCATATGGAAGGAGCAATCAAATCAATATTTTGTTCAGGTCAGGTCGACCTTTACTCCAAAATATACGTAGTAGTAATGACCAATTTTAATTCAAGAAATGAAATAAAAGCTTCGACTTTATTGTCATTCAACTTCAGTGCACCATATGAACTGGTATGAAATACCAGTCAAGATAGCAAATTGCTGGAAGTTATATACTACAGTACTGTAGGCATAGTGAGTCTGCTGTACAGTACTGTAGGTTGTACTATACGGTACTGTACTGTACGTTTTTCTTTTTTTCCAGTACAGTACTGTACTGTACAGTACAGTATTGTACCGTAATACTGTATTCAGTGTACTGTACTGTATACAGACGTCCAGACTTTTATGTCTGGACGACTTGATCGGATTCGGTACTACTGTCCGATGCGGACAACATTTTGTTGACTCATTCTGCCTTTGCGTTTTTTATTTTATTTTATTTTATTCTAAAATAACGTCCGCTCGAGCATACTGTTTTAGTTAGTATATAATATACAAGTGTACCGTCAGATTATGCTTGTCTGATAGTTCATTAGCCTACAGCGTGTAGTACCTTCTTACAATGACCTCGTCAAGACAGACAATCAGGCCATTGAAAAAAAGCGTAAAAACACGAAATGGAGACAATACAAGGGTTTCACAAGACTTATAAATATTATACAATAAATTAATAAAACTGCGTCTTGCTTAGAACTTGATTACTGAGGACTGAAATAGATAGAGAACGATGCAGATTCGACAGCTCAATCGGACCGCTGCTGTCTTCAACCTTATCCAATTCTTGGGCACACTACAAAACTGAATGCGCTATTTTACTCGCTACTCATGATAGCAGTTTACTTGGGACACGTTAAGCTACGTTCAAAAAGATTCTTGTAAAATACGCGTACATTACAGCAATAATAAAATGGCAGTTCTACATAAAAACGAACACTAAGGCCGATGCATATTGTCTATGCCAATGCTGCGCCGTTCTACTACAATACTGTACAGTGTAGTGTATATCCATTCATCTTACGATTAGTGTTAGTATACTATACTGGATGCTGACGCCATAAGTACAGTTGATTATTATTATTACTGTATATTAAATAGCCTTTAGTTGCATAAGGAGTGTGTAAAGCCACGGACTACTCCTCGAGGGCATATTGACGATGAGAAAGCACAGTACGCGCATTGGTCAGTTTAGTGGTACTACAGGTTAGTATCACATTGTTGGATGGAGATAAAAACTCGAGTTGAGTAATCCCTGATTCTAGGCTCTAGCAACAAGAACAGCGTCCAGTACACAATCTGTTGCATAGTCGAGTTTACAGGCAACATTTCGAAATGATATCAACTATTTTTAGAGTCAGTGTGATTTCGTTCAAGTGCATGGTTAGAATGTTGATGGAGTCGCTTGAAATTTTGCTGTACTGTACTGTACACTGTACACTGTACAGTAGTGCACACTTTGCTTTGCAATCGCTTGAAACTTTGCTATACTGTACTGTAGTGTACACTTTGCTTTGCAATCGCTTGAAACTTTGCTATACTGTACTGTAGTGCAAACTTTGCTATGCAATCGCTTGAAACTTTTGCTATACAGTACTGTAGTGCAAACTTTGCTATGCAATCGCTTGAAACTTTTGCTATACTGTAGTGTACACTTTGCTTTGCAATCGCTTGAAACTACGCTATAATGTTGTATAGTACAGTATAGGTGCCATACAACGTATTTAGCTATTTCAGCGATTTCTGTACAACAATAATGTACTGTACTGTAGGTTCACACGAGCAGTGAAAACCTAGCGACCGGCGACAAGTCTTGTCATTGCAGTCAAATCCTGTACTGTACAGTGTACAGTACACTAGTGTACAGTGTACAGTATACGATTTTGTCTTCCAGTACTGTACAAGCTCTGACTGTACACTGTACTCTACAGTACAGTACAGGAGTATACAATACAATGTACACTGTGCAGTGTACTGTACATTGTACAGTAGTAACCACGGCTGCGCAGAGTGTATGAAATAAAAGGAGATCGACGAAAGCTGGAGAGGGCTATACTGTACAGTTGGACAGTATGGCATGCACCCAACAGTATATAGACAGTACAGCAGACCCCAGTGCAGAACTACACCGTAGCACTTCTTTTGTATCCAATACTGTACGTTGCTACATGTGCCCTTGGAAGTCGCTCGTTGGACCCATTTGGACCTGTCTTAATTTCAATATTTACAAATATATCGCTCATCATTAGTTGCAGCTATACCTGAGATTTCTTCTTTTTCCACCCCTTTACCTGTATCCAAACCCTATTTTGTATACAGCTAAAGGATGAGATTGGTATTGACTATAAATTTAAGTATGTAGTCTATATACAATCATCCAAAATTAACTACAGAAAGAGAAATTAACGTGCTAGGTAAGGTTGAACTAGCTTAATAATTCAACAATCGTTTCGCCTTGTTTTTATTATTTAGTCTATTTCATCGATTGGCATCTGTTAATCAGTTGGAAAGAGGCTTTTTTATTTTATCTTCTGAGCTGTTTGATCCTCAGTTATTTGTTGCTTATTTTGTGTATCCAAGCTAGAACAATAAGCCAAAAGAATAATTTTAAAAAGAAGTAGAGTACTCTACGTGACAACGATCGTTTACGATCGACCTAAGCTCTCTAATTTCACTCAATGGGATAGTCCAATTCATCATGATAAATTAATATACATGAAAAGATTGCCTAGATTGAAAATGGCCTCAAAATATCCCAGTTTATCATGAAGTATTTAGGTAATGTCAATGAATTGATCATTGCGGCTAAAAGAGAAAGCAATCAACGTAGGTGTAGAATAGTAGAAGAATATCCGCTGAAGTTTAATTCCTTTTTTTACCGTTATGAAATTAGACGGTATGCATGTAGAAGAATATCAGTAACATCGTAATGTAGGAGAAGAGGATATACTACTAATAGATGAATCCATTTACTTTATGCAGTCAGCTAACACTCAATATATTGAGAGCAGAACTAATCAAATGAAATTACCTACCGCTATATAATAAACAACGAGATACGTATAACAACATACGGGGCGTACAGTATTTGGACAACATCTTCAATAAAATAAAACTATTTTCTAGGTGCTACCGGCAAAAATGAATACTATTTTCTCTTGCAATATCATACTGGAATAAATTATTTCAATCATCTGGATGAAAAGAAAGCAATTCTATTTAAATGATATCATGCATAACAAGAAATATTACATTATCTTCGCTTTCTACATTACAACAGGGATACGATGACACTTTCTTTCCCTATCCTCCCAAAGTCATGACAAAATTAGATAACGGAAAGATAACTATTATGTTCTACTTTTCGTACTAATTTGTAATATTTAACGAGATACAAGTATCACATCCTTAAGGATAATAACGTGTTGGTGATAGGAACAATATCGATCCCTATTTGTCTGGCCTTAATATCATTATCTGATTACTGCCATTGATTAGTCAATAGCGAAATTGGCTGGTTTTACTGACATACATATTGTTTCATATCGCGATGCCTACGCGCGCTAGGCTAATGATAATTAGAAACGTTACACTTTATCCAAAGCTTTCACGGTTTTTACTGTATAATATTGATTACTGTATCTATTTACAGATCATTATTCTCACTTTAATAATAATTATAATCACGAACCGGTAAATATATCCATAGCCAAATGCCAATATGGATGTAGAAAATGTGATAGATTTAGATTAACCGCAACAAGGACTGACCAAATCACAGGACATTTACAAAAACTAGCCAATAAAACAAGCCCTTTTACACCTACGAATAATATCTTTCCCGATATTGAATACTGTTCGTAGTAGCTAATCAATTTTTACCCTGTTGCTTGCTCTTATTTTGCAATGTTCACCTTAAAATAGATTAACAAATACAGCCTGAAATAGCGATTCAGTAGAGTCATACAGTAAAATACGGTATCGATTTTAATACTGTGGCATACTGCATTTTATATAGTTATTTGCTGTAAATTCCATGGATATGAAATTTTGTGCTAATAAGTGCATCGGTATTGGTAGATAAGACGTTTTGTTCCTCTCAATTTTTCCAACGGAAAGGAGTTACTACGAAAGGAATCAAATCTATATAGTGATGTCTTAACAGAATCATCACCAAATAGATAAAATGACAGTATATTTCGTTATAATAAGTTTAAATTGATTATGGGTGGCATTGTTAGCTTTTTCATTAACATTCTTAACATCCTTCGTGCACTTGATGCAAACATCAATACTTCGACTATAGAGGATGCTTTATACTTTATGTATCATCATTCGCGCTTGAAAACATCTGATATCTATATGGAAAGTTATGCTAAATAAACTTTATATTCAATGGCCGTCCTTTACTCAAGTTACAACTGTATACCATTAGAAATTTCTTCAACTTAGAATTACAGTAACAAGTCGATGATAATTTTACCGACAGTGTAGCAAATAATGCTAGCTAGTAGATATCATCAATAACTAGTTACCTTTAGCTTTCCCATGAGCAGCTTCATTTTTTTTTCTCATGATTTTATAAATGGCAGTATATACTAACATGGATGGTATAATTTTACTTTTGCAACATTTGGCTTACATGAAATAGGTAGCGTATTCCTGTTACTAATGTACAATTGAAAAATTTTTATTAATCAGATTTTAGATAAAGTAGGCCTGCAAAAATGAATGCGCTACAGAAATTCTTTGATGATCTGAGTTAGTATTGTTTTTCGGATTAAGATTAACTATTTCACAATATAGCTAATTTTTTACTGTGCTATAAATTGATTAATAGTCACAAAATACGATAGTCCGTCAAGAAAGTTCCTCCATTATGACATTAGATCACTAAGTGAATAATCTAATTTGCAATCTACTTATGTCAATTATAGAAAGTCGAGATTACGATACTATTCGATTTGCAACTTATCGAACATGCTGTAAATTGCGCTACTTGAGGGAAAAGACAACATGTAAGTGAAATATCAACTATCAAGACAACTTTCACTAGCTATTATGATTTATTTAGATTGCTGTAGTATTTTATATATATACGCATATATGAATTCCATGCTAGTTCATATTATTATCAATTTTAATCGTGGTAAATTTTGCCTTGTCCAATATTTGTCATGGCTACGTCATCAAAAATTAGTATACAGACATACTATAACAATACATTGTAATTTGATAATTACTGTGAAGATAATGAAAGATGATTTGGTTTATAAGATCTAAGAAATTGGTTGGTGATTTCTTTGTAGTATCCAAAGTGGATATATTTTCTGTCATCGAACTTTTCAGAAGTAATGGATTAATAGGGGTTAACAATAATCAGACACTGACACTCCAACAAATGAAAGTGGTTATCCGTAATCTGCTATGGACGCTAAATAAGCGATTGCCTTTGAGAAATTCCAACAATTTTCAAAATACAGTCAAATTAATTTATGCATTCATGGCTGCTACCTATGCAAGGTATTCCTTCATATTTTAATGGAGTCTTTCACTCTTTTATTTGACATTATTTAGCTAATTCTATATTTCTTATAAAATTGGATAGGGATGACATTATTCGCATTTCATCCCTTAAAATAGCTTTGGCAATTCTTTGTAGTGGTAAATTAATGGACAGACTTAGATGTAAGTTCGAGAGCTTGAAAGTACTGGCTCTAGCCTTGTAAAATAAAAATGAAAAATGAAATGAATCATTGAGACAAAGCGTTTATTGATACAAACACAGGTCTACGTAATTTCTAATTTGATGAATTTGTTTTTTAATTGTTTTTTAATATTTTTTGAATTATAGACATTTACACTTTAATCTCCGATAGTAATGGTGCCCTAATAAAAGATAAATTCGAAAGCTTTTTAATCGACGTATTAGCTGTATGTCACTTACGTAGTACAGATACATAATTTTATTATGCACATATTATGACGTTGCTCATTATGGTTGCTATTTAGTTGCCCACGGCACTCGGTGAAGGCCTCACATTTTCTTATAAAGTAGGCATGTTGGAACAGTGTCTTAATGATGAGGTTAGGATAAATCTGCAGATTCTTATTATTACGACATTGTCAATTATATTAAAACAATTAACTATCTAAAATTAGCAATTACGCGATGGAGGAGATGTAAATGGTTTCATCGGCTGGATTACCGAACCTGACCCCTCTTCACGTTTGATCTGGTTATCAGTATTATACAAAATGAATCAAACTGAAAATGGTATTAATTGTCTATTGGTTTCAGCATCTAACTAAATTATTTTTTTCTAAGTAATGATTTTTCTTATTTTTTCAGTTCACCATATGATAAAATGTAAAACTTGCGAGAAACAAAATTTTACCGGACTTAGGTTGATTCCTATAAATTTTTATTCTATCGAATAATTCAAAAAAACGATAGTAATCGTCAATTAACGTTTTTTATTTTTTTCTCTTTTATCGTATCAACATAATTCAAATTACCCTTGGATACCATACTTGAAGATATAAATGTCTTCAGTGTTACAACTATCAACAATGCCAGGTAGTTATGATTGTGATATAATTCGTTTTTTACTTATCAACAGTGTCGTATCATTAACTTTTTTACAATGCATTAATCAACCATACGTACAACATTTAAAAGTAAATTTTTGCCTAAATTTTTCCAAGGATTGCTATTGGAGAGGCAGAATAAGTGCTCAACATGATCTTGACCATAATGTTAAAGAATTCGCCGTTTGGGTATAGAATATTTCTAATTATTTACTTGACAAACTGGATTGATTATATAGTTACCGTACCCATATTTTCACTCCATTACTATTTATTTATTCTCTGAATTAGTTGAGTCGAGGTAAATCCTTTACCAGATCTATTCGTAGATCTTTCCGATGTTTTCCTACTAAAAGTAGCCCGAAATTAATAGAATCACCCAGCCAGCATAAGAATACACTTGATCTACATTGTATAGTGTAAGACACGACCTTTGTATTTGAATGTTCTGATAAATATAATTAATTAGCAAGTATAGTATTACAATTCAATTAAATTCAATGAAATCACTAATATTTGTATTAATATTTAGGCCGACAGTCCCTGCACCTGAAGTTAATGAAACTTACGGAACGGATACATCGTAAGTAGTTCACTGCTTGGTACATGCAGAACTTTTTAATATCTGTGATTGTATCTTTTATTAGTTTTTATTTTTTATAGAAAGTAGTATCTCAGTACGTTTTATATTCAAATTTTCTTAATAAATAGCGTTAATGAAGAACACGCTCTTATAGCAAGATATGCATCTAGGTAAGCAGGTTATGTTACGTAAATATTTTTCTGCTGATCTATTAGACCTCCATTATCGCTCTACTTAAAGAAAGGGCAATAATTATATAATTTATTTTATTGTACTTTTATCAAAATATGTAGACTTGCCAGGCATGCAGAAAATGCGGTAAGAATTAAATGAATATAATTCTATTTTGATTAATCATTAACTTGTAAAATATTTAAAAAATTTTTGCTTCTATTAGCCTAGTACACCTAACGAACTGACTCTAAATATGAAAGAGACTGTAGAGAAAGAAAGATTGATTGGCACTCTTGCAGAAAGAAATATGTTCGTATATAGTCATTAAATTACTTCATGTAGAATTCAAGTTATTAACAGTTGTATTAATAAAATTAGGAAATTATTAACCGAGGTGAGAGAATGGGATGATCACAGCGATATAGTAAATTCTCAGAATGCCTCATCTACTTCATTGGTATCGAAATCGACAGTTGAGGAACTCAACTTAAGTAAATCTGGCTTAGAAGAGAAAGTATCGACACTTCTAAGCCATCGATTTCAATTGCTACAAGAACTGGAAGAAACAATGAGTGAACTAAAGGTATTAATTAATTATTTCAGTACTCGCATTACAAACACCATGCTTTCGTTAACGAAATAAGGATGTGTTTACATGCTTCAGAACTTGCTATAGTGGAATATTTAAAACACTAATTGAATCCATACAATTGCTCAAATATAGAGTTTAGAGACTCCTGATGAAAATAATCGACTTTCAGCTGCTAGTGATGAAGCGAAACTTAGAGTGTCTCGACTTGCAGAAGCTCGTAAATCTATTGCTACAATATTATCTCAGTCTGTTGATGTTCTAAATGAGGAGTCACTATACGAGAGAGATTTTTTTAACGAATTGTATATACCACATGCATTAGGTAACGTAAAAATTATTGATAGAAACATCATAAATGTTTTAGTATTTTCCTCTCAATTTAATGCTAACGTTTTATCAATATAATGATAGAAAAGAGTAGAGAAAACATCTCTGCTGACACCGACATTGTAGTAAAAGCTTCTACTGAAGCTGTCGCCAATGGTAATTGTAAAGAGGATGAATTGTCTCAAGGTCAGATTGATAAGATCGGTTCTGCCAATGCATTATATAGACAGTCAGAGATGAACAATTCGCTTAAAACAGATAACGATGAAGTTACAAAAACGATCAGTCATAGGTTCGTCTAACATAAATGAATATGTGCCATTTAAGTTTATGCTGTAGTAAGTCGATGCTATATTTGTAAAAATGAAGCTACGGGCTATGCACTAGTATATGCTTATGAACTGCTTTCACTTTTCACTCTTGAAATACTGCTTTCAAAAGAAAGTGTCGCGGTATCACCTTTAATTATTTGTTCATTCTTTTAACAGCGAAAACGTAAAAAATCCAGTAAACGGCCCAACTATAGTTCCCACGCCCTACAGGAGTCACAACCCATTAGATGATAGCGATGATGATGAAGATACTATTAACGGAGTACTTACGGAGACTTATGAGAGTGCGGGATTAACAACGGAAAACGGAAATTAGCTCATTGCCGATGTAGAATTTAAAACTAGTTAGATGAAGCAGTCGCTTTTGCTTACTACTTGATAAAATTCTGATTATTAATTCAAGGGAATTATTAATAAAGGCTTACATAGATATATATGATGTATAATGCACATATACTGTCATTACTATATTTTATTAGAATAAACTAAAAGCTAATGCTATAATATACAGCTAATTCGGTTCTGTAATTTCTCGGTTTATTAGAATTTAATATATTTATATTTTATTCGAGCTGAAATTGTCCCTACTAACTTACTTTATTTGATTTCTTTATGCTTGTAATCATAATATAGCATTTGCAGAATATTGGTCGGCATTACTATTATACATTCTTTATTGGAACGATTTATTTTTTAATTATATTGTATTGGTTAGTATACACGTATTATGTTTATGTACGTACGTGTACATGACTGTGAAGATTCCTAGACCCTTTGGTAATCATTTTGTATTCAAGGAGTATTTTGATATTAATTATTGAAACTTCTGCGGTTATTCTAAATTTTAAGATTTCTCTGATTTTATTGGCTTCCCTTAAACCCAATGTATTAGAATTTCAAGGGCTGCTCCATACGGTTTCAAATGGCTGCTTTCAATGCAAATTATGTTGTTCCATCGTGCTTTAGTAGATATGTCTCTTTGTCTTTATAACTGATACTTACTATATCACTCATTGTCTTGTTTGCTGTTATTGTAATGCTAACATAACTATTTATTTTCTAACGGGAAATCAGTAATTGTCCCATAATTTCTAGCGCTGTGAAAGTACATAAGGTCAAATAAATGATAATATTTATATAGACTTTAATCTATGCGAAGGATACAATAATATTGTATTATAAGCTATAATGTACGTATCAATTGCCGTTTGTAATACCAATGTCTGCACCATGCGCATGCATCTTATTAATAGCAAATACAATTAAATACTAACAACTGATCCAATGCATCAGCAGCTATTAAGAGCTATTTAAGACCTTGAATTGAAAGAGTATCATACCTTATGGAAGCTATCGGTATTTTAGTGCATGATTGTTAATTAACTCCGTAGGTCACGATATAGGATTAAACGTACCCCGAGGGAAAACTCTTGGATGAATTCTACTGTATTTTATTTGCATACAATAAGCCACGAGCTATGAATAAATGGTCGAGAACAAGGCAATAGAAAGCAAGGATTATAGAAAATTTCACGGATTTGCAGATAAAATAATCTAACGATCAGATAGATATTGTAGTGAATTAAATGATGATATTTTACCCGTCTAGAATTATTCACAATTTTACCAAAGTTTTAATTTTATTAAGAGTAAGACAATACAGTATATACAGAAAAAAGATGGCTACATTATTCCATGACATTGTTGATAGTGAAGTATAACGCCCGTCCCGCATATTACTACGTAAAGCTGAAGGGTAATTGTAATAAGATCTTGCAACTTCTCAACGGTAGAATGAGAAGTTACAATGAATTGTAGTAGTTATTGCTTTTAAAGAGTATCTTTCCATACTTTCGTAGTTATAATTATATCCAGCTTAGCCAGATCGCCATAACGACTAATACTAGTGTTCATTTCATCTTACTTTTATAGACAGACCATGAATAAAGGGTATACCAACGCCAACTTTGCTCATATAATCTAAATATTCTTGACCAAAAAATTGCAAAAGATAAGCTTCTTCATCTTGAATCCTTCCATTGAAGAAATTCCATGAGGCAAAAGCGTACCCAATACAGCAAATTGGGTTGCATAGGATAACCTATAAATGAATAATTCGGACTCTAATCAATCATAACATACAGTATACTGTACGTATGTGTCATATTTTGAAGTAATGGATATTACGTCAGTGATAGATAATACAGTAATATTAACAATTTCTGAAAGATAGGTTTTAAAAGAAAATGTTACAAATTACGGCATCAAACAATATCATGCGCAATAAGAAGATTCATGTAACGTTTTAGCCACTCATTAATAATAAGTCTACCTCACCTGAGTTCCTACACTCCACCAAAACCAACCAAAATAGGATGGGTGTCGGCATAACGAATAGACATCATGAGTTACTAGCTCGTGGGAAGATGCTTTCTTGGTAGCTACAACGTGACTGAAGTTTGATGCTGCAACAAACATACTACGCTTACGTATAAATTCGCCGCAAACAGCCATGATAATTCCAATGCAACTTAGCCAATGTAATGACTTGAGTTGAGGGAAAAAATAAAGCTCGATAAAGTATTCAATCCAGCTAGAAACTGCTGCAATTCCATATTCCTTGCTATGATTCAGTAAAAAAGAATCCATACTTAATTTTTCAGCATTAAATAATGCTGTTGTAGCATATTCTGACCAATGGAAAAAGGATAATGACATTAAATAAAAGCCAAGATAACGTAAGTTCGTTCCATATACGACCAGGTACAAGCCAAAGCTGAAAACTAATCCTAAAAATGTAGCTGCTACCAATATCAATCCACCAGAACGAACACGATAAATAAGATTCGAGATCTTTAAAATACCAAGAGCAGCTATCAACACAATGCCAATCAGAGTTGGTAGAGTACTAGCTATCACTATGTAAGGAAGTGGCAAGCCTAGCCCAATTAGAAAGCCCCATGTCGCAATACGTAATTCCCCCACAACCTCATATTGGCCATTTTTATTTGCCATCTTGATGAGGAACTACACAAATTATTCTTGAGGTTTTATTGCGTTTCTTCTACAGCTAGCCAAATGTTTGCAATTATGATGAAACTGCTACTCTTACAAACTCCATCGAATGCACTATATGTATGCCGATGTACGATACACTGTATACTAATTAGGCCGTGTACCCGCGACTATATTAATGCTTTCGCCGCGTTCAAATGAGCATGCGTCAAACTTTGCTTTTACCAAGGTAACCGTAGATTCTTTTCTCATAATCCAATTCAAAATGACACGGAATGCAATTGCAAGTTTAATCCCTGTTCGATTTCTAACGATAATTGCCCACCTAGCCTTAACTATATCCTTGTTTTGGACTAAGGTATGTCTACTGCGATGAAAAGGTTGACTAGGATTTTTAGAACGGTATCCAGTTATGCAAGATGCGTGTGTTATGGATAGATCATATTCGAATTTTGGAATGCCATAACTTTGTCATTCTGCTATTATTTTAACGGTTAAATCTACATATCATAACAAGTACATTTATAATAATTCAAAAATTTTTCTTATTTATTGAAAGATTTTAGATTTAGTTCAGATAACAGAAAATACAAGAAATTTGTAATTCATAGTCGACTGTTATAATTAATTAAATGTATAGGTGTCGTCAATTAATCGGCGATATTATCGAATTATCGTCTCTTACCAACTTAACTATCAATTACTATCGAAGGCACTTAAATTTTTTAAACCACTTTTACTCTATATGCGTTTTACTAAGTCAGCTAAAGCTATAGCTCTGTTTAAAATTTCAAGTATTAAATATCTCTGATATAATAGTATTAGTACAGCTTGATTATTTAATAAGTATAAAATTTAATAAAAGTAATACACAAGAATTAAATGCAACTGCGGGATTACGTGTTAATGAATAAACATATACACATTTCTCTAATAGGATGCAAATTTAAGATTGTGTTTGCCTACCGGCTATACACAAGCTCAATATACTCAAAAGGATCTACAGTAAGCTATAGACTTTAATAAAATTAAAAGACGACGTTATTAATATTGAATTTTTCGACTAGGCTAACCATAGGAGTGGCTGTAGCCTTGGGCTTAATTGCTATCGAATTGCTAAGCTTCGTCAGTGGGATATCAATATTCAACGTTTCCTGTAGTTTATTCTGTATCCTATTAATCGTACATACTTAATAAATAGAGTATTGGGAGTAGAACTATCCAATAAACTATTAGTTCGCTACATTCTCGTATGTCTATATTTATTCATAGAATTCTAACGTTAACTGATTATTATTTAACTTAACTTGCATTTAATACTTAAGCAATCGTTGCACACACTGGCGCCGCTTTCTCACTATCATTTTACATAATAAATGCCTGGAATTGCGACACTTTTTGGTATATTCTTGCCTTCTGTTGGTGAGTATTCCTAATTGATAACCAACAATTGAAATATTTTCGAGCCAATCGCTTGCAGCGTTGTACCAAAAATTGTTCAATTTGTCTTAATTATATGTGATTACATCCTAAGTTTTTCGTTGTAAATAAGCAAGGTCGTCCGCTAAAGAAAATTTCTTCTATACTCTTATAAGTCTATAACACTTTAGATTAGTTAACCTGGTACAGTCTTATAAAATGATCCTCATAATAAATATTGAGCAGTATGATAATTGATATATCAATTGTGTCTTATAGTGCTTTGCCGGCGTTTGTAGAAATCTGCGTCATCTTTGCTGTATCTGTTCTGAAGGCAAGGTAGCGACAAGATGCCTACGTTATGATTGTACATAAAGAAAAGCAGCGTGGACAAATAATATCTTACAGTATTCATATTTTATAAACGGTTACTGTAATTTGTGTATCACATAAGTCCTATTTATATCATTATCATTATACGAGCTCGTGTATATGCATATATGTGTAGATAATAAATCACTATACCTTGGAAGAATAGACGAATAATAGTAAATTAAAAGGGAGTTTTCATACTTAATTTATAAATAACTCATAATTGAATGTAACTTCTCGTGGTGTAGCAATGACTACATTCCGATAATATAATAAAAGTAAAGTACAAGAAATGACGATCAACAGGCTTCTGCATATTTGGTATAAATGGCACTTTTAAAGGTACTGGTATATCAATTTCAATCTGATTTGTGCTAGAATAGAAATAATTATTGAAAGAAAGACTGAAAATCTCCGTATAAATAGCACTGTCTGAAATTGAAACAGTCCTATTAACTGTAACTATTTTAGGATATTAGGAGGCCATGAGTAAAATAGTTAATAAATTATACTATTCAATCATGGTAGTTTTTTACGAGTTACTGTACAGTGTAGAACTGTAACCAGCCTAGTAGGAGTCGCAATTTGGAATTTTATGTAGTAAAAATTTTGAGTACTCTTAATTGCTTCATCATTGAAGTTTAAAGACCTATGATTGCCGTAATAAAATTACATTGTAATGTTAGAATTGGTCCTCTTCAACTCATAGATACCATTGCTTCATAAATTTTATTGGTATTTCGGATAATTTAAATATATATATACACATTATATTCCGATTTAATCTCTTTTAAACTTTCATCAGATTATCTTCCACTTTTCTGATGAAAAAGCAATGTGCGTCCCTTGATACTATAGTACGGTCAACGATGTAAGAGTATGCCCGTATTCTAGCGCTAGAGAGTAGTCATATTTACGATATATTATAAGTATGTTAGTATATACGATTCTACGTTTTATTCCCACAACTCTTCCATTTCAATTATAATTATTCATGAATAAAATCACTGGGTCCAAGTTCCAATGGACCGACATTGGAACGTATAATGATAATAATTATAATTCAATAGTAAAATGTATATTACGGTCTACATTGCAAAACTCCATAGTACAGTATGTACGATTCTACGTTTTATTCCCACAACTCTTGTATTTCAATGATAATTATTCATGAATGAAATCACTGGGTCCTAGTTCCAATGGACCGACATTGGAACGTATAATGATAATAATTATAATATTCAATAGTAAAATGTACATTACGGTCAAAGTTTACATTGCAAAACTCTGTAGTACAGTATGTGCGATTCTACGTTTTATTCCCACAACTCTTGTATTTCAATGATAATTATTCATGAATGAAATTACTTGGTTCAAGTTCCAATGGACCGACATTGGAGCGTTTAACCATAATAATTAATAATTAATTATAATTCAATAGTAAAATGTGCGGTCAAAGTTCACTTTGCAAAACTGTGTGGTGTATACTGTACTGTACACTGTACGGTACGGTACAGTATGTTGTTATTTGTTTCTATTGGCAATTAGCCTCGTTCTAATGAATGCCATTGAAGAGTAGAGCCATGATGGAGCAATCCGCAAATCTAAGGTTGGATACCAACAATGCAAATAAATTCCATGCATTTTCTTATCTGCCTTTTAAAGTACCGACGAGAGCATCTAGGTCGCATTAGGCCGCATGGTGTAGGCAATATGGCAGTAGAGTAACTAACTCTAATCATCATAATATGTATCGTTAAAGCGATGACTCGATAGATTAATAAAGGTGCACTATACGAATACGTTCCACACTTGAAGGATGGGTTGATTGATTGCTTTCACTGGCTACAGGAAGCTTCCATGAAAGAATTCCAAAATAATCATGCTGTCAACAGTTGCTAACGGCTAAAAATAATGAATTATTGCGTCGATTACGCTCATTGCAGTCGATCTTAGCGGATTCAGTCATTTAGAGCCCATCTTTAGCCATTAACCTAACCTTGACTATAATTTTGCAACCAATGACGTCATCATTGGTGATCTGGTAAAAAAGGATTCCACTGTCAGTGTACTGTACTGTACAGTACAGCCACATGGCACAGCACTGTACTGTATTGTACTGTACTGTACAGTGTACAGTATGACAGTACACTATAGAGTATACTGTAGTACTGTACAGTATGATAGCGTAGCCTCAATCCCTCCCTACTCGAGTCTCTCTTCGATCTCTACAGTGTAGTACTCACCGTGCGCTGCCACTTGGTATTGTAGAACTACAGTACCGTACTGTACTGAAAGGTCAAATGCGGTTTAAAAGTCCGGTACACTCGGTGAATGAAGTTACTGTATTTCCAAAGAATTTTCCCCAAATTCTTTCGAGTCCTTTCCAATTTTAAAAAGGTTCTGTATATCATAAATTAGTGAGCAGGCAAGGAAGAAAAATACTAACGTAATCGCTTGGTTATTCTACGCTTTCCATTTTGGCTGTCAGTCATCCTTGTACCAGTTCAATTTTTAAATTTCCAGACGTAATCAGACACAACATCTGCGTTGAAGAAATACCGTGTAGTTTCCTTTAATAAGGTACGTGCGTCAATGACGAAATGATAGCGTTCATGATATTGTATTCACAGTTAATTAAAGTAAAAGGAATTCGTAAGACAAGGGTCTCTACCTTATTTCCCTGTACTATATGCATGCTTTACTATGGGTAAAGTAATACAGATGTTTCACTTACTCAAACAGTGATAGGCTGGATAAGGTGGCTTAACACGTACTGTACCTTTTCACTTTTTCAGTTAAAATAATAAAATCACTTTGGAACAAAATGTTATAAAATACTCCATCGATATCCTAATCGTTCGTTCTCACTTAATACAGTAGGCAATAATACACTATCAGCAGTAGCTAATGTCCATAACTGAGACAATTAATAGATGCACACACCTGCCAAATCGTTTTCATTTCATATTACAAAGACAGTTAAGATCCCCAGCTGACTCAGCAGAATATCTTCCATTTTGAAGTGGCCGCGGAAGACTGGCGCTCTGACGTTAGCCTAACCGTACTGTATGGACCATCATACGCGTATCGTACAATACCGAAATCGCAGCCATTAGGATGTCATTCATTTATAAATGGCTATAGTTAATTAACTCTCTAGTGGCTTTGTATCAGGGACTAATAGATTTAGATTGTTTTCATATCGATTTTTATTTATCTGCTCTGTGGTCAAATGAAAAAGATAGAAACCTTTTTGGTTACAGAAATCAATCTTAGTCTTGGTAACTGGACACAGGCATTTCACTATACAATTGTCGCATAACTTTGCAATTGCTGAAGTCAGACTAGTTATTAAAAATGTTTATTGTACCCTTATCATGGATATACGAATATTGTACTGTAAATAAGAGAAATAACGTAGTCGGATATCTGTTCGTACTGTACTGTAGTTTAGGCAGTATTATCTGATCGTGCCTGTCCACTTTGATGTACTACATACCGAAATTTTCGTCTCTTGTCGGAGGACATTCTATTCACAAATTTACAATAGTTGTTTGCTTAGAACTTTAACGTCAACATCAAGTTATTTTAAAGTCGAAATTGGCTATGCGGGAGCGTCTGCATCAGTGAGCTGCTCGAAGCCCTTTCTTCATGTCTCAGCGTACTCTGTATCTAAGCCATACAAACGACTCCTTACATGCTTAGTAGTTAACCAACGTAGCCCTGTATTTTTGGGGGATGGCTTATTTTGTAGACCCCATCTGCGATATCCCCTATAATAAGCTTTCACGAAGAGCTGTAATCCACTGTTCGCATAATCATTGATTATTACCATTATTTTTCTTATATATTATTGTAGCAGTTCGCCGTACATAAGAAATATTGATCTCTAGAAACCATTCCCAGAGTACGAAAGCAAGATGAGTTTCTCATTTGAAGATGTATCATATTCTTTACAAGGCAAGCCAATCTTAAAGGACATCTCAGCTAATGTTAAAGTTGGTGAATTAGTTGCTCTGATGGGTCCCAGTGGTAAGTCGATAAGTTAATGCAACTGTAACGTTACGATGTGCTCGTACATAATCATTTGTAATTGATGTACTGTATTATGTCGCTAGTAAACGATACAGTACTGTGGAAAGATCCTGTAAATGGATGTGTAAAGTACACGTCTTGCTTTAACATGGGAAAATATATGCGTTAATTGTTCAGTAGATGAGTAGAATATGAATGCTTATAGAACTTAGATATACTTGATAATTTTATAGTAAGATATGTAGGTATCTCATTTAAGTTATTTGTTTCATTAATTAGGGGCTGGTAAAACCACACTTTTGAAATTGCTCTCACATCGTGTCAAAGCGGATAACGGCCGAATTGAAATTAATGATAGACGTTTAACTAGAAGACTTGCCCGACGAATTAGCTATGTTTTGCAGGAGGACGTCTTTTTTCAGAATAGTACCCTGAAAGAAACCTTAGAAGTACATAAGATATTGAGATTGCGCGTTATCATCTTAGAATATGTCTAAAAATTAGCGTTGACCGCTTTTGACTACTGTATGCATTTTAATTAATTACATCTTGCAGTAAACGAATTTACGCTTGCTTTGTATACTTAATTTATACCTTAACGCTATTGACATTTGTTTCATATGATGTTGATAAAAATATCTTAGTTGTAGGCATATTATTAACCAAATAATTTCTGCGTTCATTACAGTTTTCGGCTAGGCTTAGACTCCCAGATACCATGAGCGTTGACGAAAAGTTACAGAAAGTAAAACATGTAGCGAAGACATTAAATCTAGACAAATGCTTAAATACAAGTTCGTATCTTCATTTACGATACATTTACCTGTAATCGCCTTGAGGATTGTAAAGCAACCGAGCAATTTTTTTTTAATTCTTTCATTTAAATTTTCATATTATACTTATCATTACAATCAACCATTCTGCTCTGTCTAGTCATTGGAGGACCATTTCTTCATGGACTTTCTGGGGGTAACTGGGTAGATTAAGTTATAATAGCATATTGATTTACTGTTCATTTAGCAACTAAAAGCATATTAATTGGCCTAGGCGAGAAGAAAAGAGCAAGCATAGCTTGTGAATTATTGACTGATCCTATACTTCTGTTACTGGACGTAAGTACATATACGTAAATAGGCTTTTCTGTCTTACCACTTGGTGAAGTTACGCTTTATTTGGTAATCATAATTTGCCGAATTGCACAGCTAGCTGGTACAATTACTGAATACTTTTACGTTTTATTAGGAACCAACATCTGGTTTAGACTCTACCAACGCTTTAAATTTAATGAACGTACTCAGAAATATAGTTTCTACAGAAAATCGAATGGCAATAGTTTCCATTCATCAGCCATCGAGTAAAATGTTTTACATGTTTGATAAATTAATCCTTCTTGGAGGTGGCAAACTCGCCTATTTTGGTCGCCCATCAGACGTTCTGGATTTTTTTAGCAGATGTGGTTTGCGTTGTATTGGTCATTATAATCCAGCCGATTATATCCGTAAGTACAGTGTGGAGTTTTACGTCAGAGTATTACTATCAATTATTGTTTTGTTCAACTTGCCCACTGTATATTACTTAAATTTTTTCTCGTATGATTTAATCATTATGTATATTGGCTACCTAATGGTTAGTTGAAAAAGCTTGCGAAGGCGGAGACGGCTTTGACAATGTTGTGCAATGTTATAGTAAATATAGGAAGAGGTAATGTTATAAGGTAGTAAAGGTACTCGTTCACTTCTGCTTACCTCTGTGAACAATTTACCACAACAAGTGTACATCTCTATGTTGTACGGATTTAGTACTTTTGGCTTACACGTCATAAACTGGCTAGTTTTAGTAATTGATTTTAATGTTCCCTAACAATAAAATATATATTGTTCTTATTGCTTGCACTTAGTACTGTAGGCGAGGTGCACCATAGCGAGAAAGTTGAACATACACAGATGTGGCAAAGGGTAAAAAAAGAAACTGTCCTGTCAAATAAACTCATAGATGGCCAACAAGAAAGCATTGAAGTAGTTATACGCGATCACGTAAACACGAAAAACCCCACTGTTGTGGATCGTGAAAATTACAACAACGTAAATATATATGTGTTATCCGTTGCTAAATGCAATATTGTAAACGTTTCCAATTGATTGCCAAGTACTAAATTGGACGCTAACGAATTTAATATTAGCTAAGTGACGAGCGGTTCATAAGCGTTAAACAATATCTTAATTAAATTTTCTTCTCTGTGCCGCTAATACTTTCTGAGTGTAGATGTCGTTTACCGTATATTTCCACTACGTTAGGGATTTAATGGGATATCGAGTTCGAAGACAAATGGTACTAATTCCGACAATAAATCCCATGACACTGAGATTGCCAACGGCATGACGGAGGCCGATGTTGAAGTGTGTATAGATGAAAGAATGAAGCGTTCATGGCCAACGTCATTCTTAACTCAATACACAACTATCTCTAGGAGAGCATTTATCCAAATTGTTAGGTTTATTCTTACAAAGCTAAAGGCTGTACAGGTATTACATTAAGCCATTTAATTACATCTTGCTTATTATTGCTAATATGATTGCGGACAAGTTGATAAAATATACCCATGACGATACTACAGATGCTTTTAATGGTGACTGTTGTTAGTGCAGTCTGGTTTCAAATACCTCGCAGAGAAGAATTCATGCAGTCTATATTTGGATATGTAAGTATGAGATGTTGCTCCTGCATAAAATCCTTATGATACTATACTACGGGGGCTCAAAGTAATGAAACAAAACGTTTAATAACATAAAGTAATGTTTTGTCCTGAACTAGTACTTTTTCATCGTTACATTTTGGTCGTTCACTCCAATGTTTGACGCTTGTGTATCTTGTAAGTCTGTTATTATTTTTTAATATAAATATTATCTAAAATTTTATGCAAATTCATGCTTATTGAATTTGAACATCCTACTTAATCATGAACTATATCAACTGTAGTTCCGTTGGAGAGAATTGTATTCGTAAAGGAAAGATCAGCTGGGATGTTTAGGATTTCGTCATATTTCGCTGCTAAAGTGACGAGTGAAATTCCAATTTACTTTATATGGCCCACGCTATTTTTTACGGTATCCTATTGGTGCTCCGGTGTTGGCGGATTTACAACCTATATCATAACACTGATGATCCTCCTTGTTAACGTAATAACAGTGCAGGTAAAACTATTGGTGATATTTGCGAAAGTTTTACATACCATGTGCATTGTCCACTTACTCGTATTATTTGCTTGTATTCTGCAGGCAATAGGAATGTTCATAGGAGTTACTGTAAAAGACTTTCATAGATCTGTTGTAGTTGCTAGCGTTATGATGTTATCGTTCATGTTATTGGGTGGATTTTATAATCAGAGGATCCCAGTTTGGCTAACATGGTTTCGATACGTGTCTCCTGTCACGTACAGTTACTCTGCTATGTTGACTGTTAACTTTCATAATGAACCTCCTTTACGGTTAGTAGAAATATTAGTCTTTCTTAGCGGTAGATCATTATTTATAGCCCTTGTTACTGGTTTAGCGGATTAAATCATTGATGTTAAATTCCTTTAGGTGTGGTGTAGAATCATCGGTATTTCGTATCTGCCAAGGATTAAACACTACGGAACTTTTATCTACTAACGGTACACAGAATCAGTTAATTACCGCAGACATGGCTTTAAATCAATTGCAAATTCTTCTCCCTGTTGGAGAAAATCTCGCAGTACTCTTTGGTTTAGGATTATTCTTTAGAATTTTAGTTTACTATTCACTACGATATATGAATACACCGCAGTAAACAAAGCATGTACATGTTGGTAGAATTATCTCACTAATCCAGTTAATACGGTATCAAATTCTTTCCAGCTGTTCCTTGTTGAATATTAACATATTCCTTAGTATATATGGGAAGGTATCATGCGATGCAATAGAAATGCTTTCGATATTGCTGCTTAATGCTTTACCTAGTAAGTCGCCTATGCGATGCTGTAATAAAAATTTTGTAAATGTCTATACTACTTTTATCGTTACTCCTATTCTCATTATGAAAACGTAAATAAAAATTCCACTCTGAAATTTAGACTGACAAACTGGTTATGCTCATCAATCTGTACTTTGAAACGGTAACTTTATTAAAGTAGATGCTGTAAAATGCTGTACAATTATATCATAGACTACCAGAAAGCAATCCATGACGGCACCAACAGTCTCGCAGTCTAATAAGCAGTGTTGGTTAAATACTGTTAGTATATAAATTCATATGATTTAATTCTTGTAGCTAAAGGTGTCATTATAATTACTAGTAATTATAACTGTGCCTTCATCCAAGCTTAAGTAGTGATCCTCTCCATATGATGTGATATAAGTTAATAGGCTATCAAGATGGCATAATAGTTAAAGTTCTATGGACACGTTGATATGATTTAAGCTTGGACTTAAGGCAAGACAGGCTACAACGAAAAATGTCATGAAATTGATTGCAAGCTTCGGCATGATTTGACCAAAATTTTACAATTATCTTTCCCTAATTTCATATCAACAATTATACTGTAATAGGTTACTTCTACAAGGGACTTCTATGCGTATATACTATAGGTAACAATTCCTATAGCTATTTACGGCAGGTAGCGTTAAATATTATTCAAATATTAAATACAAGTATATCCTTCTATGTTCAATTGAATCGCATCTTTACGAATAGAAATCCAGTCGCCTATAAATCCTGTTCAATTTTAAGTAAAAGTTACTTCAATAAAGAAATATTTACATCTTAAATTATTGGTATGTACTGTACGCGCTGTATATTCGATATATTAAATATTGTACATAGACAGATCTGTTTAAGACACGAAACAAGGCAAAATGATTAAGAAACCAATAATGTGAATCAACGTGTAGCAATTTTTTCATTCATTAGCATTTTTCATTAAAAGCGCTAGTTAGCGTGAATGCATTTAAGAATATGATTTACAATAATGTTTGTTTTTCTCTGTCGTTTAGTAATCCCGGTATTTTTCCGTTCGCCCAATCCGACTTTAATTTTTTAACTTTGGCAAGTATTTTTAACGCAGGACCGAGCTTTAAATTTAAGATAGAAATTAAATGTTCTTCGCGTAAAAGCAGTAATGCTTCTCCATCAACTTGCTCATTAAGGAATAACTGTCCATATCTCTCACAACCATCAATAGTACATACAAAATACGCAACTTGCTGACTATTCCAAGAGTAAGGACTAGAACTAAGCCAAGTGGTATCTAACTGATCTGTATTGATGGATTCGTTTGATATCGAGCTGTGCATAACATTGACTGGAAATTTTCTGGCACGAGTATCTTCATCATTTACCGCATCAAATATGGTCATATCGGATCTCTATAGATGCAGATTCATTAAAAAATACTATTCAATAAAGTAGGCTACTTCGATATCTACAGTAAATAAGGTAAAAATCTCAGTTTCAAATTACACCACATTGTAAAATAAAACGATTATTCTAGTGTATTACAATTGAAAACATGCACGCAAACGATTATAAATTACACTGACGATATATTACCTTTGTACAAAGTTCGCGTGAAGTCTTCAATAATTTACCATTACTAGTATTACGGCGATATTTGTAAGACATTTGATTCACTGTCGAAGCTTTCGAGTGAATAGGATACTTCTTTGAAACATTCTTTACATTTTCTGTATTCGCTGTTAAATCATTACCTTCTGCAAAAATTGTACAAGTAAACAGATGCATTGTTATTATTATCACTACCATGATATAATAGAAATCACACAAATGAATTTATGCTACATGTTTACTTCCATACTCTTCTTAGCTATATACTGCACATATTAAGTATTATTTAACTGTAGGATTTATTTGCAGGAATCATGTCCCAATGGTGATTGTTCGAGTGACAATTTTAACTACTGTATGATTACCTTATTATCCTTTACTAATGAAATCTACGTTTGCACTACCAGAGGAGTTTAATAGTTCCCGACACTATGATGTGAACTTCAAGCATAATTCAATTTTATATCCATTGCAATGTAAATTATCTAGCCGTACTGGATCTTATAGGTAATACAATGTACATGTTGTCCGTACAAATTACTTATTTATAATTTTAAAGTGCCACAGACCAGGCTAAAATAAGGCTAAATTGCTTAAGATATCAGAACTAGTAACTGCAAAAATCATTGCTGTAATATTAACTGTAGTAGGTTAACATCATCATGTTAGTGCAGTATACAGTATATAACATATACAGTATTCCATGCGCACTGTAAGCGGTAAAAGTGACAGATAAGGGAGTACGTAGCACTATAAGATGGAAAGTTATAAAGTTTGAGATATGTATTGTGGCCAAATGTTACTTCATACGCACCCGTTGAATATGTCGTCGTTGAAGGCTTCTACAAAAAGACAGAATAGAACAACACCGAATAAATAACATAAAATATGCTACGTTATAGAATACATGTACATCAATAGGGCTTACAATTAACAGTCACCGTTATATCAACTATTTGATACTTGAATAAATACATTTTTAAAAATGTCCAAAATAAAAGGTATTCTGCATACGTACTTCTATAGATATGTGCCATGGTATGACAGATAAGCTGAGTGATAAGGTGAGCATGATGACGTATGCAGTAACGGCTTTTACTGACAATTAAAGTAAACTCATAACTGTAGTTTGCGAAGAATAAATCAGTATCGCAAGGTTAGGCGTATCAAGGCCAAATTAGCTAGAATATATCTATGCACTATTAGATTATGGAATGACAAGGTCACTGCTGTCGTATCAGGTTATACATTCCATCACTAATTAAAAATAATACGCATGCAATGTAGTAAGTAAGTGTTGCTTTCCTTTCAATTATTAATACTATATGTGCAATCGAATGATAAGCATGTGTCTTCTCGAGTCTTCCTTCGAGCCCTCATCCCGTTTTTACTGTCCGATTCTGACCTAAGGTTATGCTACTCGTATATAAATCAATTTTACGTTAGTGACATCATAAATGCTCAGCATCAGCTATGAGATTTTTTTCATGAATTATTGTACACTGATAGCACATCAGAATTTGTTCATGGTTGTTATAGCATTATGAGTCAAGACTAAAAGGTGATGTAATTTCAGTTTTCAAAGAGGAAGACTCGTAAATTTGTAAGCTCCTGAGTGTATTTCAAATATTGTATTGCGTATTTCTTTACCATCGATCGCACCAACTGTACATACAGTACACGCATAGCTACAAAGTAAGCAATACGTGGTCAACATTTTTCAGTAAGCAGAAATATTATTACTGATTAAAATTGAGAATCGTTCAGGTAGCTTTTTAGAAATTCAAAATTCCTTGATCATTATGTACCGAATATACCCGTACAGTACTCGCATACTATGGATGTACGTATTGTCGTCATAATACACGAATTGAGCATCAGTATCCTGCTATGTAAGGTTAAGCTGAAATAAAGTATAATTATAATGAAGCAATCCAGTACGAGGGTCGATTATCTCTTATACATAGAGCCATCAGTTCCTAGCTTGTGTTGTTGCAAAATAACTTATTCGGTCAAGTAGAAAACAACCAGTATACGTCCTTATAATACTGTTTGATCATCATAATATTAGTAGTGTACACTGATGTACTCGAAAAGTAAGTTATGAGATGAAGATTGTTTCGCCTAAGCTGCATAGAAATATTGAATCTTATAATTCATTCCTGACTGTAGTAATCGACTGACGTAGACAGCTGGATATATTTTGGTCAATCGATAGAAATTTGGAGTTCATGATCAAAATACAATGGCTGCCTACGACAGTCGAGCGTAAAAAGATTTCAACGAAATTACAATCCTTCATCAAGTTAAGAGTACACCGAGTCAAGATTTCCCTTAACTGCATGCTAGATCACAAATCAATCGAATTCAACTTACAATAAAAGGCTGATCGCTTTCCTCAATAATAAAACCGTCAATAAGATGAGTGATGATTGAAGGAGTTTTACGAGTATCATCAGTCTGGTCTAGACTCATTTCGTAGCATAGTGGCCGTAATAGATTGCAATAATTTCTTCCAATAGCAGAGTACAATTCGACGCAGCAAGCACCACTTCAAGTCGACACTAAAATTGCCAAGGAATGGCAACAATATCAATGAGTTGGGCGAGATGAAATTGAAGTACTAGTCCAATAAAGTAAGTAGACAGTGATAATGGAGAAAAAAGAGTCCAATAATTTAATCCTAAAGCCGTTTTCTAAATCTCTTGAATGGATTCTACTTTTATTGTGATTTAGAATATTAAGTCCAGATCATCCAATCCTGCTGCCTAGACTGCAGATTACAGCTATGTGATCGCATTGGATAGCTTAAAATAGTACCATGACGGTAAATTCTGTACAGTACCGTACAATACAGCATGCTATACGCGAGTTTAGAATAGACTTCCGTCACTAATGCACTTTACTACGGTATAGTACTGTAGAGTGTAGAGTGTAGAGTGTACAGTGTACAGTACTGTAATGGCTACGAATTTGAGGTTCTTCATGATCTGGTCCGGTCTGGTCCGGTCTGGTCTACGAGCGTGACCGGATATTTTTGGCAAAACAATCTTCTACACAGTGTATCTTACGAATCCAAGTACAGTACTGTACAGTACTGTATGGACTGTAGTGTACTGTAGGTAAGACAAATGTCGTAAGTTGAGACCTTGTTGGCATTACATCATATGAATGGTATGCGACATCTGTTTTGCACATTGCTAGTACTATGACTATATGTGCATCATAGACTACCCTTTCAAGTCGGAGTAGGCCTAGTATTGTCCTTGATAGTTAGGAGTCTAGGACCCATTCTACGCGACGTCCTTGATTGTATCATGGACTTATCCAAAAAAATTCTGTAAGTTGTCTCTTTCTTTAATTTTTGGAAAGCCTCCGAGTATGTGCCGTAGACTTGTTACAACAACAACGGAAGGGATCGAGATAGATATCACCAGATAGCTAAGCAAGGACTACCTTTAATTAATAGCTAAAGGCAGTCCCTTATATAGTACTATATGCTCTATCGAACCTATCCTATCTACAATACACCAACAGTGATTTGCTTGGCTTTATTGATCTTGTGTCAGTCATTCTTTCTAGTAACGAAAGGCTTGATGACGAAGTTGTAAATAAATGTACGTATGTAAGCAGTAATCCGATATCCTACATTTTATTCAGTGTGATTCCGATGTAGCAACCTTTTTAGAATATACAGGTCATATTGATTTCATTGAACTAGATAAATGCTCAGCTATCGAACTGTAGCATAAATCATTCTATTCCATGTTGAAATTAAATCGTTTTAACAGTAAAATAGATAATTTTTACTAATCAAATCAGATTAATTCTATAGAATCGGTATACGAAACAAAGTTTTCGGACTCGACTCCTGAGACTGAGAGCGAATCGAAAGGCTGCTGCATCCTCTAGTCACAGACTGTCACAAACCAAGTAAATATGCACCAGTATTCATTCACGATAGAATACAGGCCATTCTAGGCAACACATACCGAATCTCTGTAGCGCACTAGCACCAAATCAGGGACTACTCAACGATTTTTCCCCTTGAAGAATTCTTAACCATGGACTTTGAAGACTAATACGTCTTAGAAGTCCCTGATGGCCTGGCCTGGCCAAACATGACTGAGTCTACTAACGTCACTAGTAGCTGAGCTGTCATCGAAAGCCAAATTCGTTGTTGCATCGTTGGTCGTTCTTGGTTGATGAATGACGCCACTAGCAATCATACCACTGTAACATTGACACTGGGTTCAGTACCATTTTGTATACAACATCTTTCATTGAATGAATCGACACATTGTGCTACAGGATGACACTACTGACAAACGTACTGTACCACTGCTACATTCGTCTCCAGTATCTTTGTGATAAAGTGATCTTCAAAACAATAAATCAAGAACTACAGTTTCTTGCAAATTTCACTTTATTACAGAAGTTAGGTTCGTCTAACTACCAAGGACTATCCGACTATCTGACAATCTACTTATTACAGCAAAATTCACGATTTATATGCGATTAGTTACAGAATGCTTTTACTGTAACAAATCTTATCTTGCCCATTAAGTCGCAAGATCAATTGATTGAATCGACACACTGGACAGTTCACTGTAGATTCACGCCTCAACGTTGAACACAATTGCCGGCAGACTATTCGAAATTCAATGCAGGAATATAATTGACTGTGAAATCAATTTTTTTCTTTGAATTGCTGCTCCTATTGAATTTACAATAATTTACCAGAAAGAGAATACTGCAAGAATAGATTTCAATATTGGAAATGCACGCTATCACAATAATCAAGAAATCATATTTAACCTTCCTTTCTCAGCGCTGGTTATATAACATGCAAGCGACCACATGTAGAACCAATTCAGTAGTGGAAACATTGAAACTGGAGAAGAAAGTCCATTTCAATGTCAATGAAGTTTAACGTACCATAAAATGTGTTAGTAACTAGTATTACTATTTATACCTTTATTTTACTAGTTCGACTTTGCAGTTAAATTAATTATCGTCAATACGTCAAGTAGAATTAGTTATCAATTCATTTTTTATGATCTCCTTCTCTCAACTTTGAATTTCACCTTCAGAAATAATTAGATGATAGTAGCAGAATTTCAAGTAAAGTTGCTGGGATTAAGTCGGTTGCTTCATTGCACAGTAATATTCGAATGCCGGTTCTACAGTATCACAATAGTCAAATAGGAAACGAATAAAGATGCAACATGATGACCACTAGAGAGTAAAGACCCTGTACTAAAAAGATTCCAAGGCTTTTAATGAAACGAACGCGACAGACACAAATTTCTGCAGTGCTAATCGTAGTTAATCCATATATAAATTAAATTTTATAATATATGCAAGAAACTTTTGTCTGCATGTCTGTCTTGTCTGTTTCTACTATACTGTACTATAGTACAGTACTCTACTGCACACTATACTGTATATATAGATGACAATATACACTGAAGTGCACTCTTGCACTAGAAACTTATTTCATTACAATTACAATTAATTAACCGAACACATCGTGTTCTGACGACAAACCCTTAATTTTTCCTTTTACTCTTCTCACTTCTTGCTTGGCTATTGTAAATAGAACCAATCTTTTACACGGAGGCAGCAGTAGCAGTGATTGCACATTACAACTTTGAGGGAGATAGAAGGAAATTGCCCGCTTGGTCTAATTGTCGTCTACCATCATTGGTTAAAAATAATAATAATAACTCTGTAAAACTATACCCTGTCAAGAATGCAAAAAGACCAAACTAGTAACGCTCCTGGTAGTAATCATATCCAACCCTTCACACCACGTATTAACTGCATATGTTGTATTGGTGCTGGTTACGTTGGTGGACCAACCTGTGCTGTCATTGCTCTCAAATGCCCTGAAATTCAGGTCTTGATTGTCGATAAAAACCAAGACCGAATTAACGCTTGGAATGGCGAAACTTTACCAATCTACGAGGTACTGTAAGTTATTAATTAAATTGAACAATGTATTCTACATTGCAATCAATGACCTCCAATTTTTCTTAACCTTTATACGCGTTATTATAATTGGGTAGATTGATACCAGAAATTATGTGATAACCAAAAGCATGCTCATTCACATGTATAATTTATACGCTTCAAATCCAACTAAATTTATTCCCCTCTATGAAATATCGCCTCTATATGCAATATCCGATACGTTTACCAGATACCAGAATCAACAAAAATTCTACAATGTACTGTACATTCATTAAAATTATATAACCCGTCTCAGAGTCTACTAAACTAGAGGTCTGCTACAAGATATTGCATTGAAAGCTAAGAAATTACTATAAATCTTCAATAAATTACTACAGTGCTCGACATCTTGTTTAGGTATACAGTATTCGGTAAAGTTTATGTTACATGCATAGTAGTACAATACATTAAACGTGCATAACCTCGTAAAATAAGTTAGTACTTTCCAATAGATTAATGCACCGTATTCTTATTGAAAGTATACTGTATACTGTAGTTCAGCAAAATGTGTATAAACTTGAAAACTTCTCCCACTTTTCACAAATTAAACGCCGCTTTGTTGATAGAGTGTGGTACATGCTATTGGATTTGAATCATTGACATAAATACGCATTCAAAATGTTCAGTACCTTATATTTCAATGTTTACATAACGCTGTGATTCAAATTGAAATGCTGCACTGTATAGTAAATCACCAAGAAGATTCTACAATACTGTATACTATACAGTGTAGTATAGTGCATACTTTTAAAAAATCGTTATCAGTATTCTCTTTCATAAATGTAGCGAATCGAGAATACTACATAATACCGTATAGAGACTGACAAAACATATTTATACTTTGATCACTTATGGGCCTTATAAATTAAACTCTTCATCTTGACTTTGATAGATATCAATCGTAGATATTATTTTTGGTTCCTATTCGTTTGTATATTACTGCGGTTCAATTAATGATACACATACAAATAGACTTTAAAGCTCATTATCCTGCTTTATTAATAAATGATAAGATAAAAAAATAGATATTGTGGTTAATAAATAAAATTCCTTTCTTAACACTACTTAAGATGTTGAATTAGATCGTTTTAATTGCAAATAACATCTTAGCGTATATACGTATGAAATTACTGCATGATTTTAAATTTCTACCAGTATTGAATAATAACACGAATTGCTAAAAATTTCAGACAACAAGTATTGTTAACTTAATAAATTAAACGAGTAGAAATGGGCTTAAGCGCTAAACATAGTTCTTTAACTGTATATTAAGCTCTTCCTGATATTTCTTACATGTTGTAGCCTGGCTTAGATGAAATAGTAAAACATTGCCGCGGCAGAAATTTGTTTTTTTCAACTGATATCGACGCAGGTATTCGGGATGCCCAGCTGATATTTATTTCGGTAAGAAGCAATTGCAGTTGTGCCAACTGTTAGATATTGTTATTACTACTACTATATTACTGTTCTCAAAAGATGATGAGCTGAAGCATCATTTACCTACTCAATTTGTCATTTATCGTGCATACAGGAATATACGCAACATACGCTTATAAGCGATTTCAGTTTCTAGTGGCAATTAATCTGGTTTTATCATGGTGTTTATATCTTATTTTCATCATTCTGACTGCCAATACTATCAATGGGAAGACTGCTCAATGACATATAAATTAATTTCATAATAGTGCATCGTTCATACTCTCATCTACGCTTGTTAGTTATTACACATTGTTATTTTTTTACTTTGGATTCCTATGTACTTATAGGAAGACTACGTAATAATAAAATATCATATTGTATCTATCTCATGAAATCCTACTAGTTAAACCATGAAAAACGAAAATTTCGATGTTTTCTTCGCTAATAAATTTTATGCTTGCCTACATAAAATTTAATTTAATCTAGGTTAATACCCCAACAAAAACATATGGTATAGGAAAGGTAAACGAAGCACACCTATCTTAGCTGATAATTAATACATCCTTCGTATTTCTCTAGCGGCCATACGTTACGAATAGCTACTAATACCATAACATGGCAAGATTGATTTTACTGTATAAGTTGCCATAGCTTTCACATGCTAATCATGCTAATCATCTCCATCGATATTCGTATACTGTATGTAGTAGATAGTAGATATGTATGATGATGTTGATTCCTATCCACTTCTAGGGTCGCGCAACAGATTTGCAATTTGTGGAAGCTGCTGCTAGACATATAGGGCAGATTGCAACTGGTAAGAAAATTATTGTAGAGAAAAGCACTGTGCCAGTAAAAGCTGCAGAAAGGTATACCATGTAAAATTATGACGTACACTATCAATTTTTCGCTATAAAATCTCTGATATTACTGCCATTTATTTAACTGATCATTATTTATGATATCACCTTAGTATCGCGAAAATCCTGTACTCTAATATCGATGACAATGTTTCCTTCGAGGTAAGAGAAATAGTCTGATTTCTGTAAAATAATGCTATACAAGAACTTCAATATACTGTAAAAACTTTAAAACTGTTGGAACATTGTTCACTAAATGATTCAATAGTATCAATACTTACACGGCAATATTATATCATAGGTTTTATCGAATCCAGAATTTTTAGCTGAAGGCACTGCTATTAATGATCTACTGCAACCAGATCGTGTGTTAATAGGTAGATAAACTATTTTGCAAAGATTTTATGCTTGTATAAACAAACATTACTGTATTAAGTTGTAACTATTTGAGAATTGAATATAATGTAGGCGGTAGCCAAACTGATCCTGGCATTGAAGCTATAAACCAACTAGCTTGGGTATACGAACATTGGGTTCCGCCATCCAAAGTACTTAGGACAAATGTTTGGTCTTCAGAATTATCGAAACTGGTAAATTTCTCGTAAAAGTTTGACAAGTAGCTTATACCTTACAGCATATCAATAAAACTGCATCATAATTTTCCTATAGGCTTCTAATGCGTTTTTGGCCCAAAAAGTATCGAGTATAAATGCCGTAAGTGCAATTTGCGAAGCAACAGGCGCAGACATTTCAGATGTAGCACATTCTATTGGATTGGATAAACGGATTGGTTCGAAGTATCTTCAAGCTAGTATTGGTTAGTGGCACGAACGTTAATGATAAATTAGATTTTTATAGTACTTCATTTTATTCAATTTTTAGAATATTGATCATTAGCTCTATTTAATTTAGGATTCGGTGGTAGCTGTTTTCAAAAGGACGTATTGAGTCTAACTTATATTTGTGAAGCATTAAACTTAACAGAAGTTGCTGATTATTGGCATCAAGTAAGTTTGGCTCGAAATCGAATCTATAAATATATTAGAAAGTATATTTTAATGTTAAATGCACATATACAGAATATATATTATCTCTAGTTTTGCTGTAATATTGCTATTTATACGCAATAATTATGTGCAACGCTGTTACTGATTAAAATAATCATCTAGGATTAGCTGTTGTTAGCCCTTTATATATGGAAAAACTATGTTCCATTACCGTAAAGAATTTATTAGTATATACTCAATACTCGTAGGTTGTTGTCATGAATAACTATCAAAAGAAAAGATTTGCTCGGAAAATTATCCAATGTCTTTTTCATACTGTATCTAATAAAAGAATCGCAATATTTGGATTTACTTTTAAGAAAGATACTGCGGACACTAGGTATACAACTTTAGTAGCTAGAGCAAGGATGACAGTCATCATTGTAGCTATCGCAACCTTGAATTGCTTCTAAAATAATTGTATGTTGTAGAGAGTCATCAAGCATTTATGTAGGAAAATATTTAATGGATGAAGAAGCACGCCTGGTTGTTTATGATCCAAAAGCTGATAAAGGCCAAATAATTAGGTTTGTCTTCTATGTAGCGTATAGTATATAATCTATAATTGATATTATTAAGTAAATAAACCTAATACATCATTTGGAATGATTTTTTAGCGATCTCCGGGAGGTTTCTTCTCAAGATCCGCAACGTGGTATGACTATAACAATTAAATTTCTTACCCATTGCTAGAAAATATCGTTTGAAGGGTAACTTCTGATATGATAAACTCACCGAAACTATTTACGTACCAATTATTTTGTAGTAGATAGACTTGTTTCCGTTATAAACGACCCATACGATGCTGCTAAAGACGCCCATGCCATCGTTATCTGCACTGAATGGGACGAATTCAAGGTATTGGATAAATATTTTTTGAATACCGAAATAAATGTAGTATGTTAAATAAAATTAAAATATAACTACCTAGCTTATAATATCATGATCCTTATCTATAATACCTAGGCATTAGATTACGAAAAGATTTATAATTCAATGTACAAGCCAGCGTATATTTTCGATGGTAGAATTATCTTGGATCATGCAGCTTTACTTCGTATTGGCTTTCATGTAGAAGTAGTTGGAAAAGTTATGAAGAAACCAGTTAATGACCTTACACCATTTTAATTTTTATATCGAGAGTAAAGTAAACTAATTATATTAACGGACGCGACACTCTCACTGTTAAACAGAGTATACAGATCATATCGAAAGCAAATTTATAAACTTAAATTTTTTAATTTTTCCCTACAAACTGACAGTCCTATCTATACTTATGAGGTATGAAAGAATCTTATTTTTAAATGCACGTTGTGTATAAATCAATAATAGAAAATATGATATTTCAGCAATACTCATAATATTCATAAATTGTATTTTCGAAACCATATTCATTGGAGGGTTACACGACGAATGCTTAATAGCACTTTGTCTTCGATGTTAATTCCATGTACAGGATTTATTTTAACATAACAATATGCGCGTTTATATATGCGTATGAACATGTGTGTTAGGACTTAGGATATGCTGTAATAAACCCTAACATTATTTATATTTTATGAGGGGAACTATAAAGCAGCTGGCTATTTAGTATAAGTTTAAAACCGTACTACATCATTGTAGAATAACGATTAATGAAAGTGGAATACTCCCTTGTTACCTCTGCTACCTACAACGTAGATGCAGTTTTACGATTGATAATACGTGATTATTTCGATAAGACTACTAAAGCAGTATATTAATATTGAGCTTTACTAATACATCGATGAGCAATGCCATATACTCATGTACTGTATATATATACGTATAGTATGCTAGACGTTTCAAAACTGCACTTGTATTCATGGCGGCAGCAAAGGTTTTTGGTGCATCCGCTATTAAGTTTAAACTAGTACTTGTATCGCCGTCACTTTAATTTTGTATAATTTAATATCGAATATTGTAATTAATGCGGACTGCATCACAATGACTCTTGGATTTAGTATATTAATGTAAGGAAACTCTGTAAGAACACTATTACGTTATGACCAGGTGTGCATCCCTCTTAAATGACATCCGCATGAAATTTTACCGTATACAATCCCGGTGTCAGACCCGGTACTGTTTGAAAATAAAATAATACGGAGCAGAATACATCATTCCATTGTTAAAATTAATCCTATCTTTCATTTTGCGTTCTATCAATTTCTGGATCAACAACATAAGCTATCGCTTTGTCTTAATACGGTAAGAATACTCTATCATGAAAAGGAAGGAAAATGAATCGTTCCATTGCTAAATCTTATTAGGGTATAGCAGAACGTTTGACTGATTCTGTAACCAATTATACTGCAATAAAATGGGGCCGATGTTGGAGAGTTTGCTATGTCGTATTATTCCCTAATGAGCTGCACTCATACTTTTAAAACCGCCTTGATTTGACTACTGCGACAGACAAATGAATGCAAATATGAATTTACAGCTCGTTTAATTTAGATATATCATTATGGAGTACTAGTTCAAAAGAATGAGACCTACAGTATGCCTGACACTTTACATAATTTGCTAATTCTTAGTAAATAGCCCTATAAAAGAAGCCTGAAGCAGGCAAGTGAACTGGCTGTAAAAAATTCATAGACTCGTGCGGATATTCATAAATAAAATTGTTTATACATGGCTGGTTTTCATTAAATCTGTTTTATATAGTGTCATGCAAACCAAAATTATTCTTAGGCAATATATTGTAGTACAGTATTGCTCTCTAGGAGATGGATAATCGCATAGCTGGAAAGGTTGTGCATAGAATGCAACTGGGATCACTATAAAATTAAAGAGTATTTTTTTACGCAGTTTTGCAGCTTAGCTGCGAATCTTTGGTGTTGCATATTTTGATCGGGTAAGAAGATTGAAGATTAAAATTCGATCAGTAGTTCAAGACTAAAGAGCTATTCTCTTATATAATAAAATCAGATGCAAAGAAAACGTCCGCGGATAGCAATAAGTTTCTGTGACACCTTACTGGGAGTCCAATATTACGGAAGATAAGAACTAACAATTATAGAAAGATCTCGCTTTATATATATTTACTGTTATGCAACTAATAGTAAACATCTTCTATCACTTTACAACTGACAGTAAGTAGCTATAACTTTCAATATACTAACGTCAACACCCCCTATTTAAGTTAGTTAATCTTGGTAGCGTTACATATTGATGATTAAGTAGATAGGAAAAGCACAGGTTTTGCCTGAACGTATTAGTCATAAACTCTAATAATAGTTTATCATTAAACGGGTACTATTGGAAATATTTCATCCATGATTAAGCAGACAGGAAAAGTAGAGATTCAGCCTGAATACGCTAGCTAATAAATTTCAACAGTAATTTGTAGTACAACCACCGTATTAAAAACTTTCCCATTAACGCTACAGGCAAAGCGAGAAGCAGGGATTTTGTCGGAACATGTTGGTATTAAACTCTAATTGCAGTTCACTATAGTTACGCGTAACTATTAAAGATGTTTAATTACTTATTACAATAAGTTATTGAACATCTCCTATAATTATAAGTAAGCGGATAAAAAAGTAACGACTCAGACTTCATACTGTACGTTAGTTAATCAATTCCAATAGTAATTTATGATAGTGACGTGTAACTACAATGTTAGAGACATTTGTTTAATAATCAAATTAATCGTATAGGAAAACTTAATGATTCAATCTGAATATACTAACTAATGAAAGTCAACCAGTCGTTGATGACTATATGCGAATAAGTAGCAATAAGAGATATCCCATTAATGTCTGGGTGAAAAAGAAAAATGAAGATTTAATCTGAATATACTGGATTAGCGGTCAGCTCCGACAATATTTCAAGCTTGCACGCATAAATATTCCAGATATTCCATTTATGATTTGAGCGGGGCAAGTTGAGAGATCTATTTTAAGCCTGCACGCGTAAATATTCCAGATATTCCATTTATGATTTAAGCAGGGCAAGTTGAGAGATCTATACGCTTATAGTATGCTCTAGTATGCTGTAATTAATTCAGGTACTCTTTGTACCAGCCACTGATCTACGATACTAATGAATAGCAGACATGTACAAATTCGTATTCTGTATAATATACAGTGTATATTGCTCGGTGACCAAAATAAACAGTCACGCCCGTAACCTTCTTTTCTTTATAAGGCAATCGAAAAGTTCATAGTACTGTAGAACTAGCAATAAGAGGTAGACACGTATATCTTCTTCATGCCTGTGTAAACAAGAAAAGTCAAGATTTAGTCTGAATCTATCAGCTCCAACAATATTTCAAGTTTATCTATTCGTCATATTACAGATAATCCATTGATGATTTAAGCAGGACGCAATGAATTGCATTTCCGCATTTATTAATTATCAGTAGTAAAAAAAGGAATAGCAGTTTTAGTAGATGAATCCAGGTATGCTCATCCTAATCCTGTACACTTGTACAGTAATAAGGCATCATAGAAACAATTAAAGTAGCGATTAGTTTCTTTTGCACAGGATTATACCGTACTTTTAATTCACAAACTTACAACAAGTTTCTCCTCGCAGTACAGAATATCTGTTCCAATTTTTAGCAGCGGAAAGCAAGGTGTGCAAAATGAGTTGTCACCATCTTTACTGATATTCGATTAGCATTGACAGCATGAAACCATAGAAACAAGATCATTCATTTTGCACATGATCGCTTTCTAGAGTACAGTACTGGAGAACGCTGACAATAAGGACTATGTGGCTTATCAAACGCTACCTTGAATCTATATTGAAGCGATACAGTGGATAGGCATAGTCCGATCGAAAGCTAGATTGCAAATTAGTGATCCTGTTAATTATCTAACTGCAGTCATATTCCCAGTCGAGGACTCATCACCCAAATGAGAAATTAGCATCTGGTAGCAGTTAATTAATTAAAACTACTAGCAAAATCTTTACAACTAGGCAATCCTTTGGCTACAAAGCTTTCGATACTTGCTTGGTTTCAATTAATTGGATTAGCTCACTTTTAAGCGCGTATTTTCTACCAATTGACGTTATTAATCCGTCAACTAAATCTCCTGCGATAAAGTGTTGGGCAGATATTCACATCACCATGTTTTCAATCCATTTAATCGTTGGAATATGCCAATTTATTTTAGGCATTGCCAATGTTGCCTTACTTATTACTGACTGGATTCATCTCTATTATCATGTGGGCAATTCACTCTTGCTAGGCAATGGCGTTACTGCAGTATCTGTAAGTTAATATATGGCCCAATGATCGATTTGATGCTGTTTTTAATGTTAGACTGTTCTTCACCGAGTAGCACTGGATTGTTAATTTCTATTTTCACTTCAACACTTACCCTCCACAATTAAAATATAAAGACTCTAGATGAAATATCATTCCTCAAATTTTTTGCATAATCCACTCCTTTACATGCTGCCCTATAGGTCAACGAAAGGTTGCAAAACCTGGCAAAGAATGATTTATATAGAGCTTTATATTTTGATCACTAAGAATTAATTATGTCAGCTGAAAAGTAAAAATCGACCGTGGTCTACTACTGTAGACGGCCGGTACAGCCGGTCGAAAAGAAGCCCTGATAGTAGTTGAAGACTTATCATTTCATCTACAAATCATAAAATCTTATGGCTTTGTCTACCGATCTTGATTCTATTGCCTCTAGAATTAATGACAATGACGGGCAAGATATACTTTTAGGCTATTTTGATTCGCCATTCTATAACGTTTTAGCATCCTGTGTAAAGGAGGACGCTTTACCACTCAAAATGGCAAGCAGTTGGACGTAATTGATTGCAGTTAAAGCGCAGTTACATTGATCTAACATTGTCTGTGTCAATTCTTCCCATCGATCATGACCATACATTGCTGCATATACTCCGTAACTGCCCAATGTCGAGTATTCTCGAAACATAATTTTTAAAGGATGATAGTTTACTCTATTCACATCAATAAGGAAGATAAATAGATTTAAAGTAGACCCAATGACAGTATACGGAAGTACACGACTCATATGCGAACTCGTAAAATACAAGATATTGCAAGCGTACTGTCATCATCGAGACTCATCTTGATATTAAAAAGTTCTTATCGTAGTCTATTCATCACCAATTAAGATTAACAGCAGTGGCGAATGTTTTAACGTTTTTATCCTATTCTAATTTTCCAGCATACAAAACGTATTTCAGTGCTATATTTGATGAAAATGGACTACTGTAGATTAAAATTCCTCTTGCTGTACAATCCACATATTATATACAACTACCTCGCAATTATAGCCTATTCGTATGCATCTGCACCGATTGTAGCTAGAAAATGTTGCAGTTTATTAATCTACGTGATATCTCAATTAGTAATAATACTGTAGAACGGTCGATTAGATTACCTTCATACCCTATCGTTTATCTTCCACCTTCCATGATATAGATGAATAGGTTAAAAACATACAACAATTTGTATCGCTGTCGTAGACATATGAATATTGACTGAAGATGGAAATGGAAAAGTCAATGTCACCGTCGATTAGTCGAGTGGATACCGCAACTTACATCGCTATGTCGATATTGTAGATAGAAAGTAGCACACTCATGCCGTAACTGAATCTTTCAGTAATTTTCTAACTTACAGTACTACCGCAAGTGAAATGATCGGATACGTTAGAAAGCGGATAGCATGAATTATCTTTGAATCGCAGATATCGACGAGATCGATTATAGCTAGGAAGTAAAAATATCGCTGATCGACATAATATCTCAACTAGCATCAGTGCAGTCATAAACAGACACACGCGTATATCTTATTTTATCATTTTTAGTATTCTACAAAATGATATTCTACACATTCTTCCTCTACTGATAGACTAGACAGATAGATAGATTTGACCCAAAATTCCAGCTTAATTGATTCGTAATTGTAAAAGACCCATTTACAGGCAGAAATGAAAAAGCACATATCGTAGTCTGTTGATCTAGATGATATCACTTTCACAACGAGCATCAAGAATGCCTTATGCTGTATTCTACTCTACTCTTCTAATCGTATTCTACAGTATTTTTATCACTGTAAATAAAGCAGACGAATTCGTTAAAAGAACAAACAGTGTTAGTCTTATCGTAATCATGGACATTGACTATTTCATAGAGAGAAAACTAAAAATGGTAAAACCCATGTCATAATCTGTTGATCTCGATCATATTATCACTAGTATCAGAAGGATGGTAAATTGACTTTTTGTTTAATCTTCAGATAATGTTACATTACTAATTATAATAATAATGGATAGGATAAATCAAACTTGTATAACTAATATACGTAGTGTAAAATTGTTACTGTTTCATTGATGGATGGTATCATGTTAGTGCTCAATAGAATGTATTAAATGAAGGATCAAAGCTAATATCCATTAGCGTGGCTTAAACTGAAAATTAAGTTGATATTAATATTCTCCTTTCTTTCTTTATTTATTTTCAGTTATTCTCTTCTTCCATCATCGCATTATGTTATTACCGCACTAGCAACACCAAAATGGTAAGTAGATATCTAAATCTTAGATGGAGTAATTAATTAATTAACTTACCTGTTTAGTTTATTACTAAAAATTCGTAATATGCAGCTCCCAAATGCGTAATAAATTATCTTGTGTAGCCAATTTGTTTGAATTATGTCTTTCCAGTCATGGCTACCATTACATATTCGGTTTAAAAACAATAATTGCATTAAAACATTGTTCTATGCCATTTTATACCTCTAGTCTCGTCATCTATTGATATTTTGGTGTAATTGTTTTCGTTATTTATGTTAGTGAATTTCACTTAATCACCATCCATGTTGAATCCTATCTCACCGTTAAATGTTAACAAGCTGTGTACTAAATCATGGTCAAACCTGACCAAATACTTTCTGCATCGGCAGTGTTTCCGATAGCGATGCTAACTCCGAGCAAAACTTCCCTCGTAATTTTGGTCATGATTTACTTATTTAACTAAGAAATTTCTACAACAGTTTGCTCAGTATCTAAATTAAGACTGCTGCTGCACTTATACCGCATATCCTTCGAGTGTTTGTCGCTAGATAAAGGCTCAAAGCAACAATTGTAATTAAAATCATTTCAGACCAGTAGCATTCATCGTTTAAACATTATCAGCATGAAATTCTCAAGTCGACAGCATGAAATATTTGAACAAAGGAAATTGCCAATCTTTCTTTAATGATCAAAATCCTGTTCTAATGTTGAGTATTATGCATACCAATACTAACTATAAATTTGATGAAGTAATATTAATGATGCATATACTCTGGATAAATATCTAAAGTAAAATTAAGCCATTTTCGTCTTGTTAAACCTGTTGCCTTCAACATTAACATTAATTGCGATCTATGTGTATTATAACTGAGTAGTCTTTAAATTGAAAAAAGAAATACCATCCTATCAGTCTTCGATACGAAGACGAGCATAACTATATCTTAATGAGTGGATATTGTCTAGGATACATCATATTGGATCGAATGTACTATATTGATACAGATAATTATCTAATATTTACTATTTATATATCAGCATATTAATTTTATCTACAATATTACACTATTTAGCTACTAGGCGTGTTCACATTTTCCATGATGACTATTTGGTGCGCTCTTGTAGCTTTATTCCAGGTCTGCTACAGCTATATTCGAGTTAGCTACTTCTTTTTTGGAACTTCACGGGCTACAATCATCGCCTTTGCTTTTACTGTCCTTTTCCAAGTAATAAATATTTTCTCCAGTATTTTCATCGTGTTGAAGTATAAAAAATTCTTATACCATCATAATGACGAACAAAGGCGTGAATCAATCGTAACTCACCCATTGGCTAGTAAGGCAAACAGTATCAGCTGTTTACTAGGAGGAACTTGCTCATTGCTTATTGGAGTATTTACAATCATATTTTTTTATGGAATTTATGGTTCACCAAACTGCTACCTCGGCATTTGTGTAAGAAATATGATTAAATTTATTACGAAATGTTATTAATTTGATACTATCTACAGATATTAGAATTTTATATTAGACAGCAATTTGTATGCTCACAATTTATTCATGCTTTATCTATAACTTAAAAGACACTTACGGTTGGAGCGCTAGGAATGTTTGCTCAAAGATGCCATAATCTACCTGCTCTGGTGAGTTTTTATTCAGCTACTTTATAGAAGTAGTAGTATTATTTGCTACTTTCATACCTGCATTACAGTATGTAATATTAGCTATCAGGATCAATTTAAGGTACGGTACTGGTATATGGAGTGTCATTGAATTTAGTTTTAATCACTTTTTTATACTTTCTTAAATACAGGATCTTATTATCATGTTTATTTGTCGTTTTGGCATCTTAATAGCAATAACCAATATGGGTTTTGCTACGTACTACTTTCACTTCATCTTCACTTTCCATGGATTGGAATATCTCATTGTCGGCAACCTTGTCGCTTATCTTTTCACGATGGCTTTCTCAATCTTTAATTTAATTTGTACAACCCTAATGTGTTACTCAGCGAGCTCAGAGAACAGAACAGTCGGCCTATTAACGATAACATTGCGCTCACCAGCAGTAAGCACTATAGCAAAAGTTGGCTATTTCAGCGGAATAGGACAATTCATTTGCTCAGCAAGTATCTTCGCTTGTACAATTGCCGCTTGCGTTATTTGGCGTGGTGATACATTCGCCAGTTTAGCTTTGATAGCGGCAATTTTGGTAAGCTACTAATACAATAAGTTTCTGTTAGTGTTAATGATATTAACGATAAATTCAACCATTAGATACTGTAGTATGCTAATAATACTAATAATACCTACTTGCTATGGATTTGCATATATCGTATCTAATCAGATGTAATCGTTTAGTATATTCGGTAGAAGTTTATTAATATCGTTTATCTTACTGTATTCCATGAATCGCCATTTGCCAGTAATAGCCTATGCATTATGATAATATATAATAATATGCATGTGTAAAAGATATGGCTAACTATATAATTATTATCCATACAATATCAGAAAATCTTGAATCGTTTTTAATATAGAAAATGCTACTAGCATTATGTTAAATTTTAAAATCAACTTTCTTTGAAAGTCATCTCCTATGTATAATCTTTCGTGATGTTCATATATTTGTACTAAATAGTTTATCGTAACGGTTAATTTATGCACTGTATAGAAATTTTCACTAGATACATATAATTATGGCCGCCTTGTTAGTAGCTTTAAATGCACGGTTAATCGTTGTAACACGTTACTATAATATTTACTACGAAAATGACAATCATTCACTCCATAGAATACAGTAAAAGTGTCGTTTTCATTGCAGCTAATATTACAGGTCAAATCTAATTTACGACGAAAACGACAATCATTCACTCCATAAAAATATAGTGAAAATGTTATTTTCATTACAGCTGATATCACAGGCCAAATCCTGTAAATCATAGCTTTTTGGCGCACTAGCGCAAACATACATAGAAAATGATTGTATTGATATAATCTAAAGAGTCTTCGTTCTAAGAGATATTTATCGTCAATGGAGATGGCTGTCTGTTTCAAGGCTTATTTAAGCAGTTTTAGCGAATATCTATTCTTACTAAACCGCCTAATTTTCTTATTACTATCAGGTTTTACTTTCTGCACAACTTGGAAATCATCTAGCTCTGGATCAATCGGAGGACTTTGTAAGACGAATTTTTAATATTCATACTGCAACAGATGAGCTCGGATTAACACTGTAGTAATTATATAGGAAATCCTGTGTATAGTAATATGTTTTCACTTTATCTTGCAGATATTCATCTATTTTATGTCGAATATAAGTGGAAGCGTTTGCTGCGTAAACGCATTTGGATTAGCAATTTATGAAATTGTCGCTTTACAATTATCCCACTACAATCACAACGTCTTCATATTATTTATATTCATCATCTTGATACTAGCAGTAGCTATTGCTCTACATTTGAACAGCTTTGTGATAACGGGACGCGAGTTGAAAATATTCAGCGGCCGTGTATCTAATGTAAGTCCATTATTCTATTAGACTGATTAGTACTAATGCTTCAACTATAAAATATCTAATTTTGTCATCTCTGAATTATATATTAATAGTACCGTGGACAACTACTTAACAACAATGACAACGATAACGATTCCAATGAAAGTTCAGAATCTGGTTTGGCTCCTAATACGGCAGTTAACGCATGAGGAAACAGTTTTCTTCATGGAATTGTCATCAAGTAATTGATTTGAAACAAATGAAACCCTTGTAATACAGTACATAAACATTTATCGTAGTCCAGTCTGTAATATTGCATACGAGTATACCAGTACAGCATTATTTTACCTTGTACCTTCTAAGTGTTTTACACGTTATTATTATAGTACTCGAGTCATAGCTCTTCAATATAGGAAGTTTCCATTATTTTATCGACTTTAGATCAATTTATAGTTTTAACCCTTTCCCATAGAACTCCGTGTTAACTTTATACACTTTCGTAGAACTATGTTATAATTAAAGTATCATTTTAGTTTATGTAATTCTGCGTAACTTAAATTACTGTAATATTACGTGTACGTCAACTTAGTAAGCCAGTTACTTCTAAAGAACCTAGTTATTTGATAACATTACCTCTTCTAATTAATACAAATTTTACTAGACAACCTGGCACGTAAAAATACCTGTACACGTATCACAAAAGTACAGTGCAATAATTGTACCCATCTAATTAGATAAGTATTGTATCGTAATTTACTTATTTGTTATATATCATACAATAAATTATTTACCTTGTTAAGAAGTTTTTACCACTTGGCTGTGTTTCTTTTGTTCTGGCATTATGTGTATCACTAGGTCATCTTTCAGTCAATTATATTCTTAACTATATACGCCTTATTGTACAATTAAGGAAGATAAAGCTTGCTAATCTAGATGTATTCTTACACTACGTATCAATGAGAGCATGAAGATGAAAGCTATATATAGCATAAACGCGCGATTAGTATACAAGTATATAAAAGCAACTCAGCTTTCTAATCACTATTCCTATCGCTAGTGTATGTACTGTACGTACTACTTTCGGAAATAACTTCGATAATAAAATAGATCGACTATAAAAGTGCAAACGAGAAATTACCACCAACTCTAATATTTATCATCAAATTTATTTAGTTTAATTTGATGCCCAATACAAAATTATTTAGAAATACTTTTCCAGCTCGTATTAGCTCTGCTGTAAAGACAGCTGTAATAATAATATTAATTCATACTACTGGTACTGTCTGTATACTAGAGAATCAACGTAAGCATAATATTTATTGTGATCATGCAAATGAGTTTACATCGTAAATAAAAGGCCAACATAATACACAAAATTTCTAAGAGTACATATTTTTTAAACTACAGCCAAAAATCGAATATCAGATTTTTGCAGATAAAAATATCTTTCCGCCTATTTACTTGTACCAAATAGCTCCTCATCGTCAAATTCATCCAAGTTAACATCCTATAAAAAACAATCATCCAAACACGTCAGCTATCGCATTAGATGTACGCATTAGATGTACGCATTAGATTTGTATAGTACTTTACTATCTACTTACTGCTCCATCAATGTCATCGTCAATATCATTCAAGTCAATGTTGAAATCCTAATATATCAATATTATTAATTAATCATAGCATATTTATGATTTACTGCAGAAACGTAACAATGTAATTGTATTAATAACCTCGGCATTATCCAACTCTTTATCTTCACCAGATTCTTCCATAGCGACTGATGGTTCAATCCCATCTTCATCTGTATCGGTAGTGCCATTTCTACATGCATCTATTACTTCAGCAAGATTTACTTCTAGATTGCTCTGAAATAGGTAAAGATTTATAGCATTAATTCTTTCAGGTACAATAAATATTGTTTACTATTCAAATAAATGTAATATAACAGATCGATTACCTTGACTTTTGGATACTCCGATGCTGGAGATAGTAAGCCGAGTTGCGGTTTTAAGATGCTTTCAATCTCAATACCTTGTGATAAGTCTGGAAATAAATTTTCATATTTCTCTGGGTCAGCGAGAGAATTCGCTGCTTTTTCATTCATTTTTCCTAAATCTTCTTGCCATAATTTTACAACTCTGTAAAATTGAAGGAGTACGGTAGAGTATTTATTAGTTTAAGTAGTAGCACTAGAAATAACTTAATTACCATTACCGTGATACTTGGCTAGGTAGGTAAGCACGAGCGAAGAATGCAGCTTCCGGTAATCGGCCAGTAGAACATAATAATTCCAGGCAAGCGTCCAACCTTTAGACATAACAATAACACATAAATTGCAGTAGATAGCAAGTAATAACAATACGGTATCAGAAGTATTTCTATTTCGTAGTGGAACAAATCGTGAAGAATGATACTCTTTTCATACCTGCCGAGCAGGAAACAAGAGACAAATGCTATATTTGTCTTATCATTCTTTTTAGACGTGCTAGCCAATCTTGATATCATATCAGCGTTTCCAGATGATGTAGCTAACAATAACAATCCGCCAAAATCACCGGACTCTTCAAGGCATTTCTCAGCCAAATCAAAAGCACCATTTTTCATACATTGTTCTGCTAAGCGTTTAAATTTCTGAGGTGACTAAAAGGCAAGTTAAAATCATAGTTTTATTAACGTATGATAGAGTCGTAAGAATATATAAGGTTATATTGGCAATACCTCAGCGTCTTTAGCAAACTGAAACGCTAAATTCCAGTTATCAGTACTAATGGCAAGGTCAAATCGGTGATCAGGATCCGTAGATACTTGTAATGCTGTCTTTAAAAAGCCTTGTTTTTCAAGAAAGCGCGCAACTCTTGTCTTCTGATCCTCAGGTATAGTTGGTAATACCCTATCCGCAGTGTCAAAATCTTTTCGCATAATCGCTGTCTGATATTCCATAACGGATAACGGCAACGAGTAACTAACAATATTTAAATCTTTATCACCAAGGTATAACCGATTATCTTTCGGTATATAGCCAAGTAGATACATAACCCTTTAAAAATACAGTTGACATAGATTAAACTTTTTTGAAGAAAAGCATACCTAATAGAAACCAGATTAACTCACCCATCCAAATGAGCAACAGTAACTATTTCTCCTCCAACGAAGTAATTTAATCTATTAACTGTAAAAGAAATTGTATTCACTTCTAACAACTGGTTATTAAACAATAAAGTACATTAAAAATAAATCAGATTTCTTTACTAACCTGAATTTGTGAAAATAAAGCTGTCGCCTACCCATATACCGGTTTTTACCACTTCTTGTACCTCAGTTAGAACCTAAACGAATAACCACAATTACTAAGATAATAATGAATATTGATTAAAGATGTCAATTGCCATACGTCGAAGGCAGCTTCGATGCCATCTTCAGTGACGCTTTCATCATTCTCGGGTGTCTGAACTACAATTTCTTGATTGTATTTTAAAACAAAGAATGACTCCTCGGTAGCAATACAACATAATTCACCACTATCTGACCAGGAGATCTAATTTAAAACAATTTACACACATTAAAATTTAACAAGTAACACATCCTAAAAGTAATGATACAACTATCGTCCACAACGAATATTTACTCTACATAGTTACAGATAATGTATGTTATACAGTACCGTTTTCGGTACAATTTCTATTCTTCGAACTAATCTAAGTGAATCCCACTCAAAAAATGTCAAGCTCGTTGACGACTTTACTCCTAGTAAGTAACCTCCGTAAATGCCTACAATAAAATAAGTACATAAGTTAGGGAATTCAAATCTTTAAGCGCAAACGTAAAAGAAACTCTTCCTTTAACCTTCAGCTCCATAATCTGGCTTGAACGTTTGCTTTTCTTTAAAATTCTTAAAAATTTTAACCTTTGACGTGCCTTCGCGAATAGCATATCTACATATACATATGCAACAAGGTTAGAAACTACTTTTGCTTTTACTATTCTGATAGTAGAGTATTTTGAATCATACTGAGATGAATCGGCAGCCCAGACAAATTCATTTGCACTTCCGTAACTTTTACTTCTTAAAGCCATAGCAGTGTATATAATATATTCTCCATCGCCGCATATAACTACAAATCTATAAACGATACTCATAGTAAGTAATGCTATAATTAATACAGTATTAAAAAGTCAATAGGTCGAACCTGCCATTAGGGTTATGCGCGATCGTTTGTGGATACAATTCACAGCTGCCCATGTCCTTAACAGAAATAGGTAATCTCTCACCATCCTTTACGTTGATATCTGTCAAAGGAGTGCAACTTGGTCAAATAAAAAAAGTCATTTTAAACACATTAAAGCTGTAATGGGAGATGATTACCGCCAAGATTCTTAACATTTGCTTGTTGCAATTCGTTATGTTTTGCCCAAACAATTTTTCCATTACTATCCATACTTAAAGCAGGATCTTCACGTCCAAGCTAAGGTATAGGACATTAAAATTTAGCAATTGTTCCAATTAAAACTAAAGAGTACAATAATTATTAAACTTTGACTACTTACTTTAACAAGAATGCTACCTTCATCATAACCAACAGCGATATTATTGGAGCCTCGCATACAACAAATTGTCCATACCCGCTCAAGTCCATAATTTAGGGTCGTTTCTAAGCGATATGTATTGGCGTGCCATATTCGGACGGTTCCTAGTTGTGTGATTTAAGAATGAGCTATTAGGAAAAATTGTTATCTACCGGTATAACGATGGCATTATTAAAAGGCACTTAACCATCTTCAGATCCCGTTAAAATAATAGGCAATTCAGGATGAAAGGCTACAACGGAAACGTTTTGAGCATGACCATCAAGGGTCTGAACACAAGCTTTATTTTGATAATCCCAAATTTTGACAAGTCTTTTCAGGCAAAATAAAAAATAGAAGGATGTATTAAAAAAAGTTGACGATATTCACCGGCATGGATATAAATATATCTATCGGATCCACATTAGCACTGTTGTATCGTCCATTGCCTCACCTGTCATCTGCTCCTGATACCAAATACGGTTTATCTCCGCCAGTATAATAGTCGATACAGTTAACTCCCTATTACATCCCAATATCAATAAAACCATTAGATACAAATATATGATATAAGTGGATTCAATTCATCTTATATTACAATAGCATTTATCACATAAATTACCTTTTCGTGACCTTCCAAAGTATAATTTGGTGCCGATACGCCGAATTGCCATACCTAGCAGATTTCAACATAGAAAACCAAATTTTAAATATCTTCTTTGAAGAAAATACATGAAAGGAAGGAGCAAAATTGTACCTTTATCGTACGATCAAGTGATGCACTTGCAAACGTATTCGTATCTTTAGGGTTTAAAACAATTTGCATAACATAATGTGAATGGCCTTCAAACGTTTGAACTAACTGCCAACTTTTTTCCCAATCCCATAATTTAATGGTCATGTCATCTATAATTGAAAGTTTAATGTTTATAACCATGTAACACGTAGCACTATATCAATGCAATAATATCACAATCAAATTTTCGTAATTTACAACTTACCACTACTAGTTAAAACGTATGCTTGCATAGGATGGACGATAATCGATCGAATATAATCTGAATGTGCTTCGAAAGCTTTAATCTACGACAGGATATACATTACATCCATGAAGGAATTGATTTTAATTCTAAATCAATCTAATATGAGAAGTAATTTAAGCTAATAATAGTAGTGATATTCTTACCTTTTCTAAAGTATTATAATTATATACTCGCACGTTCATATCATCCTGTCAAATAGATTGTCAAATAATTAATTCAATAAGAATTTCAACAACCAGTTATCATAGAACTAAAAACTAGCCAGCTTTGTAGTCAATGGCATTAACTAACCGCTCCAGTTATTATCCAGCTTTTACGAACACAAAATTTTGCAGCTCGTACTATGAATAGTGGATTCAATGCAATTAAAAAAATGGTAGATAATCGATCGATTTATCATGTTTTGCTATTGCAAATTAATTACTTACCAGGCAGATCGGTAACCTCAAAGGTCTTGACAAGCGTTTGAGTATCGTAATTCCAGACATGAATATTTCCATTGTATAAACTTGCCAACATCCACGGCTCATGAGTATGCAAATCTACGCATTTGACACGGTCAGACCGCGCAGATAGCTTTCTCTATAAATTTATTTAAAGGGATCGATTATATACGTACATTTAAATAATATATTTAGCTTAAAATTTGCAAAGTTACTAGAAGTATTCTATAGCTAAAATATTTTTACAAACAGTAAAATATATTCTCAGGAGATGAGATGTTAATTTATAGGTATAATAAAGGCACTTGATTTGTACGCACCTTGACGTCTAACCGCAGCGGCTAGTAGATAAATAGTAAGAAAAAGATTAGCTCAGAAAATAATAAAAGACATCCTAAAGACTACAATTTCCAAGATAACGTATCCGAAAAATTAAATCTCTCCATATTATATTAATCCATGCTCAATTCCAAGGAAGCCATCAAAAATTAAAATAGGTACAACTATTACACCATGTACTTTCTGGAACAAAGTGTATACAAAATAGATATCGTGGCAAGTTATAACGTTTAAAATTTCGGTATATAAGGGATAAATACATAGGATACTGTTATTTTCTGTTACGCTATAGCGAAGTAGTTCGAATTATTGACTGAACTAGATTGATATCTCAATCATTGAATGTCCAATCCTCGATCATACTTTTTCAACTATGCTGTTCTATTGCTATCAAATGGTGTACAGATCGCGTCAACTTTAAAATTACAAGCCACCCATTACTACAAGGACAATCATTAACAATAAGGAGTAAAGAGTGCAAGACTATCAAGCTAAAACATTCGATTCGTATATCTTTTAGATGCATCATTTACCAGAAAAAGATGATCCATACCCATTTAATCGTTATTTAATGATAAACATCAGCAACTAGCTTTTTGATCAAAATTAAAACACCAGCCTAGATCTAGAATTTCTGGGTTGTAATAATGACGAAGGAATGAACAACGTTGGTCTTTAGTAGAAATTAATATCGGATTACAGTGTATACTGAACACTTGCATAGGATATTTGTACTTAGCAACAAAGGGATCTTGACATTAGAGTGGTAATGACTATGATTGACTCTCAATACAGGGAAGAATTAGAAAGTAATGTATGAAATGACTATGGATTCCAGATTTATACGGTATAACAATTGCTCGTTACCATTTAGAATGTTGCATTGCTATCTATGAACGTATTCTCTATGAAGTTGTAGTAGTATAAAATATATTAATACATCGAATAGATACATGTGCTAGAATAAAGTGTACCATCTGTAGTGTTATTGTTACATAATCATCAACATCCAGCAAGCACTATCTCTAGCGATATTGACTGGCCAAGCTGATATTGAAGGTCATTACTTTCTACTCACCAATAGCATTAGAGAAAGAATACATGTAAAAATAGTTAGGTTAAAGGATAAATAACGAGCAGGCTGTTACCACTTAAGGGTCGTCCGATATACTATTGATTTGTGCTACGTCAATTTAGTAATGTTTGTGTCGTCAGTACTTGGTCGGCAGACTGGCATTTATGATTATAGTATACTGCTGTCTTTTAACCCTTTTCCTTTGAAGTTGTATTCAACATCTTGTTGACCTTTATATAATGACTAAACAATCTTCAAAAGAGTATTAATGCTTTCATCAACATGGTTCATTCACTGTACGTACAATATAACCTTGTCTCTACTACTGCTACCAAGTCCATAAAATTGCAACACGCTGCGTATGTCGTATTCAGTCGATATAAAGTCCACCCTTCGTCACTATTCAATTTTTAATTTATATTAGGATGTTTATCGTCTACTGTACATTAATTTAATGTATCCTTCCCAAGTATAACTGGTCAAAAACAATTTTACCACGTTGTTTATCATCATGTCGTAAAATTTGCAATAGAGCCATGGGGAAAGCGACTCTAAAGCATCCTACCCGTACAGGATCGTCCATACATGTAGAATCCTATCCTTTCTTCCTACGATCCAGTAGTGTACTATTGCCTTTCATCTATTCTCACACTATAGTAATCGCTATATCGTTTAACTATGCAATTGTTAATATTTTTTAAACCTTGCATTAAAGATGAAAAACTTGTTAGCATGGATAAAGAGTACTACCATTAAGATATTGACAGGTTCAAAAATTGCTGGTACACTAAGGCATCGTATGGCCAAGTAAGTCGATTTTTTTACGACAAGGAATGAGTAAAAAAGACTTCAATTCAATATAAATTTTTCGTTTACAACGGCGAAAAGTATACATAGTCAACAAATAGAAGTCATTATATCATGTATTCAATGGCAGAGTCTAGAATTGGGACGATAATTAGGAAATTTCAACTATTTGATAGGACTTACCATCTTTCTTCACCACCTTTCCTTTGACTTCGTGGTCGCAAAGTGTTGGTAGATGTGCGCATGTCGTTGAAACGATGCCGACATGTCATGTCCTACAGTACAGTACAGTACAATAGAGATCTCTACAGTAACAAGTGAAAGGCAGTCTATAGTACTGTACACTGTACACTGTGTACTGAAACATTAGGAGTTTGCAATAGTATTGTGTGTGGAACAGTTGAGCAAACGCTATACTGTATGTCTCGTACCTTGGTGTAAATACGCTACTGTCCAGTGTACAGTAGTATTAGACTACTGTAGACTATCGGCTGACACGTTTGCACTACGCTTCACCACCTAGGGCTAAAGTATTCAACCCCAGGGGGATTTTTCCATTTTAACAGCATTTACTATGGAGAGAAATCGACCCCTGTTCACCCGCTGTAAAGTGGGCAATGGTATGTCTGTCTGTACACTACTGTCCATGCAGTTCAGGACTACTGCTAGACCTGACAGGTCTGACTACGGCATAGTAAATAAATACTTTGGCTTGAAAAAGTTAAGCGATGCCTTTCATTAAAACCGCTAAAACTGCTAAAATTAGAACTGTTCATTGATTCTTAATATCAAAAACCTCATTAAAAAAGTTGCAGATAGCCAGTACGAAATGGATTTCGTCTTACCCCATGCTTTAAGTTGTAATGGAAGTCAAAAGTAGCTAATAGTAAGCTACTACGTAGATTCGATTGTAGCAATGCTTACGGCTGTAAATTCATAGTGAAGTGAAATATCATGCAAAAGTGGCAATTAGTGTCAATACGTTTAGATCAGACAGTTGTAAAAGTACTAGTATTAAAAGTGCCTGTAAAGACGCTACACTATAGATTCGCAATCAAGGACAATCAATTCCAAAATGTCTATCTAATAATGGAATATACTGTAGGGGATTGATTGACGAATATAAAATGAACAATGTAGCATTTTCTTTTCCAAGCACTCTATGACGTACACAGAGGATATATCTTTGCCACCTATTCCGTCCTTTTGTTGATTCGAGGTCGGTGACGAGAGTTGGACGCAAAAATAATTCATTTCTTGATAGTGTATAGGCAATCAACGTTAATCTGAAAATCAACCTAGTATTGCTAAGACCTTCAAACAGTCGTAGGTAGTAATCTACAGCTGTAAATTATGCCTTGGATCATATATCACTTTCATAACACTCGATCGTTCATACTGTACTGTATACTGTACAGTATAGGGGTAGAATTCACTTTTTGATGCCGGTTCAGTTGAGCGAGCAAGTTTGCTAGGAATAGGAGTAATGATAGGGAATATGAATAGTGAAATTACTACAGTAATATGAAAAGTGAAATCTTAGTAAGCAAAAGAGATATCTCGAAACGAAAGTCATAGATCTACGTAGCCTTTACTACTCCCTCTATTATAGGTATACTTGTACAAGCTGGATATTTTTGATACAGACCTATTTTGACAACGACAGTCAATTCAAACTCAGTATGTTAACCCGCAGGTACTGTTATAAACTGAACTACGAGTGTATGATGTCAATTTCCTAAAAGTTCTAATAGTCATCAATTTGTGCTATTTCTTCAGTTCATGGATTTACTACTCCCTCTATTATCGGTATACTTGTACAAGCTGGATATTTTTGATACAGAGCTATTTTGACAACGACAGTCAACTCAAACTCAGTATGTTAATCCGCAGGTACTGTATATAAACTGAACTACGAGTGTATGATGTCAATTTCCTAAAAGTTCTAGCCATCAATTTGCGTTATTTCTTCAGTTCATGGATTAAAGCATTGTCTCACACTCTTCTTCTACAGTTCTAAAGTAGATAGCGTATACTAAAGAGAGACCGGGTGGGCATTTCCAGCTTCAAATTTCTCTCCATGAGGATTTTAAATACAGTCTAAATGAATGTCCCTAGACTGGAATATATCCGGACCAAGGTTGTCATAGTAATTTAATGTACTATCGTTCCAGTAAACTGGTATTGCACTCTACAGTAGTATTACTATATTGTACAGTACAGTGTACTGTACACTACGTAGTTGTAGTACTGTAAATATCCACGAGTCTAGAGTATACTGTACTGTACAACGAGCTGACTATAGTACTGTAGCATACGGCATACAGTCCACGGTCTTATGCAGCCAAGCTATGGAATTGCACCAATTACGCATATAGCGCCTAGCTTTAGCCTTCCAAATACTGAAGTATAACTGGCCAAAATAAACACAACCACTGCATGGTGATGACAGCCAACAAGCAAACTGATATTCATATATCAAAATATCTTCGAAATTTCCTTCCAAATCCCAGGTAATCATATCACAATCTTTAGCATCAATCCTAGATTTACCGCAAAGATTTACCTCAGGTAAATCTAGGAATGAACAGTACAATCTTTACTATCAAGCCTAGATTGACCGCAGGCAATCATATCATGAACTACTAGTACAACCTTTACTATCAATCCTCGATTTACTGTAGGTAATCATATCATCAACAGTATAATCTTTAGTATCAAGCCTAGATTGACCACAGGTAATCATATCATGAACTACTAGTACTATCTTTAGTGTCGAGCCTAGATTTAACGCAGGTAATCACATCATAAACAGTACTATCTTTACTATCAATCCTAGATTTAACACAGGTAATCATATCATAAACAGTACAACCTTTAGTATCAAGCCTAGATTTAACGCAGGTAATCATATCATAAACAGTACAATCTTTACTATCAATCCTAGATTTAACGCAGGTAATCATATCATAAACAGTGCAATCTTTACTATCAATCCTAGATTTAACGCAGGTAATCATATCATAAACAGTACAATCTTTAGTATCAAGCCTAGATTTAACGCAGGCAATCATATCATGAACTGCTAGTACAATCTTTACTATCAATCCTAGATTTACTGCAGGTAATCATATCATGAACTACTAGTACTATCTTTAGTATCAAGCCTAGATTGACCACAGGTAATCATATTATGAACTACTAGTACTATCTTTAGTATCGAGCCTAGATTTAACGCAGGTAATCATATCATAAACAGTACAATCTTTACTATCAATCCTAGATTTAACACAGGTAATCATATCATAAACAGTACAATCTTTAGTATCAAGCCTAGATTGACCACAGGTAATCATATCATGAACTACCAGTACTATCTTTACTATCGAGCCTAGATTTAACGCAGGTAATCATATCATAAACAGTACAATCTTTATTATCAATCTAGATTTAATGTAAAGTACCTCGATTAATAATATTACGTAGATCATGGATCCTTGTTGTGATAGGACTTTACACAGAGACAAAGATTATTTGTAACGCTCATCTCGATCACTTTATATCCAAATTAGATACTGCAATCGATGATGTAGGCATTATTGAGGTAGTATAGGTAATACAATTAATTCATCTCTTGCCATTGATTTCCTATTGCAGCTCTATTTCCGATACAGATGAAATCTGTGTTGTCAGCATTATTGGTAAGACACCTCTCAATTACTTGACCTGTGGTACATTAGCCGATGCAGTATCTGGTAGAAATGTCTTTCAGGTAAGGATATAAGTAGAACAAAATTGTATCAAACGAATAATTTACTATTCTGTCGTGTCAAGTGTATGTATACATCACTTAGTAGAATTCATCTCTTACGGTATGATTGATAGTATACTACTAGCTACAATCACTCACATCGAAATTATCAAGTCTAGACGTAAGATATGACTGCATATAGCAGTAAATACAAGAATAATTACAACATAGTTACAGAATACAGTGATATCTATCACCGCTATAGCATTGCTATAATGACTATTGGTAGAGTTAAACTACCTAAAGAAATCAAAATCTCTACTAAGATGCTATAAGTGGACAAAATATTGTTGATATCAGCGATCATCAAGGATGCTTGGACTTGATACGAATACGACTAAATGATAAGCTTTAGAACAATATGTGTATGTGAAATAGATACGTACGGACTGCGATAATCTTTGTGCTAAGATAACCTAACCTTGTAGCGGGCTACTAAATTCCTACATTCTAACGTATTCCTTTAACATTACTTCTTGTATTCTAAATTACAGCGTGAAACAATTGACGATAATGATCAAAAACTAGAGGTATACTGTTATAATTCGATTCTTGTATATCACAATTGCCTTAACATCAAGCAATCATGTTTCTTATCTATATGCATAAATTTAAATTTCTTTTCGCAACTTACTAATTATATTACAGTAGAACATTATAAATTGTTGGGAATAATGATCATTTCCTATTCTATTCCAATAGCACGGCTTACTATTTTACTACAACAATGAACAAAAAGTTGTTTACATAAATCAAGCATCGTTATATGATACCAAGGAATTAGCATATCTATGCCAAAAATTTAATTCAGACTTGTCTACTTGGGTAAGATACTTAAAATTCCACTATCTATAAAATTTTAACAATACTTTAGCGATATTTTATAGCAGTTAACATTGCACTTTATGATATAGCAGCCTTCTTATACGACAATATTTCATATTTAATGTAGAAATAGCAGCACTCTAGTATTAGAGTCGTTTTCTTATATTTTACAATTTTTAGGTATATACTATAGTGCAGCAGGTTAATAATTAAGCGCAATTATTAGCTGTAGGAGAAAAGAATTACATACTTTGTTTATACATAATATATTACTAACGAGTAATACTACTAAATTGATTCTTCACGCAAATCGGAATTATAGGAGCACTTTCAGAAATGGAAACGCAATGAACATAAACAGCTCCTATCACTGTTATTCATTTTCAGTATATCTCATATTATTTTGGTAAGAAATCTCTTTAACCTATTCCATGCTTGCTTTCTATTTAAAATGTAACAAAATTTAATAATAAATATAAATACTTATGGCACGAAGATGCTAACATAATCATACGCGTATAATCAAAGCTTTAATCCACTTTATTTACTTATCTCTAGATAACTCATCCGTCTCACAAATTTGATCTTAGTTACCTAAGATTATTTAGAGGTCTAAATGCGATCAGATTACACAATCAATCTGTACTTACTCATCATTTATGCAAAATAGCGAAAGCAGCAAATCTTAGTAGCCAATGGCGGCAGCGAGGGAGATGCTGTACACCTCGCTTGCTTTTTATTTTTCATCTGGTTAGAACGTAATTGTAATTACAGACTTATATGAAATTAATGATAGACCGTTTTTGTAGCTTACATTGTGTTTTAATTAATTATATCAGGATATAAACATCAATAGGAGATTCCAAGACGGTAACCGGAGCAAAAACAGGGATGTTGGACAGAAAGACCAGGTAATAAGCTACTTCATGAGCGCTTCTACAAAACTTTTAAATAGAATATTTTCGAAAGAAAAATACGAAATTTATATATTCATGGTTGCAATGTACTGTACATATTGGAATATTCTAAAATGATTAATCGTTTACTATATTAAAAGAGTCTAATCACTCAAAAGCGCCTACAAAAGAATTTAGAGAAGCAAATTTGTAACCTTTTTAAAGAAGCATCCCTTCATGGGTCTCAAAAGTAGGAACTGATATATTAATAACTGTACAACAATAATGTAGTGCCTTCTAAATATGCTTAAAACTATTCTCAACGTACAAATTATAGCCCTTTATTTACCATTCCAACGGATCAGCAGTTTGTCTTCGTTCAGACCGTGTCTACGTTATCATCATATCATCATACAAGCAACGCATTTCAGAAATTATTACCAAATGTACAGGATGCAACATCTCTCTTTTTCAATATCGGCTTAGCAACGACGCTCTTTCAGCACTTTTACGTGACGCAACATGATAAAGTTGATGATAATGATGTCTTAGAAAAAAACTTTGATGAAGAAAATAGTGACCTTAAAAATTTCTTAAAGTATCATATTAACCAAACTAAAGCTGGAAACGTATGCGAAGGTCAACTGGAATTTCTCGGAAGCAAGCGCAGTCACCACCATGCAACCGCAGTAAAGGTGCACCAAATGTTACTTTCAAATCTCTTTTCTATATCTCCCATTAGAATCTATACTGAAGGCATAACACACTTGCTATATTAACAGTTACCTACCAGTAAGACATGGTTTACGGCTGCATCATATTTACAAAAGGTCTTAATAGAGGATGCATCTGGAGTTGATTCAATTAGGTACCCGATTTCTAGTTCTTGGCTCGATATTGATAAAAAGTTTTCAGAAAGGTAAGCTGGTATTATCTTAGTCGACTCCGCGAAATCGTTATACTGGCTAGTAATATCATAATTGCCTTTATTTATACATTGATAGTACTTGTCGGAAAGCTATCTCCGTAGCTTTAGACTGCTATGAGAAGAACCTACCAGAACAGTACAATTATGCCTTTCATCAGAAGCAGGTAAAATAAAGTGTAGTTAAGATATCATAAAATCAGTTATGCCTTTGTAATTTAAAGCCCTAAGTAACAAGGCAACCTGGCTTTAGATTATCTAAAAGTTTCTTACTATATTCAGCTCGCGACTAGCATTAATACGCTTAGTCAACTTGCTCTCGGTCCTTCATTTCCATCTTACGTTCAACAATTGGAAAAAGATTGTGAAAAGGTAAATAATGAATTACAGTTCTTAGTATTACACATGCGATGCGTTCTCAGTTATCTTGTTGATAATAATTTTTTAGATCTGGAAAAATGGAAGACAAAGTTGTGAGATATTAAGCCTGACTGGAAAGCAATGCATATATCCGGTAATAATTCCTAGAATTCTTTATACAATCATTTTATTGATCTTCAATATCATCCAGATTTGTAATTCCTAATTCGAGAAATGTGTTTAAACCCTCCAAAATAGTTACATGACTCCACAGACGACAAACCAGAAACTGACGTGAGAAAAATTATACACGTTCTAAAAAACTATCCATCGTTTAACGTTCTCAACTATACATACAATTTTAGAAAGAGATAAAACAGCGAAAATTTCGCCAAAGTAAAAATCTACCTCAAAAAAGGGCACATTCTAGTAATTATTGGTATATAAGTGCTTGTAACTGTGGAGAGACAATAGCAAAACGTCCAGATCCGTTCGATATCAAGGTTTGATATTAAAGTTTCATATTTATGCAAATGACAATGATATCTTATTAAACTTTCTTATACTCGTGCTTTCTTTCTAACTACAGGTTGCTAATTGTACATTCTATCAAATGCTGGAAAAGAAATGTTGCAGCATATTCCCTCATATATCCTTTCCTGTCAACGTCGATAGTAATTCTCACGAAGAACAATCGATTGATGATCATGGTATAAGTTATATTCATTCTTAAAGAATATCTTACCTCGTTCTAATTTACAAAATTTAAGAGAGAAGTAGTAATATTCTCTAAGAACTAATTGATTACCGAGATAACAATCAAATACATTTTTTATTTCTATGCAGCTATGGAAATAGAAGAAATTAGTGCTGCCACCTCTAGTAAAAACAATGCAGACTCCTCTAATGGAGTAGCGGATGACCCTACGCTTGACGGATTAGATACTACAACTGCTATTGGACAAAATTCAGGTCCTCTTTTGATAATTTTCTCCCTGCAGTAGAAAAGTGTTACAAAATCTAACACAAACAACGATCAAAATCGTCATGAAATATTATCATTTAACGAAAATTCTGATTAAATATGCTTCACAAATAGAATTTTCTTCATCTCCATCACCTGCTCCTGCCGCCAATTTAGTTTCTATGAAAATTGAACCGGATAATTGTAAAAAGGACGGAGAGTCATCCAATTCGATCATTATGTTCACAATTAATACTCCAGCTGGGTATCTTCCTCGGTTTTCGTCTTGGTCCTTATGCCGCCTAGGCGATAATAATATATACAAAGCGAGCAAAGGTCACCATTTTAACAGGACTACGATGATATTATAAAGTATGCCTTACATTCAGACTACAGTATTAACTGTTTTCTATTTTTTCTACTGAAGGCCTCTTCCAATCTGGATTTCTACCTGGTACTAATTTTCTCTGTCCATGGATAATTTCCCGTAGCGTTTTGTTAGCTAGTGATCCTTTCGAGAGTACACATGGTAATATTGTGAGAGCAAAATATTAATGCATCAATACTTGCATATGAACAAATAAAATTTTTATGCTACTATATGTTCACTAGAATTATTTTTCTTTCGAATGATAGAACAATTTCCTACCATCGCTGAAAATAGAGGAAAATCAAGTGGAAGATACAAGAAAGGTATTTCCCGTAAATGATTTGATAAAACAACTACTCGTTATCAGATCTTTTTTACGAAAAATTTTTAACTATTTTCTAACCAGAAAACAGCGTGAAAGCCTATATAGGCATTGAATATGAATGTCCTCACGGTGACCGGTAAAGATTCTGTTATCTTTTATTCATTTTCTTATTAAATCATTTACTATAAAATTGATTCAATCTATAGCTTTTTTTACGCTGGTTCGAACAAAGTAATTAGAAGCAGCAACAATCTGAAGGTTTAGCATAATCAAATTATACATATTAATAATACTATGAGAATTTTAAAGCTGTCATTTAATTTTAATATTATGTATTTGCTACAAAGGAAATAGCTTCTAAACTTACAAGCTCAGAATTACCGCTGTATTTTCCCTGCCCTTGCGGGTCCGCTGCGTATTTAGTCATCTTTTATACTCTAATAGAGTAGGTCAACAACCTAACCACTGCAATATTTTGTTTTCTATTAAAATAGGCAAAGAAGTAGCAAAACTGTCTTTGCTCAGTGTATGCGCATTTATGTCGCATCCCCTATGGACAGCGATATCCGAGTTATTTTAAGACCATTCATTCAGCCAGGTACAGATCATCGTCTGGTATTTTATAGTGGATTTAGCCAAGGAATTAGCCTACCTCCCAATGGTTTATGGTGTTTGCGCTTGCCGTATGTCCTAATTTCATTAGTACACTTCATTTTAACATAATCCACATATTGAAATGTATCTTTAACATTGATGTCATTTATGTCAGTTTCGTTTACGGTACAGAAAATGAAACCATCTATCCGCCTACAGATCCGAAAACACCAAGTAAGGGCCGTATTTTGAAAGGCTTATTTCACATCACAGCGATTGTTTCCGATACCTCCCAAAATGGCAAAGGCTAGCTAAGTATTAATGAGAATTTAAAGGCAATTCCAACGTTAAGTGTTTGATAGACATTCCAGAATGAAAATCGAATAGGCGTCACTACTAGTTTAAACGCTAGTAAGGACATATTCGACTACAGATGAAAAATACAGCATGAAGCACTTGAAGATGATTGGTGCAATTTACTTTGTGCAATCTCCTTCCTTATCATTTCAACTCTGCTGCAACTAGCCGTATTCCATTATTATCATGTAAACATAAACGATATTATTTTGAGACCTACTAATCTTTCAATGATTGTGTATGTATCCAAATTGAAAGAAATTTGTGATTGCGATAATTTATTTATCAGGTAACAGCTACAATATAATGATTGTTTATGTTTCTATGGGAGCTTGTTGATTAAAAGGTGACAATACGGTATATCATAGTTCAAATTCAGGAATGTTTATAAAGATTGGCATTGATACCATATTATATACTTCTGTAATAATTAGAATTACTATTCATATTTTATAACCATTCTTTTGAAAATTTTCAACCAAAGCAGCTATGTAAGATGTAAAGAGCTGCTGGAGATAAAGTTTATAACGTTTCTTATAAGTAGCGGTGCAGATAGAATAAATATAGTTACGTCCACAAACTTCATGTGGTTCGCCGATATAATTGATTAATCATGAGTACATACGCATACGTCAATGCAGTTATGCATTCCCGTACCCTGAGCGTGTAAAGTTTCCAAATTTTTTTGTCCGTTCATCATCTGGTGGAAATCAACCCGACATACATCGAAACCATCAGGCACGGCGTATGGTGGTGTTTTAAACACGATTTCTTACTCTGCTTATATCTGGTATACATAAGGAGGTTTCTCTAGAAGGTACCACTAATAGCAGTATGGAAAGGTCAATGGAATGATATAAACATATTACAAAGGTGTCTAAATATACAAGTAATTACCCCTTCCATTACCGTACTAGCCAGAGATTTTTTTTCCCCAGCTAATAATACTATACTGTACTTCGAACTGGATCTTCTACTACTGTACTTATCAGCACAGTATCGCAAGATAATTTTGCAGTAGTAATAAATTTCCCCCACTTTATAGAGCCTTTATCCCGCATTCCAAATCAAACATCAATTGACAAGAAGCTACCATTAAAGTGATTCAATTTTATCTTATTATGAAAAAAGTAAAATACTGTAATAGACATCTTATTACTGTTGTAGTTTATGTTTACATTGTTTTCCTACAATAGCTATACCACGGTGTCTATCTAGGTATAGTCAATAGATATTCAATCTTATAATGTCCATTTTCTTTATACAAGTACAGTGCAGTAGATTACATTACTAGCCTAATCCTTTTGTTTGTTCGTTATACTGTACTTCGCACACCTTTTTACCGAATAGATGCATGTATCATATTGAATGGCTTAAACTGTACCTTAATTGCATGCCAAAAGCTATACAGTACAGTCAATGCCATTAGGCAAGCTCAAATTATATATATAATTATAGTAAAGGTATACCTAACAATTTTCGATCTACCGTACTGCTTGTACACTGTAAGCCGGACCAGATTAGGCCCAATCAGACTACTACCAGCTGATTTTTGTCCTTTTTTAATTTTTTCGACATTACCCCCTAAAATTAATAACTTGCCCATGGTATTTTTCAGGGTTGGGGAAAAGTACAAATTAATTAACTGGTGGCCTAGTTCTAGACTCTTCAGCACAGTACTACAAAGTGCAGTCTACTGTACAGTAAACCGTCCAATTTTACAACAGTATTGTTGTGCAAATTCTTTCGATAATTACAATTGGTAAACATGCTCAAGCAAAATTTTATCCTAGCAATTTTGATAATTGTTTACTTTCTGATGCGCGTATAATACGGAAGGCTATTTGGGGAGACATTGTACGTACATAGAAGCAAATTATCAGCTCGATTTATGTTGTCTCCAAGATCGTGTATGTATCTGGACTACAAACTCGCCTAATATTATTAGACCTTGTGAACTTCCTTAAATTAAGTTTTGCAATTTGTGTTCTACAGTAGTACAGTATAGAACTGTAGATTAATTAACTATTCATTCTACTGTCTATTTTAATGAATGCAGTACTTCGGTACACTTTGTGCAGCCGGCTATTGCTGGCATAATTTAGGTATATAGCGCTGTCAGTGATGCATATGCACTAGTTGTGAGTGGACAACATCGTTGCCATACAGCCGATGCCGGAAGCCTCCTACATTCATATTTTCAAAAATCACAAAAGAAATTTCTAACCTTTAGAGTAGTTTCCGTTAGTAGAGTTCAGTATAGGATTTGTATACTTTTCTAGCCGTTGTATTAGCCCCTTGTCAATTGGGCCAAAACAACAAAAGAAATTGTCCACTTCTCCTGCTCTTTCTCACTCATTGGCCGCTCGATGATAGAAATCGAAGCTTTTAATTGCGGAGTTTGCCATATTCCTTTATTCCAATGCCATCATAAAAGCCAAGATGCTCATTGAGTTCACTTTCATGCGGTCATGATGCTATTCCATCGTTCTATCGACTATTATTGATTAGTTGACTAGGAATAAATGCAGTAAATACAATCAATATTGTACAGTACAGTAACTATAAGATTACGCCAAAGCCGGCAATAATTTATTCAGATTCATAACAGCCATCTAAAAATCGACACTCAAGTAGAATTATTTCATCGAATGACTATGCGCCCTTCTCGTCAACGACCATCAAGTGGTAATAGTACCAGCTTGAATATCAATGATATCCATCGTAGCGATCGTAATACTGGCAGTAGTGATAATAGCGACAGCAGCCGAGATAGCAATGATACCAATAATAACAGTTTTAGCTCAGATAGCCCTGAAAATATCATCAACAAAAGCGACGAAGTAATGGATGTTTTAATTCATCATGGTATCCATCATACTAATCAAGCATTCAGTGCTATTGGCCAAATGAAGAGTCGAGATGAATTATGCGACGTTGAATTAATCGTCGATGGTAATCGTTTAAAAGCACATAAATTGATCTTGGCTTCATTTAGTCCATACTTCCATGCCATGTTTACCAGTCAATTAGCAGAAAGTCAATCCAATACTGTAACATTGCATGATATTGATTTTGAAGCTCTAAAAACTTTAGTCGATTATACTTATACTTCGGTCATCGATATCAACCAACATAACGTCCAGGTAGGTTCTACTCTGCTCAACTTATTCTTATCAATGTCGAAGATTAATACTGTGCATGCCTATCGTCTCTTGAATGAATTACTGTAAATAGTATAGCAATGAAGCTTCAGCTTTAGTTAACTGGCGATCAATTCTACTGTATAGATATTATTATTGTTTATTATGTATCTACGATACAGAACATGGAAAGTAATGGTCTAATAGAATGATCACATCAGCATATTACTACAGTACAGTATATCAAATTAATTGCTATAAATTGAAATAATATTGTGCACGTTGCAAACTCTAATTGAGGTTGATGAGTATAATCTACTATTCAAGAAGAATTTGTATACTGTACCACTCTAGTCACAAATTTTTGTACGATAAAAGTGGTAAAATACTCTTGTCAATGTATCTAATTTAATATTACAAATTATATATTAGTAACGTTTTTTCGATAAACCTTTTCCTGCTTGATACGCGTGTATCTTTAAATTAACTTGACTATTTACTATAATATTTGTTTATATAGGTATTGCTATCCACTGCTAGCATGCTGCAAATGAATTGTGTACGTGATTCCTGTTGTAAATTTTTAAAAACACAGCTCCATCCTTCAAATTGCTTAGGAATAATAGCCTTTGCTGATACTCACTCTTGTAATGAACTGCATCAGCTATCACATGAATTTGCCCTTGGACATTTTAAAGAAGTTATTCAAAGCGAAGAATATGTTTTATTATCTTATAATCAAGTTGAAAGTTTAATTAGCTCAGATGTCATGAATGTAGACAGCGAAGAATGCGTCTTTCAAGCTGTCATGTCGTGGATAGATCACGATCGAGCAAATAGGCAAAAATATGTCGTCAACTTAATACAACATGTTCGCCTACCACTTGTTTCACGTGATTTCCTGTTATTGCATGTGGAAACAAATGAACTTATTCGAAATTGCAATGAATGCAAAGATTTATTAATAGAGGCAATGAGATATCAACTATGGCCAGAAAAAAGATCTCTTTATCAAAATTTTCGAACTCAATATCGTCGATTATGTGGTACGTCAAAAGTAGCTATTAGCATTGGAGGTGGTAGCCTCTTTTCTATCCATAGCGAATGTGAAATTTATGATATTAACCGAGATAGTTGGATACCGGTAGCATCAATGGCAGAGCGCCGCGCACGTCTTGGCGTAGCTGTTATTAATAATACTGTATACGCTATCGGTGGCTATGACGGTGGTAGTGATCTTAACTCAGTCGAATGTTACTTACCCCAAACCAACACTTGGACTTTAATCCAATCGCTAGGTACTAGACGTAGTGGCTTAGGTGTAGCTGTAACATCAAACTTAATTTTCGCAATAGGTGGATATGACGGAGCTTTGTGCTTAAACAGTGTTGAAAGGTACGATCCGTTAACAAATCAATGGAGTTGTGTAGCAGACTTAAATTCTAGACGTCGCTATGTTCGTGGAGCTACCTTAAATGATTGTATCTACGCTATCGGTGGTTTTGATGGTGGTATCCACTTAGCTAGTGTAGAATGCTATGATCTGAACCTAAATCAATGGAAACAATCTGCGTCCATGCTAGCTCGACGTAGTAGTGCTGGTGTTACTGTTGTTGATAATATACTTTATGTGTGCGGCGGTAATGATGGTTCTAATTGTTTGCGAAGTTTCGAAAAATATGACCCTGAAAAGGACGAATGGATTTCATTGCCACCAATGAATAGTAAAAGGAGTACTCATGATGTGATCGCGGTCGATGGTTGGATATACGCAATTGGTGGCAACGATGGAAGTGCAAGCTTAAGTTCTGTTGAAAAGTATTCCATTGCGGCAAATAAATGGTATCCATCATCTGCTATGAATATGCGCAGGAGCAGCGTTGGTGTTGCCTTCTGTGAGGTCCTTTTACACGAATGAACTTATGGGCTAAGAACTATGATGTTCTATAATTTAGCTGTGAAATAACCCTGATATCAAGATACTCTCACCTGTATATTGTGAAATTTTGCTTCTCTATTCTAATTGTTGTACTGATTGAAAAAAACGCATCTGCTCGACGATAGATAGTAAACTATAAATACGTGTTGGACTAAAGCTAACAGACTATGTACTGCATTAACAAACTACCTTAGCAATACACAACGAATAGCTAATTAGCTCTCTAGAGTTGATTTATTTACTACGATACACGCGTTAAAGTTTATTAAGAATAACAAATTGATTCCTCGATAATAATTTATAAAATTAAAATTATTTATTGAAATATTTAAGCTTATAAATGTAGGGATAGGAAATGCCGATCATACGCGTATATCCATGTACAACGATATAATTCCTACAGTATATAAAGAAACTTCTCTACGGTCAAAAAAAAGTGTTATACACTAGCAAGGAATACCGCACCAGCGGAAAATCTCCGTTCTGTTTATCATTCACACTGATCTAATATCTACTTTGTAATTTTCCATGCAGGCTTTCAAGAACGACCAATTCGTGTGTCATTGTCATACAGTCGAAACATGTAATGACTCAGACGAACGATATCTTACAGTAATTATCATTTGATCCCATGCAATAAAATGAACTGTTCAAGACCGACAAGACTTTTCGTTATCTTTGTTACATGTATCAACAACTTCTATCGACACCAAAAAAATGTCCCTGTTGTCAATTGTAGCAACGTAAGGATGATTGCATATTTATTGATAAGAAGTCATAAATTATAACAAAATTGCAATTTTTGTATTATTACCAAGAAAAACTAGTCTACTCCGTAAATCCTTCCCTGCAGATAAGTTACTATTACATATTTGTTGTAATATCATTAACATTAACAGTTGCTACATCAATACATGAAGATAGCTAATATAAAATAAACTAAGGCAAGAATTGACAAGGTTAATCAGAATTTAACAAATTATAATCCATTAGGTTTGAGGTTAAGCAAACTTTAACATAAATCTTGGGAAAATGTAATTCTTAAATTTGCGTAAAAGATATCCATACATTTAACGCTAATAGCCCTGATATGTATAACAGAATCGATTTCATTTATTTCTTCCTGTTGGGATCGGGTGCATTCTTAGCTAAAATCTCGTCCCTGTCAACATAAAAAGAGACAGTAGTACCTTATAGCATTACGTAAACATATTACGAGATGTAATACCATAGGAACGCAAACTTACAACAAATTGAAGTCACTGTCAGATAAGTTTAGCAACAGCGAATTGGCATTCAAGTATACGCGATTTTGGGATTGTGAAATCTGTTAGAGAAGCCAAATCAATCATCTATAGCTAATTACCGTACAATATGCTCATTGATTATGAAAAGAATTACAGCTACTACATACAGTTTTAGCCACACTTTGAGCAGCCCTAATTTTTCGCAATTTAAGATAACCAGGATTTTCCTTCATCGCTTGACCGATGTGCAAAGTGTCAAGGTTTAATAATTCTTAAAGATTAATGTTACATCATCGCGCTACAAATCCATCTACAGTTAGCAAGTGGATCTTAATATAGTACAGAAAGGATATCAATTTTGCAGAAGCAGCTTCTCCTTCCGCTTGAACTACTTTTTGTTGTCTATCTTGCTTAGCTTTCTCTACAATGAATTGAGCTCTTTGAGCTTCTTGTTGAGCAACTTGTTTAGCCTCAACAGCGGCAGCGTATTCTTTACTGAAACTCAGATCAGTTATCGACACATCATCAAGAATAATGTTGAAGTCTAAAGCCCTGTCTGTCAATAATTTGTACACCAACATACTGACCTACAGTAAAACAATATTGAAATTTTTACTGAAGTTAATCGATTTATTACGACTTTAAAAGCTATAATAAAAAAATAGATGTAAGTATCTCTATCTACTTATACGTAGTAGAGACTGTATACATTATATTTACGTACTTGAGAACGCTGAGTAATAAGTTGAGATGCGTTAAATTTAGCTACGACGCTTTTCAATACCTGCAAGCATCAGCAAATATGGAGTAAATTAGGATTTTATATTAGACTTCTTAGTCACTAAGCAAATCTGTAGTACATAAATTATAAAAAATTATTCATACCTCATTGCAAATCGATGGCAATATTCTCTCATCATAGTCGACACCTAATCTCTGATACATTGCAGGTAATTTATCGGATAATGGTCTTGAAAGTACACGAAGACTGATGTTGACCATCTGCAGATCTAAATCAGCAAGAATTATCCAATGTAATATGATAATTTCAAAAGTATAGCCAGATATGCATCATGTATGTATGTATGGCACAATTATTACCTTTACTACCAGTTAAAGATGTTATTCGACGAGGCTTGGATCGAATATCGTAGATGATAGGATATTGAAACCATGGTATCCTGTTAATACGACACATATGCGTAGGTCATGTACTGTACTTAGTCCCAAGCGTCCGAGTTTACTACAGTATTACTTTTGCTTTATTGACGAGAAGAGGCTAATCAATCAATTTTAATTTCATATATTCAAACCGTACCTAAAGTGTAGACCTTCATTATAAATAGTCTCTTGGATACCGCCAATTCTGCTAAACATAATTGCTCTATGACCACCTTCCACTATTGATAAAAAGTTGAAATGAGACCATAAGATGTTGCGTAATACGAAGTAATCAAGAGGTAGAGTAGTGGCACGTTCACTTGTTGTAAACTGTAAATTACGAAGCTGTACGATTATAATCTATTTCCTATCCTAACATCTTGGTGAATACTGTACTACACGGGATTAAACTTAGTTGTCAATACAGTGGAAACGACAATCAATGCAACTATTGGAAATGCGGCATGTCCCTACGCAGCTACAGTGATGTCACGATGCATCTGAACAGACCCGTAGGTTAGCGATGATCAAGGAAAGATCATCCCTTGTAGTGAAAAGTACCTGTAAATATTGACTCCTTGACGCCATAACCTAGAATTCCTGCACCAATTAACAATCTCATGCCAGTACCGAAGCCCTTTGGCATGCTTGATAAGCGACCAGCCATATCCCTAATATTTTTAGCCATGTTGGACAGAAAAGCGAATTTGATTTGGCTTGAAAGTTCAGCACGAGTGAAGAGTAGACCAGCAAAGTGTGCAGACCGCTGCCACAGTACCTTATCCAGTACTGTACACTGTACACTGTACACTACTGTACAACACTGTACTGTACCGTACTGTACAGTATGCAGTAGTACGTACTGTACAGTACAGTATCGTACTCCATCTACTGACCCATGAAGCTGATGGAGGGGTACAGTACACACTACACTGATCCCACACCATGCAATGTACTGTACACTGTACATTGTATTTTTACTGCGTAAGCATCAACGCTACGACATCGCACATGTACGTCAGGTCTACATGCACGTCAGGTCGACTGCACTCATACGGCCAACAACCTTTTCACTGCGCAGTCACTGTACTGTACAGTGCTGTGCTGTACTGTACTGTACTGTACGTCTGATGCAATCTTCAGTGAGATTGGAGGATGAAAAGTGGCGTACTGTACTGTACAAGTGTACAGTACTGTAAAGTACTGTACTGTACTGGACGCATCTCTAGCATACTGTATACAGTACAGTACTATACACAGTACTAAGGTCACCGATGACGATTAAAACCTGTACGTACTGACTGGACAGACGAGAGTACGCCCTTGTAGGACCTTGTACTGCACTCCATTTTGGCATAGTTTTGACCTAGCTATACTCAGTGTAAAAAAAGAAAGAAAGAAAGAGAGTAGGCCTTGGCCAGGGAACTATGTACTCAAAATAAAATAATAATAAGGGGACTTAGTGTAAATGAATCATTTTACCGTACTGGACAAAAACCAGCCAAGCGGCCGATGGAACGAGATTGCGCATACCGTACTTCATCAAGGATTGCAGACCACTGCTTGACGGTACCGTAACGTATCGTTTCACGATACGGTCCAGTTGAGATGACCAGCAAAATAATGCAGTCAGCCCCACCCCCTACAGTATTTGGTATTTGGTACATGTACTGTACTGTACAGTACAGTACAGTACTGTAGATTCCTCGCTCGTCCTGCTTTGCATGCATGACGGCATGATAGAGGAAGGTGTGGAAAACTTTTTTGCAATTTTAGGCGTGATGAATCGGCCTTATGTCTACAGTAGTTTACTTTACTTATTGCTCTCTTCATAGTGTATAACAGTACCATGGTAGTGTTGAGGACTGTTAGAAGAAAAGTTTTTTTCTCGTAGTCCATGACAGCACATTGAACTTAATACTGACTGTGCTGGAGTCCCTGCCTTGGCTATAGGACTATAAAGAAGTCAGATCAACTGTATCATTTGTATATGATATAGTATAAGAAAAAACGACAGTAACTGCAATCTGCAAATTATATTAATTATATTAATTAATAATCTTCATTGAGGTACACAGTCATAGGACTGCACACTCAGTACTTACTCTATCAATAGTCAGTACATTACACAAACAACTTACCTTTTAATCAATCAATTTATTTATTGTCCATGTACTATTACAGCCCTTCTAAATATTATTTTATCATCATCGATTAATATAAGTCACGGGCAATGCTTTACGTAGTATGATAGTGATCATAGAGGAAAATACAGTAGGTCGCATCGACTAATGCCACACAATTGTCAAAGTTTACAGCTGGATTGAGCTCAATAATGCAGTAAATATCATTTGTTGTTATACTGCAATATCACAACGGCAAAGGACTGCAACAATCCAATTCTAACCCCATCAATGACACTATGGCAAATGATGAGGAAGTTGCTGATTCACTAATTTCCCAACAGGTTAGCAAGCTGCTAATCAATTTACATACTGCACCTACACTCTTGCACAGTAGCAGCATTTTTATATTCGAAAGTGTTTTTTTAATTCTTTACCTTTCAATATTATACCTCTTAATAAAGCGATTAAAGGCAGCTTTGCATTATGCAGTGGGTAAAAAATGCGAAGAAATCGGTTAGTATCAGTAATTTTCCTCTATACCGTGTAGTACTTTACGGTATAGTGTACATGATAAAAATGAAAACTGCAAAATAATTCTGCACCAATATTGTGCTTATCGGCTGAACCAGCCTCAGAAAATGAAATGTGCATACTTACTAGTAGCATGACTGCAGTTGAAATTGCATCATTTTCTGATTCGTTCACATGTAACTTCAAAAGGCACTTTATACCTAGCATTGCATTGAATTACTGTTATAACCATTGTACATTTACCGTACTGCATTCTGAACTAGTAAAATTATGCTAAAGTATCACCACACATGCTTATTCTTATTTATTATTGGTTATGCAGGGGAAGAACTTCAAGTGGAATTCTCCAAGCAAATGATATTTGCTCTAACCGAGTGTACATTTAAACAAAGTGGTAAATTAATCAATGCATCCAACCTACTGTACATAGCAAATTGTATTGAATAACATACGAGTACTTACTCTCATAGCGATAATTTCAGTAATTCGAAGTACCTACTCGTAGTTCACTAGCACACAACTCTTAGCTTCTATATGTACGACTATAACACTAATATACGTAGTTCAAAACTTGCCAACGACAGCAATGGTTATAGTAAAGTTCTAATATAAATGGTTGACACATTTACTTATTCAAATTTTTACCATCACTTCTTATTTCAGAGGTAATAGCAACCGATCTGGAAGCATTTGCAAGGTTATTTCTCTTGATGATTACGATGATGTATCTATATATTCAGTTTTTTAATTGCTGTATTGCAATACTCGTACATAGATAGTCATGAGCAATAACGTAAATACGTATAGTACATGCAGGAACTACTGACTTTTTCCCTTCAGTAATCCCTAGTCATACAATTAATGACTAATGCTCCTGGTACTTTATTTGCTTTTAATTGTTATGGTAAAAATTTTATTCAACAACGCAATGATTATTATACAATCATACACGTATTTCGTGCTTCTAACCCGTGCTATTTGTGGCTTCATGCAGGCACGCAAAAAGGACTACCATTAATGGTGATGATGTAAAGCTCCTTGTAAGGCGAAACAAGAATGTGGTAAAATTATATGGATATATATAACATATATACTGTATGTGTATGTAATTTAACCGTAAGATACTGTAGGCCCATTATTCACTTCTTGTGTAATAATGCAATCTCGATTAATATAATTAAACACGTTCTTTGAACAGTGACTATGATTGTTGAATGACTGATTTATCCGATCCTAAAGGAAAGGATGGTAGTTACTTACTGAGCTGGAGTTGCTTTCTACTATTTCAGGGTGATTGTATAAAAGATCTATCAGATAAATTGGCTAAATTACACAGTCGGCAAAAAATGAAAAACAAGAGACCGAGAAAAGATGCTGCGTCCACAGATAGCATAATGGAAACGTAGACATCGCGACATCTCGGTGCTTATAATCTCCAGTTAAATTTTATGTGTGTTAATTCATTAATTGCATTGTCGGTATGAACTTACATTTACGTGGAGCTGCCTAAAAGAACTTATTCGACTTTACTTACGTATAAAACAAGTTGGAAGTAACGTATCCGGTATCCGTTCGAAAGTAACACTTTAATGTTATTGATATAAAACTAATTTATTGAAAGGTATAACGGATTTTAAGAAAAATTTTCGTAAAATTGATCACTATACTCTTTGAAAATTTTTTAAAATAACCAATAATTAACCAAACAATTACTATTCCTAATTCGATCGTAAAGTGCATATAATACAGTATATGCATAAATTAGATCTCTTGAACAAAAATTTCTATTTGAATTATTTTGTACGATTACATGTATTTGTTAAGCAATAGCAAATTATTGCTAATGTCAACTGATAAACTGTTACAAGTATTAATAAAAATAATGCAATTATAATTCGCATTTATCGGGGAAAAAATTTCATGGGACATCGTATAATATTAATTCCTAAATACCGGATAAAGTCTAATAACGGCAGCACTTATTAGTTTGCCAGGTAAAGTAGTCATATTAAAACTTAAATAATTAATTGTAATCATCTGCATTTTTAAAAGTAAGCTTTTTTTTAAATTTGCAAATATCCTAAAGCTTATAATCATAATGAATAAGCCATAAAAGAAATACTTATTATAGCAACCTATAAATGTAATTTTACGTAGAAAACATTCTATGCAAAGCAAATACATAGTTATTTGTATATTGTATTGTACAAGTTCGATATGAGGATACTTAGATAGAATTATTATCAAAATATAATTGATACTTATAAATTGAGACTACAATCTTCGAAACCTGTGTACTGAAATCTATCGTTCTGTTTGTAGAATCATTATGCAAATCCCCAAGAAGGAAGTAAGAAATTTGCTTGTAATGTTTTTCTAAGGAATGCTGATAAGGATTAGTATATATGCACTATTAAAAATTAGTCGTTATATAGTATAATCGAAGAATCATCCAATGCTAGTAATATATTTAAAACAGTATCTCTTGTTACTTGATAACTTGCTCACGGGCAGTTTACCAGATGAGTACATTTGAATCTATCTTATAGATTTACTTTCATATATCATAAACAATTTATCTAATTTGATAAAGGCGTGAAGTAACTCAAGAACATATACGCCTTTTTAAACTTTAGATTCAATAGTTTGCTTATGGGATTCTTGTAATTTTTCATATTCTCTAGCCCTATTGTATAAGACCACTCCAAGAATGACTATCAGGATGCCAAAAATGTTCATAACCGTAACAGGATTGTGAAATATCAATATCGACAATAGTATAAGTAATGCACGCTTTGCTGTGTTCGCCACACTGAAATTAAGATATAAAAAATTAGCCTAATAGGACATGAAAAAAATCAGTATTGAATATTATAGTAAGATTACTATAGTACTGTACAATAATAATTTATATAATAATCGTCATTCTTTATACCTATGAGATACGGGAGATATGTCAGCCATCAGAACATATGCTGTCACACTCTGTAAGTGAAATCCTAAAGAATTGAGGACCATCATTATGGCAACAGTTTTATCAATAGCGACAATGTCATCTAGATGAAAACCCTAAACGAAAATAAATCAATTATTATTACACCTTGAAATCCATGTTAAATTTTATTTAGTAAAATTTAATGGTAAGTTTCAAAAAATATTCAAAATAGTAACTAGTATGCGCATACATACATTATAGAACCATAGAGGAATTTGAACTACAGCAGCGGCAGCGCTAGTATAAAATTGTAATTCGACGGGCCTATAAATAAATATAATACGAATTTATTGTTATTATTTAGAGATAAATACTACTTCAACAAATGTGATTGTAACCTGAAATTTTAATTGACTTACGTGTAATGTTCTCCGCTCAATAATTTCTTTGAAAATACATTTTGTATACTGTTTGGAGGAATATAAAAGTAAATGGAGTAGTTTAAAGTCAGGTATCGAGTAAGTCTATCGGTTGTTACTTTAGTTTACATAATTTCAGTATAGAAATTTCGTTAAACTTTAGACAGCATACAATATATATAGATGTAAATATATCATGTATCAATATTAATATCAAGTCAAGCGATCTAAAATTATAGTTTCCTAAAGTGTATCTTGACTGTTTAAGAGTATAATTAGCGAAAGGTGTACATTACTCGATGACTAATGTAAATTGGAAAAAAAGTTAGTAGGAAGTAATTATTCATTACCAGTCCACAATGTTATTAGAAACGGCTGCCAAGAAACCTAGCATATTAAAACCGATTTCTGTAGCGCTACATAGTGCCAGTCCAGCAGTAACTGGTAATAACGCTAAATTGACATAAACGCCAGTTTTCTCTTGCAACATTATCCAAGCTAAACCGACGGTAAATATTGGTGCCGAAGATTTAATAGTTTCCGTAAATGACACAGCTACATATTTTAAACTAATCAAGCCCAAGACAACAGTTGTAAACCTGAAAATGACAGCAAATAAAGTAACTTAGTTAAATATGCGTTCGCATCACAAACATCAGTACAATGTAGTAAACTGTGAACTATACTGCATTGTTAAGACAGGTGGCTGCCGCTTTGAAATACAGTGCAGAATATCATTATTGTTACAGTATTAATGATTTGCAATAAGAAATATATTTCACTAATGGCATTCTATAATTACACGCACTTGCGGAAAATTGATACTATCTAATCATCAGATCTTAAGATTATAACGTGATCAATATACATTATTGGTTTATATCAGCAACTAGTTAATCTACCGATATGCTTTCAATTCATATATCTATCGATAGAATTACTTTTCAATATCGAACTAAGAAAAATAAGTTTGTATCTTGATTAGAGATTGAAGAGATTTGCTACCTCATAATACCAACAAACGCCATGTTACGTATAAAATTGGTGTGTTTTACATCTGGAGACGGCTTAGCATGTATGTACTGATTCAAGCAGCAAGGAGTATTCATTTTAATACCACCTAGCAAAGTCGTTGTAAGAATTTGTGCCATGGCTAATACATTTGGGTCACCATTTCTTGTGGATAGGATAAATTTATTAGTTAATGATGTTAATATACTAAAGGCACACCAAAGTACCAATGATACACCGACTCGCCATCGATAAAAATTATCTATGGGTGATCTTTTCCTCAGTAACGATGGATCGATATTTATTTTATAGTCCAAATCCTCCTTGACTTTGGATGAAAGTTCAGTTGATCGTGGCGTGGTTGGAACACTTAATTCGCCATCAGACGATTCAGTTGCAACGGCAACTGGTATTGTTGACATGGCAGCAGTAATCACTAGACACGATTGAAATTAATCTTCGTGTCTAATCCGCTGCTGGAGAAAACTCAACAAGATCGATGATGATAATTCTAATAATAAAAGGTACGATATCGCCCCAAAAAGAAAAAAAAAACAAGTTCTAGTACTGAAGAATTGAATATTGGTATCAAATTCAATATCAATGCAAGTCATCTAGTATCAGTTCAAGACAGTAGCTAGTATTTACAAGATGACATGAGTATTGAATTTCAAGTTTGAAATGTTGGTAGTCAATTAATTGTAGAGAGAAGGGTATGTATACTGTAGGTTTAATAGATTCTAGTCGACAGTAATAATATCAGAATACGTAATTGCATGTGTACTGGAACATCATTATAGAATATAGTCAAGATTCAACACTTACAAAAAGTTACCAAAATGATACAACATATATTTACCGTTTCTAAAATCATCACTGATATTATAGTACATAGTACACATTTCGACGGAACAATGTAACCAGCATATCGATAATTAAACAAATTAATTACAGTCGAGTTAGAAGTACACTTTACCAGCTACGATCGTTTAGCTAGAAACAATTGAAACTCCTTGATATTATAATAATAATAATAATAATTTGAAGCAATTGCAAATTACGTACGTTGATCAATTCAGTTCTACGGCATTGATCTACCTCTCTACCTCTCTATCTCTATGCAAGGCACTATCTAGGCTGTAGTGGATCTAATTATATATATGCAATCATAATAAAGCTCCAGCGCATGGTTATCCAAGCTGCTACCTAAAGGTCATTTACCACTTGAATTGGAACAGTATGAAAAATAAAATTTGGATTTCTCCCGTATACACACTTACACAGTCTTACGCAGTAAGATGCAGCTGCGCATTCCAACTGCTCTTCCAGCACAGCCCAGTACAGTACTGTACCAGGAACTTTTGTTGATGTCCAAATCCAACCTGGCTATGAAGTGATAGCGTACAGTATGCAATGCGGCTGAGTGGATGGTATGGTACAGTACAGTACTGTACAATAGACAGTATGACACTATCTGTAGCGTCGTTCTTCCAACAGTACTGTATGACACGATCTGTAACGACGTTCTTACGATCTGACGCTAGTGACTAGTTGAAGTGTTACCACAATTTCACTGTATTGCGCATGAGTACAATATCATCGATCACAGTACTGTCAACTAGTGTCAAGGGACTTGTACGACGAATACAGTACTTAGTATTAGAAGTCGCTGGTACTGTCGGGTACTGTATCATACAGTACTCGTCCAGTCAATACAGTACTGTGCACTGAGTCAGTATGGAAGAGCTTTTTCTTGTAATAGGCAAAACTTGACGACCATACGTTACTAAATCAAACACGGATTGCATCTGGTACTGTATCAGCTGTTGCATACAGTTTAATACTATGCACTGTACACTGTAGTGTACAGTGCGTAGTACTGTACAGTATTCTTTTTTTGGGGGGGGGTGGAGGTTTCTACAGTATTGTACTGTACAGTACTGTACTGTAAGTTACTGTATGTTGTACTGTACTGTGGCATTGTACTGTAAACTTGCAGGACAAGTTTCTGGAACTGTCGTACAGTACAATACGTTACTATACTGTACAGCGTTCATTACCCAACAGTTTAATACTATGCACTGTACACTGTAGTGTACAGTGCTTAGTACTGTATTCTTTTTGGGGGGTTTCTACAGTACAGTACTGTAAGTTACTGTACAGTACAGTATGTTGTACTGTACTGTGGTATTGTATGTACTGTAAACTTGCAGGACAAGTTCCTGGAACTGTCGTACTGTATGTACCCGTACAGTACAGTACCGTGCTCATCACGCTAGTTGACTGTGTACTGTGTACAGTACGGTACGGTACTATACAGCGTTCATACCCAACTGACCAAGACAAAATGGCGTTTGCTAACGGATGCAAGCGGTTAACTCCTATCGTGTCATCGCTACCATCATCGACGAATGGTAATATGGAATTCAAATCGTTATTTTTTAAATAAAACTGTATCTTTAATGAACAGGGATGTCAATATTGGTTTCAAATTTAGATTTATTGACCATATTCAGGTTTTAGCTGTAGTGTTGTACTACACCTATACAGTAGACAGTAGTTCTATCATGGCTACAGTATGTTGTAATATCTAATCTTTTGGTGTACAAGATCCATGGATTACTTTACGCGTATGGAAAATTACATATGGGATTCGTCATTACCAACATGAATCAGTTCTATTAAAATACTGTATAGCTTACAGTACTGTAAAGCACTCTCATTAATTTACAGCAGCAACACGGATCATGAACCGTTGCTGTGGTGTTGTCATCATGAAAGCAACAGAAACTTGCTTACGGTTTTAGTTACTATATTCTGCACTGTAAATGGAGAATGTACCTCAGCGTCAATTAAATAGTGACAGTTGTTGGCATTGAACTCTATTCATTTTCTGAATAAAGCTTAACGCTGCTAAGATAAAAAAAAATATGGAATTAAACAAGTAGCGCACGTACAGCGATAGACATACTAGGCCTACTTTAACCCTTCTTGATCCATAAGTTGCTAGATCATTTACCGTACCCGTGTAGCAACATTGTATAGCTGGGGTGGCCTAGTGTACAGTGGTATAGCATTAGCGGACTGTTATCGAAATTCTTTCACAATATCATAATATCACAACTATTTAGTTGCCAGTGAACTGCACAAGTTCAGTACTGCCGTTTGCTATGATTCTGCAATAGTCTTCGATTCCAATAATTATAATTTTACCGAATTGGCATTCTTTGTCTAGACCTTGTAATATCTCGATTTAACATACTACTCTATGCTGTAAAGCTTTTAGATCTTCATCGCGTCGCTTACTCTCCGGCACGGAAGAAGCTCCATTCGGATATGCTTGGAGTATACCGAAAAAGATCGTGAGTTGATAGCCTTACCTGCATAGTTATAGTGGATTAGGAAGACCAAACAGATTCGTATATAAGCTATTCGGTAACTTGTTAACGCATCATTTCGGAGTATCTACAGCAATCTGATAAAAGTGATAACAGTAGCATAATCATAACAGTATTTTAATCAAACACTAATCAGACAAAAAAGATTCGTTTTATAGCTTATAGCTAAAAGTCTACTATAGTTCACGCTAACAATTATTCTTTGTAATTCAGACTAGTTTCTCTCTAGAGTCTCTAATGCACACTACTCCTACATGCCCTATAGCACCTAGAACCACAGTAACGCATAATACCTAATTATTCTACATTAATCTTTATCCATCAGTATTGCATTTGTAAAAATTCCTATTTCTTGCTAAGATGGACCTATATTATAGTAACTGCTGCTTGTCAGATTTTTTACTCTTTCTAATAAACACTCGCTACGGACACTAGATTGCCTGGCAACGATAAGAAATCGTATAATCCACATAGGGACTATCCTTAGATCAATTACTATTCATTTTATAAATATATATATGAAAATCAGGCAGTAAAAATCATAGCAAACCGATTTAAGAAAATTATCACAATTGCACAAGTCATTAACAATATTAAACTATTCGAGATTAAGTTTCAGTATTACTGCTAGTATTTGCAATAGCCGTTTTTTAATTTTGTAAATTTACCTTTAATGCTGGTTTTCAAACTGTATTATTGCAATCTTGATTGTTAAGGCCTTTTTAATTAGTCTGCCCGTAGTATGGATGACTGGCTCAAAATTTCTTCGAGGTATTAATGATATGTTTGCCTTTATATTATAGTTTATTTGCTCTGCAACAAAAACCGTTATGAAATAATAAAGTATAATAGCATTCTTCTTGACTCATGATTGCACTTTTTCAAATTAGGTTGCGAAGAAGGAGCCAATGAAAGGAGCCTGTTAGTTAAACTTAGAAGAAAAGTTTACAATCAAGTAAGATGCTACCATTTCAAACGCTATTTCAGTAAATAGATTTTATTATTACTTCTATTTTAATACAGTAATAATCTCTTTGTTTTCTCTAGCCATTTCAATGGGAAGACCAAAAAGTGGTAAGTGTTCGCGCAGTATAGTTTCATCGGCACTTATAAACGAGCTACTGCATTAATCCATCGACTGTCAGATGATTTATCAGTCATTACGGGCATTGATTGGAATAATAATTCTTTTAGAACTGTAATTGATGATTTATTTTCTTGTATCTGTTTCCGTTTCTTTTAATTAGCATCCCCTTACATGGTTTATGGCCAAATATATGATTATGGATCCACAAAAACGTGAAGAATTCTGGGAAGAACACATGCGTAAGGTGAAGAAACGTCGCGAAATTCACCTTGCGCAAATGCGACAACCCCAAAATCCACCAGTCATGATGATGCAATACCCTGTTGCGAACTATGGAGTTGAACCTAAAGGCAAACCTATTGGACCTGATGGTTTTTAAGCCAATTGATTGTGTTAAACTTATGGATTTTGAAATGTTAAAATAGCCAAAAAATTTGCTCATTTAAAATGCGAAATCATGTAACCTATATTTTATGACCATACTGCGCCAAAGTGAGGTTTCTGTATGCGGTATAGTTGCTGATTCTAGTATTTAAAGATTAGATTACGCTATATGCGCTCGAAGAATTTCAAATGTCATCATGACTTCTTTTAGCTCGATTTGCTCTCATTCATTCATGTGCTTGGTAACTTTTTGGTATAGAATTTTATATTGAATGAAATGAAATTGATCCATTTAACATCAGAAAATGGATGCATACAAAAGTAACATTTGTCAGAAGTTAAGGTACTATCGATACTGCATGTAGGAATACTGTTTTGCATTGAAACTGAAAATAAAGTCACTTTTGAAAATACCCTATGCAAACATCATTCATCGCTTATTCCAGTTTCTAATTTTAACATATAAATACACCCATATAAGATACTCCTAGTATAGCGACTAGCGTTGCATTGCAACCTAAACATTCAGCGTACAACATTCCCTAATTTATAGTCAAAACCCTCTAATCTTTCTCTCCTACCCTTCCTTACAGAAGAAAACTTTGATATCAAGAATTATCATTTGCCGATAAACGTCGTTTTCATTTAGCCGATAGGAGACAAACTCTGTTGCGATATTGCAATTAGCATACTTCATTAACGATTAAAAAGAGACTAGATAAAGCATTATGTATTTATTAGCACGGACATCTCTCCTTGAGATTTTCTCTTGGAAATCCCTGTCATTAATTAGTCTCTTATTAAGCCATTTACTCTTTTCAAGTCTCAGGATTGTCAGTACTCAGTTGAGATATCAGAAATATACGGTCTACTCTACCGTATATTGTACTGTATACTGTACGGTGTCGTGAGTGTGAACTACAGTACATGCTGCAGTATGCAGTATGGTAATGATACTGTGCCAATATACTGTACTGTTCAGCTGTACTGTAGACTGTATGGTACAATACACTACATTATGTATTATACAAGATTGTTTCGTAAACTCGTAGCCATAGCAACATACGCCTTGTTGTTGCTACTGATGATACTGCTGCTACTAGCTAGAAATCATCGTAGTTGTATGTTAAACCTGATAAGTTGTCTACTAAACATCCAGCTAAATCACTAAACTATCGAAAATGCCGTCCAAAGTAAAAAAGAAGGATCATAATGAAATACAAAATAATGAAGTAAGAATAGCAAATTTATCCTTCCTTGCTTTTATTAATCATTTCAGTTATTCCCTTACCCTTAAAGTAATATTTACATCAGCAGTATCAGTTGCCATTGAATACATCTGTAATAATCAAATAAATAGAGCTAAGATTGACAACGATAGATCGAAATTACGAACAGATTATAGAAAATGAATCGTCTATTTTAATTTGATTGTAAGCGTAACGAAAGTATCACTATCAATAGTTTGATCCAGTTAATCTGATCTCCAAAAATCCACGAACGGTGGTTTTAATGTTGGATTCGCCGGAGGAGACAGTGTTAGCATCTGCTTGCGAGGCTATTTATAAATTTGCCGAAAAGTGTAAGTCAATCTTATCTCTAGAAGGCTATACAGGAATACTAACAATTATACTGTATAAACAATCGTAAGACTAGATTTGTAATTATTTTCGTATCCGAGTCTCAGTTTCATATGTTACGATAATGTAATAAGTTTTAGTTTGGATAGAGTTGTAGATTTTATTCAACAATGAATTGAAAATCTCCATCATTTCATATAGCCGATGCAAATAAAATCGAACTACTGAATACTGGCGTAATCAATGGTCTTAATCGTTTGCTATCGCTTGATGATAAGGCAGTGAGAACCCATGCCGCAGCCTGTCTAGGAACATTAACTGGTCATGGTAAGCCATCATGATCATGCTACGTTTTCTAACTGCTTGCATATACACATAGCATGCTATACTTAGTAATTTTTTATTATAAACTGTATACTCATCCTGAATGATGATTTACATCCTCACCTAGCCGAAATCAGAAAAGCACTTCGTAAAACAAATTGTATAGAGCCACTTATTGCTTTAATACAGCCCGAAGGTAAAATAGTTTTAAATTATTATTTCGCACAATATTATCATGACTATCATTTATAAGTAGATAAAATTATTATAATAAGTCTAATTTTCAATTTTTAATTCGAAAGAGGAACTTATCTGTCACGATCATGCGAGCCTTGCCTTGTGTCATCTTGCAGCAGATTTTACCTCTAAATTAGAGATATTTGAAAAGAATGGATTACAGCCACTAATTAAGCTCCTAACTTCTATTGATAGCGATGTACAGGTAAAATCTATTGAAATAATCTTAAACATACATAAACTTCATAAAAATTATTCATAGAGATAAAATATTTTCCGTGACCAAATGTTAAACATTTGAATCAAAAATAACAAAGATTGATATAATAATTATATCTACAGTAAAGTATTTTTTAGTTATATGTCTAGCTATAATCATTCATAAACTTATGGATTTAACGCAGTTGCATATATCTTCGATGTTTACTTATATGGTCACTTATTTTTAATTAATGTAGAAAAACGCTGCTGAAGCCATCTGCTATATGGTTCAAGACTATCAGAGTAGACTAGCGATTCGAGATCTACATGGTAAAGTAGTCAAATTTAATGGATCAACAGAAATACTGCAGCTTCAAAAACCTGGATAAATATACTGTACTAACACCCAATAATGTATTTGATAGGTTTCAAGCCGTTATTGTTACTCCTCGACTCTGATTACCCAGTTATTCAAGAATTATCCTTAACTACTCTTTTACGCTGTACTCAAGATAGTTAGGGCAACATTATTCATATACAGAGCTATTACTTGTAAACGCTAAGATTAAGATGCTATATTCAATAACTGTCATATTTATGCTAATTCAACTGTAGCTGATAATCGTGCTGCAATTCGAGAAGTTGGGGGAATGGAAAAATTAGTTGATTTTATTGGCAATAAGGTAACATACTCACACCTAACAAAAATACAAAGCAAAATTCAAATGAATGCGATAATACGATTTAGAAGGATACCATAAAATATTACTAAATTGTTACAAATATCAAAATATTTACTTGTAAAGAACTGAATAATTATCAATACAGTTAATATTAATATATTAGTTATTCTCGTTATATAAATATCTATTACCTAAATTCTTTAACACTACTACTAAAGGACTTTGAAGATCTTCATGTTAACTGCATGGCAATAATCTCTAACTGTCTAGAAGATCACGAATGTATGAAGGTAATCATTCGTTGCATAGGTTATAGCATCTTACCGATATATTCGGAATAAAGAAAGGTACTTTAAATAAATCTAAATTACTTTTGCTCATTAGCTCATGCAAAATAATCGAGGCTTGGAGAAATTACTTGCTTTCACAGTTGATTCAACATCTCATGCAATGCAGCAGCGAGCGGTAAACAAGTCATAAAATATGCGATTAGGGAACTTAACTTAAAAATTCTAGTGTGCAACTAATGCAAGTTAAATTATAATTTACATATGATTATCTTTAGGCTAGAGCAGTTGGAAATGCTGCCAAAAATGGTAAGGAAACGTCAATATTTAATAATTCAACAACAAATACAAAGTAATAATTTAACATCGATGAAAAATAAAATTACAGATCAACTCTTTATCATCTCTAATAATAGCTGAAAACAGAAAGATTTTTCGAGAAATAGAATCCGAAAAACAAATCATCACATTATTTGCATCAGATGTAAGCATGCTAATGATCTAAATTACATTAGTAGTAAGTGATTATTATTGTTCTTTATTAAAGTATTAATTTTATATCATTGGTACATAACAGAATATCGGTGTGCAAGCAGCCACAGCTCGTGCTTTAGCACTAATGGCTGAAAATTCTGGAAGCAGAGAGGCAATAGGACACTTCGGTAGGAATTTAGAAGATCATTGAGTAATCTTATGAATTATTTTGGACGCTATCCTCCTAATAATATCCTTAATATAATCTAATTATCACATGACATTACCCCTTACTCAGATGGAGTACCACCGCTTATCTCTTTACTAAATAACGAAAATGTCGAAGCAAGAACTTTTGCATCTCTTGCACTCGCTAATATGACATCTTCCCATACAAAGAATTGCAGGTAATTATACCCTTAATTTGCTCTCATTCTGAACAATAGCTTATTTGTTGCTGCTACTACAGAAATGGTAATATATTTAATCTCTAAAATATTATATTTATATTTTAGTTTGGTCGTCCAAGCAAATGGAATTGAACCTCTGATAGCATTATTAAACGATCATAAATTTGAACCACAAGCAAATGCTGCTGTCTGTTTAACTAATATTGCCGCTGACGGTAATTAAAACGACCCTAGTATCGTTGAGAATTCATGACATATAGTGTTTTAGGTTCTCAAACTATAGCATAACTGACAATTAACGATTTAAACTCTTAGAGGGATATCGAGCAGAAATCCAGCGTCAAGGCGTCGTACAATCTCTCGTCAATGCTTTACAATCTATGTTAGCAATTGTAAACTCATTTTTATTAGTAACATATTTTTTCTTTGAATTGTTTCAAATCAGTGTACCGGCTAGCCAACTAACTATATACGATTCAAAGCTAACTATATATCTCGCTATTACACATATAGTAATAATACAGTACAAGCAAAAGCTACCTTAGCTGTTGCAGCGCTCGTATGCGATACAGAAACTAGAACTGAGGTAAAATTTATAAATTTAAAATTAAGAATTTTATTATTCTGTAATTTTAATAACAACTTAAAATGCTTTCATTAATTTGGCTGCTTAGCTGCGAAATTATAGTGGATGTGAACGAATTGTAGCTTTATTAAAATCTGATAATGATCAAGTGCGGAGATGTGCTTGCTGGACTATCAACTCTTGCGGAAATGACCTGCCTACTGCTACCGACTTTTGTAAACATGGGTAAATGAATATCAATTAGGAATATTTGACTCAGCATAGTTAATTCTGATTTAAATTAAATGATCATCTGATATTCTTCGTAATTATACAGTGCATTAGAAATACTGCAGGACATTGCAACATCAAACACGCGACAATCGCGATTTGCAAAAGCCGCTCTTGATTGCCTACTAAATTGCAATCTCTCAGCCAAATACAGCTTAAATAATGAAATTAGTGCTCAAAATTTTATTCAGGATGGATTTTACGATGCAGGACAAGTTAGTTCATATCTATAATATCAATAGGCGATATTATAACTAAACTGTGACCTCTAAAATTAGTACATACTGTAATTTAGACACTTTAGCTCGATATATTATCATACATTGAAAGAATGGCATTTCTTGAAAACTTATTCAAATTTTAATTCGTTACTGTAACTGATCTTAAATACAGTTATTAACTTTAATTCATATCTTAACTTAGTTACGTCAAGGGAGACCATTTCTAAGCCTTGAGGAATTTAGTAAATCACCTATAGATGCTAAAAGACCTTATCTGTTGGTTTATACTAAGAATCCTATCAGGTAACTATAATTGCATGCTGTATGCTGCTAAAATAGATGAATACGATAATAAAAGTGTCCCGTTAACCAGTTGGTATAAATTTGTAATAGAGCATAATAAACTATCTTTACAGGAAAGTTGAGACTCCAGTTACTCAACCCACATCCGAAAAGAAGCACTCAAGCAGACGCCGAGATGGCCGAAGGTGGGGCTTAACTTTCATATCTGTATATATATAAAGTTGAAAACTTCTTATAATTAATTACCGAAATATTCGATTTTAATGGTAATTAAGTCCTAATTAAAATCATCTTTATAGTAAAATGAGATCCCGTGAACAAAAAGAGCGAGAAGAGACTGCACGCGAAGAAGAGCAGCAACTGCTACTTCAACAACAGTTGGAGGAGGAAAGAAAAGCCGCCGCCGGTGAATGGAGGCCAAATTACGATGCAATCTTAGCAAATTATATACAAGAAGCTCAAAAAAATATTCAAACTTTACCCAATACGCGTGAGCAAGTTATTGCTTTAGCGAAGTAAGTATTAGGATGTTTCAAATTTATCTATATTCCCTACCTTTACGACATACCATGCTATACGTCAAATTAGGGGTGGTTAATTATTTAGGAGCCTAATATCAGAAAATTATTCTTATTTTTGTACTAGATCTGTTAGCGACAAAATGGGTGGCGTTATCGAGAAAGCCAACTTGGCTGGTTTTGGATATGAACTACATATCAATCAATTGAAATATGAATTAAAGTCGAACATTATACCTCTTGGTTCTATTTCAATGGGAACATTCTATCACAGAGCACTGTTATTTAAGGTAAGATAAGTGTTGCTAATCTACTATAATAAAAAATCAGAGAAATCCTGTAAGCTAGTTGGAATGTAAGGATAATATTACATACTGTTCTTAATACACGTATTCTCTGTTACTGATAAAGAGCTAATTTATGAACCTTATTCATTAATTATAATTATAGGTCGTTGCCGATAGAATAGGAATTAGTACATCTCTGATAAGAGGAAAATATACAAGAGCGTGGAACGAAGTACTAATATCTGACGACCCAGAGGTAATTTATACTATGACCTTCACAGAGTAACCTTCTTAGTTTGAGTTATAAATACTTACTAACTTTTTTTGTACTTCTATCATCGTAATTATTACAGCCTGGACAACCCCGCTATCCACCTAAAAAGTATATTGTTGACTTAATTCACCAACCTGGTCAGTTGCTACTGATTGATTCTATGGAAGCCAAAAAATACTGTCGATTGTAATTAAAAAAGATAAAATTCTATTGTAACTTGTATCCTCTTATAGTACTACAAAACGATATTATGTACCATACTTGTACCCATAATTACATATAATGGACTAGTAATCTAAGTTATATTATAATTACGACTATCTTGCAAGGGTAATATTAATAGATTCGACATCAATTTCTTTTTTAAAACTCTTTATAGCTTCGACAGCTTTTTTGGTACTATGTAATATGTATCAATTTAGTTTATTATCGCCACAATATTTTGTTTCAACTAATGCTTCTATTTTATAAGCATAAATATGTTATATATATATATATAATATATATATACTGCATATGTAATAGCATAATTATCGTAGGATTGACATAACGCGTAACTAATAAAATAAATATGGCAAAATAGATTGCTATTCTTATCCCAATGGCCTATTTCATTGTCAAAATACAGTATAAGCTTGCATAGTTAAGATACTATATCTACTTGAAAGATACCAGAAAAATATTAGCAAGGTAACATCTGAACGTAGGTCAATTTTAAACTATATAGTATAAGAACGGTGATTTTATCCACAGGTATGAGGATACCATCAACGTTTTGCGATATTTTGGAACAATAGCCGAATTATCCTTCCTTGATTTACATGATCTCCATACAATTAATCGTTTCTAATTCTCTTTTCATTATATTGATCGAAAAAATTTCATCATGTGCATCGAACATTTAATTCATATACACATTACTGTATAATTTATACATCATAATTGATACAAGAACAACTATACAATATATTATAGGCCATAGTACAATTATTTGGCATAATATATAACAGTATATCATCTAAGTACGTTGGTCCCTTCGAGAAAACAGTTATATGGGCGTATTACAAAGACCAAAATTCATATAGACAGTATAAACATCACATCTATGCATCGTAATATTTCAGGATAAACTGACACTTTTCTTACAGAATCCGAAGTAAAAATATATATCACAATATAACATATATATGATACCTCAAAAAGGGAGCTAATTACACTCACGAATCCTGTAACAGTATGTTTATTAAAAGCGACATAATAGACTTTCGGGCACTATCATATTCATATAGGAATGTTAATAATTTAGGATCATACTTAGACTTATCTAACAGGCTGAATGGAAATTCTGGATGAACGCCAGATAAAACGGCTATGCCTTTCCCGACATTACATTTTATAATAGCTGCTCCATCCCATGGATTGTGGCCATCAGATACTTAACAAAATTAATTAAAGAATTGAAAGATGATTAAAGAGGGCTGGGAGCTATGCATTCAATAGCAATGCATCGATTTTTACAGATAATAATAAAATAGAATATTGCACAAATTGTAGGGTGAATTTGATTAAATATCTATATACGTGAGCTTATTAGTAACTACTGTATACACGTAAATCGTGCCGCTACAAGTAATCATGGATTCCTAATTATTAACTGTTACAGATTATGCTACATTGTGCAATCTTAAAGGATGCAATGGTTACCTTTCTCCCTGTACTTTGCTAACACTTCTATTTGGGGCAGGTCAGAATCAGAAAGGGATTTGGGTACAAATTCACAACCACCATTATAATATAGCCTACAAAATGTTGACGACAATTGATTAGCAAGTAGGTCGCCTAGGACAAGATTTGCAGCAGTACTTCCACGATTGTTATTATACTGAAAGCCAGGGTAAACTGTCCCCCTAGCTATTCCAGGAAAGAACTCTAGCTCGTTATTTCGACAGATCTCTAATGTTGTCCCTTTTTCAAATTCGACAGCACTACTTGCAAAATAAGCACCAGCACCAAGACCTAAATAACTGCCACCCTTCTGAACATAACTGTTAATGTAATGGCAACCTTTACCAGCTAGCTTCTTGGCATACGGCGATGCTCTACCTCCTGGAATAATTAAAACCTTGACAGGTGATTCATTTAATTTTAAAATATCGTCAGCCATAATCAACTCAACATGATACTCATTTTGTAATGAACAATTTCGCAAGGTCTCCATTACACCACTATAAACTAGATCAATATTAGCCACGCCATCATCAGAATAAATCCAAATCTTCATTTTCGTCCTTACCAATTGACAAAGAAAGAAATTGCCTATTAAAAGTCGTCTAAAGCTTCGATAGCTTGCAAAACTTTGCAGCATAGGTAGCAATTTTGCAGGTCTTCTTGCTGTACTAGTGTAGAGTATACAGTACAGTAAGCATACGATTAATATCGATAGTATATGTGTCACGGTATGCACTGCAGGAGGTAGTGATAGTAGTGGTGTGCGCTGTACACTACAATGTGATACACTATACAGTATACAATAACGCATGAAAGATTGGTATTACTCTCATCAGCTTAGGAGGCAGGAAAATGGAGATTTAATCGAAGTTCGAGTAAAACTAACCACTAGCTCCTCATCTTTTATTGATTGAAATATGATGGTTTATGTAAGTATACTGTTCATGATTACAATCTATAATTATAGTAAGATTATAAAATTGTGGATTAATGAGTATACGACTGGTATGGAGTACCATCCACAATTAATACATGGAATTGAGAAGAGTAATATCGAATAGGTGTGATCAGTATACTTTTACACTATCATGATAGTACTAGCACAATTGTAGAGTCCATCTTTATAATATACCATAAGTAATTAATCACAATTATTATGTAACCTTTACAATGGTAAATTGGAGCTTGAATAGGTAAATAGCAAACTGTAACAATCGCAAATTTGTAGCATACTAAATTCAGATAATATCGAAATTGAACTAAGGCAAGCACGCGGCAGTAATATCTAATATAATGTAGATATACGCTATACTGACTAGTAATAATAATATATATAGTATACACCTGTATATATACATAGATCATCAAGCACAATCTAACAAATATGATGAAGTATATAATAAAAATTGTCGTATAGTTCACCCCTGCGTGCTCTTTGAACTTAAAAATTAGAGAAAGCTACATTCTTCTAGATCATATCGTCTGTTAATAATTGAGTACAGTATACTGTTATAATAATAATCCTTCTTTTTATTAATTTTGCCTATTAATAATAATGCATTATTAATTTGTAAATAATTGACTGTAATAAAAAGTGATATTTCTTGTAACTATAGCACTCGTACATGGTTGAACACTGGTATACGTAATAAATGGGGCAGATAGAATGAAACCCTTCTGCAATTTACGGAATTAAAATGGAGAAAGGGCCCTTTTCTTCTAGTCGTTTATTCAATAAGATAAATAATGCTAGAAGTGATTAAACATAAGTGTATACCAGCATATATTGACACAATTAAACATATAAGTAAAATAATAATAACAACCGTATACGATATGTTACTGGTGATAAAGAACTGCTGTCATTAAAATTGTATAAAAATGATGGTGATGTTTTCTTGGATTAGGATAACATGAATGCAGCTACTGCATCTTCTTCAAAGTCTGAATTCGAAAGACACTCATAAAAAAAACATGTTAGTAACCAATAAATGAATACTGTATAGATAGCGTTAAAAATAACAGCTACTTTTCTGTTATTACTTATATTGACGTGCAAATTTATGTCATTACCGTAATGTTAAATGTAGTAAGATTAAATTTGTAATAAAATCAGTGAAGGAAGCTTTATTTGCTAGTATAGCTATTTATTTCTCAAATATTGTCTTTGTTAATTGGTCACGAACTTACTGGAAAAGTAATAGAATCTGATATCCATTGTAATAACTTACAAAAGTTATTAAGCTGTTGAATATTTTCTTTTCTTAATTGCTATACCTATTAACATAAAACAAAATCCCGGTCTGACATCAGTAATAATTAATGGAGAAACAGTCGTTTATCAGCATGTAGATTTCACTGTCACTTAGTGACTTTCTTAATTACCTTGCATACTGGCATTGAAAAGTAATAAGGTCAGACAAGCTATATTAAATACCGAAGGAACCGTTGCTTTGTAGAGATATAGATTTACTTCTTAAATGGTTCCTCTTCCCAGCCGCTTTTCGTGCCTATCATGACGATAGCGGTATTTGAAATAACATTATGCCATAAATAGCTTTATACGAGAGTTACACTTCATCGCGTCTTTACCAAAATCACAGCAACATTTACAATTCTATTGCTAGTGATTGACATTACCATATGGCAACCGCTATAATAACGGACTAATATATACATTACTTCCTAAATGAACAATTCATATCAGAGATTGAGTATCTACCGTCTATCAATAGACTATTGACAATATTTATAACACGGGACTAAACACTGAGCGTCGTTTATTCAAAATTACATAAAATATCAAGTAATATCATTAACTTCCTGTTGAAATTCATTCCTAGAACAAATACCGTCTAAATACCAATGACAATAGAGGCATCATATGTTTTCTCAATTCAAGAATCCTCTATTATTACGTAAAAGCCTGAAATTAAAGACGTCATTACGTCTTCTAGAACAATTTTCAAGATCCACAAGTAGTAGTGTAAAATTTCAGGCAGAGATAATATTAAATTATGAACGCTGTTGTGAATACGAATACGTCTACGACCGAATTTTAAGCTGTGACATTGCAAGAAAATCTTTCATTACTGGGAAAATAGCCACAACATCAGATTCTACATTCCATTCATTAAACGTTAAGTCCAAAAATCAAACTGAAGAACGACCATTACAAATAATTTTGTGTCCAGTATTCATCATAAGATCAAATATGTCGACAACATATAGCGAAACAGATGATGATAATCCAAAATACCAGCGTGAAAGTTACGTATACCCAACATTTTCTCTACCGATAGTCAACCAGTTTAATGCCATGATGCGAAGAGTGGTAATCCTTTGCAGTTTCAGTATATTCTTGGGAGTTATTCTCATTGCTATTGGTATTACTTCCATTTTTGTTCCATCCATGGGATCGATGCGTATATATCATCCATTATGGATTGGAGGAATGGTAAGTCGCTAATCATTTTATACCCTCTCAGCATCGATTGTTTACTTCAATAATAGTGAAAATGAAACATCCCAACTTTGTATCTACGATAAATCTTACCGGAAGCAATATTTGCTGTATAATATTTTACAATGATAAATTATAATTAAAATGAAAATAGATTGAAATAGTCGATAATCAAATGTTAAAGAAACTTAATATTCAAATCAACCGTAGTTCCTATAAGTAAAAGGAAAATGACAGCATTATACGTGATTCTGTTGGTATTAATCTTTAACATCCCTTTTAAGAGAAAGTTTAAAGGACCTTTATGACTTTACTAGAGCAAATTTGAGTCACAATAAATTATGGGGATAACTGAAGCAGTTAAGTCTCTCCACATATCATAGTACACTAACAACGGTAGTAAACTCGCTCTACAAGGCTTCTTTTAGTTTCTTTATAAGTCTTGCTTCTAAAATTTTGTTAAATAGGGTAGAAAGTCATAGCATTTATCGTTTAATCATGTTCTAGTGTTAATTCACCACTCAGGCAACTTTGTAGTCATAGTTAATATGGCAAAGTCCATAATCGTAATGCTAGATAAGATAGTTAATACTTTATTATTATATTTACTATTGGACCAGAGAGAGGTTGTTTAGGTGGGGAAATGTGACAGCCTGGCTGCATCGCATTTCCCTGATTGGTCAAAAATACTAGAAAAGTTATTTTCTGATTGGAGTAGTTGATCGGCCAGTCCTCTGGTCGATTATATGACTACCAGTTAAAGTTATTTAAATTTGGCTGACATACGAGCATATTGATATAGATAGTTATTATGTGTAGAAAGCAATGAGATGATTAAATCTTATTTCAGGATAGTTCACTTAGACAATGCTGTCACATAGGTTAAGATTATACATGAGTAGCAGGTTAAAAATGTGTGCTAATTGAAAATAATCATGTTAGAAATACTATAGAAGAGAAGCGTGCCCTTGTAAAGGATATTAAACAGATTATGATTGTTTACAAGTAAGATGATTCCTATAAAAATTGGAGCAATTCGAACACCAGAGTATGAGCTAATCCAAGTTCTGCCTCTACTGCTCTTAATTGTGTATACTCCGGGCAAATACAGTATTACATGAAGTAGAAAAAGTGAGTCAAATTCAGTAATTTATTTAAGACTTTTACATTGTGTCCCTTCATCATAGAGATTAATTTGCGATAAAAATTAAAAATTGGATTGATTTGAAGGGAAGATTTAAAAATGAAATGTCTAACAGAGAATATTAAATTATTTTCATAAACTATATACAACTCGCGCTCTTACTAGCCAATAATGCTTGCTGTCTCTATCAAAGAAATCTCGCTAGATTAGTCAATACGTAATGCGGTTAAAATTTAAATAAAAGGTAACACAGAACAGCGAATTTACTTTTACTCTGATTCATGTTTTTCATGATTTACGATAGTTATCTCATTGATCGCGTAATATTACTGGAACTAAACTTCCATTTAAGCAGAAAATTATAAATGGGAATCAACAGTGCATTCAAATACAGTATTTAATTTCCAATACTTTAACTTATATTCTTAAAAATAAAATTGATGGTCTTTCCGCAAGTGTAAAACGATATCATTAGACTGGGTAGGTACTCAAATCATTCAACATTATCATCAACTGATTACAACACTGCAGCCTCAGATAGCTGTCATCTAGAACTTCCATTTCTTTACTGATACCATTTACTGTAGACCTGACATCAACAAGAAATTTTCTATTAGGAATTACGAAATAATAGATACGTCTTCTTAAAATATCGTAAAATTGTCCGATTTTAATTGTTGTAATTGCAGCAAACGTTGCATTTCAAAGGCCTTTCTACAGAAACTAGAGCTAGTGGAAGACATCGTAGTTATAATGATATTCCTTTCTTATTAAAATCATTTTTTGACAACTCTAACAACATGGCACAGTAAGGCACAAAATTATTTCAAGAAATTGAGGCAGTACCATATCATACCATAACTTTGCTATTGAAACTCTGCTAAAACATCGATTGTGTAACATTTTATGCCTATCAATTTTGATCAATTTAATATAGCGCAATTAATGTAGTATTCGATCAGTACAAAGAAAAATAGTAAATTACAATACGGTATAACATGGATAGAGCTACGAGAAAATGATTGCAAAAAAGTTGATAATAGACTAAATAAAAGACAAACCAACAATCCATATTAATATAACTATTCATCTAACAACGTTTACCATTAGATAATAATTACTGCAATATTTGGCATCATTGGTTACCGAAAGAACGTAACAAGGCCAATTATAGTAAGTATGAGAATTCACTTCCTAAATGAAATTGAGCATGATAAATAACCATGTAAATCTAATCTTAAATTTGTATTTTATAGATGCACATCAACTTAATCTTGAATATTTTATCGATCACAGCCACAGTGGGTGGATGTATTATGTGCGTCATAGCTATTATAGAAGGAGTAGAAAATAACGCTTCTATCGGTCAAATTGCAGCTATTAACATCTGTCTTATTCTCATGTACTTAATTATCTTTTCCTCCTATGTTTACTGCATTATCGTATACTTTTTAGTTATTAAAAGCCCTGTTATCTTAATAACATCTGGTACTAGAATGAGTTAGTGTTTGATTTATACAAGATACTGTCTATGCAACATTGCGTCATTTGGATGCCGTTATAAAATTAAATCGATCAAAGCCGTCCGAAAGATTAAGATTGTTTAAATTATTGGGATTTAAATGATAACTATTCCCAGCTCAATAACGGCACCATCATAATGTAATATACAACTTATAACTATATACTCAGCCAATGATATATAACAAAATTATTATGACTCTAACACTAGTTTAGAAATGCACTTCACCGATTTAATCTCTACTTCAAAATACGTACGTAATTTTAACGTGTTATTTTCATGGCTTCAATTCCACTAATTCATTACTTTTATCTTAACTTAACTTTAAATTAACAATTTATCCCTAATGTGTGTTTAAAAATATCGTATGCTATCTAGTTTAAACTATCACCATGGAAAAATGTGTACACGTTAATAAAAAATAATACCCTCAACTGTCAAGAATCTTTGATAGTTTTAATTTTATCTTGAATTCTCTAAATTAAATTAAATTAGGTACAAAATAGATACTAGGCAGGGCAGTTCACATATACAGTTTTTAAATCAGTTGAGTAGACATGATAGTATTACGGTTAATGCCTGTTTTACTAATTTTAAAATTAGGAGCACGACTTCAGCTAAAATAAATACTAAGCTAAAGAAAATATTACAGTGAGTGATAATGTTGCATGAATGCATATCCTATGACATGATAAATTAGATCTCGATGATAGCTTTGCGCATCGCAATTAATGCTTTGTCTTTAGTTTTGGCGCAAAACATTAGTTTCTGTAACGTATCCAAGGTAATAATATCAGTCTCATTAAAATAGATACCGTTTGAATTGGATTGTAATTAACGAAGTATTGATTTTATGCGCCAGACACACCCTATCACGATGGCTATCATCTCGTTTATGACCTCGGGGTTATTATTAACGATTATGTAATGACAGTCAGACCTCGCAAGCATCTATTTATACGCATAGATTCAATCCACCCCCTAGCATCGAGCTAATAATTATAACAAATGATTAAACGTAAGGAATCATATATTACCTAAATGTTTTCACTTTGCGGAGTCATATTGTATTCTAATTAGCCATTATTAATAAGTACTTAATTAATTGGATCAATCCGTAAATTATGATCGTTCTCTCTGATAGCAATCAGGCCGTTCGGTTATTCTGCAAATAAGAGACTTTAGTGCATTAATTTAACCCTACCTTCATGAAATAGCTCTTACATGAAGTCTATTCTAGATGATACTCGCAACCATAGTTATGAGTAATAGAGTAGCAAACATCTCTATAGGCACTATCGATTAGAATGTTCTAGGCCAATTTGATAGTCTGTAAAGCTCAACTTTATTTGATATGTGAAAGACAGATTTCATCCTTTAATATAAGTTAATATAATAGCTGCGATAATTATTAATTATTAAGCCTGAGCGAGCTTTGCGACCAATTATGCCCCAATTTTTCGGTGGTGGACAACTGCAATATTCTTACATGAACAACATCCAGTTTTAATTTGGACTTAAACCCATTAAATAAATAAAATACACCACACAATACAAGCAGATAAAAATCGATCGAATACTGTCATAAAATACAAAATAAGAAGTTAGACTATGAACTCTTTGCCGATTTGATTGTCAGATGATCTTAACGGATGGTAATATTTGCTACTATCAGGTATCAACATATCTAAGTATGATAATATAATTTTAAATAATAAATTCGCTATACAAGAATGTTTGCAGGTTACCTAGCACAAATTCTAATTCACTTGTGGTAGCTAGGAAATATTTATATTGTGCGCACTGAACCGATTGGCGGATTTGATTAAAAGTAGGTCTGAGCTTCTTTATTAATCTTATTACAAGTATACAGTCGCTCCTAAATAATAGGTTAAGTTATCCATTAATCAATAAGAACTCGAGGTAAATCTATGGCCTATATCAGGCAATGTGAAATTTTTTACATTGATACGCGTATCGTAGCAGTTTAAATTTGTTATATTATTTGTAAGTGAGAAGATTTCATTCGAATTAGTTATTCCTATACAGCTATTTATAATTTATAGTTGTTTTTTGACAACATATAGTTGTAGGAAACATTTCTCCTCTGCATAGCCAGCTAATAAAAGTATATTGAACCTGACCTGTACGCCATGTTGCATAGGATGTACAATGCAGAGTTTTACGATAAATTGCTGGATATGAGTTTTATGTAAGTTTAGAATGCCAAGATTTTAGTCGTTTATTTTCAATTCTGATAACATCGCTTATGAGTTTAGATTAATGAAAGTACTACATTTGATTACTTTTATTTAAATAGAAGTGCCTTCTAATTATAATTAATATTTGCAATAATTTATTTTTATGCTATAAAATTATTTAATTCAACAGTCAAATTAACTAATTTCTCGTGCCTCATGCATACACATACCAGAAAATTTTTCAGGTCAGCTATTTCGTGTCTACCACGCCGGTTACTTCAAAACGCTATTGCTTAAAAGCGCTATTGGCATCCAAAACTTGTTATAGTATGCATAGAACTGTGATACTTTGCTTAGTTCAACCTAATAGTACATAAATGGGATCCTAACGTACTCTTATAAATTAAGGGTAATTATACATTGTATGTAATACTTAATGTTTTATTCGTTTCAATTATGAAATCTAAAATGCTGAAAGATAACTATTAAACGCCAATTTAAGATTATAATAATATTATTTTTCGTTGAGCCATAAATTTAAATTATTGCTGCCACGATGCTTTCAAAAGGACAATGCCTTACATTAATCTATTTTAATTGTCTTTTATTGATTTTTGCCAAAAAACTTATTTCATCAAAAGCATGAACTTTAAATATTGAATACACGTTGTTACCATATAACGTACTACTCAGCTTTCTAATAATATTGCAGTATGAAACCTTTAATATTACCACTAGCATATTAATATTTTTATTTTCTAGCAGAAATAAATAAACAAACTTTACTAATTAGCCCAAGCAAATAAAAATCGGGTGTATTAAGCTCCTTATTTATAGTTAAAAACAGAAATATTACGAAGAAATATGCAACATAACAAACTTTATGCTGATAATAATTTTTGTTGATAAATTAATAATTAATTGAATAAGAGGTCAGGAATAAAATGTATTTATCCATATTAAATTTCTCTGCTTCCAATCAATTTAGATGATGGATTATCCGGTATTGAGGTGTACACAAAATAAATACGATAATATTCTAATATTGCATACTATTTACAACATACATACGGTAGATCTCGATATGACAAGAAATTATTGTGAAACTTGCTGTAAACTTGTTTAGCAATTAAAAGTTCCGACGCATACTATTTTGTTGTACGTTTTAATTTAATTCCTCATATGAAATTTATCAATTCTCTGGAATATAATTTGAAAATTATAAACAAGTAAGTTGCTGTAGCAACAACAATGATTTTAGAACTATTTACAGTGTTTACTGATATTCTTCATGGGGGTCAATATTTACTTGATTTCAGCTCCATACTGATATTCTTTACATATAAAGCTGAATCAAGTGAATATTGACCCCCATCCTTTTACACAATCAATTGCAAATACTTTTATTATCTTCTCTATTTCACTTATGGGGTGTGTAAAATTACAGCCGTCGAAAACATTGTTGATACATTAAAGGTCAGAGTTTAGAAACTAATAGATAATGTTGTACAAAGAAGACTGTCCACCTATCGTGAGATAATATTACGATGATATATTACTAAATCTTATACAAACATTATAAAACTGTATTAATATAAGTTTGTATTAATAGTGTCTCTTAGGCTCAATATATAAAAATGTTTTCAAAAAGATTTAAGGACAAGGCAATCCTGAAAATTGTATAATATTAAAAACTTAGGTCTGATGATGGGCAGAGTTATGACAGGCAAGGTAGCAACGGGCGTTGCAACTTACTGTTGACAAATTCGATAAATTATTCATCTAGGTTAAACATGAGAGACTACGTTAGCTCTTTATTTTGGTAGTCTGCCAAAGAATAACTTAAACTACTATGTACGCCAATTAATATACAGTATGTAACATCTATATATCAGCTTGACCCATAACATCTACAATAGGAGATCAAAGAATGATTTACATTATCTTATAAGCTTTTATGCAATACTCCTCTAAAGATTGTTTTGAGCATGAAGAAAGTATTAAATTCTATCCTTGTCAAAATAGCCGTAGCTAAGGAATATACTATGATTCATGGGCATGATAAAGCAATAGTTTACATCCCTATTACAGAGTTCAGAGCTTAGATCGACGTAATTTTTAACCAATAATTTGTCGTCTATTAATAGAGCATTATAACATTCCACAAAAGTATATTGTGCATTTATATAAAGAGCTACAAATTATACAAATTATCATAGATTAAAACAATACAAAATTTGATACCTCTGCCCGGGAAGTAAGCAAGGAATTAAAATTGAGGGCGCCATATGATCAATTAATTAAATCCGATAGCCTGGAAATGCACCTAAGCTACATTTTAAAGCTCCTCATCTAATTTAAGATGAATTTATGGTCATACTGTCGAGCTGCTGTAGGTTATATATCCATATAATTTCTAAAATCATCATAGACAAAGCTTACTAAAGCGTTGAGCACACACATAGTATCTAATACATTAAAAAAAATTTGTGTTGCGTGCGTCACGCTTATCTCGACCTATTTAAATACCAATATATACTATACATTATGAATATTTTCGCCAGCGAAGTCGGCGGGTTCAAAGTCATTATATTTAAAGAGATATTTGTAATGCTTTTCTTTATGTAGACTATAACTTACGATTAAAATAGATAGATTATAATAATACTATGTTACTAAAGAGATGACACCATTGCTTTGCCATCTAATTTACTATTGGTTGACGAGACAAAGCAAAGTGGTTGATGTCGATATTTTAAGGCGTAGATTGGAATTTCACCGATCAAATTCAAATGAACTCTGAATGCTTGCGTCAATATTATATTAAAATCTAAGTTACCGCAGCAAATCAGTAGCGAGGATATAGTTCGTGTACCTTTTAATCCCATTCACATGCAAATTGTAGTTACTGGCCAAAAATCTATAAAAGGTAAAAGTTTTCTGGATTTTTAGTAGATATCAGATGATCCCATCATATCCACAGCTACACTAATAGCTTATTAGCCATTAGAGTTTGCAGTCTTTAATATCTTTCCAGATATTATTGGCACGTAGTGCAACTTGCTATATATCATTATCTCTTACCTGATTTACTATAATCACATTGATTAACCACTATGTCTAACCCAAACGGTGCCCAGCAAAATATCAAGGTCGTCGATGGTCTGAATTTGACCATAGCCATAGCTAGGATTTATCGTCAGTCTATTGTTTACATGTTCTTTGCAATAGTTCTATTAGCTCTGGGAATTGCAGGCCAAACAAGAGTAGCCAGCTACGTACTTGGAGCGAATTATGGAGCCAATGCAATTTGGATTTCGGTTCTTGTAAGTTTATGGTTATGATTATTTTACCTAAGTAAATGTCGATTAAAGTAATTTAGTTACTGTCTGTCGTTGATTGTTGACCAAAATAAAGATACGGCTATTCCATGCTAGTTGTAGTTGATCGCTTAAATAGCAATAATCTATATTAAAGGTGTAAAAAGAAATATATCATTTGGTCATTTCTGGGGCTAGAATTGGGTTGCGATACTTTTAGTTGGCAAATATTTTATAAATCGAAATTAATTATTACTACTTTAGTCATTGAGTAGAATAAAGATCTAACCATTCTACAGTAGATATAGTCGTTCGATTTAAATAGAAATAATTAATGTTAAAGGTATAAATAGAAATTTATCATTAGATCATTTTTGGAGGTAGAATTGAGTTTTAACCATTTCACTAGGCGAATACGCTATAAATCATAATTATTTATTGCTCCATAAAGAGTTAATATTAAATTGTTTTAATTTGACATCATCAATATAAACCAGAGTTATCGAATTGGTACGATTTATCTGTTAATCATTATACTCGTATCTTTATAACACTGCTCGATAGATACAATTCAAATAGCCAAGCCATGTAAATTTATCGTTGTAGTTAAAGCCCAATTGTATTTAGTCTTACTTTACTTTCTGGGCGTAATTAAACATAATACTCTGTCCTGCATAATTTTTTAATATGTACAATAGTTACACCTAATAAATATAAGCTAAAGTAGTCTATTATTGTAGAATATAATATTAAAATTGGTATTAGTTCAGATTCACTTGATCAATAAGCGTTCGAATCAAAATTAACTAATATAATTTATCACAACATAAAAATTTGGCTTTATGATTCAATAGACTACACAAAACTCAGGCTTTATCCAATAGATTATGATGTCAAACTATCTTCTGAGTACACCTAACGTATTAATTATACCCGTATATAATCCTATTTTTAGTGGATCATTACCAGTGCTTTGGGTTTGGTTACGTTCAAGAATAATGTTTATCGCATTGACACAGTAAGTACAACTTTTAAATATGGTTATTAGCTGGATTTTCACTAGCATAATCTTTAAGAGTTTGTGCATGCAGTAGAAGCGTAATGCTATAGTCAGTCAACTTTGAAGCTAGATTGCAAAAAATTACTTGAGAACTAGTTATTAGAAAAGGTTAAAGTTAATTATTTTATCCTATTACACACAATATCACAATTTGTATCATATTATGTTCATATCATATTTATCTCTACGGTAAATTCAGCTATCTCATACCTTTGTAAAGTCATAATGCCTATGCATCTTTATCATAAGCAATCGAGTACGGTCTGTTAGTTTGTGCTATAGGATAAGTACGATTAGTTCAAAACTTATATATTATTATCGGTAGCTGAAGTTTTCTTATTCCAGCATAAAATAAAAATTATAATATCAGCACTAATTCATCTGATTATTAACCTTTCCAGCACTTAAGCACTAACTGTCTATTTGTATAGTAAGACAAAAGCGCTTTCTTGCCAGCTTTAATAAACTTAAATCTTTCTGAATTCCCGTATACCTACAGCATTTATTCTTACTTGTAGTTACCAACAATGTCTCCAAAAAGTCAAACTGTAATGTATTAACTTTCATGTCTAAATTTTTACAGGCTATCCCTCATCTTGTTTTCATTGCTATCAGCATGGCTGGAACTATTGCAGGAATTGTTTTGGTTAGTATTGGCATGAGTTATGCAAGATTTTTTAGCTACGATAGATTTATCGCAAATATGGTAGTTGGGAGTGTCATGCTAGCTGTCTACGTGTCGTTCCTTGGCTGCAGCATCTATCAAATTATTATTTTCGCACGTTTTTCTCAGAACGGCGTGATCTCATCCGTTAGCCAGGTAGATACAGCTTCTTAATTTATAAATTACTCTTTCTTGCCATTAAAATTATATAGAAGCTAATAGAATCTCAGATTGAATGTGAGATGATATTAATATGACAATTTTTATTTTTATTAGCAACCACAAGCTATTAACCAGCAGCAAACAGTAGTATATTTAAATCAACCGCAACAGCCGCAGGTACAAGAGGAAAAGAAAGTTACCTTCTAATAGAATGGACGGCAATATTGGCTATAGGATAATATGATAGAATTAATCACAATCATTTATATCTTTAGTTACATTTAAAATGTCATCAAAAATGACAGTTAAAAGGTAGAAAATAGGAAACTTTGATATATAGGTACCTCGATGAATGATAAATACCAGCGTTTTCACCATGTAGACTAAAGATATAAGATAAATTCTTGTATAAGTAAATACTCAAGTTGTGGTAGATTTATAGACCTGCAAGATTGGTTAAAAATTTAAGATCGGACCAGATAATATGTTTCAATTCCACTTTCAAGTGTGTCAATTGGATTCATATACATAATTCGTACTCTGTTTAAGTTTATTCATCCCCTGTGATTGATATCTGTTTTATATCAATTTACGCGTACATAATTCGCTCTTGCAATTGTAAGATTAGTAAATAAAATGAAAAAACTAAATATAATTACGAATGATTTACATTAATATTTGTTTGGTATCATTCATCTGAATACCACTGAAAATTTGTAAGGATAAAATCATACATTTCAGTTTCGACTTATTATCTAGGATGATTTAATTAAAGTATCAAATTTTACTTAAGAATTAATAGTTAATGATCATTTTTGATCGGATATATCATCCATATGTTAAGTCGTCAACTCTTTAGGTCATATTGCCGTTAACAAATCATAAACCCTAATTAAGCAATGAAATTGCAATAAATTAGCAACTTCGTCTTGCGAATCTAGCCATCCATATTTGCAGTAAATAAAATGTAATAATTTTAATGAAGTAACCCATTCCAAAATCTTTACTTTCAATAAGATATTATAAGCATCTATAAGTAATATCCATTGCCATAATATTTAAAATTATAATTAAGACTACATTAACTTCTATACTTCTATAACATGAAGGATGGCAATATATAGTAATACTCTATATAATATTCTACGAAGACTCCTCTTAGATACAATACCGAAAGCGGCATCCATTTGATATCGTTATACTATATAAACATTAAAGAGAAAATTACGATAGCAACAATTCAAATTGGTAAGTTATGGATTCCCGTATATAATCATTATTAACAAAACTATAAACTGAGTAAATTGCTAACTTTTGCTCTAATTTCAATGAAGGCATCACCGGTAAGTATCTCAAAAACAATATCAACTCAAGGATAGTAAAACGTTAAAGAACGAATAAAGTTAAGCCATAACTCACTAGAACATATGATTTTATTTGATTAGCAAAATACAGCATAATATTCGTTCATAACATTCAGTCTAAGAAATTGTATGTGGTATTTTCAGTCCCTAAGTCGCTCCATATGGATTTTTATCCTTGCCAGTGATGCAATCGAGAGCATGCTCAAAATTAACGAAAATACCCAGTTATTGGCCATCGAATCTGACTCCGATCGTAAAAACCGCACCCTAGTTTTAGCAAAAGAGTAGAGGTCTACTACTAACCTTCCATAGCCATAGCGAAATTAAAATTTCTCTCATTTTGATGTTGTTAGTCAGTTGATTAAGTGATTAATTGATTACATTGTATTACTTTACATTAAGATATTAAGAGAAGCTAGAGATAATTCTTCAGATATGGCAACAGTAATCACTCAAGCTGTTCGCATTAGACCCATTAGTAGAGCTGATTTCATTCCTGCTATGGCACATATTACCAAGCAATGCATTGTCTTCCTGGTCTTTAGTATATTGATTTTGGCTGCTGGTGGTGTTGGTGTTAGCCCGTATGGTGGATATGTCTATGGAATTACACTCTATTTTCATTGCTTTTGGGCGGCGGGCTTAGTAAGTCTCATCTACTTTACAGTCTAATTAATCATTTAAAAAACTAAATTAATAGTTGATATTGAACAAAGATCAATTAAAGACAACTTGTTATTTTGTAATCTGTCGATAATGCACTAAAGTTATAACATTTTGATGATATTGTAGAAAATTTACTTTTAAAATTAAGGCTATTATCGTTACTGATAATTCAGGTATAGCTTTAAATATTAAATAACGCTGAGTCAAGAAATAGTAATTCTTCTTTCTGCTAGTTTTTCTATAGTGATTCTATATTTATGATAGCAGAAGATATAAGTATGATATATTTCATGTGATAAATTATCGCAATATAATTACAAAGGATGTTATTTTTTCAGATTAACACTTTGAGTATTTCTGAATAGTTTTGAATTTAAAATATTCTGTTAGATTCGTTATTGTATGTCGAAGTGATCAACAAATTTAGTAATCATAAGCAACCATTGGCTTAGTTTAGTATTTAATAAACATTATTATAGGGCGTAAATTTTTCAAAAGCTTTCAGCAGATTCTGCAATGTCTTCTTACCGTGTGGTATAAATGTGATAACACTCAAAAGGATCTACGTTAATTAGTATACGATCTTATTTCCTGTGAGCATTAAACAGTCAAAGTAGTACTGATGACCTTTCAATCGAATTCAAGAATTAAATGGCTTTATACCAGTAATTAATTATTTATGTCCTATGCTGCATATTAGATAGCTATTAAGATATTGGCGTCGTTTCGATATGATTCAAAAGTTAAAACTTTTTACCCTGATGGTTATTTCTGTGTTCTATACTGCATATTAGAAAAATATTGTTATATTGATGATGTTCTTAGTTAATTTAATGATTAAGAATTTGTTTGGGAGATATATTTTATACTATAGATAATAATTTCGAATTTATTAGAGATCGCTACTTTTTAGAATATTGTGTTTTCTAAGCTGTAAATTAAGTACGGTAGCTAATAGAATTCTTACGTTTTTCCAACTTGATTTAGAAATTTTATTTTCTTGGTTATAGATGATAATCTCTTGTTCGCTAGGCATCGCCACCTATAATCATGGCAGATATAAGGATAATACGGTAAGATTAGCAGTTTGAGTTTGGAATAATATATGCGTATCTTAATTAATTATTTTGATTATGACTAAATCATAACTTATCTACAATTTATCCAGTGAATATTTTATGCCATTTTGCCGTAGCTTATTGTATTCTAACATACCCAGTTGATGTTTTACTGGGTATTCAAAGTAAATTAGTTAACTATAGAACGACTTATGTCATCCATCAAATTATAACTTTTAAATTATTTTAGATATCATGTTGTCTTTCTTACTACCTTTTTTCTATGGTATTTCGATGTAGGCTATTGCTCACATAGTATTTGTCGTTTTAAGTGGGCTTGGGGCATTTGGTGGATTTGTTTTACTTTGTTTAGCAGCCAATAACGTTCGCATCCTAATTTCAACAGGCCATGAAATCTTTATAAGTGCAATGTGTGTCGATGTTGTCGTCATGATAATTTATCTATCTTATATTGGAATTGCTATTTACCAAATCGTCATTTATTCCCGTATATCCAGTGGTGGTACAATTATTGCTACTATCACACCGGTATAGCTATTGTTTCATGGATTTTAAAAATTCTTTGGAGATTATGAGCACATAAATCGTTAAATTAATAATTTATCATATAGCTTAGGATATACGAAATATTATTTTATATAGATGCAACCGGTACAACCAGTACTTTCTACTGAAACTCCACATCCTTATACTAATCATCCAAGCTATCCAAATCAGAAATTATAAGTAAATAATATAGCTGACCATCGAATGAAATTGGCACAATGTTATAGATTTTACAAGAAAAATAGTTAAGAACTGCAGGACTATTCTAACAATGAAGTAAATAAATTAATTATATATAATTTCATATCTGTATTAACTTAATTGGTTTAGTCCATTTAGCCTATCGTAAAATTACATATCAATCGAATAATATCGATATACGTTATATGGTCTTGCCACAATTAATCAAAAATAGTGATTTTTGCTTAATCACAGATATTTAGAATTAGAATTGTTGATGCAGTTTCTTAATTCAAATATGTTTTTGCTACTTTTACATATTGTCTTTCTACTATGATATTTATAGCAGTTTTTAATTCATATCGCACATCGTACCAATATAACTCAATTTATGGTCACGATTAATTGATTGATTAATTAATATTAAACTACTACTTCTATCTGCATTGAATTATCCGTTGCACTCTAGTTAAAATTATTGCGCAGGTACGAATATCGTATACTGTAAAAATTTTATTTTAAGAAACTTGATCATAAATATTTAAGCGATGGCATCTTGATAATTATAACTCATACGGTATATACTTCAAATCGTGTTTATAATTCATTATGCCAAATATTTTCTACCGATACTTATTTACTTTCGGTCATGCTGATAAATGGCTACTAAAAATTTATTTTAGACATTCGACATTGGCTAGAGCCTAGTGCTGATGATTATATCGCAATAATGGTCGCCATTGCTATTAAAATGTGCCAAATTTTAATATTTTGTGTGCCGATCTTCGAGCTAAGAATATTTCTAACTTGCCAACAAAGTTAGAAATGTGTTTTTCTTTATCCTACACTGCTGAAAATCGGAATAACAATCAATTACTATTCCAATGCTAGATTTAATTAAGATAGAGCACAATAAGCCTTCTAATCTTACTAAAAATCACGACTTGACTTTATTTGCTGTAAGGTTACAACTTATATAGTTGTAGGTGCTTAAAATCGGTTTAGCTATACGAGTCAGCTGGTATTTTAATAATTGACCAAGTAAATGTATTAAAGAAATTTCATGTTTATGTGAGGATTAAAATTTAGTTTAATCTTTTAAATGTACTGCGTTAGCATTAAACTAATCTACTTATAAGCAAAATTTAACAAAAATATATTAGGTTCTAGTACTAGAATATTTCATGTAAAATAAGGAACTGTAATTTCAATTTTTTAGTACCATATAAGGTGATTAATATACTCCGGTTAAACTAGCTCGCAATTACTACTTTTAGTCCACCTAATCCTATATTAAGGGTTACTTACGTACGTATACACTAACACCCACTAAGGAAATTGCAAGCATTGCTTACTGATACTTAACCAAGAATCAAGTATAACATAGAAACTATTTATAATGCTGTACATAGATCATGGTAATTTACTTTCGTGACGACGTACTAAATCCATTTTCATTCAATTGCAATCCAGTAAAATAGTAAACCGCAATCTTTTTCATTATTTGATTACGGATAGAGTTTAGATCGTTAGCAGTTAAAAGAACATAAAACAGAACCAACAGCATTTGGTCGTCTAATAGCGTAAATGGTATATTTATATGTCTATGTAATAGATCATAAGCTGAGCATAGCCTTTACACGATTAAGATCATAAAACAAGAAATTATATGAAATAAAAAATCAATTATCATGCTATGTAAGACATCGGATACAGTAAATATAAAGAAATGAGAGAATGTGCATTATTTTAGTATCGTTATATTGCTCTTATACAATAAAATTTCGTATGCACAAATTTGACATAGACTCAAAACCTAAAATATTAATTGAAGATCTTTCAAATAGCTACAAATATTATGAAGATGATTGCACATCTTTTAATGTTTTTGTAGTGCTTCAAGCCGAAAGTTTTATCAGCTGTTCTGAGTAAAAATAATCGTACACTATATCCCGTTGGATTGCATAAAACACTTTAGCTTCTATATATTTTAAGATCTGATTGAGTCTACCGTTTAGATCAAGGAAATGGTATGTATAACGTTCGTTACGTTCATTTTAGCTACAGACGACTCAAAAAATATTAGGCATACTAATTCAATCATTTCGAAGGAAAGATATGCTTAGCTGCCTGGAATATAAGTCCGTACACAGATTCTATTCAATATTCATTTGCTACTTAAATTGCATTATAATGTATGATAATGCCTAGTCCTAGAAGCCGTATAAATTTATTGAATTAGGCAATCCACTAAATTTATACATCGAATTTCTTTGTTCTGCCCTTAATTGATACGATCTGAGGCGGAGTATTTACATTGCAATTAAAGACTTTTATGTTCACATACGCCAATGTAGATTTAAGTGCTGACAATATGTGATATTACAGGTATGTAATTTATTCTGAATTTTAATTTTAAAGACTGTATGACTTTCCGTTAGTAAATTATTTATAAAATCTTAGCAAATGTTTTTACCTGAAATAATAAGAATGGGAAAGATGTTGTATTGATTACTTACAGTATCTTTGGAGGCTGATTGTACCATCTTTGTTATCCTTAGGCCGAGGTTATAAATACATACGTACATATAAGATCTTCTAGTTGCACGAGTAGCAGCAAGTAGATTTGATTATTATTCATTTCTGATAGAATTAGTGTCTAACTCCTGCACTATTTAATCATAAACGGTATATCCTTTCGTTTCCTACTTTGACAAGGTTATCGGGTACTTAACGCTGCTCCATACAAAAATTGCTTTAAAACCAGAACACTTTTGTTTAACCTGCTACGATACGTAGAGCTATCGCATACAATATGAAGTCAACTTATAATTCTCAAATGGATGGCAGTTATGCCATCAATGGTGAGGATTTATTACCTGCCGTGCATCATATCGTTAGACAGTATATTGCTTTTATTATTATCAGCACATTATTGCTTATTGCTGGTGGATTTGCTGTTAGTCCATGGGGAGGATACTTGGATTTGCATTATATGGTCAATGTTTCTGGGCACCATCCCTGGTAATGTTAAAATAATAATGATAGATCTTCATCAAGTACATATTACTACGTATTATTATAGTATCTAAGTATTGTTTAACTTTCGATAGCTTTACGTCTAAAAGTTGTTGGAACCATTAGCTAAATAGTTAAGACTGACGACAGTCGGAAATCTATTTATTGATCGACTTCAAATGTTATAGTGATAGAAACTCATTACAGAATTAAATGGCACACCAATCGTTTCCTTACTAAATACCTTTTTGCTACTCGATAATACAGTATTGAAGTATCTATCGGATAGCATTGTATCATTTAACTGCTAATAATATGGTTAAACATGCTGTATTTGTGGATTCATAAATTTTGTGTTATAATACTTTTTGCTGATATTTTGGAGATTCAATTTTAGGCAGATAAGTTTATTCTTAAGCGCACAGAGCTGAGAAAAAACTAAATAAAGCAAGAGAAAAGCTGTAGTATTTACTACTTTATAAGATTATTGTATCAGCTATGGTTGCTATAAAAATTATTTAATGCTTTTAAATCACTGCGAACGATGCATTGGCAGTATCGACTGCTCGTGTCGAATATAAATAGAGCGTAAATAATAGTGAACCAGGGACGAGATGTGCTTTATTAGATATTTCGTAGTATGATAGTTGCTATAAATTTTAAATTAATATAGCAGCTTTTTCCCGCTAAGTAAAAGAGTAAACTCGACATTTTGATAAAAAATTGATCCTTCCATCCAGAGTTCTGCGCAATCCACATAAAAGATGGATATTTCTACATAGAAGAAAATACGTATTGTCTTAACTATGATTATGGCAAGTATTAAAATAGTTGTTCCTTACTCATCTTGACATTGGATAGTTAATCGTGGAAATTGGTTTATACTTTTATTTAATAACTGTATTACGATATATTATATACGTAGAACCGTCTATGAAGGAAAGAATATAATTTATATTTCTCTTAATTTATTATACACCAATTGTTAAACTTATCGATTTCATTCGTAAATGATAATTTCTACGTACGGTCTAGTTCAAGTTCTCATAGCAGTTATTACAATTTTTTTCTTCCGGCGATACTTATTTCAAAAGCGTTTACCGATGAGTGACTAAATTACAGTCCTAAAATTATCTCGTTGACGTAGATTTGATTACTGATAAATGTTATCCACAGCATTACTTAGCAATACTAGTTTTAATTACCCTCATCACATGCGTGTATAGCCAAACCCATAAATGAATGGAGATAAATTTTTCTTATTTTTAGTTGATCCTTTAATATCCAATTTATTCATTATATTTGGTTGCAGAAATCAAGGGCTAATCTAGCGATGTCTAGAACCACTTCATCAAATAGGTGTAATAATAGAAAATATTTTAAATTAGGTTTTATCAACCTTTACATACGTCATAAACCGTAGGGTGCAACTAGTGGGATCATGTAATATTTTCAATGAATTGAACTTACGCAAGAATTTTGTTTCTTTAAGATGCGGATTACGCTGAGTTTTAATGTCGGAGTGATTAATAGCTACTGTTAGTAGATGGATATAAGGTGTGGCGCGTGATTTACGTGTACTGATTACCTAAAAGGGATTCTATAAATGGATTTAAAATAATGAGGTTTTTATTTAACAATCATAAAAGAATTTTTCTTTTCTTAACAGGGGTGGCCCCAGGTTGCGAAATTGAATTGTAAAGAAACTATTATTGAAAGTTTTGGACCATCGGAATGTAGACTGTATAAATTAGTTAGTAGTTGATGATTAGTAGCATTTCCTAAAATCACGGCTAAGATACACTGTTATTAAAACAGAGGTTAAGAGGACTAATCATTCGGAGAATTCTTGCTTCTTGAGACAAAACTCTTTCGTTATTTATTGTATTATGGCAACTGTAATTCAAGCTCAACCCAATGTTGATCAAAATGCAGTCATGATACCACTGGTAGCATCAATGATACGTGTTGCAAGGCAGTCTATTGCTTGCCTTATTTTAGGCATAATTTTGATCATTGCTGGAGGAGTTGCTTATTCTTCCGTTGGTATCTATTTGCTAGGTATAACGAGTTATTTTCACTGTTTCTGGGCCGGAGCACTAGTGAGTCTGATTAATTAAACTTTGATAAGATGTGATGAGCATGCTAGTTCATGCGGTACCGGTAGTCAATTGTACAATTTCTTCAATAGTATCAAAAATTAAGAAATACTTTTTTTTGCGAGAGTCATAACTACGTAGCAGTGATTTATCACTCAATTTACGGTATTAATGAAGCTATCCATCACGAATAACTTAAAAATAATGTAAGAAGTGTGTTTCTAAAATAGCTTAGTTTACATACTGTTTTTATGTAATCAATTAATTATCGTTCGAAATTATATTTTTATAAATTCATAGATAGTTTTCGTTAGGAGATTTTTTCTTGTATATCTGAAGTGCTATAAATTATTCAACTTTTGATGACGGCCTATAAATAGTTGCATAGAATTGATTCATTTGTCGTCTTAATTTAAACAAAATAGTTTTAGTCTTTGTCAACAACCAGATCAGTAATTTATCATTCCCTATAAAAAAAACATTATACCTTCTGAAGTTGTTAAAACAATTAATAAAATAACTAACAATGAATCAGAGATTTTTTATAACTTTCGTTCATTTTAAAGTAGTCTTAAAAGAAATCTTCCAGTTTTACATGTGTAGATTTTAGTAGCAATAACAATTAGCTTACAATAATAGCTTTAACTCTGACTAAATAATTTGATGCAGTGTGGCAATATACATGAACAGATATTACAAATGCATTTTAATTGAACATGCTTGATTTGTGTTATTTATTTAAAATCTGATCAATGTTATTCAGTATGTTGAGCGTGTTGAATAAAAGAGAATTGAACTTATATCTTGTAATGGATAATGTAATATTCAATGTTTCCATGTATAATTGATAAGCGTGGTCTATTTCTTCTAAAGTGGTCGTTGAAGGTAATCTTTAATTACGAAATGGCTTGACAACTATTTATTAATCGCTCTCTTGTTAGATGATAATTTCCTCTTCACTTGGTATCGCGACTTATATCAACATCACTAAGTTTTCACGAGATGTGGTAAGTAAACTAGCTCGATTACAGTATATCCTTATTTCTGATATGCATGACATATTGTTCATTAAAGAGGTGAGTTAGACCTATTACTGCAAGTATGCTTAGAAATTATTAATATGACCATTTTATTCATGTTGAATGAATAAATGCTCAATATCATTAGGCTACTATTCACTTGGCATTCCTCATTCTTGGCATGCTGGCAGCACTTGCAGGGATTATATTTAGTGCTATTAACCTTTCAGGTGCAGCATACCTCTTTCAGAGTAGTGCCTTACGCAACGTAGGGATTGGAAGCTTATGTACCAATAGTGTGGTCATAGTGTTTTACATCATTTACATATCTTACTGCATTTATCATATAATCGTTTACTCTCGTACCTTGCGGATGGTACCTAAAGTGAAGAATGGTCAGGTAAATCAAAGAATAGTTGTATGTGTATCAATAATTTAAGGTTCAAGTTTGATTAATAATGCGAACAAAACAAGAAAGAAATATTTTTGTCGAATAAAGTTTCAATGAAGGCTTACTTGCGATTGAAAGTGATACTAGTAGTTATCACAATTATTTCTCGCTTTGAGTCCATTAATTGTAATCAATCGATGATTACTGCCAAAATTATTAAATTTGTTGTATATAAAATGTATCTATAAGTGTATACCTGAATACATATATTAATAGTAGTAGCAATTGTGGCTCCTGTATTAAGATCATCGCAGATATAATAAGTAATGCTTTCAAGTGAAGTTTCAACTTAGTAATTTATTAATAGCGATAATGCGTGCCTATCTTCAGTATGTAAATTCTTTCTTTCTAGAAACAATTCATTGAGGAAGGAGAGATAGTTTTATCCAATCAATCAGGCGTGAATCAACCAGGATATCAAGTTGCACAACCAACAACGTACGTGGAAACACGAGTTTTATCCAATCAATCAGGCATGAATCAACCAGGATATCAAGTTGCACAATCACCAATGTACGTGGAAACAAGAGGAGAACCCGAGAATGAGAAAAGTTCGACATTTTAAATGATGATCTTTTTTTATATAATTCATTGGATAATTTATACTGTGTACCGCTATACAAATAATAATATAAGAAATAGCTTCGGGACACCATGAAATCTAGTTTACTTATCGTTGAGTTTTAAAGCTAGTTCTTTCTACATTAATTTACATCATTAGTAATCTATTCCCATACATGTACAATGTACATTGTACAGTATATCCGTCGCAGTGAGCTTAATGAAATAAATTGTTTAGAAGTTGATCTAGTGTGCTGTCCTATCTAAGTCTATTTGTGTGATACCTTCCAATCGTGATCGTTCATCGTAGAGTTTATTGAAAATTCTTCTCATCTATGTTTATAGTATGGTTGAGGGGGGGGGGAAGGAATTAATCGCATTATTACATGCTATCTATCTTTAATAGCGTTGATCCTATTCCATCTACAACATGCAAGAGCAATTTAGACCACTTCAATAGATGCGTAGATTGATATGTATTAGGCTATAAAAGAAGACTAATAGAAGGTTCAAGTTGGTTTATTAACCGTATCGTAATAACAAAAAAGTTCAATCTACTGTTGCTACTACGGAATAGGTATATACTGTAAGTAGCGCCATCGGAATGGTGCAAAAAATTAGTCCGCCCGATATTGTACGTATACTATATACCGTATATATATACTGTATATGTCACGTATATAGTGTAGAATATTAATTAAACATAGCCAGCATTCAAAATTGACCTTGCATTTATGAAACAAAGTATCACGAGCAGGGTCATTTTGCTGGCAATGAGAAGGTTAATGTCAGAAAACCAACGGTATACGCGTATATTGCATGCATAGCCGTATATCGCATCATCGCGGACACCTACAGATGCAATTTCAGCGCCAAATTCCCAATAGCACTCTGTTGTAGACTACAGTTATTTTCGCCAACAAAGTTGGCGGATTGAAACTCTGATTATATCATTCGAATCAGTGATTTTAAGAATGATGAGCAGTCAATGGAGTATTTTTTAAAATTGGGGATAAAGATGTGCAAAATTGAGTGTAGACTGTTGGAATTTTGTTTTGAATGGAGGCTTACTTAGGTAGTTCAGTAAGCGTACTGTGTAAGTTTTCAATTTTTGAATATTTTATGGAGTTTTTTCGGTTAACTCTATGCGATAGCCCTACTGAGAAGAAGCTTGCCAGTACTAGACTACCAGTGAGTGAGTCACTACTAGTTGACCGGAGGACTAGGTACTAGTAGGTAGTACGACATCAAGGACGAGCGGACATCGGACATCGGATTTCTGTTGTCCATCAGTCCATCAACAATAGTTAACAACAATAGCTGTACAGTACTTGTACAGTACAGTGTACAGTACACTGTACAGTACGGCGGGATAAGTGATTTGTACTGTAGGTGTACTGTACAGTACTGTAGTGTACAGTACACTGTACAGTACTGTACTGTACTGTATTGTGATGGCTGTGATCATTGTGATGACTAAGTAGTACGACATCAAGGACGAACGGACATCGGACATCGGATTTATGTTGTCCATGAACAATAGCTGTACAGTACAGTACTGTACAGTATGGCGGGATACTCCCAGAGTGATTTGTATTGTTTTGTGATGACTTCGTACTGTACTGGAGTTCCGAGAGAAAATTCTCCCACAACTCCCTGATTCTGAGCATGTGCAGAGTATGCCTCCAAGACAGTTTTCTTCCCTTGATCATCAAGAATGAAATTAGCATCGGGAACTGGATTCTTTCTTGATAGTGTCAATAGAAATAGGATAGTATAGGGTTAGCTATAGTACAGTACAAGTAGCAGAGAGCTGGGCAAAGTATCCCTAGAGAGCGTGTAGTTTATTATAAAAAACTTTTATATTTTATTGTGATAGCTGTGATGACTAGGTAGTACGACATCGAGGACGAGCGGACATCGGACATCGGATTTATGTTGTCCATGAAACAATAGCTGTACAGTACTGTGTACTGTACTGTACAGTATGGCGGGATACTCCCAGAGTGATTTGTACTGTTTTGTGATGACTTCGTACTGTACTGGAGTTCCGAGAGAAAATTCTCCCACAACTCCCTGATTCTGAGCATGTGCAGAGTATGCCTCCAAGACAGTTTTCTTCCCTTGATCATCAAGAATGAAATTAGCATCGGGAACTGGATTCTTTCTTGATAGTGTCAATAGAAATAGGATACTATAGGGTTAGCTATAGTACAAGTAGTAGAGAGCTGGCTAAAGTATCCCTAGAGAGCGTAAAGTTTATTATAAAAGACTATTATATCCTTTACTGATCCATTCTGCGCATACTGATCGTACAGTGCTGTACTTGGAAGAGAGTAGCAAGCGCGATACAGTTCCCAAAGTTATTTATTGATAGAATAAAGCTGTTGTACTGTACAATTAGTGTCTACTCATTGCGATACTGTATATATTTCAAATCTTCCTTCTTGTAAACTTATTCAACGTCATCGATTCATCACTTTGACTACATCATCCAGTTTTTCTACCATATTAGAGACGTACATGTGTCAGACAATTCAATGGCGATTGTTATTACCAATTCTCCTGCTGAAGTAAGGCAGAATAATGCCCAAAGAGCCAAGTTAATGTTGTCCATGAGACGGATTGGGAAAGAAGCGGTCTCCTTCGTCGTTGTAGGCATTTTATTACTCATTACTGGCGGAATTGCTTTTAGTCCTGCTAGGGTTTACTTGGATGGAGTAGTGACTTACGGCCACTGTTTTTGGGTAGCTATACCGGTAAGTAAAACAGATGATAAGATCATAACAACGCTACCGATACAGTAAAGGATTAATTTCAACTGTTGTTGATATAATATGCAAGATAATACAATAAAAGACAACTTTTACTTCCAACACCTAATATCATGTCTACTGGGGGATAGCGGTCTATTTTCAATCTACCTTGACCAACACAATCGACAAAGAATTGAAAATAATTTTTCATTACTGTGCAGTATACTAGATGTTTTTCTTACATTGATTCTCCTTCCTTCACTTGACAATACAGTAAGACGTATTGCCACAACTCCATTCAACCAATAACAACGATTCGATTGATTAGAGTAACATTCGTCCATAATGATGATATATTGCTGTAGTCCTTGTTTGAATTCAATTTCGAAATAGTGTTGATGCCGTCAGTTGTACACGTATTAACACCCCTGCTGCTTGGATAGATGGGACTAACAATATTCAATTAGACTCTTATTTTGATGAACGATATTCTGTACCGTACAGTGCAATCATTGATGAAGCAATAAAATTTGATTCTTTATTTAATTAATAGTTTTCTTTTTTAGCGCATTCAAACATGACTTACTTAGCGGTACGGTCAAAAATTACATTTTAAGAATCAGAATAGAAATGTACAATGACTGCCATAATTGGTATTACTTTCGCGGCAATGAATAGAAAAGCAACTGTGACTAACTTATTCGTACCGTTGAGAAGATAGCATAAAATCAATCAAATAAAAGGTTACATCTAATGTTGATATTGTCGTTGTGATCGATTAAAAGCTTAGTAACCACTGTACTGTACTGTATCTTAGGGGAATTACCTAGTGTGAAAATAATTACTGAATTTACCAGTATAACTTATCAACTTCCAATGTTGATTGAACCCTCATACTTATTTGCCGATATGCTTACATACACTCAAATAAACTAATCGTAACAAAAATACAGCCAATTCTAGTTCAAACTCATCGTAACATTTCCCTTGACTTTCTTCGACTCTTAATATTATAAACTACACTACAGCTAATTGTACAACCTTCTAACTTAGTGCTGCATTTGCAAGTGAATAATTTCGAAACTGTCTTCTATGCGATCTTTACCGTCCATGGAATAATTCATTCTATTATAATTCTACCATACTGTAGTATTGATTAGTGCAATGTGAAAGCATTAATCACTGGTTATTTATTAATACTGCTATTCATTTAACATACAGTTAAATAAATATCATTCGAGTATGATGGACTAATTTTGCGATTCAGTATTCAAAATTATTCAATTGGCAAAGCAATCAAATTTAAGCTAATGTAACGATGATCGCTATCGAAGTCGTTAGATTGTAGATTTACTCAAATCAGCATTTCAGCAATCCATTTATGGCTAATTTTGGGGTAAAAAATAAAGTTTCTATTGTAGTAGTTCTGATCATGAATACTTTGTCGTAGTTACTCGGCACTATTTTCTAGATATTAACATACTCATTAGAGTGTATTAAAGTATTAAATGGAGAGGAAGTTAGCTATATCAAATCAATATTTTATACTAACCATCGCAGATACCCAATTTTTCTACTATTTACTATTATCTTTGCAACTGTTAATGACTGTACTTACTGCACTTTCGTTTTCAATGGAAATGCTGTTAAGTTACATGCTAAATACTAGCTTTCATTACATGTTGTCAGTTTGTCAGTATCGATAATTTGTCTTCATCAAATACTACTTAGCCGCTATTGCATTTAATTTTAATGAATGACCACACAACTTAGTATTAATAATAAATTACATATACTTAATCTAGATGATTGTCGCTGGTGCCTTTGGAATAGCGACATATAACCACGGAAATTATCGACGAAAGATGGTATGATAAATTTCATAAGATCTATGTTTGCTTATTGAATGTTACAAAAGTAGTAAAATATCCACCTAAGTTAAATTTTATTTTATCTTGCAAACGGTTGTATTAAGGGAAACTATTTTTTGTTAATTCAATAATTCATATCTACTATCGATGGATGCAAAATTCAAGATGAATACTTTCTATATAGATTTTATCGATTTCGGTCTGCTGATGCTATGCTTTTACTTCATTACTTTATAATGGACTGATAGGTTATTCCGCATTTAGTTTTTCTTATTGCCAGTATGGCGGCCTCAATCGGTGGAATGGTTATTTTAGGCGTCAATATTTACCACTTTATTCAAAGGGCACAACAAGGTCATATCAAATCTATCACTGCCCTTGGTATAAATATTGCTGTCTTGATTGTATATGTTGGATATTTCTTCACGGGGCTTTACTGCGTCGTAGTATTTTCACGAATTGCAAAAAGTCCGCATATGGCGTCGGTTAGTACTCAAATAAGCAGATACTTAATGCGCGTATATAATGCGGTATGGGTTGTAAGATCTGTAGTAATAGTTTTATTAAATCGCAGTTGAAATAATTCCAATCTAATCTTATTATTGAATATTGTAGATGCAACCGGAGCAGGAACAGATTCCGTTTCAACTAACTAGCAATCAATTGCGTATTGGGCAACAAGACGATCTTTCGCAGCCTCCGCCATCTTACGCAGAGTTACAATTGCATCATAGCGATCCTCCACCTTACGAACAACAGATAGATAGCTTACAGCAGAAGGATTCCGCTGCTTAGCTAGAAGATATTATGTTAAGAAATTGACGTTTGCTGATTGTTTTATTAACGCCTAACTTTCCTTTCTCTTTGTAAAGGAGTAATTGATGAAGGCTTGTATCATTTTCTCTACGACTAGAATCAGTCATAGACTGATAAACAACTTAAAAAATAATTTATTAATTATACTTGTAAAGATTATAATTTATTACAGATATAAAGTTTTCATGCAGCTGTGCACAGTTCTTAAAATGAATAATGCCCTATACTATTTCTTATGACGATAATTTAAAATTTTTAGTTAGTATTATAATGTTAGTAATTATCGTAAATCGATAATTCTGAGCAGAAAGCTACGTAAACTATCTGTATTGTCATTGATTTTAAATTTCGGGCTAAAAATTATATAGTGAATTGATAAGTTTATATTTGCACCTTCTTGTAACAACATTTCGAATATTGTAAACTATACACATGTGCTGATTCTATCTCAGATATATACTATATATATCTTGCAATCAGTAGGCAAAGCAACTAATAAAATATATAACAACTTCTCTATCTACTATTGTTTTCTTGTTTCTTACTTTTAATTTTGTAGATCGTTACCGATACTTTTCTTTAATTTAACTCCTAATTAGGCATTGTTAATTAATTATAAAAGTAGATTTACTATTACGAACGATATTATACGCGTATGTACAACTTTACGCTGTCAATATAGCTTTGCAAAAGTTTTTACGGACCCAACACTAAGTTGACCGTGTATGTACACATTTCACAGTATGTAGATGGGTATAACTTTAAATACTGTATATGATATGATAACTTATTAGTTATTCACTATCGATCAACAGTAGTCCGGTCTTGCTTATACCCTTTAAGATTCAGACCGCTTGTGAACTGCTGCGAAACTTAATTTCAATCCTTTTATGTATGCTTGAATTTAAGGTAAAGTGGAATATTTATGGTATAAGGAAACATAATTTTTACGCGCAAGTTAAATCAGGCTAGTAATAATTAATAAATGAATTTGTATAGAGCTGATTACGGCTTAATATGAAGATTCGTAAATTAGTTAAGTGATTAAAATGGCATCGAGCTGCAGTATGATGTAAGACAAACAATCCTTGCCCTTATCATGGAAACATCATTTATCATGAAACTTGTAAATTCTTTATTTACTCAATCATACACAAGATGGACAAATATTAAAGCTCTTTTTTAATTATAAAAAGAGCACGATGACGTTTAAAACTAAAAAAGAAAGTATTAATTTGTATTTTAATTTGCTAACTAAATACAGACCTATCATGGTACGTTGTTGTAACCTATACTAAGTAACGGTAACTGAATAGGAATTTTTAATCAAAGTAAATAAATGTCCTTGTTTCCAACTTTTAACATGATTATAAGTACCACAATATACGTACTAACTAACTAACGATGTGCTGGATATGACGTTTGATCATAAGTAGGTAGTGTTTGTGGTTGTTGCGAATATTGTTGTGTGTAAGGTTGCGCTTGTTGTGTGTAAGGTTGAGCTTGTTGTGTGTAAGGTTGCGCTTGTTGTATGTAAGGTTGCGCTTGCTGTGCGTATGGTTGCGCTTGTTGTGTGTAAGGTTGTGCTTGTTGTACTTGAGGTTGTGCTTGTTGTACTTGAGGTTGTGCTTGAGGTTGTGGGGCATATGCAGATTGCTGAGGAACTGCAACGCTTTGTTTCATTGACAGCATCTACAAGAAATAGAGATGAGATAGATATTTCTATGAGTATAAACGATTTCATTAAGAATATTATTACTTTTATAGTGAACTAGCTGTTGTTGTATTTCTACAGTATAAGTTTAGAACTACTATTTACTACGTGTATACCTGGTTCGCTGTTCCCGTAGTATCCAATCGTGAAGCGCGAGCGAAAGCTACAAAATGGAAGATAGCCACACCTAAGTAGCTAGAGTAAAATATCGTGACAACGATATTTGTAACTAAAGAGCCAATAATAACTGGATGACCTGAAGAGATGACCCTAACAAGATTGCTAATATTTATGCACGAAATAACTATTCCTCCAATTGCTGCCAGACTGCCGATAACAGAGAATGCAACATGGGCAGGACCCTATAGAATCAATATAGAAAAAGCTTGCTTAATGCATATGCCATGATTAAATTTTACTTGTCAATGCTCTACTAATCATAAAATAAATTCATACCAATTATACTCTAGGATATACAGTATATATATAAAGATAGAAGGCGTTCGTCTTCTTTAAAATAACAGTCGAACGAGGTACAGTAGAGACTACAAAAATTTCTGCTTCAACATGAATTGCAATTTCTAATAATAACTTTAGTACGTAATTATTAATTATGATAAATATATTCTTTTACTGATCTAAATAAAATAATTCTTTAGTTAGTATTACTCGTATAGCATGTACACAGTGTTGGCTGGCAGTAGGTTATAACCCCGGTCAAATAACTCAAGAATTCAGTACAAAAGTACAACCTAAGTCAAATAATAGGCTGTAACAAAGGGTTATAACCAAAGTCAATAGCCAGGAATCACGAAAAACCCGTATTTTTCCAACACTGTGCACATGCATTTTAGCGTTGAAAGGATATTATGATATACAACAATTTCAAAACTACAACTAGAAGTATTGTAAATAATCTGACGAACTATTTACTCGTATTCTTAAGTATATTCCAAAGATATGTAAGTAATTATAAAGTGGTTATATTATGTTGGATATCTAGCCATCATTTTTAAGTTTTTTTAAGTTATATTAAAATATTTTACAATATCGCTGAGCTTACAATTTTTCGTCTGTAGACACCATTGTTATAAGTGGCTATACCTATTGAGCAACTGACGATTATCTGAAAATGTTGATAATTATAAATTTCAATGTTATTAAGAAAGGCTATTAATGGATTTATATTTATATTTGATATTACAGGTTAGTATATAATAGTTTAGTACATTACTAGCAACGATAGAATTACACTTATATACCTTATAATGTGCTTACATAATATAACTATAAAATACGATCTTTTCTTCTATTATAATTAATTTAAATTGAGATATAGGTATAATGTAGTAGAGTGTGTAGAAATGAAGGAAGGTTATTCTCATCGTAAATTGGTTAGTGTAATCATTAGTTAATTGATAAAGTAGAAGCAAAAGTTCCTCTAGACTTTGAATATCATCCAATAAGACCGACATGATAATTAGATTTTATCTTTTGATCTACAGTATTTCACGGCGTGTATAAGATTGAAACAATGTTGTAGGGAGAATTACATATTACACGATAGAAAATGGAATAGATTCGAATCGTTAATAGTAAAATGAAATTTTGATATAGTAAATATCGAATTGATTAGCTATAAATTAACTAATATTCAGTTGGATGTCAGTGATAGGGTTCTTGATTCGATATAAAAGTTTACAAGTCATAGATATTACTGTTATATCGTATTGATGAGAAATTTTTGAGGTATTGCTTTCTGATAGAATAATTTACTCATGTATAGTTGCGTATTCTTACAACATCACGTATATAAATGTATTTGAACTACGGTATACTCGTATATACTTGTTATACAGTATGTTGCGGTCTATAATATGATACACACGTACACTTTTATTTGGAGTCGACGAAGAGGTGTCAGAATCATCAATTAATTATACATCAGGCTATGTGCTTAAATAGCGAGAGAGAAAAGTTAAGTTAATAAGAATCAAATTGTTGGTACAAAAGGTACTGAATATGAAATCAGTTTTTTATGCAAATCTCTAATTTGATCCGTATTGAAATATAATTTATTAATCTTGTGCATCAATGTACTCATTGAGGAAATGATTACTGAGGAGCTAATAATATAAATTTTTTGACTAAAGAGGATAGTTCAACATGCAGTAGTATAAGCTATTTAATGATAGAAAAATTTTCCAAAAAGGAGTAGTACGAAATACAATCTGATTGATGATTCAAGAAAATATTCAGTTGAATGTGATGATAAAATAACGGTTATTTTTAGCAATCACTTTTTATATTATTGATTGGTATTGCAATTCATTTTGTACTGCAAAGTCGTAAAGAAATTCATTATACTTATTAGAGAATAAGTTGTATTTACTGAGAAGTTCAATAATAAGATAGTGGATACGTGTCTTAGTCTTAATATTTTTCGCTCTAGGATTTGATCTGTTGCACCTTTGCTGTAAAATTAACTCTCTTTGATGAATGGCACCCTACCATTGCATAGTACTGTATTACATGGTGAGTATTTTCGATCTGATCCAGGATGTTGGTCGTGTAAAGGTGAAAGTAATTTTTTAATTTTTTATAACTCAATTCCAGTAGTTTAAAATGGATCATTAATCCATTGAATATCTTGTATGTTTACTTATCAGAATGTTTGGCTGAAAAAGAGTTCATTGAATATCGCAAGAGTGTAGGACTTCCTGTACACTGTACAGTATGTCACGCTGTTATTTTGTTTAATAATAATCAACAAGTGAAGGTTATTTTCAAAGGGGGGAACGGTTGAATTTTACGAGATTTTACATGTGTAAGCCTATACTGTACAGTCTGTACGAGTATATCATAAAGTAAAATCCTATTGGAATTGTCGAGTGGGATATTATTCAATAACTAGGATAGCTCTATGCATTCTTGACGACTAAGATTAATCTACTGTAAGATGTGACTGTTATAAAACAGTAGGGTAGGTACACCATCTTCACTTGTAAGAGCAAATTGACTTTCATATTACTAAAAATTGTGACAGGCAGCGAGATTGGATGTAAGACTACCGAGAATGTGGAAAAATGAAGAGTAAAAGTAAAATTTTCCTCCTTTCAAGACTACTATAAGAGTAAAGGACATATGACCTCTAAAATAACATGAGTACAATATTGTCAGTACAAACGACCAAAGAGCAGGAAACAGAATCGACTTCATACTGTGCTACTATCATCGCCACTTACCAAAAATCCAGCCCAAAAACAATGATAGTACGTTCTAATCCCAAGAAGATACTGGCCAACTTGAGGAATAAAGGCAAGACCCCCAGCTATGATTATAATTATTCCAAAAGTTAAAAAACTGATACATTGCCTGGTAATTTTTATTGCCAGTGCCATTTGAGCAACTGATCTGGGCGCTGGAATACCGCTAGGTTGAGTGGTGACGAATGTGGCCATTGTTGAACAATACTAGGCTAAAAGTGTACGTTTTTATCCACAGACTGAAAATACTCTGTTGCAATTTTCAAATAGCCTCCAATTACAAGATAGTATGGCTATCCAAGATGACTGTACCGCTAATGCAAAGGTTAATAATATTGCTACAAAATTGAATGTTGCACTGACTGCCCAAAGTTTTCTGTCAAGGAAGTTCTTTTTACAGCTGATTCACTCTCGCCTTTCACTAATAGTGTGTTGACGATTGCAATACGGAAAGTATTTCAATAGCAGTTACAGTAGCGTAGGTGCTCTTACTCTCCACTGACAATACTCTACTGTATATAATGTAATGTGATCATAGTGATGATCACAAGGGCTGTAGTGAATTGACCAATGCAATAATAATACAGTACAATACAATACTGTATAGTTGGACCACGATTATAGGGGCAGGCGACCCCTGGGAAAATGACTGAAAGATAGTCTGTCAATATGTTGCTTTGAATTACTGTATGTTTTTCAATTTTGAAGAAATGGACTTTTAAGTTGGCTCCAATTGCATACAGAAAGATCAGTACAACCTTGAGCAATTGGCTCTTGATATTTTCATTATTTTTATCACAGTATTAAATAATAAATAATTCTATTTCTTTCAACTTTCCTATATAAACGATCAGTCGTCTCTCCAATCAATTTCCAATTCACGTCGTCCAAGCGACGCCCGGTGATACCGAGTGACACCCACTATTGTCAATAAAGTACAATATCGCTATTGTGCTCAACCAATTGGAGTACTGCAGGCCGTTCACTAGCCCGTCCAGTGACTACAATAGTCAACGACATACGTCATAACTGGTAACCTAGTTCAGCATAATCGACCAGAGAACTGGTTGATCAACAAACTGTATTTCCATCTTAGGCTCGAATTTTCATTGCTGTATGTTGACTATAAATTAGTAAATCTAGCCTACCATCAACCTCCAATTGTTGTACTGTAAGTATCCCATTACTCTATGTTTTCTACCCATCAGGAAATCTGCCCTACCATAAATCTCCAATTACTGTCTCTACTGTATGTACACTATACAGTACTCAGTACTGTACTGGAAGCATTCCATTACTGTACAGCATGTTTACTACATGTATAAAGTACCCAATCTGGCCTACTGTCAACATCGAATTGCTGCTGTACTGTAAGCTGTTAAACCTACCAAAATAGACCACTTTCTTATTTCGTATCCACGGAAAAAAGTCCTAAATTGATGCGCTTGATTATCCTGTTTCTATAATACTAGCCGGATACCATACTGTGCGACTAATGTTACGATTAGTAAGAGAATACAAGCTTCATTGATGTTATACAGTATCTGTATATATCACGCACGATATTACGCATTACATAGTCAGGGCTGAGCCTTCTACAACTTGCTCTACGCAGGGAGTCTGTTACTATTGGTCTAGTTAGAACCATTTTTCGTTTTCAAAATGGAGTAATTTACAATTACGCCTATTAATTATCATGATATTGCTGGCTATAACAACAATACTGGTATTTATTGCACACTTCTGAGAAATTTTCTTTTTGAATTGAATTAGAGTACCGTAATTACATATGTATTGTATGGACATTAGACATGCTGTACATTCATTCAATCGCTCACCACCCTAATTTAACCTATTATAATACAGTAACAATTCTTTCATAATCAAGATAGTCTATTCTTGCATTTCTAGCTCTTTCTACATTTAGAGTGATGTTTTGAAAGGATCTGCAAGTAGAAAATGCAATATACGCGTATAGCTGACCACGAGAGAAAACTTCCTATCTTAAATCTATTCCTACTTTATCAAAAGTTTGTCCTTACGATTTATTGATCGTCATCGTCAATGCTACTCTAACAGAGAATTGATAACGTTTCAATGGAAACGGTCAATCATTCTAAGTACAGTATGGTATTCAAAATTTTGCAGTACAGTGCTCTTACTGCAATCATCACCGCTATCTACCGGTGTCGATATGTAGTGTACAGTACACTGTACGCGTGAGATTGGACGATTTCTTTCTTTTTTTTTTTAAATATGTCAATGCATGTCTAATGTATCAGTAGGACAGCTTAAACGAAGTGTATAAAAAAATTTATGCAAAATGATCAGGCCTACTGTACACTGTCCGTACAGTACGACAGTTTCAGCTAAGAACTTTTCATAAACTGGCGGAATCGAACGTACTTCATGTACAGTACAGTACTGTACTGTAGGTTTTTTTTCTTATAACTTTATGCGATGGATCGATTTACAGTACTGTACTGTACGTACAGTATACCAATTTCTTACTACTGTACTGTAGACTTTCTCTGTGGGCGCTACAAATCCATGAGTTTACAGTACTGTATGTAGAAATAAAATGATTCAAGTGTTATTTAAAATTTACTTTTACTAACTAATATAGAACATTCAGCTCATTAGCTACATGCTGGTATAAAATCGATAAAGTTTTGATATTGATAATAGTATTTAAATAGAATTCTTATATTCTAAAGTGAATGTAAACATGCTGGCCACCGATGAGCTGTCACAGTACTGTACTGTACTTTGCCATCTAAAAATCTGAAGAATTAGTAAACATGGGGTAACTACGTAGGGGATATACAGTATAATAAATATATTATTATACTGTACAGTACAGACGGAATACAACTTTGATTGATTTTTGAGCGAAGGGGAGACATGGAAAAAAATAATTATAATAATCATACTGTACAGTATTACAGTGTACAGTACACTGTACAGTACAGTACAGTACTGTACTGTACTTTGCCATCGAAAAATCTGAAGAATTAGTAAACATGGCGTAACTACGTCGGGGATATACTGTATAAATATTATTATACAGACGAAATACAACACCGACGAACTGTCACAGTACAGTACAGTACTTTACTTTGCCATCTAAAAATCTGAAGAATTAGTAAACATGGCGTAGTACTTACCTAATATTACTATACAGTACTGTACAGAGTATTACAGACGGATTACTGTACAGTACAGTACAACACCGACCAACTGTCACAGTACTGTACACTAGTGTACAGTACAGTACTGTACACTGAGTACTACAGTATGTGCTCATGGTACTGTACAGTACTGTACACTCTGAATGTACAGTGCGGTACAGTACTCTTGGCACTGTACTGTACACAGTGTACAGTACATTGTACACGATAATAAGAATAATTATTACAAGGGAAAATTAACAATTTAGAAGATAACTTTGCCAAATTTATTAATATAGAAGAAGAGACCACGTGACATTTATACGCAGCCGCAGTCCGTATGGCATGTAATTTTATTACAATTAATTATTATTATAGTAGTATTATTATTTATCACTGTTGTTGTTATCACTCAACTAGATTAATAAGCCGCTAATCTAAACTGGGATAGAAGAGAGAAAATATTGATTTATATTGCATCTCCACTCTCCCACTTGATCTATTTCTACTTCAAAACTGCGATCAATTTCATCTTTTGAAAGTGCCATTGGCTGCCCTATCCAATCAACTGGAAATCTACATCCAAATTGTCATTCATTGTCGGGGCAAAAATAACCTAGCCGAAAGATGCCTTCAACCGTTTCTCATTCGGCTTCAGTCAATTTTTACCTGGTAGCAGGTCGAAGAACATGTCTATTTCTTCTCATTAGTGGAGCGATACTTATATTGAATGGCATCTCTTCCTTTTTCATACCATTCGCTAACAATTTCTTTTACCATTTATTTTGGGCCGGAGGAATGGTATGTATACTTGTATAGTATCCATACAATCAATCTTTACATAAACTGAGATTGCAAATGCTATCAAGCGTAAATTCAATTGGGTTCAACTAGATTCACACCATCGTGATTAAAACGATTCCATTTTCCGTTTTACGCCTACTAAAGGCTTTCAAAATTTCTTTTTACTCTTCACTAAACTCATCCTTATAGCTATGGAAATGGATGATTTCATTCCCTCCTTGTTAACGATGATAGTCTACCAGCAATGAAATTAGTTCAAAATTGCTCTGTCTTATGTTGCTTGTAATCGAGTTGATCGCCATTGGGTGGACCTGGTGTCAACCAATATCATGCTCGGTATTGCCCACTTACTTTGGACGTTTTTGGTTCATGTACATCGTTCTTTTTTCTCTCCCTCTTCATTTTAATCGACGTGCATCAACATCTTCTTAATTTTAAAATGAACATTTATCACACTCAAGTCTACCGTAAAGCGGAAATTCTCATGATAAGAAAACGTGCGGTACTCTACAGTATTGTATATGCAATGCGGCCCTAAATCATGCGTGTGTGAATATTGTACAGTATACTGTACAGTATATATAAATATCAATCAACATCGGCCTTTCTCATCTCGATTTACTACTGTAATAATGATCCATTTTATTATTGATATCAGCGATGAACAGATTGAAAATCACAAGCAGATGTGATTTACAATCATCAAGCACTCTCTTTCCGACTAATTTTCACTATAGGCTAGGATTCAACTTACCGTAGCTAGCGACATTTTTTTGGTGACTGGTCTGCAATAAAATGAAGTCATAAGGATATAATCGTATCATGATTATTATATATTTTTATTAATGATCATCATTGGTCATAATCATTGGCAGAAATGCTAACGTTCTTAAAAAATTGGGGTCAATTTGAAGCTTACAGGTTTGACTTCTTCCCTCTACTTCTTTTATGTTTTCCTTACTCGCTAGTAGTACTGTAGTCGTTGAAATTTTAACAATCTTCTACGATAAGAGTATTTCGATAAGGGCAATTTATCAGGTTCCCTAATACAGTACAGTAGTTACATTAATATCTTTCGTGCCGTCTTTTCCAAATACTGTACTGCTGGATTCATCTACACGCATAGGAGAAGAGAATAAAGTCTAAAATAACTAGTAGTGTCTTTCAGTATCAATAGTGCACCATAGCTTTTTATTATTGCATAGATATACACGTTTATACTGGAAGTAGCGTGGAGATTTCATGGTCGTAATGGAGCTCTCGACTAATGTATTGGTAGCGATATTGCTTTAGGAATATAACGTGACCAAAAAAATAAGCTGGATAAATCGAAAGTCATACTGTACGTTACAATTTCTTTTGGCAAACCTTTACTGTAAACTAGTTTAAAGTAGGAGATTCATCGAACGTATATGAAATAACTTTGCTTCGATTGAGTGCATTACAGTAAGTTAATTGACCGTGAATATAATGCCTTTTATTTTCCCATTACAAAAATGAATAATAAAAATAATAAGAAGAGTAAAATATAAATACAGACCAATGTTTACTGGAGTGTAGAAGATATTACCACGGAATACTAAAGAGAGAATCCCGATCTTCTCTCTTTAGCAGTCCTTGGCTGTAAAAACGATGATACATTATTCTAGGAGTCTAGACTCCTAGAATAATGTATCATCGTTAAAGCTATTTTTCTAGACTCTTAGAATAATGTATCATCGTTTAAGCTATTTATGCTGAGTATCTGAGTAATCGGGGTTATTATGAGCGGGTGTCCTGGATTTCATTCCGTAATAATAATTTCGAATAATAATAATAATGACTTGCAAATGTTTCTCGATAATCTCGCATATTTCCCTGCTGTGTCAACATGTTGAATCGCCCAAGTGTGATAATTTTAGTTCTAAACACGATAAATGATAACGAATGGATTGATTTTATTAATAATTAATTGAATGATCAAGCGATAAAAGTGTCTTTTTTTTAATTATCAAGTTGAGCAATGATTATAATATAATTGCTGATTAGCAATACCAATATTAATTTATGGTAGTGAAAGAGAATAGCACAACATACTGTATGGATGATAACTTTTGCACTACTGTACTGCTCGATAGATGAGCAGGTTGAAATCTTTCAGTAAGTATCTTGGCATCAAAATTACGGCATATTTATGTTATTTAATAATATTCATAATATCTTAGAGCCTGCTTTAATTAAACAGTTTTATAGCCAATTTTCGAAATAGGCAGAAAAATCACTGCAATGTTTACCGTTGCATCTTTGTATTTCGACGTCTTAACAGTAGCAATCCCACACATTTTGCAAAGTCACTTTGTATTCACTCATTATTTTGCGGTGCTCATAATAGTGGGCCATCGCCGAGACAATCTATCGTTAAATTAATTCCCATCACAGTATTAGTTTATACCAGTGAAGCAATACTGGCCAAATCTAATATGTTTCCATACAGTAATTTTCGTATAAGGTCGTAGTGAAAGCGGTTCAATGATATACCAATCTATTTTGAATATCCATAAGTTACTGCAATTTTTTCCCAACGACAGATTTGCCCTTAGATAAATTATAATTTATAACATACTGTACACACTGATACATTGTATCAGGTTTGTACACCCAATAAACTTGTGACATCGGCGTGGTAATTTATTCTGCATGTTCATAATAACATGCTGTAAATATTTTCGAATACTGTCGCTGATTTACCAGTAGATGAATTCTGCGAGTATAATTGTGCGCGTTTTAATTACAAAATCTCGGATATTGGACCGTATTCCAAAGCACTGATAATTAAGCATCACTCTTGGTGTACCCATATTTACTGTACTGTATGATAGACCGGTCATCTTACAGTAAAGAATTTCAATAGTGACGAAAATTAAATGAGAAGATACAGTCTAAATTGATGCTGCTGATGGGAAAAAAACTCTAGAATTATACTATTGCACAGAAATCCGGTAATACTGGCAGAAGAGGTGGATGCAGTCATCCTGTATTGACATGGCGTAAGATATTTCGCTGATTTTATATCAGATATCTTTAATTTCCGTAGGATTAGTTGTTAAATAATTTAAAATTAAGCGCTATTGGTCGGTGTACTCTTCTACGAAACGATAATATATATCTGTATATTTTTCATGAAAGACTACCGTGATTAACAGTCAAGAGTAACTTCTAGAGTAATAGCTTGTTTCAGGACATGCTTTACTAACAAATTTCTATTAGATATGTTTTATAAATGTCTTTTAATTCTATATCATTTGTCGATAGTATATCTATGTATGGCAAACATTATTCGCAGTAAGCATTAGGAGATGAATTTACAAAGTTGATAAAACTCTAAATCTTTTGGCGTTTACTTTATTATAGATCTTATGTACTGGATCTATCGGGGCTAAACCATATGGAGGGCTAGCATCAAGAGCGGCAGTAAGTTCAATAACACATAATTAAATATGGTATTAGCTTGTTAGAATTGTTAAAAGAAACGTCAAAGGCTAACTTGGATATCTTCCTTGAATCTTAATTAAACAGTTACGGCATTTCTTTGGCTTCTGTATAATGGCAATATTGGCATCTGTTGCTGGTATCATTCTATCAGTAATGACAATTATTGCTGCTTTGTCACGATATGGCACTGACATGAAATTCGGAATGAATGTTGCTGTTATCGTCTGGTATGCCATTACAATCATGGCTCTGTTTAGGGCTATATATATTTATGCTCAGATATCAAAGTATTTACAGCTTGTTTCATCTTCAGAGGTAAGATGAGAAAATATTTTACAATACTCGACGTACTATTGCCTGAAAATAAAGAATGTAAGAAGAGAACATTTTCAACTTAACCTAAAAAAATTGTTTATTCAACTTTTAGACAAGAAATGAATTGGCCGTTTCGAGCTGTCAATCTCGCAATCAATATGTGTCACCACCAACATATGATCAAGTTGCTAGTGGTACTGCTGGTCATATTACGACTGATGTTGACAAGGATAACGATAGTACTTTACCTGGTCAGTCCAATGTTTTACCACCGACTTATGCAAGTATAGAGGCATTTTCAAAATATACCCCAAACGATGATGAGGCCAAATAGAACTTCTATGAAATAGGAGTTATTAATACTATAATAAGTGGTGCATTGTCGGGCTAATGGAAGGATTTTGTCAAAAAAGCTTAATGTGCCATATTTTACCCTATTTTTAATCGGATATCAGATATTTTATAATTTTCTTTTGGGTATTACATTTAGTTAGTCTGTTATACAGATATTGTAAATAAGGCAAATGTACATGACAACAGGTATACATTATGTTTGCAGCATATGCAAACAGGATATTTACATATACATACTATCACTGCGCCAATCACGAAAGGACTATTGTAGAGCTTCCTATTGCATCGTAAGTAAATACTTGCACAATTTTGCATCAGTATGTAATCTACTTTCACCTTGGTACCTAGAATATCATGTTGACTTGTACATTTGCTATTTCATTTGAAATACTGCTATTACGTATCTGCTTGCAGCAAGATATATTATTTGTTAATACTAGTAGAGCTATATTCGTCATCATAGAACTTCATAAATGCCTTTGACTTTCTTCGACGCTTCGGCCTGTCTTCTTGGATTGGAAATACCGAGTATGTAAAACCTGATATATACAGATTAAACTGTTACAACTGAGTATTACCATGCTAATATTTAATTATCGCAAAAACAACGCAAGAAGACCCTCCTTAATGTCATTCATGTTCTATTTCTGAAATTCTACTGCTAATTCTTAGATTTTTTGATGGTTGCAGTCAATAAATTGTATTCCTAGCTATAATTCGATATATCGTTTGATCTATATTGAAGTAAAACTTGAATAGTTCTATCCTTTGGATCTCAAATTGTTTCATCGTTTAAAGAGTGTAGCATACATTTTATGTTAAAAAACTTAATAATATCTAATTAAGGTCCTGTTTTACTTATATGTACGATTATAATTATTTATTATGAAAGTGAAAGCATCATGGACTACAAGTTACACCGTACAAATACTGCTTCTTTTCTTTTTAATGATGCATCATAAACTTTAAGAATATGGGTATAATGTGTCTGCAAATCATATTCGAATATTTGACCAATATCAATAAAATCTTGATTACCATTATAAACTGTTTAAAATTCGTATACGTCATATCCTTGTTTGTGATATTACGCATGCGATGCGTGTTCTAATCATTCTAGTAGACTATCGAGACTAATACCAGGTTTACAAGTGTAACGGCACTTATTTTTTGTATACGTATTTTTTAGGATAGCAGATATGATTCTCGATCAAATACTATTGTGTAATGTCTAATATTTGATTACATATATTAGTGAATGACCTTAATGAATCATTCATATACTGTAGTATATGTATGAGAGATTTAAATGCAACAGTAATATTTAACTAGTAAATTCAATACTGACCTTGATTACTAATTAATTAAACGCGTAATTATTGGCCAAATCCTGTATGAAATATATTGTATAGCACTAATAAAATGATTTAACTTATCCACGCAAAAAGAGTTTCAACTGTTCTGCTATAAAATAGCAAAATGTAATTTATAAGCTATAAATATCTAGATATAGCACTTTCTATAAAATAACATCATTATTGACACCGATGTGTCCCTTGACAGGAGCTGTACCGTACTGTATTATATTTTGTAATGTTGAAGTGGATATGAAAGGTAGCAAATTTTGCTTATCCAGATTTAACAAATTTTCCATTCGCAATTACATTTAAATGTAGGTTTTAATTAGATTATGAAGTTTCCGCATAACAATTGCGTAGATACAAAGCGCAACTACATTCCCAGGTAGACAGTTAACAATGTTTAAAACGTAACAAATACATTACATTTATATTTTCAAATTACGAGTACAATTATAAATTTACAACGTATAAATTCTAGAAATAAAAAATTTTAATGTTAGTACTTTGCTATGACTTGCTTATATCTCATTAGGTAGTGTATATCAAAGGTTAGTTAATATCTACTTGCTAAAGTTTACCGTTCAGTATTATCCATTGGGCGGTTAGTGGTTGATACTAAGAGTAGTTATACTGCATTTGCTAGAATACACTTTGTAGCCGGAGAATTTGTTATTCTAAATTAGATTAATTTGCTGGCTTAACTGGTGAAAGAAATTAATTTGCTCATTCTAGCTCCATAAATGCTATATTCATGTATTGAGAGGAGAAAAAGGTCAGATTTGTAAATTTTTTGTGATTTGTTATGTATTCACATCACTAAAATCTTTTCCGTTTGATATTGAATAGTTAAGATACCTAATAAAAATGTAAAGATGACCATTGATCACCGATATCGGATACATAGAATATAAAAACACATCAAAGTTCTACATTATGTGAATGAAATCAGCACATTGAAGCGTGTATACAAATAAATAGCCAATAAATTTTCGCTTGGATTATATTAAGCATATCTTACTGTTGGATAATTTTTACGGATTGATACTGTAATTTATATTGATAAAATCTGCCAATATACCAACAACGCGGTGTTATCACAAATATATAGAGATGAAGTAAAATAATACTTGTCGGTCATAAGGCTATCAATTATATAGTTAACAAATTGTTTATGTTGATAATTTATTGCACAATTTGGTAATAATGGTGCATCTGTCTATTATTCTTTTTCATTCAATTGCGAGTCAGTCTCGATTTTGTGAAATTTCGAGGAAGTATCGACTTGGCGGGGTTGATGATTCATACTTAGATGTTGCGGAGTGAACGCATGAGGTAAAATTTCTTTTACAGTTGTCCGTATATATTGATTATCTGGCTTTACCGAGTAGAGGACGCAATCTGGACTAAACTGAAGGTATTAAGATGTAATGCAATTAATTCTCTTCAACCAGCTGATCTTAATCTTTGTATTTATATATATTTTCTAATACACTTACATAGTAATATAGAGAAATAGTTTTTATGTTAACCGTTATCTGTGGTATAATGTCACTAATGCTTGAAGTAGCTGTACTATGTAATAGTGCATTGTTAAGTTGGTCTGAAGTCTATAAAAGAGCTACTAAGATAATTATTCCACATACCTCAGCAAGGACTTGTCGACACGTACCACAAGGTAAGCAAAATTGATCTTGTATGTCACTATAGAAAAATTTTAATGTGAACATTGAGACAAATATTGTATATAATACTATTTTTGATATCTTCCGCAGGCAACGCTAAGATACAAATTGTACTTTGAATGTTGCTTCATTCTATGGTTACTAATATTAGCATATCTTTTTTACTGCATATTGAAATTAATTTACTATATCGCTAAGGATATCTTTTTGAGACATTTATTTTAATGCAGTACTTACGCTGTTATAGCAATACTTCGGAATTTTTTTTGGCCTTCGCTTACTGCTTTGACAATAGCGGTTCTTTCTGCACAAATGCAAGCGCCATAAGCAGCATTTTCGACATTACAGCCTAAATACCATAAAATAGTGATATCATACTTAGCACAAATTAAAAATATTGATCGTCCATTTTTTTTATCAATATTCAATAGTCAATTATTATTAAAGTATCAGTTGATTACAAATTTTATGCAGGCAAGTTTATTCATACTGCATCAGTTATTGTCGAATATAGCATACTAAGTATCACGATGTAAAGTACTACGGTATAAGTGTTAACTCATGAAAGGTTGGCTATACAGTATGTCAGATGGCCTCTTAATATGGCTTTAAATGAAAATTTGACTCCAACGACCGTAAAAAATGATAAGCCGGTTACTTCATAGAGTAAAAGAAACCTCTAACCTCGATGGGTTACTTAAAGTAATCGTAAATCTGTGTCAGAGTACAATTATGTGCATTAAGATATGTTGGCATTAACCCTCCTTCATAGGATTGATTGAATGCGATAAATACAGCATGTCCTACAGATTGAGCTACTAAAATAAGGATAAAACATGGCATTAATCAGGTGAATACTGAACGAATAGTAGAATCGCACGGCTATGATCAATGCAATTACTATATTCTAAACACTGGATAGTTTAAATGATTGTTCGATTGCGCACGATCATTTTCGAATAAATCCATGATACACTATATTTAATACATTACTACTCTGAGCGATTTTATGAATCGTTTAGATCTAAGTCTATCAGGTAAACGTTTCCTGTAAGCCCAATACATGTTATAATCATGAGTTTTGTAACATTTATCAACCTTACTGACCTTACAATTATACTTCTGTACTCAATATAAAATAAATTATTACAGCTAAAATTGCTCTACATATTCTCAACAACGTAAATTACGTTAAAAAATGTAGTATGATACACGACAGATCGAAAAGAAAATGAAGAGCATTTCGATCAGTACTTGCTATCAGTAGTCCTTTACAGCTTGTATGATATATTTTCTATACTTCCTTCGTATGATACTTTTAAGAGTCGTGTGGTAGCTAATATTAATGATCAGTAAGCCAATTAAAACAGGATAATGGAGGTAATTTAATTTGTCATAAGAAGAATCTTCTGGTGAATAGTATGAGAGAGATGATCAGATTCTAGCCGTTATTCAACAATTAGAATAGGTCAACCTAAGTGTTGCTTTCTAATAGTTTAATGGTGCATTATTCTTGCCTATGACAAGCTTTTACTCATCAGAAGGTAGTATTTCATGTAATGTACTATGTATCATAATAAGATAAGCATTAACGCGCATACCTAAATAAATTTTGCCATTTTCAGCTAATAGGGCAGAGCCAACACGGAATTTACTGTATGGGGCGTAGGCAAATTCTTTGGCTAGGTGGCAATTTCGGAGTATTTCCTTATCCTCATCGGTTAAAGCAGTTGAAGTTGAATCTTGAGAAGCTGCTTTCTCATCTAGTGTACTAACGAATTGTTCCATGCCATATAATCGACGATAAAACAACTGTTGAGACGTAGATGAATCTGTTTGCATTATGAAAAAATTTGTAGTTTAATTCAAGATGTTATCAATGATAAGCGTGGTATAACTTATTATCAGTAAGGAGATGTTTGTAATTACTGTACTGTACAATGGAGAATTCTAATTAGTTTATGTGGTATAATAGTAATGGCAGTTTAGAACTAATATTATGCAATGAAACTAATCGATTGGATACTTTCAATTAATTGATTGACTATTTGTACACTATAGTAGGATTATGCATAAGAGTCAAGTTGGGAGTAAAAAAGAATTACTGTGGTGTTTCTCGCCTAGTTTGTACAAGTACTGTACATGTGGCAGTTAACTTGCTAATTTTTTATTCCGCATCTGCGTATGTAAATAGTGTATATTTTCATTTCAAGTTATCGTGCTGACCAGTATTGCATGACTGCTGTGTGTATTTGTTTTATTGATGAATGTAAGGAGATTGCTAGCAATTTAGTTCAAGTGCAGTCAATAACAAGATGTTATTTTAACTAGTGTTGTATGAATGAGTCGATCGATTTGTCAATAACTCTACATTGCAGATATTAAAATCAGCAGGGATGGCCAGGTAATTGTATCATAGTCATGCTTTGATTATTAGCCGAATGATTGATATTTTTACTACAGTAGGTGTCAACGATCATCCATGTTCACTTGGACATTTTGTACCTCTACAATCGAGATCGATAAAATCAACTGGAGTTGATCAACTCCTTTGCCATACAGTAGTAGGGAGTGTCTTTGATATACTGTAGAAACAACTACAAATTGTCAAGATAAACTTACTGGAATAGAATAGATCTTTAAGAGAAGGCTCTGAAAATTCGTTTGACACTTTCAAATGATGATTAATTTTAGTAAACTTCCTTGTGATTATTTTCTTCCTCCAATTCGATGCAATAGCTCAATTTACTTCTGGATCTTGACGTCGTTGTTGAAGATATGGTTGAAAAAATTTTTTAAATTTAATTGATTGTTTTTCCTTTTAAAATATAAAGTAAACTGTAACCGTCCGTACTTACTGTATAATACCAGTGCGTAGACTACAATACAATACAGTACAGTACTGTACAAGTGTACATGTATGAGACACTTTGTACAGATTGTCTTTTACCGTACTTTGTACTGTGTGAGGGTGATTCCATTACAGTACACTGTACAGTACTGTACACCCAGTCCCTCACGTGTCCAGTCTGTACAGTGTACAGTACCTTATTAGGAATGGACTGTACGCTGTACTGTGTCCTTGACCTGATGCGGAATACAGTATACTGCACAGTATGAGACACTTGGTACAGACTGTACAGTACTGTAAAATTGTTACAGTACATTAACAGTAAACAGTATCTTATTCGGAATGTACTGTACTGACCAGTATGAGACACTTGGTACAGATTGTACAATTTTACAGTACTGTACAGTATATAGTACAGTACTGTAAAATTGTACATTAACAGTAAACAGTATGTTATTCGGAATGTACAGTACTGTACTGTACTGACCAGTATGAGACACTTGGTGCAGATTGAACTGTAAAATTGTTACAGTACAGTACATTAACAGTAAATAGTACAGTATGTTATTCGGAATGTACTGTACTGAACGTACAGTATGAGACACTTGGTACAGATTGTACAGTACTGTAAAATTGTTACAGTACATTAACTGCAAACGGTATCTTATGCGGAATGTGTACTGAACAATATGAGACACTTGGTACAGATTGAACTGTAAAATAGTTACAGTACTGTACAGTGTACAGTACATTAACAGTAAATACTGTAGTATCTTATGCGGAATGTACTGTACAGTACTGTACTGAATAGTATGAGACACTTGGTACTGATTGTACTGTAAAATTGTTGCTGCTGGCGACATGACATGACATAGGTTAACCAGGGACTACTTAATACTGTCTATGTCCATGCTGACTTTTTGTGCCGCTCGTTTTACTATACCACAAGACTGCAACCATGCACCATATTCTACCCAACCAACTTTGCAAATCAACGCCATAAAATGGCCCAAAATGATCATAAATAGTAAGTACTGGTTCATCATCAACAATGGTATACTGTACAGTGTACAGTACCTACACCGAGTCTACACTGTGACTCAGACAATCATGCTGGTTAGTAAAACCCAAAACCCACCTACTAGACCATGGTGGTCCGTGGGTGGGGTGTCCTATAATCATAGGATAATGTACGTGATTGGTCAATATGTGTTGTCTTGAAATGATCACAGACTTTGGAATTTGGAATTCTCAAGTCAGTCATTGCAACATGTGTTTGCAACGTTGCAAGCAATTGTCCTTGTTTTCCCTCCAAGCTTGTACTGTATGGCTGTAGACCTCATATTGCAATAATAATACTAAAAATAGAAAAAGTAATAACAATTCAATCTCATAAATCAATAGTCCTCCTTTGATCGCAGAATAATCACCAGCAATGAGCCAAATAATATTACTGATCGCATTGTATTCAGCCTTGAGGAATACTGTACAGTAGAGAAGAGTTAGTGTTCAAATTGGACATGAGCTGCGTTATGTTGTGCTTTCGATGTCAGTGACATGTTCTACTTAGAACTACTGTATGCTTCATTATTATATTGATCTTCAAACTCAGTTAAATCAAGCCGAGCAGAAATAGCGGCCTATCGATCATGATCATGGATTATTGTCGATATCACCTACTGTCCTGTAATAATATACGGGTACATTTTATTTTATGTTGGGTTTAAAGGCCAGTTCAATCAAGCTATTAGGCCGAAGAGATATTTACATTCTGTAGTCTACGGTACAGCTATACGGGTATTTTATAGTTTAGAGTGGGCTTCGAGCCCAGTTCATCAAACAATTTAGGCACAACATCCATGTCCCGTTACTGCCCTGTAAGAATGTACGGCTATATGAGCAATTGATAGTTTATATTGGGCTTAAAGACCAGTTCAGTGAAGCAATTTAGGCCGAACCTACTGTACAGCGTACAGTAAGGCCAATCTGATATTATGTTGAATACAGTAGCAGCAGTGTCTGTCAAGATGGGAAAGATACTGGTAGTGCACAACGATATAATTAATTAATTAATATTGTAAATGCTTTTTTACGATGCTCCTTTTTGGTCTGGCTGTAAAACACCGATACTACAGTACTGTGTAACTACCATAGGCTGTAGTTAGTAGACACATGAGCTACTGGAAAGAGAGAAGGACTGTCAGCGATTTTCATTGAAAGACGGGAACTGTCTGTCAAGCTACAGTACTTGGCAACTAGACTATCCCAGGCGATCTCAGTGTACATACTTGTAACAGCGACTGATAGTTTGTCTTCGAAAGTTGAAAGAAATGGAATTATTCTATACTGGGATAAAAAGTAAGTAATCAAAATATCAAGAGCCAATTACTCAAGGCTGTACTGATCTGTCTGCATGGAAAACCATTTTCGAGGGCTCGCCACGCCCCTCTAATGATGGTCTACAGTACTGTACAGTACAGTACTGTACTGTAGAGTAAATCCTACTGTACTGTAGTTGTTGTGGACACTTAGGCAAGGGCGCACATAATGTTGTAAAGGAGGTTGAAATAGGCTTGTGTACTGTACTGTACAGTACAGTACAGTACAGTACAAAGCACACTTAGTACAGCTTTGGCTATAGCACAAACTGGAGGGTGACATCATTTTTTCTACAGATTGTACTGTACTGTACAGTGTACAGTACATGCCACACGTGGGTCTCCTGAAGGCTCACTGAGACGGTACTACAGTATAACCTACTGTACAGTGTACTGTACAGTACATACAGTACAGTACTGTACACTAGTCCATTTACAGTGTCGTCATGTACAGTACTGTACCATACTGTACTAGTGTACTGTACTGTACACTCAATGATGGACTACTAAAATGTACTACAGTATTTTAGTACTTACACTGCACGTGTAGTCAATGTGCAAAACAGTTGTCACAGATCTCCAAACAAAGCACACTCAGCACAGCTTTGACTACAGTACAAACTGGAGGGTGACATCATTTTTTCCACAGATTGTACTGTACCGTACTGTTCTGTACAGTACAGTACAGTATACAGTACAGTAAGTCAGCACATGCCACACGTGGGACAGAGGCGGTACAGTACTGTAACCTACTGTACAGTGTACAGTAGTCCATTTACAGTACTGTACTGTACAAACTGGTGGGTGACATCATTTTTTCTACAGTGTACAGTAGTCCATTTACAGTGTCGTAATACAGTATATTGTATTGTACACTCAGTGATGGACTACTGAAATGTACTGTACAGTACTAAAGTATTTTAGGATTGTGTGCACTGTACGTGTAGTCGATGTGCAAAATAATTGTCACTAATCTCGACATAGAAATAGAAACTTTTATTTTGTACCAGTCTACGACACTAAGTCAGTTACTACCGATGGGTACAATATTGAAAAAAAATCAATGCTGTAGTCTTCAGCTTTGCACCGTAACCACAGTATCTACTTTTCTCTATCGTGCAAACTGCTCCTGATGGCCACTAGCGAAAGCATACTGTACTCAGTGTACTGTCCACTACAGTACTGTACAGTATGACAGAGTGCACAATACAATACACTGTAGCGAAGGCAGCGTGGAAATTCAAAAAGTGCCCTGAAACCGCTTGCTACCGGAACCGATTGGAAGATAGATTGAGAAAAATTGCGTTATGGCTGATCTAACCCATACTAGCGAAGGAGATCATGGCTCCACTGGTGGCACTTATCGTTCTTATACGCCAACAGCCAAACGCCATCGACCTCAAATGAATCGTTCTCTTTCTGTAACCAATATAAAAGATCAACATAATATCATGAGTAAGAGCGATGCATTTAATAATTTACCACCATTACAACGCTTCGGCATGGCAAGGAAAGAAGTTAATCAAATCTATCGGAATATTGCTAAATTTGTCAATGATGGTTCTGCATTCTTACAAGAATTTGACCAACACAGCAAAAATTTTAACATTAGTGTAGAAGAAATCATGCTTCAGTTGAAGAGTTTTGCTAATCAGGTGGCTGGTATACAGGAAATGTTAACTCGTGATCAAATGAAGGTACTCGACATTTCTACTTCGTAATCATCATATGAGTTAATTCACCACCTTGCACATTGTACAATTGGGATATAGACAAGTCCACTTTTTGAGTAATTGATACCCAGGATGATATACTAGGACTACGATATGTTATGATGTATGGGGAGCACAACAACAATAGGATTGTATGCAGAACTGCGGCACAGTAGTGACAACGCATAGAAATTAGAAATAGCATACTATAGATCCAATAGACTAGTATCTATGACAGTGTCATAATGAAGGAATGCCTATGATTGAAGCCGCACAGCCGTTTCCTTAAATTCTTCCATGCTGCAAAAGATGTGATGCATCCCATTCCTTCTTGATACAAGTTCAAAATTGTTATTCTACTGACTTGCTAAAACTCTCACTTATTCATTCACGATCCTCATTACACCTACAGTTAATATAACAACAAGTATCTGATTACTCTTTTCAAGACTGCTCAGCTAGCTGCTATTTTCAACTGTAACTAGTCGATTTTTCTGGAGTTATAGAGGAGACATTGCATCATTGATCAACTCGCTTACATGCCAACAATTTACATGAAGTCTTTCAATTCTGTAATCTTAGACACTGCTATTTTTTAAATATGTTCTCTACGCTTAGCAATATCTACAGTATAACGGTTACCGACTTGCTGTGAGGCATTAATTAGATGCAATTCGAGACGGTAACTTCATATCAATTCAGTGGTAAGATACAGTGGAAAGTACCTGCTGCTATATAATTATGCAGAAGAATAGAGCTACTCCTCATCCAATATGACGCAACATAGCATAGTATACAAATAGATAATATGAGCTTTGCCACATGACTATGTAGTAGACGATGTTGCCTTGATTTCTCTACTTCAGATCAAACGATGTGTTATACAATTAAGATATTGTACATAGTTAGCATTGCAATGCAATATCTGCCATACAAAACGCGCAATATTGTTTGGATGAAGGCATACAAGTATCAAATAGAGATACTGTATCGCTTGCTTGTGCCTGTACTATGCGCATGTTATACGTTATATCAGGAATAAAGTGATGCTAAATTAACCTACATAATAAAGTCGTTTGTTATTGCAATGTAGGCTATCTACAAGAAGTGTTTATTTTATTTCTTGCCTACTTAAAACAACCTGTTTTAGTCTTGTGATTTACAGTTACTTTAACTTGCAATGTATATAGCATGCTGTCGTTGACTAACAACAACATAGCTCACTTTTATTGCTTGCTTTGATTCAAGGTATGCTTTTTTGGTCGTACCAGTAACGGAAAAAGTACTGTTGTCAATGCTATGTTAGAGGACAAGATATTACCAACTGGAATGGGCCATACTTCGAATTGTTTTTGTAGTGTGTCTGGTTGCGATGGCGATGAGTCTTACATGTTAACACCAAATGATGAAAAGTTAGCCGTTACGGTGCGCTAACTCTAATTAAGAATTGACCATTCATGCATCTTGTTCTCTAGATCACATCTTTTAGCATCGGTATTCTACATATGTACAGTGTTAATGGCAATGTCTGACTACTGGATCATAATGTTCTTTCTAGAGTGTAAAACAATTGGCTAGCGCGCTATCACAAGAAAAGCTAGAATCAAACGCTTTAGTAAGAGTTTATTGGCCTAAAAATAGGTATTTTATTTTCTTTCCTAGCTTACTCGATTGATTTCGGTAACGGTGTTGATGATATAGTCGATTTTAATGATAGTCTGTTGTTATAACTAGAGTTGAGTTGCTTCGGGACGATGTTGTTTTGGTCGACAGGTATAAACGTTAGCAAAAATGCATTCGATCGTGATTTTCAACCTATCTGTGTATCGTTAGTAAATATGATTATTTTTTGTATGACATCATTTCTTCTATACGATCCAGTAAGATAACTGTATCTAAACATGATTTATAGATTATTCTATTTCCTAGCTGTCTTTGTAGCGATGATTTTCTCCTTTTAATTTACAGTCCTGGGATTGATGTTACACCTGATCTCGATTCGTGGATTAATCAGCATTGTCTAGATGCTGATGTTTTTGTGCTTGTCGCCAATGCTGAATCAACTTTAATGATAACGGAAAAAAATTTCTTTCACAAAGTTAGTGAAAGGTTATCAAAGCCTAACATCTTTATCCTTAATAACCGTTGGGACGCATCTGCAAACGAACCAGACATTGTAGAAGAGGTATTATATACAATCCGCATTAATATAACTTATTTATTATTATAGGTATTGTTCTACCCAAATCATGATATTCAAATTTTGTAGGAAATCTAATGGCTGTGACATAATTTTCATTCCAGGTTAAAAAGCAGCATCTTGAGCGTACGATTGACTTCCTAGCTAATGAATTGCAAGTTGCTAATAAACGGGTTGCCCTTGACAGGGTTTTCTTTGTATCAGCGAAAGAGGTATTCAATTATACTGGCTCGTTCTCGTACACATTAATCTGTTGGAATAAGTATCCATGTGCCTTATATTGCGTACATGGGATTCATATTACTATTTGCAAGTAACAGTTATTAATTTTTGATCTATAATATTTTAGACTCTAACTGCTAGACAGAAAAGACAGAGAGGAGACCCAATAGACGGTTTGTTACTTTCTTAAAAGTTCACATTCAACTAGTGTTAAGATAGCTATTGTCTAAAAATAATTCTATCATGAAAGGGGTTGGATTTAGCGAAGGTTATCAAGCGCGCTTACTTGAATTTGAGAGCTTCGAAAAGAAGTTTAAGGTATTTTTGAAAGACATAACCTGCTGGTTTAACTGAGTGAAAACTTTTGTCTATTATTAATTATTTCTAGGAATGTATATCTGAGTCAGCAATCAAGACTAAGTTTGAACAACACGCTAAGCAAGGGTTAAAAATTATCGATTGTATGAAAGATGCCCTCCAACAATTGGAGAATAATATTATAAGCAAAATGTAATTAAGGAACGATGCTTTACCTAATAACATTAATGATGATCGTAATTTGCGCTTATTTGGATTAAATGCTGTATTTACAACATCAATGAGTTCTTAAACCATTTGTGTGTTATATTTACGTTACAGTGTACAATTACGCGATGAACGGAGTACCTGCCTAAAAAATTTAGCTTATGTAAAGAATCGTCTTCGTGATGAAGCGTCACACTTTGATGCCCGGTTGAAACAATTAACTAGCAGTGTTGAGAAAAAAGTTTGTAGATAAAAGTTATCATTTAAGGATAGAGTTTCACTAAATTGTATTTGTGATGTATACAGTAATATTCATCATCATTTACTATATGTTTGAAGGTAGCGAAGGCAATGACCCGAGAGATCAACCACTTAGCTTATTTAGTGGATGACTTTAATCGTCCGTTTCATTCACATGATCTTGTCATTCAGACATATAAAAAGGTAACTCTGACACGATAATAATTAAACTCTAGTGTGACTATAAGTGTTCGTTTTGCGCATCGTTAATGATATAATAAATATTAAGAATGTTCGATAAACTTTTGGGGTTATCTGTTATAGGAACTACTCGATTATATAGATGAAGGGTTGGGTAGAAATCTTATGGTTCGCTGCTCGGAAACTGTTAATGATGGCTGGAATAAAACACGAAATGATATTATAAGTAGGTTAACTTTCCTATTTTTCAGTGATGGTGGCTATACTTTCTAATCCTTCTACATTCGTAATCTTATGGGTTAATATCAACTGTTTTATAAAAATCACGTATCTTCTTAAACGGATACTTTAAAATCTAGAACGAATACGAGAAATTCTACCTGCAGATTATCATAAAGCCCTTGCTCTTGACGATACCTTGTAAAAATTACTTAATAATTTTCTTAGTGTTATAACCATCGGTTTTGTATAAATATATATTATTGAATTCGATCTCTGATGACTTCTAGGCCTGAAGTTCCTATCAGTTACAATTTAGATTGTCATAACTTGTGCGGTGGGTTCCAAGAAGATATAAAATTTAGATTCACTTGGGGCTGGCGACCGTTGCTTCGTAGTGCTCTAGTCTTATGTGGCAATACACGTTTTGTGCGAGTTCTGGATGAAAACGAGGTTATATCGACTGTAAAATAGCAATCATTATATATCTAAAATAAGGTTTCTCCGCACTGTCAAGATCTATACGATTTCCATCATATAGATCTTACATCATGGAGAAATAGAAATATTTTCGATAGGTCTAGCTGTATTGCAGTACTAATAACACATACTGACAATACAAACTCCTTATTGAACATTCTTATTACAGTATATTAATAAAATACAGTTCCTATCGTTTATAAGAGTTGTAACACTGCTAGTACAATTTCTATCTTAGGAATTCTCTCAGCGTGCAAATCAGGATACTACAGTAGTTGGGTCACCTGAGTTGCCCATCAGCCTAGCTACTGGTATTGCAATGGCTTCATCGTATAGTTCTTTAGGAATTGTTATCACTGCTGGTGCGGTAAGACACTTTTTTGAAGATTTTGAGTTGGATTATAGCATATATATACGTATATAAACTACATGAGAAGATATTCGTTCGTGATAGTATATTTAAATTGATACAAACTTTGTTTTTGGATTAGATTTTTAGAATGGTTGGTTGGAGATTATTTACTGTTGGGATTGCCGTATATGGCGGATTATATGGCTTTGAGCGTTTAACTTGGACTCGTGGAGCTCAAGAGCGCACCTATAAGAAGCAGGTAAAACTTTAAATCGGATATAACTTTGTAACTAAAAGCAAATGCACTAATTCTTTTGTTATATACAGTTTGTTAATTATGCTACGCAGAAATTGAAAATGATGATATCGATTACAAGTCGAAATTGTAGCAATCAAATTCAAAAGTACGATTAATTATTTATATTAGTGCTTCGTGCCTACTAACATATAGTTAGTGAAACTAACATTCTATTGAATTTCTTAAATGCTTAATAAATGAAGTGAACTTAATGGAACATACCATCGGCTAATAAACGCAGTCACTGAATATAAAACTACATTGGAAGAACAGAGTAAAGAGCTCAATTTACGGGTATCAAAATTGGAAGAAATTGAAAATACATTTAAAGTTTTAAGGTAATATTATGAATTATATAATTAGCAGCTACAATCAGTAACCTTATAGGTCTCAAATGAAATTTAAACTGATACGCTATTATGGTATTTTCGTATAGCAATCGTTCTATTTGGCTTCAAAATGAATTATTGGCTTTTATAGATACTTATTTACCTCACGATTCTGATTAATGTTGATAGAGAATCCATAGTTCCATACATTTCTTTATCAACTGCAATTGAAGGATATGTAAAATAATATTTGTTACTGTATGTAATCTAAAATTGCAAATCTTTGCAAGATTTTTGACAAAAATTACTAGTTGATAAACTAAAAAATTTGAAAGCAGAAACTCGTATACGTAGTCTTTACATATCATCATCATTCGAAATCTGATAAATGATTACTTGTTGTAAATGACTAGTCAGTCATGCTTGTTACTTCGACATGTACGGTTTGTTTGTATTAAAGTAAAACGAGTACTTCTATAATTAACAAGTTTAACATAAATACTGATACGATAAGATGCCGAAACATAAATTTAAACACATTAGACGATACTTTCAATTATTTATTACTCGGTTTGATATACAAAAGACCGGTAAATACCGGCAAAGTTAACGCATTAACTTTAATGCCTGAAATTTTATGTACTTATAATTAAATTGTATACGACCAAATCAGCTAGGTGTACTCTTTCTTATTCAATTATAATTATTAAGTGCGTTATAATCTAAGTTGAATTAGCCAAGCATCTAGGTATTTGCTATCTTGTATCCGGAAATAAGTACGTATTTAAGCTAAAATTCTTGTGGTATATGCGCTTATGTGTCCAGTAAGAAAATGGACTATAAAAATAGAATTCAGGTTATGTCGAGAATTTTTGTCATCCTAATCAAATGGCAAGAATACTATAATATTTTTTAACTACACCTACAATATTCAGTGAATAAAGTTCCTATAAGTTACATGAGTTAAGCGGTCCTAATGATTTATGATGTATCTAAGGATGGCTTAGTTTAAATAAGGCGAGTATTACGTGAGAAGAGATTCGTGAATTTGGGTTAAATCAATATACGGTTGTGCGTTGCATTACTGCGTAAACTGAAGAATACGAGTGTATAGAGACTTGTATACACTGTATATATATATATATATATATATAAAATAAAAGGACGTTGACAAGGTTCGCATGGATATCAGTCCACATGATTGTTAGGCTCTTAAACTGAAACATCGAACTCTTTATTCAGTGTTGCCAAGTCTCTTTCATCGACAGCTTGGAATAAATCTGACTTTCCGTTATAGGATAGGGCCATACGAAGTGTAGACCATATGTTATCAGACATAGTTGTAGAACCATAATCATTTCGCTGCATATTTAGTGCAATTAGAAAATGTTCGATAGCTTCCCTAAAATTGTTTAAATATTTTACAATTTTTTCTTTAGCATAATAGAGTACTAGTCTGAAGTAATGCCGGCAATGTAATACCTATAAGCTTTCAGGTTAATACAACTTATTCCTAAGTTGTATCTAGCCCTAACATAACCAGGTGATAGAGATAAAGCAGTATGATATGCTAGGATCGCCTAGAAAATTTAAGCAGATGTAAAGCTTAATCTTCTTTCAATGTAGCTTGAAAGTAATGGTAATCATAATTATAATTCTTTAAAGACCTCTTCGCTTTTATTACTATTAGCCAACGTCGCTCCCAATTTATTCCATAGTTCGGGATCCTATAACAATTTTGGAGAGAAATCCAACACCGATCACTATGCTAACAAATACATGGTGCGATAGACAAATCAAGTATTATACTTTTACATTTATAGCATTTAACTGTAAATGACTATAAAACAAAGCTATTAAATACGTACATCTGGCTTACTGTCTACAGCAACTCTGAAGCAATCAGCTGCCTTTTCGTAATCGCCAGATAAATTATAAAGTACACCTAGGCAACTCTATGAAGATACGAAATTAGTATAGCCAAGTTATAGAATTATTGCTACAGGTTAAAAGTTTATGCGTTATTGGCAGCGTTAGATTATAGGGACACCTGAACGTCGACATCTACGTTTTCAGGGGAAAGTCTAGCGGCCTCTAAAAAGACACTTTCAATCTCACGGAATTGCTCCCTATTTATGATATATTTAAACATCGATTAATTGCACAGTTAACTGTCACTTCAAAATCTTTTGCAGTCTAAATTGCAACCTAGTCATTAATGACGAAGTGACCATTCCATCATCAGATAGCTGAGTTGAATCTCTAACAAGATGATGATACCTACAAAAGAGATATTGTCACTGACATTCAATAACAAATATAATTCTAACGTATGTTTATCATTCGTAGTTGAACATTCATACTTTGGGTTGTTATACAGCCAACTCTTCAGCGTTCGACAGGCCTTTAATTGAAGTATACATACGAATATTTCTTTAGCTATTTTGTTATACACTGCATATACCCATACAGTAAGTAGGCGTATATTAAATACGGCATTTAACTGTATAGCTCTATTAAAGAGTGCAATTAAATTATTGTTGTTTGTAATTATAGACGTAGTTGTTGAGAACTTACCTGTAATTGTAAGGATTCGTTAGTATAACTGACTGAGAGTGCCTGGAGAGCAGGCAAGCGGCCTGGTTCTAACTGTAGACACCTGATAAATGTTTAACATATTAATGTATATGCTAGAAGTATATAACACAGATTTACTAATACTCTTAACTGACCTTCTTAGAGCAGATACTGCCTGATTTTCCTGCTCATTTTCTGCATGCGTTGTGCCAAGATATTGCCATGCCTATTGCAATGATGTCTTATTGTCAATAAATTAATATTGCATCTAATCTATGATTATGATAACGTTTCAATATATAGAATATCATTTCACTAGTTAAACGATACCTCGACGTGTTCAGGATTTTTCTTGACCTAGGATTAGCACAGATTTTAAGTCATTATAAAGAAAAATACTACCTAACTCCAGGTACTGACTTACATCAGCTTCGAATAGCAGCAATGCCATAGATAAATTTCCTTCTTTTAACATTTGTAAACCTTCATTAAAAGGATCAGGGTGATTTTCAAACGGATTGTCTTCCTTAAAATCGTATTCCTGATTAGAAAGTGAGCCAGAATGACATTAGTTATAGCAAATTTTATGAGGTAACTTTACTGATATCGACCACTACTATGTCACATATAAACCTTGTTGTACGTATCCTCATATTCAGAAAGCCAAGGATGCTCTGGATGATTATCTCTATAGCGTGATATCGTTTATTATATTAGCGAACTAGGCTATATCGAAAAACAAGTTATTTATTTCTACATACTAGTAACAAATGTTACCTATCGTAGCTTTCCCATTCTTTTTGCAAGTTATCCCAAACTTCGTTATCCTTGGACTTAGAACGAAGAGTCTCGTGTTATAATGGTTTTATACTTTCAAAAATTATTAAAATTTGCCTCAAGTAGTATATAAAGATAACATTTTATTTATTTATCCACCTCTTCGTCGAATTGGTTTACCCATTGTTCTTCATTCATAACTTCTGCACCCTAACAAGATAAAATATGAATGCTTAAGTCGTCAATTTTTTATTAATTTAAGATATTCTCGTACTATTTTGTTTGAAATCATATACTTTTACAATTCTAACCTGTTGCTCAGCAGTAAATTCCTTTTCCCACTGTTCTGCTGCTCCATCAACAACCTTATCGTAAATTTATAGTATAAGAATGTAATAGAATTTCAATTGTATAATTATAGCGGTAGCAGAACAATTGGAATAGATATGCATACAAGTCATTACGAATGATGTATGAGAGAGTATTGGTTAGGTTGTCAAGGTTAGAAAGAATGAATATATTCCATATTAGAAGCGAGCGTAGCTATTAGATTATGTGGCTAGACACCTGATCGTCCTTAATAGTTAATTCGCCTGTGCTAAGCTTCTTTACAAAGTCGAAAAACTAACAGAATAAAATGATATGGCACCTTTAAGGGCTTACAGCTATTGAGTTAGCTAAAATTTTTATTTTTTTGACTTTGTATACTACTCTATATGACACTACCTGACGAATAATCACATTACGTTATTCTTCCATATTATGTGTTATATAGAGTACATATATACCTTGGAATCTGCAAATTTAGGATCATTTGAGATTTCCGATAAAGCAGCAGCTGTATCTTTCAGTTCATTCTTAGAATTGGCTTCAACATATTCAGCAGCCCTACATACAAGTAGTTAATCCTTAAAATTAGCTAGTTACCGATATTAAATCATGATTTAGACTTAATTTACTACCAAGTATCGTGCAATTGTTTATTGTCATTTTGGTATTCTGCAGCCCTATAAAAGAATACTTTTCTTAGTTAAACTATAGATATGAGTATTTGATCATGCGGTACAATATGTAATGATTTCACTGTATAAAAGGTGTCTTAATACCAAATAGCATGTTCTGTGTCTTGTAAATATTCATCAGCCCATTGTGTTGGAGGATGATCACCTAAGTGGTATAGATGGTATTGATTAAGTAGAACATTTATTTTAAAGTTTTTAAAATCAGATAGGCGTAATAAGTATATAAAAAACTACTAGCATTCTTGCAGTAAAACTGTAACATCTGTTACTACTGTCATACCCGTAGCAGAATTTTGGATTGCGCGGTATTGTTCTTCTAATTCTGGTCATAAAAATAGTTCGATATACGTAGTATTTAGCTCAACCGTAATGTGTTGTTTTTTTATTTTGAATTTGTGTAAGAAATTTAAACTAGTAAATTCGATGGCAGTAACCTTGTTCATGCATAAACGGTGTATTGGCAACAAAATCGTTTGCCCACTCGGTAGCTACAATGTCCGAAACACCAGGCGCTATATTGAGGAGAGAGTGGAAGTTATAACGACGATCGTTTATTCATGGTAATATAAGAAGGGGATAGAAATCCACTTTGTGCATAATTTTTGTAACAATACAAGGAGGAATCTCATAATGATAATTAATTCTACTGGATGATGATTGATAATGACCTGTTATAGGCGCTCTCATTTGATGCGAATGTTCAATTTCCTTCATTTCTTTCAATAAACCTTCCATTCGAAAAGTTTCGGGAGGCCTGTGTAACCTGGGGTCTTGCCTTAGATATTCATTGACCAGCTAATAATAAATTATCAATCATCCAAAAATTGGTTAATAATTGTGTACTTGATATGTTTAATTGATTGGACGATTATAATTCAATTCGTTTAAAACAAATCTATTTACAGTTAGCTATTCCTTAAAGAAGTGATTGTAAATTTTCTTACTAGCATAGTTAATTTAATATCTATTCAATTGTACATGTTGTATCCACTATCGGAAGGATAATGTTACCTCATGTTCCGATGCATGAAGGAACTGTCTTTCTAATTCCTATAAAGTGTAGTGCCATAAAGTAGATCAAGCATTACATTATTGGACAAGTTGTTAAACAGAGACTATATGATGGATATCATCTACTCATAAAATTAATAGAATCCTTTTTTTGGAATGATTGTCGCTCAGCGTCCATTAACTTACAGCGGGATGCACAACACCTGGCCTGATCAATCCTTCCTATAAACAAATAATAAAAAATGGATGAAGAAAGACTCTATCTTAGAAGCTCGATGATTTGTAAACCTACTTTTAACTTGTAGCATCTCTGATACTGTAACTAGCATTATTTTTAACTCCTAAACTGTTATCAAGACAAATTTAAAAAAATGTCGCCCTCTCTATTGGGCATTACTGTCACTTGCTTGACATCGATTCTATTTCATTATAAATAAATAGTATCAATAAAGGATGTACTGTACGTGTACGATATCAGAGGTTAGCATTCAGTGATTATTCTATCAAAGCTTTTTAATGTATTCTGTATCATGAAGATTTGTATCCTATTTCCAGCAACAATGAATGCTATCTCGATGTAAAATACCTGTCGCATCGATTTATCTTGCATAAAATGTGATGTCATCTTCATCAGTGGATTAGCTCCTCCACACTCTCCTTCAGCTAAATCCCTCATCGCCATGATTAATTTTTCAGTTGAATCTAATTTAGTTGATAGCTAAAAAAAAATAAAAATAATGTCATATCCTACACTATTGAATGTTATCAAGCGTAAAAACGATCGGTAGATGATTTTAGACTGAACAAATAATCGATGGCTTGGCTAGCGTTGATCGATCGATAAAGTAGTATCATGAGCTACTGATGATAAGCAGTCAACACAGACAAAAAGTTCTGGCTGATCGCTACTGTACTTGTACCGTAGTCGATATTCTTCTTCTTCTTTTCCCTGTTATCATGCATAATACGCATCAATACTTACTATAGAGACTGCAAAAGTCAATGGATCGTTAATTTGTTGGCTAAAAGAATGATTAGCAACTGTTCAAGTAGGGATATTCCGGTAAGCTGTCGTAGGAGTCGCCTAGGATATCGCATAAGATCTCGCTGAAAGATAATTGGATGGGTCGTCGGCTGGTCTCAGAGGTCAACCTTTTGTCACCCCACATCCTACAATATGCAGCCGTACTGTACACTGTGCACTGTACACTCTACCGTACAGTACTGCCTTAGGAGACTACAGTACAGTATACTGTAAAATAGAGGTTTGTACTGTACTAGCTGCAGATGCCAAAGGTGAAAGTGTCCCTCTCAGTATGCCCGTGCGTTAAAAATGGAGTAAATAATTAATTATTAATTAATTAATGGGCAGTATCTCACATGGCAAGGAAAAGCCTTGACCAAGGGGGAGTTTAAGCCTGTTTTAGCGATGGTTTTAGCGGACGTAAGGTACCGCAGTAAATAGGATTTGACAAATAAAAAGCTATACTGCTTTGACTAGGGGCGTTTGAACCTGTTTTAGCAACGGCTTGCGTTTGACGTACCGTGGGTGAAAGTGTCCGTCCATGCCTGTTGTCTGCCCGCGACTAGGGTACTCACTCAGTCTCAGGTACATTGCAAAATGGAGAAGAAAACAAATCCAACTTGAAGCTTGATGTATCAGCTAGTGAGGTTAAAAACGTTCTCTATGATTCTATCACATGAAGTAAATTATAGTAACGAAAAAGAGAAGATTCCTAGATAGGAACAGAAAAAGAGAGTGAAACTCTGATTGCAGTTTTGCATACTGCATGCTTTAGTATGGCAATGGACTATATCAACACAAAACGTACGACATTACACTCCTGTGTACACACACGATGCTAACGGATGCTGTAGACTAGAGACTACTAAAAGAAGCCATTTGAAGTAATTTTAGTAGTCGATGGCTACGATGGCCCAGAAGTTGGCCTCAAACTTTGTACTGTAAGAACGGACACCAAGATACTGCGCTATCATACAGTATTTTTGCTCGGCAATACATGCGTTGCTATGCAGTATGCACTGGCAGTAAAGACCTGGAAAGGGCTATGCAAATTAAAATGACTGTAATTACTGTAGAACTCCATAAATTTGCATATTTTCCTCGATTATGCAAATTACGTGATCCTACCAGGCTAAGTTGTATTCGCTGACGAGAGATTTTTGAGTAGTCCAATATGAATAGTCCTGGGTACATAGTACAGGCCAGAGTACAAATAACGGTCAGGTGAACAAATCACAATAATAATAATAAAAATAATATTATCCTCTATGGTCTCGACTATCTCACTCCTGGGCTGTTCTAAAGAATACTGCAAAACGATCAAAGTGCCAGCTTGCACTCAGCTCGTCGTACCTGAAAGTCTAAATTTCTTCCAAATCTCAATCCATTCGAACCCAATCATGCTCCGATATATCCTAATTAAACTGTACTAACCTCTAGCCACGCTCTCTATTAACAGATAATACCGTAGTAGTTTTACTGATGCTTAGCAATTGCATAGTGCAGTCAATGTTAATCTAAAGACTAGATAGCACGAAATGGCGATTGTATTGCAAAGGGATAATGATATCCTTGCATGTCGAGTGCCGGATGCAGTGCCATGTGTATCTTTTCAATTAAAGCAACATACATTCAATAATATTATACGATTACTTGTGACTCATTTCATATTTTCGTCTGCCTTTTTTACTGTACAGCATCACTATACTATACAAAACAGTTCACTCTTTATTTACTCGGACTGCTGCATTTATTTGTTTATTCTTGGAGAACTCCAGTAGATATCGTTGCAAGTAGCATTAGCTAGGACCTGGAGGTTGCGAGTCAAAATTCGATACAGTACACTGTTACAATTTTTACACCTTAAATGTCAACTACGACGTCATTCACAAAAATCTTCATACCTCAATACTCTTTCTATACTATAGTTTGTCCAATTTTATCTAGAAACTCATCAAATTGTATGTAAAAATGACTAATTCCCAATAAAGTCTTTAGGTCCTCCCTTGTGTATCTGATATTACTGTATGTACTATGGAAGTACATACGCGTATATCATAGTTATAGCACAGTGGATACAGTATCGTTTATAGATTTTAGATTTTATTGTTGACATTGACAAACATCACCATTGCACAACAGTCCTTAGAAAGAGTTATGGGTAAATCCAAAGTTGGTCAATGCTCGAATAAATATTTGTAGTGTAGCCACGAATCCGCTTAAGATTAAAATTAATAGTTGTGAGGCGAATCTAATTCGTGTAATAAATAGAAATTCACAGGAAGTTGTAGTTCTTATTTCATTATTTTGAAGACACGGTATCACAATCTTTAAATCTTTCCGATGGATCACATTTTGAGTATTTGTATCATCATATGCGATGAATGAAGGCGAATTGAATGATCCAAGTTTAACTCATAAAAATAATTGTTCCGGTACATTACTTACTTAATTATTTTTATATACGTATATTTCATATACATTGTAATTGCTCCAAGATATTGCTTAAGATATTTGCTATAATGTCTTGCACATAATATATGTTTGCTCGTATATACATATGTTGTATACTGTATATTGCCGAAAAAAATGTTTAATTAAATCTTACGAGTTGACTACATTTACAGTGCCATCCTATGCAATGGATGAAGACAAATTGAATGATATAACTTTAATTTGTAAAAGTAATTACTCCGAAATATGACTCAAGATTTTAGCGATAACGTCTTCTATATGAGTATATCGTACGTATATTTGTATATGTTATATATGCGTACTATACCGTTATATCCCCAAACTATCGAATTAAATTTAAATTTATTAAATTCTGCAAACTAACTACATTTATAGTATTAACTTATACAGTAGATGAAGACGAATTGAATGATATAACTTTAATTTGTAAAAGGTATTACTGCAAAATATTACTCAAGATATTAACGATAACGTCCTCTATATGATTATATCGTATGCATATTGGTATATGTTGTCGACGCATATTATTTTGCTATATAGTATCCAACAAAAATGTCTAATTAAATTGATTAAATCTAGCAAGTTGACTACATTTACAGTATCATCCTATGCAATAGATGAAGACAAATTGAACGATATAACTTTAATTTGTAAAAGTAATTGCTTTGAAATACATTACTCAGGATATTAGCAATAATGTCTTCTATATGATTGTATGCTGTGTATATCAGTACAGGTAATAAAATTACTGCTATACTGTTCATTAGCAAGAAAATATTTAATTCAATTCAATCCTACGAATTGACTACATTTATAATATCATTCTATGTAGTGGATAAAGACAAATTAAATGATCGAAGTTTAATTGATAAAAGTAATTACTATCAAATGTTACTCAAGATACTGGCGAGAATGTCTTGCATAGAGTGATAGAGACTCTTGATTGCCAATGTGTAAATTTTAACCGACAAGAATGGTGTTGCTCCGAGTAACAAACAATTTTTTCCCGTATACTGTAGGTCTTATTTTCAGCATCATACCCTATCGGTGTACTGTATGCTACAGAACGCCACGGTGCACCTACATAATAACCAAAGTCATTTTTTAATTATTTAAAACTTCATATTTTTAGTTTATGTCGTTAACATACTCTTTAACATGACACCGATAATGCAGTACATCATTTTAGCAAGCTAAACTATCTAGGATATGATTATAATCTGTCTGAACTTGCGCCTTCTTAAACTATAAAACCATTGCAGTAGCACACTGTCCACGGCAGTCTACGTTGTACACTGTACTGTACAGTACAGCAATTAGTAGAGTATGTAATCATATCCATCCAATTCATATTAAATATACAGACGGCCATCATCCCTGACCCTGTTTTGATGCTATTGGAGCCATTGGCCATTTCAAAAGCAGATACGCTACCGACACAGTCAATAATTATTAATTATAACCATCAATACATGTGTGATAGTTAACATCAAGTGCGTCTAAACATTTCTATCGTTGTTAATTTATTCTTGCTCGGCATCGATGATAAATTTGTCATGTACATGCACCAGCGGTATTTTTTATCGCTACTACCAGCTATTGAATAGCTCCAAGCTTAAATTGTTCAGTAGTAATAGAAACCCATTTCAATTATTACAATCTATTCGTACAACAAGTAGGATGGCGTCAGGAAATCATCACTTGAAATATGATAATTCATCCTTGCTATTGGGTAAGTCTGCCTTTGGGTGTAGTCCAGCAAGATGCAATCATACTAAACAGGTAATAAACATCGTGCAAATAACAAATGTACCTTGAGCTATTCTATTATTTTGTATTATATGCTCGTATGTGTATATTCTCAAATGTGTTATTGTTTTCGGCAATCCTCTGCTATAATTTAAGCAGCAGATTGAAATGTTTTAAAGTAAAATCGCAGTCAGAAACGATGATTGGATAAAGTACTGCTGTATACCCGTCGTGTGCTGACTACGATTTCAAGATTGTTTTTACAATACAGTAAATGTTGATAGTAGGATAATCATGTTCAGCTTGTTATTTATGGCATAGTGTCTATGGAGTTGTGTAACGGTCCGTAGCTTACAGATCAGGCGTAATTATAGCAAACATCAATGCAAATTTGCTCGACAGGAAACGCAAAGAATTCATTACTTTGTGGATGTTATTGAAACTCCAGATGGCGATCCTATCAATACTGTATCTCGCAAGTACTATACAGCAGCCCAACAGAGAGTACGGCATGATATCTGTCAAGGTACCAGCCGCTTGTAGTCAAATTACTTCGGTAGATTGCAGCAGAAATTAGCAGCGTACGAGTATTTACTCTATAGATGCCACATACGGTGCAGTCAGCAACAACGTCGAAGAGTACAGTAATCACAAAATAAGTAGCTAGTCCAGATACTATATGTTGCTCCTTTAGATAGTGAGGTAATTGAGGTTTCGTCTAATTTCCATTACTATATTAAAGCCAAAGTGAATATTTTATACATCACACAAGCACAACTAAAAGACATTGAAACTATGAACGTACTTGTCTAAATTAGTGTAGCCTTTACATTAAAATTGCGAGAAGGTCTACGGAAGCGAAAGATTCGAGCAAAGTACACAAATAAATGAGCATACTATTGTAATGAAGAATCTTGTCATTCATTGAATGTTGGAGATTGATTATATATGTTAACCATTTTAGCCTGCTGGAACCAATATCGATATGACTGAATATAAACAAGTTGTACTTGGGCGCCAATTGGACCAAAGCGGATGTGCAAGCTTTAATAGTTTACTACACGAAATAGCCAACAGTTATTGCCAAATTAATAGGGATGATCGATCAGAGAAAGAATACCTATCTATTAATTTGACTGGCCCTATTTCTTATCAATTATCTATCGATCCAGGATTTTACCGTTATGGTGTTGGAGGTCGAGGAGATTTCTGGTATACGAACCAAAATAATTTCCGCTTCAAGATAACTGACAACGACAATCGGGATTCATCCATTGTAAATGGAACAGTATGTCCTATCGATGCTCCTTCTATTCAGGTTGGATAATGTATATGAGTGCACAAATTTGGTAGTACTTAACGTTCATATTCCACCGATCGACGTAAACTGTAAATAATATCAGTTCATAAATCTGTACTGGAACAAGATGGTTGTAATCGTAATATCATCATAGTATTTTCACGTACGTTCATGTAGTAAAGCACGATATTTAGCAATTAATTCGATCCATAATACTGTACCCTCTAACGAAGGGTAGACTTTACGGTGACTATAGCAGAAAATTGCGTTGTAGAGTATCAAAGTTCACTGATTGAACAAAGTCTTTGTAATCGTGACATCGAATTAATATTTTCATGTAGCTTTGAGACTAAATGACAAAATGAAACCTAAATTACAGTTATAAGTCGTACGTGTAGAGTAGATAGAATACATTTGGAATAGAAAATGTTTCCAATGTAGCCCTCGGTGCTTACTTCTTTGTGGATAATTAATTATAATGTGTAATTCGCTGCAATTAAAACCTATCCTATCCTTTCTATTCACTCCTACCATATATATAGGATGAAGGGCATAAACCTTACATTCACCGCCTGATTGTTAGGCCTAGCGATGTAAACATAGCTAACGAAGTCAATGTTGCTGAACATCTTTCGTATTGTATAGACCATCTTAAACGTGCTATAAAGACCAAATTTAATGATCATTTCGCAGCTATGGATCAAAATTGGATGGCTAAAATTACCAATATTCAATTAGATTATATATCGCCTGCTTATATGGGCGACGAATTAACAATTACTACTTGGTTCGATGCCGATCGAAATCGTACAATTAGTACTATCAACAGAGGAGAATGCTGCTTAAGTACCGTTTCCATAACTTTTCAACCTAAAAGGGAATATAAGATGCGATTAATTCCCCCGCAATACGTGGTATTATCCAAGGATAAGCATCTCATTGATATATCCTTTGAGATGCCTGCATTCACATCATTCCGTGACCGATTTGGCAATCCCGATTATGGCAAAACCATGTTTATTTCAGCGGAATGCGAACAGACATCAACTCTCCTTGGTATGTGGGATGCCCACAAAATACTTCTTGAAACCAAAGGAAGGGCTACATGGTTTATTACTTACCATGAGAATAAAATTTTACCTCAATTTTATTCGACAGATCCGAATGCAACTACAATTGTTAATATCTGGCTAGAGTCCATAGGAGAACATAGTATTATACTGCAAAACTCTATTACTGATCAAACGACTGGACATATTATAAATGAAACCAAATATATTTTGACCTATATTTATGACGGAAAATTGTCTAAGCTACCAGAATTTTTTACAGAAAGATTGAAAAAAATTGTCGAGAAAAGGCATGATTCCAAAAGGGTAAAGAAAATATTTTATATTACTGTATTGTTTTATCCATAATAGCTGAAATTTGATATACCATTATCGCCAAAATTAATTTCCTTTTTAATGTAGGTCCAAATCATCGACGAAGTTCCTCAAAATTATCACACCTACCTAACAGAAGCTCGTTGTAGTGAGCTAGATATTCGAAGTCATGTTAGTTACGGATTTTTCCAAAATTACTGTTTAGATGCTGCAAGTAGTGCAGTAAAGTCAAATAGTTCAGCCTATCAATCTAACTTTGGCTCTGATTTCAATCCTGAAATAATTTCTGAAACGAGAACTAGCTATCACGGTCAGTTATTTGGAATGGAAAAGCTAGCTGTTGATACCTGGCAAGATAACAATAACAACTTATTCTTCTTAATTAGGCATGATGATAAGCTTATTTGTCATGCCCAGTTTGTTCTAAGGGCATAATATAATCTTCTCACCCAAATGCATTCTAGTATGCACATTTGGATGCGTTTCGAATTTCGTATTAGCAACATCCTACTCCATAATTTTAGTCGCTTCTGTATCTTCTTTAGGACCAGTTCATGTATTCTAGGATATAAAGTACTGAATGCGATATGTAACTGAAATATCACATGATTATTAATACTGATAAATTTCCTCTGAATGTGTACTAAGCTCAACACCAAGCAATATTATAATTTGGGCAAGCTAGTTTTAATAATAACTGCAAGAATATTGCTATTGATCTTGTTGTAATACTGTATCACTCATAATGCATTTGCTAACAATATAATTTTTTATCTGTAGCCTTTATGTAATTGCGAGATAAAATAATTATTCAACGTTCTAGTATTACTACAATTAAACGAGAAAGCTCATTTTCCATGGCCTAGCATATTGAATCGTAGATGTGGTTACTAATATATAGAAGACGCTCGTTAGTTTCTAACTGTGTTTGCCGATACAAGCAGAAATAAGATGACCTGTTAACAGTCAATAGTTTTTAATGGCGGAAACTACTGGGTATGCCTAACCGATATAGCTGATACAATAGCATCAATAGTTAATTCTTACTTTAATAAATATATACCTTTTAGTTCATTTTATTATCGTAAGCTGAACTAAAGTGCCTAAGCTTCCTTTGAACAAGCATCTTACTGGCAGTAGTACTGTTTCTGCGTTAAGATAACATATAATAGACATGTAGTACATGCAGTTGCATCAAAGGCCAGATTGACATTGCTGAAATCGCCCATGAAAATGATAATTAATTGACAAAAATATTAGAATTCTCTACTGATTATTTTATTCGAACCTCATTTACTCATTAGTTAGTGCATTTGCTATCTATACTTGGAGACTAACCAACCGATTGTAGAATACAGTAGTAAAGAAACATCATAAGGCGAAATATGCATTTTGTAGGCAGCGGGTCTCGATGACGACATACAGTACTTTAAAAGTTTATACTGTTGAGGTAGTTCTTGTTATATTGGCATTATTTTAAAATTAACTCCTTTACTAACAAGACTCGTCTACCGTTATATAAGAATAATGAAGTTCATTTTTTATAGGCAGATCTATCATTTAATTCTATGCCTTAAAATGCTATAAACAAGAGAGCAGAATTGTTATTATTCCAGATAAGCATAATCTCGTAATGCTGTATGCAGGCCATTAAGCAATTTAAAATATAAAGAATAATTGTTATAATATTCTTTATTTAGTGCCATATCGTTTACTAGATCAAAAAATTCTGAACATATCAGAGCAAAGTATTCACTCAATCATGGTCAAGATGATGGCTAAATACAGTATGTGAAGATAATTTTTTCTCTCATCACTTTTATACTATTAATTAAATTACTACATATTCTCGCTTCTGCAGTTGTTATATCTATTTGTAAGTTTAACTTTCTTCTTGATTTATATGTTAAGTAAATCAATTTTACAAAGTTGATGTTATATAATTATTAAATAGTGAATAATAAATATATTTTTAATACCCCTCTCCCAGTCCAATCCAATGATAGAATATATCAACAATGAACTACGTATTTAATTAGTAACACAAAAATAATGAGTCTTCAATTACTCCTACATATCGATTGAGGATCTATTACAATTTCAGACTGGCATATCATTTTGTTTCCTTGCCTTACATTGAAGTACAGAGTATTGTTTTCAGATCCTTGCCATGTATCAACTGCAAATTCGTCATCAGGAAATAATTGACTACGACAAACAAAATTGATTTGACGAACGCAGCTCGGGTTGAAATCTTGGCCGAAGTCAAGCTTGTAGGCTGAGCTTTTTGACGATATGGCATTGCTTGCTGCATCCATACAGAAAGTAGCTAAATTCGCATAGCCGGCATGATCATTAAAATCAAGATCACTAAATCGCACCTTCCTATGATATGTATAATGACTTGAAGGTATGCTATCAAATAGAGGTTGAGGCTTGTGAATAAAAGAAAAAGATCAAAATTCGATTAGCGTTTACTTCAGTATAGTTTCATCTTATCACATAGCTTCAATAAAACTTATTACATATATTTCATGATATTTATAATACATTACATCGGTAATTCACGGTGTAGTTTATTCGATTTGTTGTTATATTATACTGTAGCTACTTGTAGACTTGCATACAAATACCTTTTCAGCAGATATCTTGAAAGGCACTTTACGTAATAATGTTTCTTTAAATGAATCAGGAAATACTTCAGGCTTGCCATCTTTTAGGAAGACAGTAATACTGTCAGTTCTATGCATGACTTTTTCAGTTTGATTATCAATTATTTCGTAAGTAGATATAAATGATCTATTACTGATTGATGTTAATTGTAAACTTAACCTTGATGATGCATCGGGATCCATAGTATAGAATACAGGATCGATGGTACACTGATTGGCGATTAATACCATAGAACCTTTAGTACCAGATAATAATTTGGGAATATCCCAGATACCGTATCGCACTGAAGTGCCAAGCGTTTCAGCATATGCAAATATGAATTTACAGAGGTCAGGTTGATTAAATCGATCACGATAATGAAAGAAATTATCCAGGTTATACGTAATGGTAAATAGGTCATAGTTTACTACATCCAATGCCAATGGTAATAGGCCTGGAATGTATTTTAGATCAGGATTAAAACTTATTGAAAATGTACTTAAACAATCGTTATCTCGCATTATCTGACAATTAATTCGATTATTCGAAGCATCCGACCATGATTTAACGGTTAGATTCTCGTTCACATAAGCAGGTGAATGATAATCCAGTTTAAAGTAGATAGCTTTACTGTACCATGTTTTATCCATAAATTGTATATAGCCATCGTTAAATTTGGATGCAATGGCATGCTTAATAGCACTCATAGCAAAGCATAGATATTGTGTAATGTGTACTTGCTTTGTATTAGACATATCGCTTGGCCGAACGGTGATTGGATAGGTATAGAATGTGTGCGGATTTTGCTTGATAAAATAAAAATATAAATAATAGAATTAATGATAGGACTAATTAACGGATGAATCAGTTCAACTAATAGTAACTAATATAAGCACTAATAGCTGCCTTACTCAACTTATTTCATTCGTTAATTGATATTTGTTAAATATTTTTAAGTTAAAGCAGACTCGGAATTCACTTAGTACACAGGTACCTATTANATGCTTTGGCAAGGA